TTGTCTGCTAGCTTCTCAGAAAATTGGACTGGCCATGTAAACGAATACATCATGTAAAGTGCCTTTGAAAGTAATGAAGGTAAGTTTAGTATAATTAAGCCAACCGTAAAAATGCTAATTTTTCTATGCCAAGTTTTTATATCCTTTTTATTTCTATAACAAGAGATAGAAATTCGTTTTTATCTTGCCATAGGTAAAACATCTGCGTCTTTATTAGTGAACTTGTACTCTAAAGTTTTGCAAATTAGAACCTGTGATTTAAGCTTGTAAATAAAATTGAAACGATATCAATTCGTATTTTACTGAATGCTCTGCAACAAGATTACTGAATAATTGAGTGCTTAGTTTTTTGTCGATTATACTATAGGCGTCCGTAAAAACTTGAGTTGCTATAGCAAAGAGAAAAAAACAGGCGTACGCCAGTGTTGCTTTTGTCCAAGCAGGTTTAGTTTTTATATAATAAATTTTCCAGAATGGCATCCACAACCTCTTTATCCGCAATAATTTGATGTTTTAGTTCCCTTGTTTATCGAACACAATTATTTTTTGATAATTTTTTTTCTACATCTGTTTTCAATATAATCTAGTGAAATTATAACGAATGAGACCGGGAATTATTCTGCTTATGTATGTTTTCTTTCTTTGTGATCGATCTGTGTACCAGCAGATGTCAAGCACCGCCATTAAAAATAAATAATAAAACAATAAATATAAAGGCGAATAAAAAGTAGGCCGCAAAAAATTCTCCATAGACTTAGCCTAGATGTTGCAGATCGACAGCAACAGGTCTCTTCGGGACGCTCTTTTTTCCGTATTGTGAATGTAGATAAGAACGGGCCACCGAATTTTGAAAAATTACTATTTTTTGGATATAGATATCTCTTGTGGCGGTATAAACTAATTAATGGACCGTTCCGTAGATACGATTGACTTTCATTAATTACAAGTGTCTTTATTTAGTGTAATCTTACACTTTGCCACGAGCTGTCAATTGATTTTTCTGTTTACCTATGGTTGGCTTATGTTTGCAGGCAATTCAATTCATTCATATGACAAGGTCTAAGTCGATGTTTCTAGTTTTCTTGCAAATTTTCAGCCTCAAGATATTCTCACGCTCATCTTCATCTTCGAATCGATTTATGGTACGTACACACCTATAGTGACTAGTCTAAATGCTAGCTTTTTACCATATATGTATACTCCATTTTTTTTAAATAACTTTATAACATCTAATAAGGAAAATTAATAAGAAAAACTTCGTGGTTTATCGCATAGATAAACGCAATGGGAAGGCAAACATGGCGGAAACAAAGAATACAAACAGTGCAAAAACAACAAACAGGCAACGGCAATAGTTTGCACACTTCCCGCAAACGCAATAAAATTAGAAAGTCAAATCGTTTAGAGCTATACACGAAGGCGTAGCGACGGATAGACGCTACATTTTTGCGGTTTCCAGCGCTTTGAAAATATTCTAGCGAAAGTCGACATCAATTTACTAGAGAATAATGCAGTTAATTTGGTCGCTAATCGCCTGGCTTCGAACCGTCACCCCTATTGTGAACGTTTATTTGCCTTTAACTTTCAGTGTTCGCTCTTTATAAAATTAAGATGTTGAAAAAATAAGGATAAAAGTTAATATCTCAAATTTTCCGACATAAATGAAAGATCGTTAGCTAACTCTTTGGAATTTTTCCGAAAGCTTGATCTGTCTTATTTATACACGATTAATGCTGGAGAAAATGTGATAAACCGTTGACCTAATTGAGTAGCATGCAATATGTATTAATTTTCACTCCAGTAAAAAAAATGACAACCATATGCCGGTGTAATAATACAGAGATTGTTTTCTTTTTATTCAATTTCATTTTTTTCTTATGTAGTTGAGTTAACTGGTGATCAGCTACTAAAAAGCTGCAGAGGAGATTACGAATGCGAAGGAATTGAAAAGGGAGAAATATGTCATATAAACTACGAAGGTTGCGAAATTGGAATATGCGCTTGTCCCTCAGGCTTCACAAGAAATAGTAAAATGAAATGTGTTACAGGTTGGCTATGTAATTGTTTTATTTAAACTAATTTAGTGAAAAAAACATATTCAGTATCCACAATTGCTTTCGCCATAAATTTTATTTAGTAAACCTTGTAATATCGTAAGATAAAAGAAATTATATATCATTTAGGTTTCTTATCCTTAATTTTCTGCGAGACTTCGGAAATACTTTAAGGACATAAAATTCTTAGCATTTCCCTTCCATAGCAAATTGCTGTACAAGCGAGACATCGAATGTCAGCCCGGGCGTAATTTGCCCTACAATTTCTCATAATTGAACTTTAGGCTTTCTCACCTGCGTAATTGTGCCGATCACTTCGTAGTGAGTTTCTATACAACGATAATTTTTATTAAAATATTTTCCTTTTTCGCTTTAATAAAAATTATTCAGCCAGTTATAATTGGCGCCATTGCGTCTCTTCATTTAGTCAAGGACATGTGAATATGACTAGTTCAACGTGATCTGGAAAGCAAAACAGCTAACACAACAAACTTGATTAAGACCGTCACGTCTTGTAAAGAGTTATTATAAAACAATACGGGCGAATAACCAATAAGAAACGCTTCTCACATACTTGCTCGAAGATATAACCCGCGTTAATGGTTGACATTTCGAAAAATGTCAAGCAATATTTCCCTAGTTTTTGTGGTTAGTTTGTTGTTGGACTGAAAACGTGACCACCTCGCTAATTAGAGACGCTTTTTTCTTCCGCTTCTAGAGAAACGCGCGGGCGAATCGTGCGACGTTCAGGAAACGAATGACAAATGTGGCTTTCCACTAAAATGCTTGGATGGAAAGTGTAAATGTGCTGAAGGAACCTTAACTAATGACGGATTGTTTTGTAAGAGTGATAAGAAAAGAATTTTAGGAGAGCACTGTGTCCCTTGGAACAGTAGCTGTTTTAAAAATAACGGTTTGATAGAATTAAATATGTTTATTTTTATTGAGAAATGATTAATATTAGGTTTCTCTTATGATCAATCATACATTGATTGCAACCCGAAAACTCGAAGATGTGAGTGTGGATTGATTAAATATAAAAAACAGAAGCAATATAGAAGAAAACAGACTGAGCAAGGAAATTGTATCCCATGTCAGTTTTTTCACAAATTATTTCTTCCAAACTTATTACTTATCGACAACGAAATATTTTGTTGAATAATTCATGCTAGCAAAGTCAAAGGGATCAAATAGCATAATTGACCAATTTTTATTCTCAACATAATTATTCTACTTTATATTATAATTGATCTTATACAGTTGGACCAAACGAAAAGGGATGTGGTACATCAGAGGATTGTGCTGAAGGAGCTACATGTGACACTTCATCTGGAACGTGTCTTTGTCCATTTAGCTATAAAGCTTGGAACGGGAGATGCGTTAGAGAAGGCGGTGAGAAAAAAATCTTGATAATTTTTGACCAGTTCAAATCGTTATTGTTTTCTTCGTTCTACTAATTTCTCACTATTATAAAAAGTAAAGTAGCTCGGCAGTTTTCAATTTCTAAAACCTCTGAATTTGTGCAAAGTACATAATTTCCATGTGCTGTACATGTAATTAGGATCCGTTATTAATAATGTAACTCTTGAAACAAATGCTTGCTTAAGCAGTAAAAGTGTATGTAGAAGAAAATTTCAGCTATTCCTAAAACTGAAAAGTAAAATATAGTATACGACTTCCGCTCGTTAATCAGTTCAAATAATACGTTCTCCTGTCTCGTTGATTTATTGACGTCATTGACAGACCCGACTACTAATTTACCCTGCATAATCTTAACAGCCATCTACGGTCGAAAATTAGGAGAATCGTGCTTGGAAAACGATGGTATAGCCACAAAAGATTCACCTATAATGTACTGTAATAAAGGTTTAATTTGCAAAAAATGCGGTGGAACAAACCAGACATGTACCAAATGTAAGGCATATTTTGTTCTTTTGGTTATAAATTAAAACACTTTAACTTCTCAGTATCTAAATTAGAACAATAAAGATGAGTTTTTTTAGGCAAAATGCAATTACGAAAATTATTCAAAACGTATTTGTCAAATAATTTTTTGTTTATAGATCGACCTGCAAATGTCTACATGTACAATAGTAATTCTACGCCAACAAGAAATGTCTTTCAACTTGGAGCTTTGGTTGCAGCAGCGACGTTCCTTTTCCGGTGACGCTCCTGAGACGCTGCATTCAATTATATGGCTCTCTTTACTTTTTCGCGCTCTACTGAAGTGTAATGGAGGCGTCTATTTAGGAGAGTCTTTTGGGACGCTTTAAATTAGCGCTGAAAATTTAGATTACTGCGCTGCCTACACGTTTCCTCGAAAGATTTTTTAATCGAATTTTTGTTCCTGTGATAATAAACGCCAACATATTGAAAAGTATAGCTAAGGATTATGGTTTTCCCAGAAGGAAGTAATTCATTGATCACACACTGCTAATTTGACTGGTGCCCCGATTTACGCCATTGATCCGTGATCCGCATTAAACCTTTCTAGCTCTCTGTAAAAGTAGGATAATAGATAATCTACCCTAGAAGTCTGACTGTCATTCGTGCACCACAAATTTTCGTTAAATCGAATGCTTATTTAAAATATTTATTTCTCGTGTCGCAAGATGGCGCATATTTACTTGTGGAAAATATCTAAAATATCCACAACTGTTGAAAAAGAATTTTCTTCATTCCGGTATTCCTTTATCATCCATTTATCCACCGGATAAATAATAGAATCTTCAGCGTGTATTGGATTCGACAAAACTTTTGAATTTCGATTGATAATCATCACGCCATTTCTTTTTCTTATGAAAATCGAACATCCTCGGAGATTTTTAGTTCTCTTTGTGTAATAACTAACATCGCTCTGGCACAAATAGGCTGTAAGATAGGAAATATTTAATTAGGAGAAAAACTTCTGCGTTTCTATGCAAGGTATACGATACAGTCAATTAATCATATTCCTGCGTACATTTAACTTATAAATTATACTTTGTAAAATACAGATAAAATTACTTGTTAGTATATGGCGCTTTAGAAATTCTTTCAATTCCTTTTCATCGTAAGACGAAACTACATCAGGTAATTCCTTGCGAAGAAGAAAAAAATAAACTCAGTCACAATGGTACTTTTGTCAGACCTACCGTAATTGGAGCAAGGATGGTGACAGAATAGTTTAGTCGTTTTACTTCCTGAGAAAGAGCAGTTTTCACCAAAAGATTATAAAATGCCTTAAATCTCTCTTCGGCTCTAAGAACGTTCATAAAGTTCCCACTAGGGATATGAAGAGGCTGCAGATAACTTGAAATTGAATTCGCTTAAAAATGAATCTTAATTTTAAGTGCAAGCTGGCAATTGAAATATATATTGTATGATTTATCTTTCTGTCATGATATTACTAAATAATTTAGGCATTCTTTCTAATTCTCTCTTTACAGAGAGAAAATTGACATCTCATTCCTATAAGTTCGTTCAATATTGGACAATTGATATTTCACACAATGCACTCATGTTTAAATAATTTATCTTTAACATCGAAAGAGATCATGTGACCCTACTTTAATTACCATGTAAATCAAACGTTACCTCTGATATGAAAACAATAGAACTTTTACAGCCAAGAATAGGATAAGTAAGAAGACGAGAGCATTGAAATTGTGATGATTTGTGACTACGAGAAATCCAATCAAAAATAGACTAAAATAATAAATAGTCTTTAAATAATTACAATATTTAACAATAGAAACCTTTCTTCTATTTTTTTTATAAACAATGGATTTTCCAGCATATGTTTCTATTTTGTTGGTTTGTTTATTTTTAAGTGGATAAAGTCCTTGAATTGTATGATACTTAACAAACTCCTCTATATCATTGATTTTCTTTTTCATTTCTTTTAAACTACTCGCTTGCGGAACCAGAATAGTATAGTCATCTAATTCTCTGAAAAAGTTTTTTAGATTCTCACCCGCTTTAATTAACAATGCGAATTCAGCTGCTCTGTTATGCTTTTCTACAATTTGATAGGCACTCTTAGCTATCGGAAATAACAACTTTGTAAAAAATAGTAATAATTAAACTCAAACAGCAGACCAGATTCCAGTGTTAAAGCTTGATCTATTACATGTATGACACCATTTCTAGCCATGATATCTCTTTTTATTATTCTAGACTGGTCGTTAATCGTTATAGTGTCATTTTGTAATGTTATTTTTATTGTTTGTTTCTCTAACAATGTTAGCACCGTCATCTCATTAGCCAGTACAGTTGAACATAAAATGTCCGGCAGAATGTGGCTTAACAAAATATCTATAATTTAATGTCTAAAAATATATCTATTAAAAACAAAAAGTACTCATAGGTATACTTTTTAGGCATTGATTCTTTTTAAGCCTCTTAAAGGCTTCATTAGTCGGAAGAAAGATAGTAAAACGCTTCTTCATATCGTCTAGTGACTCCAATAAGTTAATGTTTGATTTTTTTAAAGCTGAATTTCAATAATTTTAATTATAATTGTTTAAAGCCGATAACTTTTTTACCGTTTAGAAATTCTGAATACTCCGGCCTCTGAATAATATCCAATAACGTTTTATCAACTATAGGTAAAGTATCCTTTACCCTGTATATGATGGCATTTTTTGAGTGGATAATTTCTGAAACTATAGGAACACAGTTGGCCGTAGAAATCTATATATGATTAGAACTGTTAATTAAAAATCAAATTATAATAAGCTTCTCTTTCTGTTACCCTTTTAGGATAATTAAAAATGTTGATGCGGACAGAAGATGTTGGATCGATATTTTGAAAAACAAAATTATTGTTAGAATTTCTTAGTTTAACAAATCCTTTGACAATTTGATTAAAGAAAGCTCTTTCCATGGCCATGTTTTCCCTATCTATTAGGTAACTTGAAGGGTCTGCACGATTTATTGTGACAAAATCATATTTATTTTCTCTCATTTCTTTCAGTATGTCATCTTTAACCTTAAATAAGGATTAGCTACGCTTACTTTGCAAACATATTTTTGTCACCTACCTTTCGCTCAAGACCAATAATTTGGTTATTGCTAGCAGCAAATATTGTATAATTTTGCTTGGCCTTAAGTATCTTAAACTCAGACAGAGCAGCTGAAAGCATATCTAGTTTCAGACTGCGAAGAATGGTCAACGGATCTTTCAATACTTCTTCTATATGTTTTGAGCAGATTAAAATAAAGGTTTAAGGGCTAATCTATGTATCAACCTATTGGACAGCCAACACTGCTAACTTTTCTAGAGAACCCATAGCAGCATTCATACGTGATTATTTCAGTTATCACTTTTTGCTCTCTCTTTTCTCTGTAAACATGAAGCAATAACATGTATATATGTTGTATATAGTTACAAGTGAAAAAATAGCCAACACTTTTTTGCAAGTATAAGCCGTATCGGACGCATCACAATTAAAACTGACGTGGAACGTATGTCTTGTTAAAGACGAATCATTTTTTTCCATTGTTGTATTTTGGATGCACACATTAGGACTAATAAAAAAGAATTATATAGAATATCTCCAATAGCAGAGCTTGCTTTAAATTTACCCAGTCCACCATTTACTTCGCCCAAAAAGACCAAATTTAAATGCATAATCATCAACATAACTAAAAATCTTATCCTGGTAAGCTCCTAATCTGCTTTTCAGTTTACTAAAATTTATATCAAAAATTAAAAGTGTAATTTTGAAGCTGTTCTTGTGTCAAACCTTTTCCACGATCTCTTAAATAGATTTCCCTTGTCAGCTTGCGCTTCAAAGACGGTGAAAAGACAAAAAAGAATTACTAGTTTCGTTCTCATGTTTAATGCGAATTTGTATCTCTACGATTTTTCTCAATTTATACTTCTAAACAAATGTTTGCCAGCTGAGCATGAAACAAGAAACTGTTTAGATATTTTTCAGTCTGGTTTCAATCTAAACTTTTTTCTGATTGATAATTACAAAGAGATACTATTATAAAATAAAAACTGTCGCTAAGTGCCAAAAATGAAAGAGAACGCAGAGATAAGCATAAGAAAAACTTGAATGCTTAATCTCAATAATCTATTTGTGATTTAAAAATGTTTTGTGTATTTAAGACATCTATTAGATTTTAAATTTGAATGCCATGTATGTAATTTGTCATAAAGAATTCACTCTTATGACTTGGAGATGTTTTTGGAGAATATAGGTGACATTTATAGTTTCTGGAAGTCTATAATGCATCACGTATATATAAATTTCAGTCTCTCCAGGTTTTTAAGTAAAAGCACCAGTCAAGGTCTAATCAAAATCAACAACTACCGTAAGGACAAGGAATAATATCGAAAAATAGTATTAGATTATATTAACATCTACATAGAACTCACAAACAGTATAGGATAAAGTCAGGAGATGATTGGATATTATTTTAAGGGGATGGTAAACACAATACATAAAATGGCAATTTTAAAGAAGGTAAAAGATGATGTTGAAGATTAGTGAACAAAATAATTTGTAAATATGACGTCATATGGGACTTATCTGACTGTTAATGAAATGCAATATATAGTATATTTAGAAATTAGCAAACATAATATATTTTCTTATATTAATCTAAACGCACCAATTTACAACCTATGTGAAAACTTGCACAAAATAACAAAAGCAAAATAAGAACTACTAATATAGGTGGCGCTTGTAGTATCTAATAAAAGCTATTCCATTGTTTGATGAGCTCACTTCAATGGGTGAATCGCAACGGTTGACTTTGAAAAATGCTGGCCTTCAGAGAAGATTACAATGATAAGGAATGGCCTGATAACTTTATAAACAATTGGAGGAAGCCAGATGAAGAAAATCATTCAAACCTCCTTCATCTCCACGAATTCGTAAAAGGTTTGACCATAAAAGGAAAATATTTGGAAATTGGAAGTGGTCCATCCCCTATTGGAATTTTTTCGGCTAGCACAAAATTTGACGACATTACCTTATCTGATTTTTCTGTAGCTAATATTGATCGTTTGAAAAAATGGAAGAGTGGAGGAAATCTCAGCAACATCATGACTCTGATTGAGTATGTGGCCAAGTTGGAAGGACGTGATGTTAATCAGCTGATGACTATTTCTCTGAGCAGAGTGAAGAACATTAGACACGCTGACTTGCTCAATGACGAAATATTACCCAAAGACGACAATAAATACAGTGCAATATCTATGAACTTTGTACTTCTTTGTGCTTGTAAAACTAAGGAAGATCTGTTCAAAGCATTCACAAAGCTGTACAACAAGCTGACTCCAGGTGGAAGATTATTTGATTTCGGAGCCCTGAATACAAACAATTACAATGTTGGAGGAAGATTGTTTTCACACTGTGAAATCGATTTGGAAACGCTGGTAGTATTGGCGGAGAGAGCTGGCTTCAAAGTATTAAAGCAAGAGAAGCTAAATATGAATACACCATGCTACTGTATTGTTGCCAGTCGTTGAAAAACCTATGTTGACTCTTCTTTAGAATCAAAAAATTTGATGAGCCAAAAATTATAGCAAACTATATTTCTTTCTGAACAAAAATAACAAAAATTTAATACAATTACAATAGAAGTTCGATACTTTATATATTTATATATACTTTTTCTACGGACAATAGCAAATCTTTTTCTTATTTCTGGAACAACCATGACAAAACTATTTGATTAATATCCCAAGATTTTATGATATTCTAAAAGATATTTTAACTATGCTTTACGGTTAAACAATATCAACATTAGACGATTTTCCTGGAGATTTAATCTTTCCTTGGAGGGATAATGTCAAACCTGAAGCTGGAGGGTAAGGAAAGACTCTTGGACTTTTATTTGTCTGAAAGTTCCCAAAGCTTTAAATTAATTATTTAACAGTGGCTATAAAATTCTAAAATTGAACAATTGTTTGTACTAATTTCGTGAATAAAGTACTAAAAATACCTACAGAACTGCATTGTGTATGATTATCCATTAATTGTTTGCGCAGCTTGGTTATCTCTTCGTCTTTCTAATAAAATATTGTATTAGGTGATTAATTTAGCAAAAGCTCGCAAAAATAACCTCTTTCAATGAATTTTGTAATTCCCTGTTTTCTATGACTAAATGATTTTCGTCTCTGGAAAACTCAGTATCAAATGCTTTTTCCTGGGTTTCTTTTAAAGGAAAATTTTGCGAATCTGCAATATAGAAGTATAATCACAACATATTTCCTACAAATAACGAAATATCAATCCTCTTGAATAGAAAAGAATATGATTGTTACCACTACTATGCCTATTTAACAGCTTCTTCTCCAATGACGCAAGCATTTGTTCTATCATACACTTGCTCGCAAGTGACATGTTTGTTAAGTCTTTAACAGCCTCTGTATTACAAAAAGAAATGACATAAGATTATGTAATATTTCTTAATTTAAAAACAACTGACCGGCTGTGACATGACGCATTTTAAGAAGTTCTTCAAGCTTTGCAATTTTCCGCTTCATTTTCTCGTGCTCGCCTTCAACTAAAGAGAAATTTTTTTGATATTCTGCATTTTCTCGTTTTAGGTTGCGAATAACTTCATTGTTTTGAGCATTTACCTATAGATTCATTGTGATTTTGAAAATTGCAAAACATAACAAATACCAATAAAATTATTAAAATATCCTACAAGTAAAATTTTAATAAGATTCTTTACGCTTGTTATTAAGGCAAAACAACAGAATATTTACATTGTGAAGACAATCGATTTCTTTTTGCATAAGCTGAATTCTTTCTTCAGCCTGAAAATTCTCAAGAACATATAAATTGTATTTTACGTTATAAATTAAAAACTTACTATTTCTGACATATTTGCCTTTGACCAGGAGTTGCACTTGACTAGAGTAAATTGAAATAACCAAGATTAACTCTCACATCGGGTATCTAAATGAAGCGGAATATGTCAGCTTTGTGTGCTATGGCGTGAGCAGGTATAGCTAAGTTAAACTCTGGGGCAAATTCGGGATAGACCCAACGAACAGCGTCGGCGTACTAACCTTTAGAGCCGACACCCCCAGTTAGCTACTTTTTATTTAAATATGAAACTCACGTCGGAAACCGTATTTTTAAAAATATGTCACTGAAAATATTTGAGAATTTATAATTATTACTGCTTTTTTAGGCAGTTTAGTTTAAAATAAATCTCATAAAATTATTGAATTTTATTATATTTTACTCTCTTGAGTAGTAAGTCAGTCAAATTATGACAGCGAATTATCATAAATTGAAGTTATTTTAAGATTATCAAAAAACGCTGTTGAAAAATTTGTAGTGCCCAAAGCAAGAAACCCATTGGACGATGAAGTTTCTGGGAGTATCGTAGTAAACAAAAATTGACCATTCATTTGCAAAGTCAGTGAGCTTCCCTAAATCAGGAGAAGTTTTACAAGCTAACTAATAACTAGGTTATTGCATACCTTCAAAACTATCTTGACAGTCAACCATTGATTAAAATGTAGCATATCGCTTGGAATTTCGGCATAAGTTCGATTATTTTTAGCTGGGATTAATGAGTACCGTATTATAAATATCTTAAAAAATATTAACCTTACAAAAATTTCCTGCAACAGTTATTAGTTTTTTCTTCAAGTTAATATAAACAAAAGTTCCAGGACTATAACAAATATTACAGCCGCCATCCCTAACCCGAGCTCCTAAAACGATTCCATCGCTTCCATTTTTGGGAACAAGAAAATCAATTGCAAATTGCACATCTGACCTATAGCAATAATTGACCTAACGTCATCAAATAAATTGACAAACTGCTAACCATAGATAATTTCCAAATACAGCTACTGGTCTCGACATAGGGAAAGGGAGACAGGTGTCAACCGGAGGTTTAACAACCATTTGCTGAATGACTCCTTTGCGATTTTCATAATCTGTAAAATGCACCTCAAAAGTTCCCGCTTGTTGGGCAATGTTATATGGTTCCTCTGAGTCTCTATAATCTGCAAAATTTATTTTTTGGCGTTTTTTTTACTAATTGTTATATATTGAAAAGTATATTTTAGTTACTGTCAAAACTATCGAAGTAGGGCAAAGGAAACGGTACTGATTTTGGTGACTCTTTGTGGAAGCCTTTACTACCTGTACTAAGAGTCGTTAGCGTAACAACAGTATTCCGTTTTAGGTGAAGTGTAAACGTTGAAGTGGAGTCAATCTGTTAAAACAAACTTCCCCATAAATTTTTTTAGATAGTAGCCATACTTGGAAAGTTTTAATTTCGATAAAATAGCTATCTTCAATGGCTTAAATTTCTTTGAATTTAAGCATATTTTTATCAAAACTTTCTAAAGAAGTAACAAAAATAAAAAAATGAGTTAATTTGAAGCAATTGATAAGATTTATTAGAATGCATAAGTAATGATAAAAATATCCTAATTTCGTAAAATTTTACGTGTAAAGTTCTCTAAACGGATATTTTTCGTGTATTGATGAAGGATATAGTAGAAAAACCGTTTAAGCAACCAACATACCTTTGATAGGAAATCACAAAGAAAAAAGTAAAACCTGTAAGACAACTGAGTTGCCTAGGATTTTTGCTAAGTAGAGTTTTATAATACATTTTTCAGCGAAAATAGGCATTTAGTTAATTAAAATAACCAATAGAAATTATAGAAAGTACTCCTAAATAGTTAAAGAAATATAAAGTGAAAAATTTTTCTAGACTCACAAATATTGGATTTTGCCTCTGAAAAAGAGCTTCTTTCTTGTAGTCCTTAGTGAAATCACTCTGCCACACTTTGAGAGTAGTTATAGCTTTCTAAGAGAAACTAATTAGAGATAGGATATTATTAGATATAAAACATACAAATTTTCCTGAAAGTTTAAACGAAGCAATTTGATGCGAAGCCACTGGATATTTTGGCATGGGGTAAAAACAGGGAAACTCTTGGGGGTCCTTCCATAAAAAAAGCAACTCATTAGAATATAGATTGATGACTTGATAATATCAACCATAGTTTCAACAATAATAGTTAAGTGCTTTTCATCAGTTAAGCTTAAATATGTTCCTCCACCAGTTAAGTTTCCAACTCCATTTGAATGTCTTAGAAAGTACCAGCCAGGTTTCGTAAATTGAGTATGGTGAGCTGAGGCCCAAATAGGAGAATTTACTTCGTAATGACCACTCCAGGGTTCGCTGGCTGTCATTAAGCTACATCTACCATAAGGAAGATTAGGATAATAACTGGCTATAAGATTCCAGGCAATCGATCTAGGTATTGTGGAAAACATGAGTAAATATTATTAATTAAAAGTAAATACAAACGCTGTAAAAAACCCTTGAACGTAGCGTTCATTCAGGACCTATTATTAATAGAAATTGAAATAATTATATACATGTGTGATATGTACCCTAGCCCAGCATCCTCCTCCAAGTAGGTTATTCTCAGCACTATATTCTTCTGAACCCCATAGTATTTTGTCTGTTAACAGAGACTTCAGGGGATTTGCCCCAGTGAAACCAGGATAGTGCACACTGCGTGAAAAATTTTTTACAAGCGACAAAGTGCTTTAGGTATTTTTACCCGATAACGTCTACAACTTGGGCAAGTTCAGGATCATTAAGCATATCGTCTAAAATATTCCATTCGCCATCGGCTGCAACTATCTTTGTCTTCTGGTAGCCTAATTCATCTAAACGTTTTCTCAACATCTGATTTATATAATTTTATATTTAAATATCACTTATCAAAAGAAATAACCTTAATGTAAAGAATATCGTAAGGTCTCTCATTCCATATCTAAAATAGTAAACAAAAACTAAATAATTTTAAAAGTTCAATTTAAAACTAACTCCAACGAAATCTATAGTTAAATTATGAAATTTTTCTGCTCCAATAATCCAATTTGTTATATACTTAACAAGTTTTGTTCTATTAGAGTAAGGGTTAGACTTTCCCCCACCAAGCCATCCTGGAAAAACCCACGGCAAACCGTAAAGTAAAATTTCTGGATTTCTCTTATAAAAAACATTTATTAGTCGAAATTGCAATTAATAAAAAAAGAAGGTACTTTTTTAGCTTCTTTCATTAAAAACCACTCGTAGCCTCTGTTGAAATTCAAGTCATTTTCTTCATGCATATGAGACGCTTCGGTTCCGTCTTCATCAATACATATTAATATCAAACTAACAATTTAGAAATTGCGTTACCCGTGCTCTGTGAATCACCGCCAATCTCCACTTTTAAAATTTGTAATGATGCTGCGAAATTAGGCTGTTTTTTATGCAGAATTTTAAAGGGAGTATTAAGACTTGAAAAGTTACTGACTTTAAAGAGAAAATCCAATATTTCATCACGATAAATCTTGGGATAATTTATCAGTAATTTTGAAGTTGCCTACGGAATAAATCTTGTTAAAATTGAAATCACTCAGGCTTCAAAAAGTACTCCTCCTCCGCTGATAGCACCTATTCCATCAAATCGTCGACCATATCCATTTCTATCAGAAATTAAGTACTGAAAAGCATAACCGTGGGTTTGTAAACTTGTTAAGTAACTTAAAATAAGAGTTAAAGTAATTTTCATTGCTCTTTGTATATATCTACAGTCACATGATATAGCTCATGTGACTAGTTACCTTCAACTTGTAACAACTATCATGATTGGTCACATTTCATTTCGTAATAACGCCTGACGTCACAAGGATTTCCCCTGTATTCCCTAACGTTTTCAGCGTTTTACCGACCCCCGTTCTTAATTACCGGCACTTTTCCCGATTTCAAGAGGGTAAATCATCTATTTTATCAATTCTTATTCAGAATATTAAATTGCCTAAAAAAACATTAGACTGTAATTTTTAAATTTTGGTTAAGATTCGATTTCGTAAGGGCATTGATACAGGTGTGATGATGAATTCCGTTATCCTCCTATTTTTTATACCGCTATATGATAAATTGATAATTAATAGAGTATTTAGCAAGATATTATTAATCAAAGCACGACGATTTGTAAAGTACGCCGCGGTCATTTTGATAACGCTTTTCTTAGCGACATCTAGTGGAGGCAATTGTTGTGAAATCGTCAGTGAAAGTCGTTAAATTGTTTCAGTTTAAATCTCTAAAAAATGGCTCCAATGAAACCGGGAACAGCGCGAGTGCGATCATCACCTCTTGATAAAAATAGTCAGGAATACCGAGAGGGTCGTGAAAAGAACAATATTGCCGTTAGAAAAAGCAGAATGAAAAGTCGCTTAAAGCAATTAGAAACAAATCAGCTGGTGGAAGAATTAAAAAAAGAAAATGCAGAATTAAAAGAAAGAGTTAATCTGTTATCTAAAGAATTGGGGGTTTTAAAAGATTTGTTCATCACTTATGCAGAGGACAAATCTTGACGAAAATTTAATGTTATGACGACTTTAGTGGATCATTTTTTGTAGATTTCAATATTTATAACTTGCTTACAGAGTTGTTTCAGTTTGTCTTTATCTTTTAATAAAATTTTCAAAACTTTTCAATTTACTAAATAAATATTGCTTTTTTAAAAAATATATCAAAGTTTCTTTAATACATGTTGAATTAATTAGAAATATCTTTTGATGTTCTTCATCTATAATTTACCACTTAAGTAAAAACTAAGTTATGAGGTAATCGAAATTACAGTTTTCAGACTAGCGAAAATTGTATATTCTATATAATTACATTTTTGAATGTTCACTACTAAAATAAAGAAAATTATATTTCTATCTACTGTGAGCCTGACTTTAAATGATAACTGCCCGTTTTTGAGAAACCTAGGTCAGCAGCCAGTAGCAAACATTGTATAAAATATATTGTACAAACTAAATCACTCTTATAACACAATTTATCCGAGTGTACATATGTATGATATATATATATAAAGTAAACTTACATATATATACTGAAAAGAGGATAACAGAACATGAAAGAATCGCGTTAAAAATTTCTGAAATAATCGATCGTCATGCCAAAGAAATAAGTAAGGTGTTATATAAACTTTACTAAACATTCGAAAGTGCATAATAGATAGATACATTTCCCATAATATTTCAATATATTACGGAAAAAGTTACCAATCACCCTCAGTTTTTATTTTCTGTGCGACTGGTATGCCATTAGAGCCAGGAACTAATCTTGCTGACGGAGAGTTATCAATACGAAGTAGTTCTTCTTCTAAATCAAATGTGGTATCAAAGTTGTTGAGCAGGCCATTTGAAGTAAAATTAGATTCATCATCTAACATAGGAGAGGAAGTAGCCGATGGACTTCTCCGTAACCTTCTAAGACCCCGATCCGTAACTTTTACTCGGCTCGGACTGCCTGGCCTTTTAAAGGTTTCACTTTCGCATGAGGGAAACACAGTTTGCATTGAAGGATAGCTTATCGTAGATGGTTGTAGTAAACTCAAAATTCCGCTTTGCTGGGGTTTAGACTTATACTTCATTGATAATGAATGGATATAATCTAAGCAACGGAAGAGACGATTACGGTCGTCAGGTGGAACTAGGCCAATATCGGCTAATGCAAGGTTTGAAATATCGCTGATCGCTTCCATCCATTTTCGTTCGAGAGGTAGTGCAGCTATTAGAAATTGTTAATTCAACTAATTTTTCGTACAAAGGAAATTTAAAAACTTTCAGAAAAAGACAAGTTATACAAACCTAAATTTAAGGAATCTGGAGTATTAATTCTATCCCAATCTTTAGTAGCAACTTTAGTAGGAATTGGCGTAGAATTCGTCGGGAGCACCCGCTTTATTGCCTTCGGCTTTACACTGTAATACGATAATTCACTTATCTAAATAAACCTATCTATTTAAACATTTTAAATCTTACATTTTTTCTTTTACTACTTTTCTTTTTTCTCCTTCAATTGCATCCTCAACGCTGCTCACGCTACGCTCTTTACTAGAGCGGGATTTATTGGACACATCACTTCCAACCATACCTATAAACTCATTGTTTTCGTTATAATTAGCATATGCTTCCAAAATTTTATATCTGGTTCTATATTCTTCTGAGAAGAAATTTTTTGAATGTGCTATGCGTAAGATATGTTGTTTTCCTGATTTCACCGTTGGATATTTATGCTTGCAAGTTGGACAGTAATAAAATCCATTTTCATTGTGTTTTTTCTGATTTTTAGCGAATCGAATAAATTCCTCTCTTAACCTGTTTGAAACGTATTGTAAATTTTTCGGTTGGAATTGGCTATAATGTTGAAGAGTTGCGTCCATTACTTGCATGCATTTAACGCTCATATTTCCCTTTACTCTATATTTATCAAGTTCATCTGTATTTAAAGTTCGAGCTTCTGATTGCCTCTTTGGGCCACTATTCTTATTGGGCATGGATTTTATAATTTTAGATGTTTTTATAATAAACTTTCCAGCCATTCCTGCCGTTAAATTGTGTTTTTGTATTATGTGCTTTAGCACAGATATTCTTTGAAAATTTCGGTAAGAACACTTGGAACAAGCAAATATCTGGTGCGGTGAATTAGTAGGTTTCAATTTTAGATTCAATTTTTCTGGTTCTTCGGCTCTGACGTTTGTATTTTCTTCTGTATAATTAGTCAATTCTGTTTCCACAACGTCTTTTCCTAACTGATTCTCAAGGCGTGTCTTCCAGATATTGGATATTGGTAAATTTAAAGATTTTACAATATCTGGGTGCTGTCGGTTGCAATGTTTCACCATAATTTCAACACTGGATATAAATCTATCAGGATGGAGGGCACAAGTGAAAGATCTCGCATTCATGTCACCCCAATCGATCCCTTTATCGACACAAAGATCGTAAAAATGCTCAAGAATCTTGTGACGATGTGTTTGGAAATGATTGTCATGTTTCCGACCTGACAGTTTGTACTTGCATACTCTGCAATAGTTTAGGTCCTTTATTAAAGATTTCTCACGCGAAACTAATAAAGCATCCTCATCAATATCTGTTGCACTTTTGTTGGCTTTGCTTTGAAATGTTCGATGTGTTTTACGTTGTCCCATAGGCAAAGTTAAATTGTTTATTCTGTTTTCTTCACTTTCAGCCTCAGATGCGGATTCTTCAGAAAGACCTTTCCCACTGACACATTCATTGTTCCTAAAGTTATTACCTAGTTTAATCCGTAGATTAAATGTCTTATCACAGTTTGAATTTCGGTTAGCAGATTCACTTTTGTAAGACATGCCCTGAACCTGCAATGATAATAGCCTGTAATATCGCTCAAAACAAATGCTTCATTTTATTAGTGAGAAAACGGTTTTAATAACACTGAAATAAAAGACACAAGGACAAACCTCACGCAGTCCGTAAGTCACACTTAAAAAGCAGGTATAACAGAGAAATTATTAAAAGGTAAATCTTAAACTCTCCTAACAATGAATTAACATTTTTGAATGGCTCAGAGTCTCACGTAAGTTCTTATCGTTAACAAATGAATATGGAATACAAACCACCCTATACTTTTTATGAACAAACTGGTGGTTACTTCTCAAATCAGTTAATGGTATTTTTGCGATACTTCTGTTTTAAATTTATAAAGATACTTATGTCTTAATGCAAATCTTTTTTCGTAGTTTTGTTTAGCGTATAGTTTTCAAATTCAATAAACCCTCCTTTTCCTTATTTTTATGAAAAAACTTAGTTTTTACAAGTAATATCAGTACAATGCAATCATATTGAATTTTCTTTTCATAGCTGAACTTCTCAACCGCATACTAAAACTTTTATTTCCCAGGACTGAACGCCTTTGTTGTATATTTTACATATTGATACGCTAGCATATTGATCCACAGTCTTCTAATTTAAAAAGTGAAAAGAGGCCCCTGCACTTTTTGCAGTGAAATTCCTTATGACTTTTAAACTCACAATATGAAACATACATTCAATATCAATCCAAATTCTAATTTTAACTCTTGCAAAAGTTATTTTCCATCTTAAGAAAAAAACAAGATATATTCTTTATTTATAATAAAGTTAAGAAATATATTGCTTTTGTTATACACCGAGTTAGATGGAAAATTGTCCTTTATCTAGTTGTATTTATGAATTCGCGCAACAGATGTCGTTTGTGTTTTTCTAGTATTGAAATCCCCTCCACTGTCATTTCAGTAAACGCCCTACTGAAGTAGCTTGCGATCAAAATTTGTTTTTAGCAAAAATTTTAACAATTTTATTTGACAATAAAACATTATTGTGAAAATTTAACTAAAGTTAGTATGATTTATTGTTAAATATTGGTTTCTATATGTCTAAATGATATTCCAACAAATATTTGCCAACAGTAATGACTGATGTGGAGGCTAGACTTGCTGAAATTCAGCGCACTCTAAATAGGCTTGGGGAAAATGTTGAGCAATTATCTCAAACTCAGAAGTTTCGGGTTAGTTACCATGCTTAGCTTATGGTTTCTTGTTTTTTAGATTATTCAGATTTTATTATTTATTTTCGAAAGCATCGTATCGTTTTCAAAATCATTGTATACAACGACATTGAAATAGTCACACCTGTACCTTGTGTAGTATAGTATATTGTGTGACACTTTGCCTAAACATCCAACTTTGAATCAAAATGCCTAGATGAATATGTTTGAAAGCCGTGATAGGTGAACCGGATATCTATGAACGGTTTTGCAATATTCATTGTTCATTGTTAGTACGGATGTTTCTTATGCACTATAATCAATATATTATTCTCTTTATAGTTCATACTTCCTGTTATTGTTGACTAAATATTATTGAAGAATTGGACCAGATATTGGCCCTTTACTGTAAAAAAAAGATGTTTTTTACGATTTAAAATTTGATGTTCACACTGCTGATTAATATTAAATTTATTTTAATACTTTATCAGGTGGCTGAGTCAAACACTGCGAAGGGAAATGTTTTTAGTTTTGGTGATGATGAAAATGAAGAAAGAGGAAACTGGACTGGTAGGCTGGATTTCTTGCTGTCATGTCTTGGTTATGCTGTAGGTTTGGGGAATGTTTGGAGGTTTCCTTATTTATGCTATAAAAACGGAGGAGCCGTATTTTTTGTCCCTTACGGTATTGGTTATTCACAAAATATAATTAGTTCTCATCACTATTTGAAAATTTCCAGTCATTATGTTAGCTTTTGTTGGTATGCCAGTTTTTATGTTCGAACTCTCCATTGGTCAATTTACCAGTTCTGGAGCTTTAACTTGCTGGAAATTTGCTCCATTATTCAAAGGCGTAGGAGTCGGGATGGTAATCGTTTCTGGAATGGTAGGAGTTTACTATAACATGATAATCGGATGGTCTATTTGGTACCTTATTTCATCCTTTATAAATGTAAAGGATTTGGAATGGAGTGACTGTGATAAAAAATGGAATAATCCAAATTGCACAGGGTTAATGAATAAGGACGCGGCACTAATGTGCAATTCATCAATAAAGGATGAAGGCTTTGATAATATTTCCAGAGGGCCGGATGGTTGGTGTTATGTTTCAAGAAATCTAACTTTCGGAAATTTCAGAGATACGTTTCATAATGTTCCAATAGGAATTTACGATAAAGACCTACACAAAGCTCTAAAAACAAATCACGAGGTATTTAACACAGATTTCATTTTTATTTTTCATAGCAAGCTCATATTTCAGAATCATACGAAAATGGAACTACCAACAGAGCAATATCTATACAACTACATGCTTAAAAGAAATGATTTTGAAAATGGAAAGTTAGTTACAGAGTATAACATGGATAATTTTGGATCCGTCCAGTGGGACTTAACTTTGGCTTACATTGCTGCATGGATTATTGTGTTTTTGTCTTTGTGTAAAGGAGTAAAATCTTCTGGAAAAGTTGTTTATTTCACAGCTCTCTTCCCGTATGTTGTCCTTATAATTCTTTTTGTAAGAGGAATTATTTTGGATGGTTCGAAAGATGGCATAGATTTTTATCTTATAAACGTGGACACTAGTAAATTAGAGGATTCAGTTGTTTGGAAGGATGCTGCAGTTCAAATCTTTTTTTCGTTGTCGGCTGCCTGGGGTGGTCTAATATGCTTGTCTAGTTACAATCGATTTCATAATGATTGTTTGAGAGATACATTAATTGTTTCGATAGGAAACTGCTTGACATCTTTCTTTGCTGGTTTCGTGATATTTTCTTTTATAGGCTTTCTTGCACGTGAAACGGAACAAGAAGTCGAAGACGTTGCTACGAGTGGTATTGGTTTAGCCTTTACAGTTTATACATACGCTGTCACCCTTATGCCTGTTGAAGGACTTTGGGCTGTTCTTTTTTTCTTGATGTTAATAACTCTAGGGCTAGATTCTGAATTCGCTCTTGTTGAGACAGTAACCACGTCAATCATCGATCAATGGGAGAGCTCATTGAGACCTAAAAAAAGTTTGGTTATTTTTATTACTTGTGTTGTCTTTTTTCTGCTTGGATTACCAATGTGCTGTAACGCTGGAGGTCATATGCTTCAATTGGTGGATACTTTCGCTGGTGGATGGAATGTTATGTTAATAGCCTTGTGCGAATGCCTTGGAATTATATATGTCTATGGTTCGTTTTAATTACAGCTTATTTTTGCATGAAATTAATCTGTTAATTTCAGGTGGATTTAGATTTTGTAAGGATATTAAAATAATGATTGGTCAAAGTGGATGCTGTGGTGCTTTACCTTGGGAATGCTGTAAATTTTGGTGGCTGTTGAACTGGGCAATTCTAACACCTATTGGTGTTTTGTTTATTATGATATTTTCTTGGGTTAAGGTATTACTGATTCAACAAACAAAACCCTTAATAATAACTTTTTTATAACATTCAGTACGAAAGAGCAACATGGGATAGCTATGTATACCCTGATTGGGCACAAGCATTAGGCTGGCTCATGACTTTAGCTGTGGTGGCTGGAATAGTTATTACACCGATTTTCCTAGCTATATTAGCAATTAGAGAAGGAAAAGTAAGTTTTGAATACTTTTATGTTAAATAGCTATTATTTTTGAATTTCAGAGCTTGAAGTCTTTGATAACGCCTACACGCGATTGGGGCCCAGCCCTTTCGCAGCATAGGCGACTTGTTGACTACGTAGATGATTTTGTTATTGATCCAAAATCTGATGGAGAGCTAGATTTGCATGATGTTAAGGTTAATGTTGTTAGCAATGATAAATCAGCCAAAACAAAAGCCAATCGCAATAATAACATACTTCAGATTGCTTCTTTCAGCTCTGGAACAAATTTTTAATTTTCTTACTTTTCATAGTTTGTAAATTTTAATTACTCTTTCCTTTTTACTAATATATCGTGCCCTCTTTTATTCATATGATGACTGTGCGCTTTGAAGTCAGAGCTAGAAATATTTTTCAAAAACTTTCAAACAAAACAAAGTTATTTGATTCACGTTTAATGAATACTTCATGAAATAAAAACAATCTTTTTGCCTGGAAGTAGCCTTTATCAATAATACCTTTTAAAAATAAAAGACCGTCACAATATATGATTCCTAATTTAAATTTTTTTCTTTGTAGATTGGAATGCAAGGGAAGACAAATAAGGGGTATGAATAATTGTTATGTACAACTACTATATTTTCAGTTTCGACTTAAAAATTTTTATTTACTACTTGCCTAACATAATCGCTAAAGACCCGCATCTAAATGAAATAAGATTAAAATGATTATATTCATCAATGAGTTTGATATTCTGTAATTAGATTTAGATGTACAAATTTTATAAATATAGTAACTTTTTGCACTTTTGTTTTTATTCAAACAAATACATTCAAATTTAAAAAAGTAGCCTTTCTTAGTTATATTGTATAAACTTCAACATTGGGTTTTAATATATAACATTTTACTTGTATATCATATGCCAATGAAATTAGTTATAGCTATATATTTATACATATAAAACTTGTATTTTAAGGACCAGTTCAAAGCAACTTGAATTGACATTTAAGATATTTCAAAGTATTCAATTATTCTTGAGGCAGTGTTGCTTTATGTCCAAAAGGGGGTGGGCCAATTAAGTTAACCAAATCATTATATGTTAGAGTTTCCCTTTGGATTAAAGCATCCGCTACAATTTTTAGCATTTTAATATTTAGTTTTAAAATATTCTCGGTCGAACAATGTACTTCAGCGACGATTTTCCTTGTTTCCTTCAGAGATTCAAGAATGTTTTACAAGATAATTTGTGGTTGATATATTTACCTGATCAATCAAATTCTGTAAGCTTTGACTATATGGTTTAACAGCCTGAGGGTCAAAGGAAACCAAACCTATTGTATCGCTCATCCCCAGTTGTTGAACTTGCGTGTATACCATATCTGTAATCTTTTTTAAATCGTCTTGGGCTCCAGATGATACAGAGTTGAAGATTAAAGCCTCTGCGACTCGACCTCCCATAGCCATACACATTTTCTCAAAAATCTAGGATTCAAATATATTATTAATATCGTAAGCTTTCTTTTGTTTGTAAAAGAAAGCTAAATATAAACCTCTTCTCTTGAAATCAGTTTTTGGTCTTTGGGCAAATACTGGGCGAATCCTAGGGCTCGATTAGTTCGGGGTACAATAGTTACTTTCATCAATGCATCTGTATGTTTTAGTAGCCATCCTACCAAAGCATGGCCAGCTTCATGGTATGCAACAACCTTCTTCTCTTTCACTGACAAAATACCACTTTTTTTCGGCATACCGGCAATAACCCTTTCAATTGCATAATCAAAATCCTCCATATCAACTGCGGTTTTACTGTTTCTGGCAGCAAATAGAGCTGCTTCGTTACAAATATTAGCAATATCCGCTCCACTCATACCAGGTGAAAAAGCTGCTAATTTCTGAGAATAATTATCAACATCTTTTTCTAACCGCAATTTTCTGAGATACATCTGAAAAGTTTCTTTTCGCTCAATTAAGGTAGGTAATTCAATATTAATATGACGATCGAATCTACCAGGCCTCAACAGAGCTTGATCTAAAACTTCAGCCCTATTTGTTGATGCCAAAACAATAACACCATCTTGAGTGGCCATTCCATCCATTTCAACGAGCATCTGATTCAATGTGTGCTCCCCTTCAGCACTATGAGACCAATTACTACCACTTCTTTTTCGACCAATCGCATCTATTTCATCTATGTATATGATACATGGAGCTTTTTGTCTAGCTTCTTTAAATAGGTCTCGCACCCTGGACGCTCCCAAACCTCCAATCATTTCGACAAATTCAGATCCTGCCATAGCAAGAAAAGGCACTTTTGCTTCAGAAGCCAAAGCTTTCGCTAATAAAGTTTTGCCACAACCAGGGGGACCCAGTAATAGAGCCCCTCGAGGAATTTTTGCACCTAATTCCTGAAATCTGAAGTTTAAGAATAAGGATATTGTTTATTCACTTGAAAATATACTTGCCTTGATGGATTTTTTAAATACTCTACAAATTCCATTATTTCAAGTTTAGCCTCTGATAGACCAGCAACATCTTTAAACGATATTCCCTTCCCTTGTTGTGTAAAGAGATCGACTCTGACAAATTTTGCTTTTCTTTCACTAGCCTAGTAAATGAATGGCTCAAAAATAAGCTTCTTTCATAAAAACATAACTTACAAAAAAGTCTGATTTAATAGTGAATTGAACCTTGACCAAATTTTTAATCAATAAGTACACTGCAGCTCCAACTATAACCGCAAATATTAAAGGAGTCCAGGAGCTAAAATTTGTATGTAAAGTATTCTAATTGCATAAAGATTTTAAATATCATACCTATCCCTTTGGTAGGACACAGAAACCCCATTTTTAATACCCAGCTCAGCTTCAATTTTACGTAGTTTTGTTTCAAATTTATCTGGATCAGCAATTTTCATGGCAAATAAATTCTGATCAACTGGCCGCCCCTTCACTACAGCATTTGGATGTAGTTTAATGAAGGCAATTTCAACCTCAGGTCGAACAATAATTTCATCAACCTGTTAATTTTAATTAATATAAACTATAAAAGGAGACATGAGATAGAATTACCTCTCCTTTTGTTAACATTTCGCGAACAAATTCATTCCAAGAGACAAACTTGAACAAATTAGTGTCTTCTGATGACTGCAGTTTGTAGAGTATATAGAAAATTGTGCCTAACCAAAAGATCATCATCAATCTTGAACCCATGGGCATTTTATCATTTGGCTGCTCTTTATCAGATTCGTTGTCTTGTTTTTGGCTCTGGTGCGGAACCTTCGGATAAGCTGGTCCGAAATTCTTTTTTGCGACACAAAACCAATTTAGAGTTTCTACAATTTTAAAGTCAGTAAAGAGGAGTGACCTAGCGTAAACCTTACTTTGAAGGATATCCTTTTGACTATGATCATTATAGAAAGATTTTAATATTCCATGTGATTCTATGGACAATTTTCTTAAATCGTTTTTCTTGTGCTGTTAAGATAACAAGAATGTAATTGGTAGCCTACTTTTTGTGCTGTTTGACTTGAACTTGAGGTCATTCGGCAGACGAATATAATATAAGTATGCAAGTAGCACTGATTTTTTAATATTAAACATAATATAATCGTTATAGTAAATAACCTTGATAAATCCTTTTTGTTTAAGTTTCTGAAAAGCAAAGCAAGCTGGACACCTGTTAACTAAATTTGCAACTTCTTTGTTTCTTACGAGATCCACAAGCAGAGAAGTGCTCCTAAGATTCATTTTCTTTACGGTTGATTGCTAAAAGTTTACAACAGTCCAATATCTGGAAAATTAACCATAAGCGTAATAGCGCAGAGCATGTCTATTTTACTTGCAAGATAATGAAAACTGGTAGACTTTTATGTGATTCAGATTTTATATAAACTATTCCAAGCCTTTGCGCAAGCGTTTTGTGAGGCACTAAGGTAAATTTTCATCAAGAATAATAATAGATTAGAATATCCTTTAATATTGATCATATTTGGAAATTATATTCCTTATTTAAGTTGATTTAATTAGTAATATAAAGAAACATCTTAGATTTTCACACAATTTACAATAAATAAAAATTATTCACCCTATCATGTCTTCATATCAATACCTGTGGACAGGTCATATTTATGTTCCTAGCCAATTTTTGTAATACTAGATACTTGAACATTAGAAGATATTTATTATTTTTGTAGGTGGGAGACATGACGATTAAAGATTTTTATGCTCTTACGCTAATTTAAGAGTAATTCAGAGCAAGAAGCTACCTCAATTTACAGTTTTAATTCGGTAAATAATTCACTATTAATATTTACATATGGTTTTTGGTGGAAAATGAACTTTAATATATAATAACTAAGACAAATTTCAATGAAACGAGTTGGAATCGTTTATCTTACTATTGATAAAATGGCAATAATCTACACATTCATAGTTGCTAAAGCGGAAGCAAGGCAAAGGATAATACACACCTGGTCGACAGTTAGAGAAAGCATGGCAGGTCAAAATATCTTTCAGCATGTAAACTCGCCTGACTACAGTACTTTTGGCCCGTTCTGTACAATACTCTGCGCAATTAGTAGCTCGTTAAATATTAATAGCTTTTGTGTTATAACGGGCATTCAGCAGCCTCAACTTAATGCTTTCAGAAATATGGACCTTCTTTATATATAAAATAGTTTTTGACTTGATTAATCTTTGATGATGAAAAGAACGAAAAAGTTTTCATTAAAATAAAAAAAAACCACATAAAGTAGTTCATTCAGTTTTGAGACTTTTGTCGTAATAAAAGCTGCTGTTTAATCTATCATATGGACATCTTTCATATCTTTATCATTTGTTACATCAGCACGTTTAGTCTTCACCTTGAAGTAATGAGAATAAACTTCAAAGAACACTGTACATGTATATTTTCAGTAATTAAGAACTGTTTAATATGAGGACAAGATAGGGTGAAGTGATGACATTTAAGTAGATATAGCAGTCATTAGGAAAAATTATGCACGAACCCCTTAAATGAATTCTTGAATCACGCAACAATGATGACCTATATTTTGCTGACTGAGCGCGCTGATTGGTTCGTAAAGTAAATGCACAAGCACGTTGATTGGTTATTTCGATAATGATATAAGTAATGTTCTTTTTTATTTCTTCATAACTTTTAACATTTTCAGTAGGTAGAGATGAAACTTTTACGACATCCTCACCTCGATTCAGCAATTACAACTACGTTTGATGTCTGCGCGTCATAGAATTTTTATGAGGGTGACACAGTTCAGTATTGGCAATTGCTACAAAAAGATTCTCACCATTAAATTTTAAGCGAAATTTTCTCACCCTCAAATTTCGATTTAAGAATTTATTTGCCTGCTATAACTATTGTAGAATTGATCAGCAGTAGAATTTCAAAGTTTCAGAACGCTACATAAAACAAGAATTACTAGTAACAACCAGAATAATGAATATTATAAAGTATTCAGGAGATTGATAATTTTCCTTTTGAATAAACCCTTAATATGCTCGTTGTTACTTCATATAGAGATGGAATATCAACAACAGGTGTTAGGTACGTTTTATTGTTTTTATAGTCGACTTACGTAAAATATTTTTCAATTCAAATAAATAACTTTTACTACTTATAAGCTATAAACAAAAATTATTAATCATTTTCGCAAACAAAGTTTTCTAGCCTTAAAAATATCTCTTATTCACCAGCACAGAATCCAATTCTTGCCATTCGTTTACGAATTCTTCCATGGAGACTAGTCCCGAAGCAAACGAAAGAAGAGAAAATAAAAAACGTCAGAAGCGTCAATATCCTTTAAAGAAGTTTCAACAGGATGGCCGAAAATTATATAAATGTCAGCTTTGTTGTTATGTAACAGATAGAAAAAATAATTTAAAAAGACATATTTTTACCATGCACGAACAGTGCGGAAAGATTTTAGAATGTTGTGGTATGTTTTTTGTTAATAAGGCTCAGTTAAGGGAGCACGTTTCCATTTTTCATCGAAATGGTTATTCCTGTGAAGTGTGCGGAAGAAATTTTTGTCGTAAAGCACTTCTTAGACGACATAAAACTCTCCATAATAACGATTTTCGAACATTTATGAGCAATGCAGGAGATATTCCTTCTAAGGTAGAAAATAAATTGGAAGTTTTTAACAATGGAAATACATTTGAAAAAAAAGAACAATCTCAGGAAACGAATTTTGGAAAAAAAGAGGAAAAGAAACGATCAGGAAACAGAGAGGGCTGGATGAAAAAAAGAATGCTCTTAAACAACAGGCTATCAGAAACTTACAACAGTACCCTATTTAACTTTAAATTAAAATTAGAAAACCAAGACTTTCGTTGTAAACGACATATGCCCAATATAACAACAAAAAGAAGACTAGCTAGATTTATATATTCCTGTCAATGTGGCCTGGAATTTGAAAAACAAATGGGTTTGTTGGAGCACTCTCCATCTTGTCGGGTTTACAATAATTCTGTGTCGTACCTTAAGCCTTTCAATCTGGCTAATTAGAAATTCGACAAGCAATTTTTCGCACACCAGTATTTTCCTTCTTTGTGACTAGAATATAATGTGGGATATTCATCTATATTGCATAGGGATATTCTTTTTGTAAGGTTACACTTTCGATTTCGTTACGAAATTTAGTTCATTTTTAATTTTTATTCCATACTTATGCTTAATGCATTTTGTGACCATCCTTATAATGTATATTTAATGTCTTCGAACTGCATATCTAGTACTTTGGGCTAGTATTATCACTTATGTTCATCATACAAACGTTTGTACTTTATTTTAGGTATGTATATTTTGGAAGAAGAATAATAATTTGTTTTGGTAAATCTCTTAGCTCATGACATAATCAAATAAAGAACACGTTGACATCATATTTTAAGGTATAAACTCGATTATAATTTTGTCGTGTCCAAACCCAACAAAATGTATTGCGTGAGGAAAATGAAGGAACAATCGATAAATATGCACGAGTTCGTCTTAATTATAAATGCATTTTCCATTTCATGGATCGATTTATAAAACTTTTGTTCAGTATTACGGCTTTCTCTAGTAAAATTATATGCCTTAAGCAAAATATTCAAGCGGATTTTAAATATGATATATTACTTTTCTCGCATCGTTTTATCCTTTAGTCCTTCCACATTTGGCTGTTTGTCAATATCCTGTCATAAAATATGTAGAATGTATATATACAGTATATATATATAAAGAAGTATATCTTTTATATGTGTCTGCTCAAACAGTCTAGTCTGTCATGGCAATATTCTACTTTTCAGGAAGAGTAATGTTCATATGAACAAAGCATTTTCTATAAATTAGATTGTTACTAAATATAGCTATACATCGTTTACTTAATAAAATAACTCAGTCAAATAATAAAACTAGAGCAATCGTTGCAGATGTGAAAGAATTTCCCACCAAATTTATCTATTGTCAAAAAAAATTTCTAAAAATTTTATATTTCAAAGTTTAATAAGTAAGATATACGGACATCATTATTTATTGTGGTGTACTTGTCAAAGGAACAGTTATGAGTTTGAATATACAAAGTGAATAAGAAATATTTTAAAAATTTATTTGACTCCATTCATAAAGATACCGTTAAATATTTTACATAAACTCCTTAGTCCCACAAATAATAGTTATTAAGGTCACCTAGCCTCGATTAAAACAAACACCCCAATTTAAATAACGATTGCATCTAATTAACTATTAATTTAATACTGTGATCGTTTGATGAATAAATATTCAGAAATAATGAGTGAAAGCTGTACAAAGATATGAACGAGAGAATATGACAATCTATATCTTCAAATCAATTGTTTGTTTTAAATATTCTATTTAAATTAAAGACTTGCAAAGATAAATTTATGCAATGATAGATTTATGAAATAATGTTGAATCATATTATGCCTTTATATTTAATAAATTCTTTTTAGGCCATTTTTCTTATATGCTTATCTAATAGTTGGTTTAGGCTTCACTATAGGAGGTTTTTTACAATTTAAATATTCCCCTGACTGGATGGCTGTCCAAAGATTCACATGTGGATTCTGAGATATTTTCCCCATTAATACCATTTTCTGATGCAATAGAACATGAATTATCTGGTACTTTAATCAAAAATTGAGCAGGTATCCAGCCGCATTTATTACAACGCTTTTTGTCACATGGTATTCGAGATAAATGCTTTGTTCCATACATCCAACAATTATCAGGATATATTGCTGTTATCTATCAAATAAATGACAAATTTAAATTTCCTTTTATATAAGATGCTTTACAAACGCAAACTATATCCCCAGAGTTAAGTTTGACGCAATTATCGGAGACTGGTGCATAATCTTCTATAGCTTTGAATAAGCCAACAGATAAATGAAAATTCTGAAAGTCAGAGAGATAAAAGTGCCTGATTTCAGTCTCAACTTACCTCTTTTCTAAAACTGTTTCCATCAGCAGCATTTGATGTTTTTTCCTTTATACAGGCCTTTGGAATTAGGCCTTCTCTTCCATTGGCCCTTTGCGAAAATAAATACAAAGTGAACATTTCAGTGACCTTTTTTGTTTCATACCATCCTAGCCACCATCCCGTTACGTTTGTTTTTGTAATTAAGACTTCCTGATTCAACTCTAGTGATAATTCATCGTCAGTAGAAGCGGAGTAGGGCTTTATACATTCATACCATTTTGCTGTGAAAGGAACTAGAAAAACTATCACATGTATTTTAAAAGAAAGATATAAACCCTCTGGCAGAACAACATTGTTTTGACTGAGTTGAAGATATGAAGCCGGAACGCAACCTATAGAGCCATCTTCCGTGCTTATTCGCCACCACCCTGTAAAAATATAGTTTTAATAATTATATTTTTTCACTCGCTAGAGTCAATAACTTCTTAATAGATAAAGGGTCAAAAAAATGAAATTTACAAGCAGATGCGATAACTTACCGCTATCAAACTTTTCCATCACTCGGACAATTTCAAATTTTTTTACAGCTACCTCATACTCTCCCTCAGGACAAAAGTCTTCTATGCATAGCCATTCTTGTAGTTTCCTGGGAGTGGATATTTCCATATTTTTTGAAGAATTATTTCTTGATGGTCTTGATATAAATAATTAAGTGCATTAGATAGAGCGTTGTACATGCAATATTTAAATCGTGTACTCGTTATCATCAAGATCACTCTCCTTAGGGCTGAAGAAGGTCTGAACAAGAATATCCCGGCTAAAATACTTTTCCAAGGTTTGAAGAGACTATTAGAGTGGTAGAGTAATATCTAAAAAAAATTTGGCGTGAAAAAGAAAATGTATATACCTTGCAATAATCATTTAGAGGTTTAAGCCGACTTTCTGCAATTTGTCGACATTTCCTAGGATGCTTGGCTGTCAAAAATAATTAAACGTCTTTCTTAAGTTTTAGTTAGAAGTTACTTACGAGGAAATTTTGGCATTATTTCTTCAAAATTTGTCCCAAATTTGAACAAATGAGGATAACTTTTAACTAATTCGACCTAAAAATAAAAATATTGCCGATAGATTCTTAATTTAAATAGAAGAAATAGTAATTTAGAGTAACTACAGGATATTTTAATTATCAGTAAGTTGCAAACGAAAATGTATGAATAATCGCATGACCCATACTTAGCCAACCTATTTGACATTTAATCTCATGAATTTGAAAACTCACATGCAATTTTCGAAATTCGCTGTATCTTCGATAAACTACATTTTTCGTCCCATCTGTCCATAGCAGCTTAATGGCATAAACCTATAAAGACGTACAAAAAAGTAACTCTCAGTTAAAAGGCTGATAAGAAAATAGCATTTCTCAGACAAAAATAACATTTACAAAATTTAATGAATAGTATTTGCAAAGTGCATAAATTGCAAACATGTCATAAAAACTTGCAGTTTGATTTTCTTAAATAATATTAGTAACTAATAAAACTGACATAACATTTTTCAAGATACACATTGACCGTAATTGATAATATAGACATGTACTTTTTTTGGATTGTTAGCTACTCTGCATTCTACTTAAATAGGTAGATCAAAATTTTTTAAACAAGTAGATATCCTTCTAACTTAGAACCAGATTGATATCGGACACCAGCAGCTAGGATTTAATTAGCAACTAAAAATGCCAACATAAGCAATGTTTTTAAACAATTTTTTCTTCTCAATTTCATTTTTATTAATATAAAATATTTATTCAAAGGAATTCTACTGGTAGCCTGCCAAAATTAAATAGAAGGCCACAAAAAACTTAACGATTTAACATGACAACTCGCAATATTGGTAGTATTTAGATTTTTGGCCTTTCTTCGACTTACTGATATTTTAAGTTTAGATGTTTTGGTGTCCATCTCCAGATTAGCTGTTACTTCAAATGCTAGTATTTTGTTGTATCATCAAAAACTCCTATTATCTTTTTCAAATAAAAAAATACTTACATAATATTTTTCTTCAGTTTTACATTTGATACAATTAATAATTTCGATATGATGGATTGTTTTCCCTGACATATCTTGGTATACACAATCCTTTAGTTTGAAAGTTTAATAAGAAAAATCAAGCAATTTTTAGAAATCTACAGGCCAGCTTCACGAATATGAAGCAGATTATTCATTCGAGGAAAACCGCCTAATGCTATGAGTCATTAATTAATCCTGATACAGTACAAATTATTATATAATTATTAGTCATAAAAAGTTACGGAAATAGCATATTTTTATTAGAAGTAACAGAAAATGATGTGATGGGCAAATATCTTTTTTGAGTGCCCAATTGAAAATTCGCGCCATTTTGTTAAATAAACTGGTAAAGAGCTGTAAAATACCCTCATTTTCGTGAGATGTCCACAGTGCTCGCACATCACAACATATTCTAAATTCTTTTATTATATAAGCTTATACCATATACATTTAGCTATGTTAACTAGGAGACTGTTTAGCATCAGAAACAATATTTTTAGAAGCATCGTTCGAAAAAAATCTGCTGTTTCAAATTCTATCGATATGAACAGAAAGCTTCTAACTGATTTAAAACTGAATCAGACGATTACCATTCAGGAAAGTCAGTATTCCATTTTCTTAATAAGAGAATCGCAAAAAACTGCACCTCATTGTAATTTTCAGTGATAAATAATATCAGTGAAATGGTAGCCAAACCGAGAACTTTCAGGTAAGAAAACTCCTGCAACAGTAAATAAGCTATTACAACGAAAACATTATAGAGATGAAAGGCCTCAAGAGCTTATGGAATGGAAAATGCCCGCAAACCAATCAATATTACCTGCAAGTAGAATGATGGATAGCTATGTTGAATGCGTTATACCCCTATCTACTGATGAACAATTGAGAGAAAAATATGCAACTTTTTACAATACTCTTAGAGTTGGTCGATTGTTAGAAGATCTAGATGTACTTGGAGGTATTGTTTAGTTATTAAAAAGTCATTATCTGAAAACAATATTTATTTTTACAGTCTATATATCTTTCAAGCACAACACTGTTCATTATCCTGGACAATCTCGAAGCCCTTATGTAATAGTAACTGCCGCAGTTGATCAAATAGGTAGCAAATACTGTTTCGTATGAGAGGCAGTTTACTTAACTATCTAATATAGATATTGATTCAAGAATAACGACACTGTCGATTGAGAAAGATGTTATTTTGCGAGGCCATGTAACATGGGTAGGAAGATCATCAATTGAAACAACAATGGAAGTTTGTCAAAAGGTTATTAATACTAATATTATTTTATGAAAAGTATTTTTTGAATCTGGTATTAGGATGCAGACGATATCTGGCAGGGTTGTATGATTGCAAAATTTGTCATGGTAGCCCGGGATCCTGCTAATGCCAAGTATACTTTCTTACTATGAAAATAGAAATATTTTAACCCTTATAACCGTTCATTTATTTATAGAGCAGCCATCATTCATCCCTTAGTGTGTAAAACTCCTGCAGAGAAACTTATCTTTCAATTAGGCCAAGGTATATGCCTAAGTGTTATAAACATTTTGTTTTTATTTTATCAATAATCATTTAACTACATACAGAGCTTAAAGGAAAGAGACTACTTGAAAGTTGTCAATCGCTGCTTAAAATTCCGCCAAATGAGGAAGAAACAGAATTAATTCATAATCTTTTTCTTCAAACAATAGATCAATCGTAAACATTTTTAAAACTATCTTATCCAGTATATCCAGAGTATATACTCACATATATTTGTAGTATTTATTTTAAGGCGAATGATATCAATACTCAAATATAGGTATTTAATTATGTATTAATTGAGAGCATGCACATGCTTCCTCAAATATATTGTTGGCAGTTTCGAAAAGAGTCGATTAAAGTCATGTTACAAGTACAATTATATGACTATTAAGAATTTATGATTTTTTAAAATTATTTCAAACCCTTAAGTGATGCTATTTCTTTTAGATGTGACACCCAATTTTTTTTCACATACCCATTTATATCTCATAAGATCACACTTCCTTCCTAGGACAATGAGTTTCCGAAACATCACTAAGCCTAAAGGAACCAAATGGATGAACGATTCGAAACTGAAAAACTTATTTCTCTGCTTTCCCGAAGTAACTAAGTTTCCTGTTGTTAAAACACTAAGTTTTCAAATTTTTTTTTCGATTAATAGCAAAGAAATTTATATAACAAAGTATTTGGAGGTTTCTTGATGAGAATTGCATTTGAATTGGCTTGGGCAAGTCAAATGAGCCATACGTAAGCTACAATTGAGAAAATTATATAATCACGATATAGTAGGAGAATATTTTAAAATAGAAAATCTAGACCTGTGGTGAAATCTTTGGCGGATATCAGTTTTCGAAAACCTGTCGATATTGGATCACTTCTTTATTTATCTTCAATGGTAAATACCTCAGCTTACCGTAATTTAAAATATTGTAGTCAATAGAAACAGTGATTGATCTATAAACTTTTTGCATATATTAGGATTATTTAACATTTAAGTTAAACTATAAACAGATAGTCTACACAAAAGATTATGACACTCAAATTAAAGTTAATGCAGAAGTAATTAATCCAATGACAGAAGAAAGAAGTCTAACAAATACATTTCAAATAACCTTTACGAGTGCTGAAAAAGTAGTTCCTATTATTCCAGCCTCATATTCCGGTATTTTTTACATTATGTTTAATTTTATATCTGATTATTAATAAATTTCAGAATTTATGATGTTCATCGACGGAAAGCGATTCTACAACAAGTGCAATAAGTGATTTTCTAAAGACCATTTTATATATATATATATATATATATATATCAATTAAAGAATCTATTATATACTATGTTTTTTGACTTAATTCAATAACATAATTAACTCTGAAAAAAAATCATTACATTAGATTTTTTTAATTATTGTTAAATATATTGCACTTAAAATGTATCTGTATTATTTCTTGGTGAAAAAACAGTCAAAGATTTTTATTTATTTTCCGTTCCAGCTAAAGTATTGAGTGGAATTTTAAAGTAGAAGTGACTATAAATCTGGCTGAATACTTTGAGATAAATATAAAGTGCTTTTCTAACCGAAAGACAGAACTTGCCTCGAATGTACGTAGCATAGATTTATTTAAATAGAATCAGTCAAGAGGCGAACGTTTTAAGCTATACTGTTTATTAACAGGAAGCTTAAAACCTCTTGCACCAGGGTAAGCCAACCAAGCAATGGCTGCTAGTTTTTTTGAAAGTCAGAATTTTAATGAACTATTCATTTTAACATAAAAATAGCAATAACAACAACTTGGAAATTAGAATAGAAACCTTAACATATTTACTAAATTCAAATTTTCGTTTATTCCAAAATGAAAATGTTGTCTGCTCTAATACTCTAGCTTTGGGTTAATGTGACTTGCCTACTTTCTATAAATAAGTAAAGCATATCTTAACCTCTAGATTGTTAAATTGAAGTGTATATAAATGTTAGCCTAAAGATGGCAATACAGTTCGATTGGTTAGACTCCTGAGAAATTATCGACTTTTTTGTAGTTACATACAAGGCTTCTCGTTTCGATTTTATTCATTAGAGGTAAAGCTAGGCTAAACACCCTATTATAACTACAATGTGTTTTGTTTTACAAAGAGATAACCTTGACTTGAAATACCGCTAATTTCGTACTGGAACAGGCAGTATACGAGATAGTATTTGAAAGAAGTAATAGTGTAAGAAGTCTCTATAGGTATTGCGCACCTTTTGTTGAAAAAAATGTCAGATTTAAGTCTAAAGGTTTACTCTCTTTGAAATATTCTTCCAGATTATCTCAATGGAAATTTTTTCGATGTCTCTAATCAATTAAAAATTATTGAATAAGCACATCGGCTTGTAGTTCAGGTATTAATAGATTTAATCGCTCCGCTCCCATTATTGACATATCAGTTTTTGATCACATGTCTCATCGAAGGTTTGTTTGTTAATTACACATATATCCAAAAGCTTCTTTCTTTTTAGTAATGAAAAGAATATGAGACTTATTTTAGGCACTGAATTTTCTTTTTCTAGTCTGTAAATTACCTGTCAGTCATTTACCGAAGGAGCTGACCAGCGTAACCTTTCGCAAATAACCTTTGGAAGCGTTTAGACGTTGTTTTAAAAAGTCAGTTACTTTCTAAAATATTATTGAATTAACAGATGTTTGCATTTGTAAGTAGGTTTGAAACGATTTACAGACAATGTTTGTAGAAGCCGCCAATCGCTAACTATTTATGAGATATGTTGTAGTAACGCCAATATTCTGTTATAACAGTTCGGGTTTAGCGAATCTACATACGCTGTTGCAGTTTACTTTAGCGATTTCTTAGTGACGTCAGCAGACGAACGCTCCACCTAGTGCCCCATTCCCATCGTCAGTCGTGCAGTGTAGGTACTCAACGCCTCATCGAAAATTTATTATGGATTCTGCAGATTTTATCCACCATTATTCAGTATTTACTTGTTGAATTGTTAAGAAAGTTTGAGCATAAATAAAGGTTGGTAGGTACGATTACTTATAACTGAAAACACGTTTAGTGCCAGCTTGCTCTAGATGTTTGGGCTTCCAACTTTTTAGTAATTTTATAAAATCACTGGTTGGGAAATGCCAAATATTAGTTTATGAAATATAAAAGCGACGTTGATAATCAATTTATGTTAATTAGAAACATTTAAAATAACTAACCTATTCTACCTTATAAAAAATTGCAATGTAATGTTTTCGAGGGTCTTCTGAAATACTAAAATCCTATTTTAGAGTTTCTGTATTTCATTTTACCTCAAACAAACGCTAAAAGAATCTTATATTACATTGTGTATTTGAACATAATCATGGGTTGAAAATTGCACAGTACATATAAATTTATATATGCTGTATATACTAATATATATAATTTTAACCAAATGAGCAAAACCTGCTCTACACCTCTAAATATATCCACTACCAAATATATATAATGGCTTCATGCAGGTATTAGATATATCCTTAATGTGAGGTTTACCATTTTTGTTTTCTTAATTTTATAAAGCAGTTTTTTTATCTTTTTTTAAGATTTAATGATTATCCTTAGAATAAAGCTGTAATTATACATATAATTTTTTGTCATAAAACTTATTATTGAGAATTATCCATAATAGTCAAAAGATATTTAAAATGGACCAGTAGGATTGCAATTGAAATAACTCATTCATAAAATATAGCTTGAATAGGTAATGAAACGTTTACGATTACTATTCCAGATAAAATAGGCTTACAAAATTTATTCTCAAAATATGATATAAGTTCATGTGATACATATATATATATAAGATTAAGAAAAGATCATTTTGTTTTCCTTTATTAATCTATTTTGGTTTTTCCTGAAAATCCTTATATTTACTTTAGACTGTCTATATCCAATATCTACATAATTTTTGTGCGCAATTTCTAAACCTAAATAATAGGTGTTCAGCGACCTTATGACGTCACAAATCTTATGTTCTTTATCGATTTTTGCAAATCAGTGGCTATTGAAATCACAATCATATTATTAGCCATTTACCATAGGGACTAAATCTATTAAAATTTTATTATCCGTTAAATTGCATCTGAAATATAATTCCAGTATTTGCCATTTTAGAGAGCTTCTCAAGATATGGCGTGAAATTCTATTCTTTCTTTTCCCCGATTCACAGTCAATTTTCATCAATGACTTAAAAAGCAATATTAGACATAAAGTCACTCAGGCATTTGAAGCGCCAATAACATATGATGAAGTTTAATATTTTTAAAGAGTCTCAGTGAAAGCATTAAGGGAGATTTATCATATTAAATACACAGACTTTTAGCTTTTTCTCATTATAATTAGGTTTGTTGTTGTTTAGGTATAATAGACAAAATTAGTATTTCTCTGTAGTAGCAATCTGTTCATATTTCGTTTTATTTCGACAGAAGAAACATTTAACCTTAAACTAAAAATATGAAATGAAAATATTTCTTATAAATCATATATAGTGACTATTACTATATACTATATGCGATTCAGCATACTAAATTAGCTTTAATTAGTAAATGGCCTTAAATTCTCAACTTTTTTCTTTTGAAGCAATAGTTAATTAAGCTCTTTACTATCTTTATCAGGTAATAATTGAAAACTTATGAGATTTTAAACACAAAAAAACAAATTGGAATTTAATAAGGTTTAAGTAAATAAATAAATCGTTTATATTTGTCCTATACTTTAATCTAGATATGTACAGAACATGTCTGTCTATAAATTAGTTGATTGATATCACAATTCTATAGCAATAAAACAATAGCATAAAATAATTGGTTCTTCATAAAACGGTAGCAATTAATGTTAGTATTTGTATCCTATATGATGTAAGTAAACAATAGTAAATCTATCACCTATTCGCCATAGATATAAACTAGGGATATTCTGAGTAATATTTCATTTTATGAACCAAAGATGTACTTTGTATTTGGCATGCCATACATAGATGTTAACTGCCTTAAGTATGACATTGATCTTCTTTATTTTGAGGCTAGGTAAAACTACAGACGCAAGAGCGATTACATATTAAGCAAAACGTGTGCCCACTCTTAAAGGATTAATAATTTCTATAATATTGACAGAAATGCCTTCAACTTCTTTGGTAAGACGAAGGAAGCATCGATGGCTAAAAATCTTGGGCTACAGTACAGAAGATATAATCAAATGGAGGAAATTTGGTCTCATAACCATTGCTATAACTGTTGTCTCCGCTCATATATATCTACAACAGTCTGAAGATACACTTGTGGGTAAAATGACAGGTAAAACTGCAATACTCATGGACTCTAGGTTTTTTTTTCAAAATATGATCCAAGTATTAAAAAAAGAGAATTTGCATGATGTTTCTAACTTATTTAACTAGGCACAAATCCGTTTAACTATTGAATGGAGAATTTTTATTGGCCATGCTTACATAACGATATTTTTTGTAAGAGTTTCTCTTTCAGATCTTGTCGGGTCTCCTGTCTAAAATCAATACCTAAGTAATGTTAAATCAGCATACATCTTGAGTCATTTAGAATCTGATATATCTAAAACAGTTCTGTTAGAGATTGTAAAAAAATGAAGGAAAGACGCTAGTAAAATGTATGTTTCTGAAGATTAAGCAATTACTAATATGAGCTCTCGTCATTTAAATACCACTAAAGAATGTGAGAATAGTTAAACAATCAAAAAATGTTTATTTCGTTGCTAAGGCATTTATATTGACAGAACTATACTTTGAAATATTAATAATTTACCAATGCTGATTATGATCTTACTAGAGTATTATTTATAGCATTATTTCTGACTTGAAGTAACCTACAATTTCTTTAAATGTAGGAACAAAAAATGAACATCTTTTAAGTTAAGCTCCAGATTAAAAGTAATTAATTAAATTCTGATATTACTTTCCCTTCGATTTCACACAGGTTTGCAAGCCACATCTAGAAAATTATTGGCCAACTCTACTTCTCATGGACCAGAATGGGAATCGTGTGATTTTGAAAATAATCATATTCCTGGACTGTGGATATTTTCACATGCAGTCTGTGTAATAATCGTCTTTATTGGTAATTATTGATGGTATAAAATGGACAAATGAATGTTACATATCTACTTAGATAGATACTTATACATACTAATATATATGCTATATATATATACTGTATATACAGTCTATGTATTGTATATATTAGTATATACAGTATACTAGTGACATATATAGCTATTGTAAAGAGCAAGATTTTAGCTATTCTTCCTGACAGTAATTTCTTCTTCAGCTTTGGCAATTATATGTGATGACTTCTTCGTGCCGTCCCTTGAAGTTATATCTGAAAAATTACACTTATCTGGTGATACTTTCTGCATAAAAAAGCTTTCCATTATATTATCTCTAACTTTCAGAGGATGTTGCTGGGGCTACGTTCATGGCAGGTGGAAGCTCTGCACCGGAACTTTTCACTTCCGTAGCTGGTGTTGCAGTGAAAACGGACGTTGGTGTCGGAACTATCGTCGGGTGAGTGTAATTATATTACAGGTGAAATTTTTTTTATCAATATTCCGGTAGAAACATGGCTTAATCTCTCATATAGTGAGAGGATTTGTCTAATGATTTTTATCTCAAAGGCCTTTCCTAATAATATAGAGATCAAACCCGTCGGGAAAATAAAACCTATTTCAAATAACTATATCGAAATAGCTTATGTTCGTTGTTAAATTTGCTATTCTGATAGAATTACGACGGTTTGCAATGCTATCTAAGTGTCCTGAAATGCTAGTAAATCAATGTTCTCTGCCACTTCTTACACTTGTTTATATCACTCTGAGATTACAATCGAAAGTTTTTCATGCGAGCTTGAGCAAGTGAACAAATTTATTTGGAAAGTGCTACGACCCTAATATGCTAAAAAGAAATTAATGCATATTTTCAAGTAAAATAATGAAGTATAAAAATAAGGTCATTTTTTGCTCTAAACCTTTCATACACCTTGTAATTGTAGACTCCAAAAGGGAGTTGTTGTTAGATCTCAGGTAGATGAGTAAAGGCTGAAAGAAAATACCCAATAGTTTATACCCTTCTTTGACCTTGATTTCATTTACCAGTAATAAATGCCCAACAGTGTAACAAATATGATATATAATCATAAAACGCTCTCGAATATTGAATAATGAATATAAGTCGGATTAGATTTATGAATGTTAGCGCTTCGGTAAGATTTAATAAAATCTAACAGGAACCATTTAAAAAGAATTTTACTTTAATTACCATTAAGAAACCAGTAGAAATATAAATTATATTTAATTGATAAAAGCATTTGACGATATTCGGTACATATCTCTTTGATGAAAATCGCTCAACCATTCTTTGACATTTTTTTATGAGCTAAATATTTTACGAGAAGGTTTCTATATGTCGTCAGTTTTAATATCTATAATAAATAGAACTTAAATGGTTAAGCAGTGGGAATTATTACCTTTTAACCAAAGCATTTATAACTATCATTTTTATGTGTTAAAACGCAATTTGTCTTTTGTACCGATTGAACGCAAGTATTAAATGGCATATGAATATATGTAGCTTATAATATATTTATAAAAGATTTTTATGCTGGTCATTTATGATCGATAGTACAAATGAATATTTAAACCTTATGATTGACCAGATTAGATAGGAAATTATAGGCAATGCTAGTTAATAATTCCTTACAATCTAAATGAGTATCCCAAGGCTGAAAGGCCTAAGAAAGCAGCTTTATGAACTATTAGCTTTTCATTTGCCCTCCTAGAATAGGACTAATGACTTTTTTATGTATTTATGAATACGCAAACGGTTTATTTTCTAATTTTTTGATAAATTAGAGTGCCTCAAAAATATACAAATGATTTGAAATCAAAGGAGTAAAATTTATAGATCTAATAATGACTATTCCTATATGGTTTTCAATTATTTAACAGCTCGGCAGTATTTAATCTGTTGATCATTATCGCTTTAACTGGCGCTTTGGCTGGACAAGTTTTGAACCTTGACTGGCGTCCTCTCTTACGAGACTCTTTCTTCTATGCCATGAGTATTGCTTGTTTCATTGTCTTTTCTTGGGATGCAAAATTTAGTCATTGGGAGGCCGCTGTGCTCTTATGTCTTTACATTGCCTATATCGGACTTATGTTTGTGAATCCCAACCTTATGAATTGGATGTCAACGTGGCGGGGCTGGTAAGAATTTTATTACATCTATACTTTCGTTTTCTAGCAAATTTTTTTCTAACATTACTCCAATATTATTACTTCTCAGCTGTAAAAGCTCAATGATTAACCCAACATCGATGGAAGATGGGCCTGAGACGGAACAAACAGGAGCAGACGAAAAAAATGAAAACAAACTGCGTAAGGTAAAGTAACAAAACTATAATTAAATACTACATTTGGTATTAGATCTTGAAAATAAAAAAGCTTTATTTAAATTGTTACATTGTATACGTATATATATATATGTATAGACCTCGACAAACGGACTTACAAATACTCAGGAGCCAAACGGAGAGGTAAACGGAGATGTTTGCTTTTGCTTTTACTATCTTTCAATTTATTTACAAAACATAAAGGGTTTTAATTTTTTTAAAGCTTTTCTTTTTTCTTCTATACACATGCTCTATCATGGGTATTAACGCATGGTTGATCTTTTTTTTGAAATTTGAATAAGAATATGGTTCACTGAAATTCATGATAATTTTCACCCAGCTCATACTATTGCTTCAAAAGCAGCAGAAATTAGGTTACATAAAAAACTATAGAAACGTATCACGTGACATGGAGGCTGCTCCATATTCCGTTACATTGGAATTTTCTTTGCTGAAATTGTAATGGTTTCATCAGAATGATAATTATTTTCCAAAGCAAAATAATAATTTTACAAATTCATCTTTTTAGAAGAGTTTTTGGCTCGTTTAAAAGGGCTAAAAAGCTGTATCTTTCTGTTACATACGTATACTAATCCTTATATATACATACTAATATATACTATATATATTCAAACATCTTCTCTCTATAGTATTTTATTTAGACTTTTTTTATAGCAGTCTCTGGTTGGAGGTCATGCTAGAAGAGTTTCAGTTATCTCTCAAATATCTCACGAGCAAGAAGGAAAACAGTTTCATCATGAGAAGAGACATTCAATTTCGGCTGCTCTAGTAAGTGACAGGATTCAAAAATTTTCGAACTTATCGATATGCATATAGCAGCACTTATTAATTTATTAATCAATTAAAATAACAGGCAAACTATACATAACAATTACGATGGTTAAATTTCAAGCTTACTAATAAAATATTAACAATTAACATTTTTTGCTGTGAGTGTTTAACATTTTCAGATGTCAAAATCACCACCCCATTCGCCTTCCGTTGTGAATCAAGGACTCCACCTTTTCCAAAACGTAACAAAAGCTCATCAAAAAGCCGATAGTGGATTTCAAAGCCGGGAAGCCTCCACTCACGAAAGTGTCATTAATTCTACTGGCGACGTTCAATCATCGCCAGATAGACAAAAATTACCACCCTTACAAAGCTCGCCTCCTAATCATAATGATAGCTATCAGCTTCAAAATCTTTCCTCACCTCCCCCATTACCACCTATTTCTAATGGCAATGATCCAGTTAATGGAATTAAACAGATGAACAGACCAAACCGTACAAGCGTAACTTCCCAACAAAACGACATCAAAGAAGAAATTTCAAATGAATCCAACGAAAATGTTAATGTATTTTCTTCATTACATTTATAATTCTTTGCGTAAAGTTATTGAATGTTTTAGAGAGAGAATGACGGAGATGATACTGACCATGAAGAAACTATACGCTGTTGTCCATGTTCCGGATGTCCCAAAGTGCGAACCTATCCTCCTAGCTGTGAAATTGCTAGAACTGAAGGCGGTTGTCTCAATTGGCTCAAAACAATAGGACGTTGGTTATTATGGATTCCATCATTTCCCTTTCTTTGCCTCTTCTCTTGGACAATTCCAGATTGCTCGAAACCTCATTTACAAAAGTTTTTTCTCTTTAGCTTTTTTATATCGGTTGCATGGATTGCTCTACTCAGCTTTACTATGGTTACACTGGTTGGACGTACTGGATGCATTCTAAACATAGACAGCTACGTCATGGGTTTAGTTATTATTGCCGTTGGCACTAGCATACCGGATGCCCTAAGTTCTGTTTTAGTTGCCAGGGACGGCTATGGAGATATGGCTGTATCAAACGCTATTGGTTCGAATGTATTTGATATTAACCTGGGCCTGGGTCTACCTTTTCTCATTCGTATTGGAATTGACAAAGGAGATCCAATCAAGCTGTTGCAATTAGATTCAGAATGGGTAAGTTATTTGGTCATTTTGTTGTGGAATTTTCTCAATATTTAATAAAATTCTTAGAACGACTATTACGACGGAACCATGAAAATTGTACCGCATGCGAAATTTGGTTTCTTGTTAATACTGGAGTTGATTATAGCTCTCTTCTTCTTTACAATTTTTCGCTTTAGATTAAATAAATACATAGGTATAACTTTCGTTTGTCTTTATGTTATTTTCGTAACCTATGCATTTATTCAAGAACTTGTCTGCGTGAAAAAATATTCAACTTATTGTTAATTTTAAAGATAAAGTTTTATTCTTGTTCTCTATATTCTTAATGTTTTCGTAACGTTCAAAAATGAGCATTAATCATTTTCTCACATGCAAACTTGATAAGCTCTCTCTGATGTGCCAAAACACTTTGTCTATGTTACGCATCCTGCATCGATTAACATGAAATTAATTGTACAGTAGAAATTAATCAACATTCGAATTTTGAATCATTTTTTGTTATGTCTATCAGAATTTAAAGTGTGCAAATTTTTGTTTGAGATATGGGGATGATGTTTTCCACAGATTTCGTAGATCTCAATGTCTAAGCCAAATTAATTTTAATTTCTTACTGATGTATATGTTTGATTAGTAAATCTAGAAAAAGTAATTACAATAATTACAACTCATAAGTTAAGCTGCACAACCTTAGAGTAACAATTATTATATGAACAATTAAAATACAATTATTGTACAAGCGATAAACGCCGCTAAAAGCCTTCCCGCCTGCGAAGTTTCTTTAGAACATCTAGCCATCTATTCCAACGTATTCCAAACTCCTCTTCAATCTGAAAAATTTTTTTATAGCTCATAAAAAGAGGATGGGCATCCTTACGTTTTTGTGAAACAGCGATCTTGGATTCACCTCACTTACAGTTTGTACTGAAGAAGATCCTACGTCAAACGTATTACCGAAAATAGCTTTTTCATGAGAAACAGTCTCATGAAAATCATGTTTCGGTTTCTTTTTTCTGCTGCCAACAAATGCTGATTGATGAAATCCCCCTAATTCAACCGACTCCAATATCTTAAATCTTTCATCATTATCCAATGCTGATAAACTAAAGGAAGGCCCAATTGCTGTTGGTAAAGATTTATTCATTGAGAAATCTTCATCTGTTGCCTTTGCAGTAAAGAGAGCTTTTTGAAGAGTTAATTCAGCTTTTTCTTTTGGTGTCTAAAGATATGAATGTTAATTAAACGTTTACCATACAATAGTAAATTCAATAAAAAGACTTTTATATTTTTAGATAAGTTATAATTAAGGTACATTTCTTAGTATGACCAAGAATCCTTCCAAGCTGATACTATTAATACTTTGCTGTTGCATAGGTGGGCAAAAAGCTCTTCAATAACCTTTAATTTAGTCAAATTTTTATAACTACAATTACTGAAAAATATTAGACAACTGCAAAATACAGGAACAAGAAATTTTCACCATGTGCAAATAACCAGGAGTGTTTGTTGTTGTCTCCTTAGGAGATTCCGACTTCGACTTGCTTATTCTATTGCTCCTCGACCTAAAGTACTCCAATTATTAATTTGCTTCAAAGTTTCTTCTTCTTTACCTATCATATCGTCTGCTTCTACTGCGCGAACGAGAGTTCCTTTTGTTTTTCCTCGTCGGACTATTGCTTCTAGAGCGCCTCTTCTGTCTTCTTGAGCGACGAGATTCTTTGTTTTCATTTCTATAAAGAGCTGCTTTGCAAATTAAAATGACTTCAGACGTTCTACGTACCTAGAAAATCCAGAATTTTTTCCAAGATCTATATCATAGTCAGTCTCGTCACTTGATCGTCGACCCATTAACCACGAAATAAAAAATCCTATCGAAAAAATTGAATAACCCTACTTTATTCTATAATAAAATATTTTTTATATCTCTAACTGAATGGTTGTCTCACATATACTTTTTCACGTACAATATACATTACCTTATGTTGTAAATGGAAAGAGTTTTAAAGGCTTATCCGCATTTATAGTTGGTGAAGTGAAGTAGATGGCGCCTAAAAATAATAAATTGGCTATACTAAGGTTGTACCGGTTACTGGACCTTTACGGGCCTTTCTAAAGCTAGGATGTAATTTTCCAGTGCCCCGAATTAAACTGTTTAAGGGTATATTTTATTGATAAAGGTCAAGAAACATTATTTAAGAGTCATCTCTATATTGATATGTTAAACATATAGCGGGGTAATATTATTATACTGATTAGTGCCTATGGCAAGTATAACTTCTGTTAGGCATTGATTTCAGCTGAACAAAACTGACCACATGGTTGCTCGTTGGATGGGTCAAGTGAGGAAATCCAAAATGTATGTATTAGGATAAGAATGAGAAAATATTAAAGATTCGTTTGTTTGTGTTCATTATTTCAATTTTTAAAATTTTGCGACAGTGTTTTAGTAAGACCCATATTTTTCATGTAACCGGTTGTTTCTTTTCTCCAATGTGGCCATTTCTTCTGACTGCCATCTAGAGGTTGTTATAAACTACAGATTGGGAAAGTCAAGAATCGTTTTTCCGAACGATATGCAAAATAAATAAGAAAGGAAAGATAATATATTAGTATCTCTTAATATAACTATAATTTCTTTTTTAATAATCTATTTACTTTCGTTAGGATATGAATTATAATTTATGTTAATTGAAATTGTTACATATAAACTAAATTGATAGGTATGAGCTTTTCAATGGTGACACAAAATTCTTCCTTTTATTCATGCGTTCTCTAGTTGCAGTTGAGACGATAATTTCAGAACACAAAATGAGTTCCTTTTGAGTATTGAAGTGACCTTTACTTTCACCAAATTCGCTTATACATTGAATGGATTTAGGAAGGTGTTTTGATTTATCTAATTTCTACGTTTCGAATTACCATTTTCATGCTTTAATTTTTATCTCTTCAGAGTAGTACTGTAACTTTTAAAGTAGGAGAGTGAAATGAGTTTTTAACAAAACGTAGTGAGACTCAAATTGAGATAGATAGAGCTTTTTAAGCATAAAAAATTTACATTTTATTGTTACATCTTTCAATGACAATATAACATGTTAATAAAACTACTTTAAAGTTTAAGTTTTATCGGTTATGTGATGAAGTAAATACAAGTATACAAGTGTAGGAATTTTAAAATCCTAAGTAATCTACTTTTTGAATATTACTTTTAAGAATTGAAATAATTAATTTTTACAAGAAATAAATTATATAAATCGAATTTACACATTCATCTTTTTATGATAATGAATTCACGTTTTATTTGAAAATGAGCATTGATTGTCTTTGCTCACCGGACACTTAATAAACCTAACATATTCTGATTAAATTTGTAAAACTTTTAAACTAAACTGCGTTGAAATTATTCTTACATATTTGAATCATTGGCACATACTAGAAATTATAGATATTTATACAGATCAAATAAAACTCATATTTCGTTCATTTAGGTCTATTTCTAGATGAGGTCTCAGTAAAATTCAACTATTTTGAAAATTGTATTCTCTCCTTAAAAAATAAAAATATAAATGTATTTTTATATGACTATAAATTTTTTTCTCTACTTTAAACATCATTTCATATTATAATCGAGTATAGCGTAGTCTTTTTGTATAAATCTGTTTCTTGAAATGTTAGGAAAACTACATGAAGTTTTGATATCACGGTGATATACTTTTCAAACAAAAAGCTGTATTGCTTTTATATACCAATCTTGTACAAACCTCAACAAATTTCTTAAACTGGATTTTAAGTGGAAAATAAAGTTAGTTCATCTAAGAACTATAATACTCTACAAATAAAAAAAACACTTACTGCCATCTGTAAGTAAAATAACGCACTGAATGCGTTGCGTTCTGATTTTTTCAATCTGATAATACAGCACATCTGACATTAATTTGACTTGTTCAGATAAAGTACTAGTTTTTCTTACTGAAATATGCCATCTCAAGAAGCGAAAGACTAAGTTTTTATATTATTTATATTGAAAAACAAACTTACTAACCTTTAATTTTCTCTCATATATATAGCATACAAAGTCAGGAGTCAAATGTTGTAAAAACTTAAGACAGTTATATTTAGATATCGGATCATAAATACTTTAATATATTATTCTACCAACTCATCCATATGACAACCTTTCCAACTGAAAGACCAATACTTTTTAGTATTAATAAAAACTTATTTTCACTGAAACACTTGTTGCGAATTCAAATCATTAAAATCATAACATAATATTAGCAGATGTACCTTCTTGTTGAAGAAATTAAAATTTTCAATGTTTCAAGAATAACCTTATTTAAAAATTTGGGTGTCTGACATACAAAATGTCATAAAGCCGCCCCACAAGTCAGATTAGTGTCTCCAACAGTTTTTCTTTCGTTCGATAAGCAGCTGTGAGCCTTTATTTATCCCTGGCACGCACTTAAACATATCAGTGGCATCCATGTTTATGTTTTTCAAATGTTATACGGATCCTTTGCTGCTCTCCTTGCTTCTTGCAATAATAATAAGCTATGTAATGTTTACCATTTTCAGCGAACTTTTTTTCTTGTTATTAAATTTATCAACTATATTTCATTCATATAAGTGAATAACTTGATCAGATAACTTATTATTCATTCTTTATATGGATAGATGATAATATAAAAGACTCTAGTTTTAGGTAGATCTATCTCCGCAATACGCCTTCAAATAAAAATTTATCTAAAATCTGTTGGCGTATTATGCAAGAATAATATTTTACTGAGTTTAGAATGTATACAAACATTTCATTTTAACATCTCTAAAATCCGTTTACTTTTTAAAATGGTATACTTCTATTTAAGCACGGTTATAAGCATTTACGAAGTATTTAGAAATATCAAAGCCTAACAACGGAATTCGAGCGATGATCAGAATAGTTAACGCTAAAACTGGAATTTGATAATGGAGCGTTATAACGATTATTTCGTCTAGTTCTCAGTCTATTTTTTGGACACCAATGAAACAAAATTTTTGAAAACGCTCTTCTAAAATCTTTCATTGAACATGCGTAGATAACTGGATTCATTCCGGAATTAATGTAACCTAGCCAAGTGAAGACAGGAAACAGAATTTCACCGTGTTTGATACAATTGCTGCATAGACCTAATACAAATAAAGAAATAGTGAAAATCGTTACAAAAAAAGCTTATAGCTCCTCACCTGTAAGGACATTTAGGACAAAAAATGGCACCCAACATATACAAAAGACCCCTATAACTATACCCAAAGTCTTAGCTGCCTTTTGCTCCTTAGCAAGTTTAGATAGTTTTCGACTCAAGGCAAAATGCTTCCATTTCCTTGAGACCATTCTTGGAGGTCGAATATGCTGTGTATAGCAATTATTTGGATTGATCAAGTGAGCTGGGGAATTAGGGCATTCCGAATCTGAGTCGGTGGTTTCAGCATATCTATAAGCTCCACCCCTGTGCATCCTTAACGTCATTGTTTCACCTGATTGCCCATCATTAACTAGTACTTTCGAACCACATTTTAAACTTCTAGTTTGTTCACATGCTGCTACATATATCTTGTAATAAGCAAACATTATTATAAAAACGGGGCAGTAAAATGAAATTATCGATGAGAAGATGAGATAATATACGTCTTCTGTAAAAGCGCATTTGTCGACTTCAATAGGTTCGGGAACAGTTGCTCTCCACCACAAAATGGCCGGAAACGAGATTGCTGACGAACAAATCCAGACTAGAGCGATGAGTATCAATGCCCTCCCTGTCGACATCTTTCCTGGATAAGCTATCGGATCTGTAATGGCCCAATATCGATCCAAAGATATAACACTAAGATTTAAAATAGACGCCGTGCTTGCTAAAACATCAAAACTGTGCCAGACATCGCACCAATCTCTTCCAAAATACCAAACGTTATCAGTTAGTTCCATGACAATTGAGAAGGGCATTACAAGAGACCCGATAACAAGGTCAGCAACGGCTAATGATACGATAAAATAATATGTAACAGTTCGTAGATAACGTTCTCTAACAACCGCAATTATAACGAGCATATTACCACCAATAGTAATGAGAGCAAAAGTAGTTAGCAAAAGGCCTAAGGCTGGCTTGAATCGACGCCAACCATCTTGATCCTGTGTAGTTCGATTTTCAGCGGTGATATTAATCCATTTACATAATAATGACGTGTCGTTGATTCGGCCGAGACACATTTTCTAGAATGAGTGACGCCAGAGTCAAAGCGACATCCTGCGATAAAAGAGACGTCTTGCTTGTTGTCCTTCCTTTTATCGTACTTTCTCTCTTTCACAGATGGTCCATTATTACCGCCTATAAGTGAAGGTATGTCAAAATGTGATTATAAAGCTAATTTACAAATTTGGCGAAATGCCGAATCAATTCATCGTAAACACGTATATAGTACGTTTCACTTACGCCTACCCGATGATCGAGGCGTAAAATTGTCAAGTGCGTGACCGATTCGAATATATTAGACGCCTTTACACTATGCTTATAATGACGATATATATGAGCCAAGCTGTGAAGGCGTCTAATCTTACTACTTTTTGATCTTTCACAGAAAGTAACATTCGTCAATGGCATATTGGCCTCAATTAACTCCTAAGAAAAGTCACGTGATTAGTATATTGCCCAACAAGAAAAGTCAGACGAGCAAAAAGCCCAAAGTTACCCAATTCTTTTCGACTCAATTCAGTTAATGAAAACGTGGTGAGCATCGGTGAAGTTTGCCAACACGTTCCTTTATAAGAAAAGAAAGGCTGTCGGTCGTCTTTTATGCTCGTCGTATAAAGCTAGATACTTATATAGATTTTTAATTCAAATGATTCTATAGAACTGTTTTATAAAGATTCATGAAATATTCTAAGGAGCGTGAATTTAAAAGTTATATAATCAACCAATATTAAGATAAATCACTACGATAATAGAATCTACAACATCTCTTTCATTGACGGTCATAAAAGGAGTTACGGTGGCAATTAGGCGCAACGATCACCAACGTTTCATTTCAAGATTTTAAATTAACAGAGTAGTCTTGATGGCTCGGAAACGGCCAGGTTTCATAATCTAGCACTTTTATCTTCATGATACGAATTTAAGGTATAGCAATAATTCTGTTGGTTTTGTTATATTTATTAAATGTAATTCTTTAATGATCATTTTGATGAACAGATGATCTTTGAAAATGATAAAGCGTTTCCGACTTTTGGTTACTATGTAATCGATAAATCTTCTAACATTCTCATATGAACTCATCACGTCTTTTACACATATCTAAACGGTTTTAGCGACTGTTTTAGTCAACTTAATCTACTTATAAGTACTTTTACCATTGGCTATTGAACGACCAAATCGAAGATATTGAATTTTATAAATCATTTTCCCCTTCCTACCCGATATATGAAAAATATACGCTTATATTGTTTATCTTTTGGTTACAGCCGTTCCGAAATTCCTAAATGTAAACCCGATAGATTGCGGAAGCTGTCATTTAGACAGAACATGTTGCGAAATACTACGATGAAGGTGGTCATTTACATCCAAATATTTAGACAACCATCAACTTTTCAATGCAATATTATCTGTTAACAGTTTCTTTGAGTGCGACACCGCCATTACAATTTATGTCACATTAAATACATATTCTGTATAAGTAGTTGAGAGTGGACATAATATTTAGCACAGATGATTTGCCTCCGTTTTTCTTGAATATCATATGTAGAATGTGAAGCGAAACTCTTCCCTGCAATTTGCATAGAAAAAAATACCTTTCTAAAAGATTTTCTTGGATATTAAAAAGAAAGCTTCGGAATGGCTTCGGTCGTGTTCGTCTTTTTACTTATTCTTTTTCCCTCTTCGATTACTCGTTCGATGTCAATATGATTCTTACGATAAATCTCTTACCAAATCGACGTTTTCCGTTGGACTACTTGCTACTCACATAAATACCATGAATTCTCAGGCCTCTTCCGATCCTCATAACATTATTGCTCTTACAATAACTTTACAAGGTTTCTTTTTATTTAACTTACATAAAAATACTAAACTTTAAGGCTCAAATTTTACTAATTAGTGTTACGAATACAACATACTGTATGTGGGTAAAGAGAGTATACTTTCCGTATAGTAAACTAGTATTACTTTAAACATATACCTATACGATTATTATCACCAGTGAATCATAAAATCTTTAAGAGTGCTGAATGAGGCTTACAGGTCCAAAATTTATCTTATCTTAAAATATAAAGTGCCAAAAAGAGCATTCCAGACTCAAATGCGAGGTAATTCGAAGAAACGAACCTGCAAAAATTTTTCGTATAAAATATCCAATCTTGCAACGAAAGCAATAATATTACAGTTCTGTAGAAAATCAGCAGCGCCCTCACCATTCTAGAAAATTAATAAATATTACTTGCGAATATCATCTCTGTCAGCTTTAAGAAAAACGTGTCAGGTCAATTATTAGCTTTCTAAGCTTATGTTCAACAGTTTATTTTGAATTTTAAAAATTAATTTGAATACAAAAAAACGTTAAATATTAAGTGTCTTAAAAGCCAACGGAAATTCTATATGTTTCTCATTAAATTTCACGGGCAATGCTCGACAGGTGTTTGCAATTTAACTAAATAGACTTAAGCATGAAATCCTCTTAAAGACTGAGTTAAAAGTATATTAACAAAAATGCACAAACTATTCTAGTCTTCCCTCTAGAAAACTTAGTAAAAAAGATGTTCACATTCTATTTTTAGCGATTTGTTATCTCATTTGAGATAGTCAGTATAACTATAAAACTATTTTTTAAAAATTACATATTTTTTAATCTCAAAAAAAGAACTTTAATTTAGTCACAAGTGCATAAAAAGTTCTAAGTGTATTAACAATATTACAAGAATACTTAAAAAAGAAATTTAGACTATCATTTGGAAAGAATTATTCTTGATAATGCCTACTTGGATACGATTAGTGAAGAAAATTTACTAGAATAATAAGTCGTACTTTTACAAATCTTTTCTTTAGTTTGTAGGTTAATCTGAATGATTATGACATATATTCACCAAATTTCTCATATAATGTTCATTACTTGTCAATGGAATATCCCATTTATATATTTCACGAGCTTTCAGGCAAGTTTACACCTACTCAAACTAACAGTCAAACGGATACACAAATATGTTTATATATCATGTTGTGTTTTATAAAAACATTTATATAATGAATGCCATGTATAAAGCATGGAAGATGAAAGAAAATTTTCGAACGGACTTATCGTTACTCTCAAGGTATTGGCCTTTGACCAATTTAAGCCTATCAAACTACGTAAATAATTGCAGAAATGTAATGATCTAGTCAAATCTTAAGCTCTCTCTTCCTCTTTTCTGTATCATAAACTGTGATCCTCCTTGACCTAAGACTAACTTTTTACTCAACAATTTTAACAAGATATCTGCACCATTTCTTCAATTACAACTGTTTAACTTACGCAGTTGGCGTATCTGAAATTTGGCAAATTGTTATTTTACAGTTATGCTCTGTAAAGACCTACTTTTATCGAAAACGGTTAGAGCAAGATATTGTATATATATATATATATATATATATATATATATATATATATATATATATAGCATTTTATATATTGAAAATAAAATATAACAAGGACATTGTGTAATTATGGCAAATAAATAGGCTGCTTCCCTTTTAAATAATTTTTTCTATCAATACAAGAAATTTACAGAATAATAAATATATCTCTGTATAGATGCAAAAGTATTGTGTTAGTAAAAAAATTCTGTGTAAACTGGTTATCATACTAACACTGACTAGGCAGCTGCTGAAGAGTTTGACCAAATGTTTACGAGTTTAATTTAGATGACTTTTGTGAGCGATCGATGAGGCGTTTTACTTGAGCTCTTGATTCTGCAAATGCCAAAATCGATGAGCGGCAAAAGACATCAAAAATTATTTGTTTGTTGCTTCTGAGGTGATTTAGAGGAATTGATTGATAAAATCTTTTGGTCAGACATCTTGTAGACGCTACTGCACACAAGTAGGGTAGTAGCTTTTTTCAGAATGTAAGTCTGTCATAAGTATTGCATTGATTTTCAAAAAAATCGATCTATATGACAAAACTTATCATTTTTTTCTCACTCCGTTACAACCAAGCGAAAAGTAGATTTTCCATTTCTTTACGAGAAATTCTCTTTTTCTATAGTATAAAAGTAGCAATAGGCTATGAGCAAACAGTTTAATCTTATACATATATCTACTTCTTCGAAAGTTCATGAATTTCTTCCCTGCAATTGTTTGGGGCAAGTTTATATGTTAAAAACTCAAACACAGTCTTATAAAATGACGAAAACAATTATTTTACTCGCATTGCCTGAAGCAATGTCTATTTTTTCAATCATTTCCATTTAACTCTTACAGACTTCTTGACTCTTCTGTAATCACACTGGTCCAGATAAATTGCGAATAAATTTTTCTTATTAATGAAGAACTTCGAGTGGGCCTCTAGTATGTGGAGAGCCGGGATAGACACCAATCGATTCCTCTGAATATTTATCTTGAATGATGGATGGAGTCAGTATCTAATCTCACTTACTACTCTTCTCGAATAATAAACGTTAGATTTCCATTGACTCGCTCAAAAAACTTCTCCGCTGACTGGGTAACTCATACATATTTTACAAACTATAGCTGTTTCAGCGCAACGCGATTTGAATGGTGTTTAGTTTATTTGCATGCTCATCACTGTTAAATTTGAACTTGTTGCAGATGGATCTATTAACTAGTGGTAACAGAAAAATTTCCACATGAATTGACTGTAAGTTGGATGAAGAAAAGAAACATTATCGCGGTATCAATCATTTTGTACACAAGATATTACTGCTTGTGCTATCCCTGAAGATGGACAATCTGACCCACTCGAGTGTGAAATGGAGCTTTTATCAAAGTGGCCTATTCTACTGGCATATACGTTGAATAATACTTGTGAAAACCAAGAGAACATAAAAAACAAAAAATCATAACAAATAAAATTTTAAATATTAATATTCATCAATGAACGTAAATGTAGGTCCTGCGTTGGGTCCAATCATCGGATCAATGCCTTCCTCAATAGGTGTTCTAACCAATTTTTCTCCTTGCACCAAGAGACTATACATCATACTCATACAAAATCGCATCTTATTTGTATGCCCATTAAATAGTTCATGAAAACATTTTAATAGCTTTGTATACATTGAATCAAACTGTAAAGAATATCTATGAGCTTTACTGTTGATTTTATATTTCCATATTTGAGGATCTTCTATCATGGGCCAGATACCGTCAGCCGCTAGAGGGCGATTAGGACCATTATAACTGTACGTTATGTTGCATGTTTGCAGATTTGTGCCGTTATGACAGTACTCAGTCTCCATCATGTATAGGTCACGGTTTTTCCCCTCAGAAATACAGGTTTCATTTGAATGAATTATTAAATCTCTTTCTTTGGCCATTTGAGAAAAAAGATAATAGTGTGAAAGATGTTTACTTGTTGTTAAAGGGTTACAAACGTCGGAACCCTCTCCCTCTTCCACAATTTGTGCTACTGCTCTTTTAGCAGTTCTTAAGTTAGTTACTGCAAATGGTTTTCCATCAACATCCGAATACCAATCATCATCTTTTACTTGTCGAGATTTTAACCCTGTAAAGATAGTAGTATTTTCTAGTTCAGCTTCCTTTTCTAACTGAATTATACCATGTAGAATATTGTTATATAGCTGAGATATTGTGTTTGGATTTGTTGTTATTGGGCATTTATAGGTAAGCACATCAGCATGAATGCTTTCTTTTAAGAGGTATTTCAGGCAACGGGTTTCAACAGTTGCTGCTGGTTTTTCAATTTCCATGAAAGTATGTTCAATTCTACTTTTTGACAACGGCCCAAGAACCATTACTATATCCGGATTATTAGGTAGTGGCGACGGAAAAACAGGTACTGCGCTTGCTTCATTGAAAATAGGTTTACCACCTATACCATTTAAAATATTGGCAGCCAAAGTAGTATGAGCCATTTCCTGTATCATTATATGTTTTAAAGTTTTTTTTGCAGCTTTATTGTATCCCGGTCGAATGGATAAAAGAGCTGTCATGTATAACGGGATTGTTGATAACTCAAAGCGAATTGCAGTTTGTATAGACCTTTTGATGTCATCTAAGCTTACTTTCGGAGGGTTCCCAATCGTTGGGTTTTCAAGCCACCTCAAAATCATATTTGTAGTTTTTTTCGATAAATCTCTGGATATAGGCATAAAATTATGATGCTCTAAAGGCAGCGTCATTGCCATTTTCAGTGGTCGAAGTCTTTGTAATACGTTCGTAATATCTTCAAGATGGATGAAAGGTCTCATGACGGGATAGAGGTAAGCATAACGAGTAAAAACTTCGCGTACATTTCCGTACCAAGTGGGTTCTTTCACTTCAGGGAAGTCATAAAAAATATTTAAGTTTATCATTAAATCACACCATTGGCTTGTATTATTTTTAGACGTGTAATTGAGTAAAACGGTATAAATTTGACTATCGATGGTGCACTCCTTTCGATATTTCCCTAATTTAATACCTGGATTGTTGGCTTTAATATTTAACAATATAAGCCCGTCTTGATCAGTCCTTGTTGGTTCTGGTAGAGTTACGCCATCTTCAGGATCATTTATAGCAGGATTGTCTGAATCACAGAAAAAATCTAACATAGGTCTTGGCCGCTTCATCCAGTTCAATGGGAGAAAGCTCGAAATTTTCAATCCGTCGATTGGCATTCCAAATTGACTAGCATAAATTTCAAAACTATGTGTGTCATTTGGATCCATTCTCAAAACATTGTGAGTAAGACTGTGAACGATCACTCCATCAGAATTTTCACGTAGAACAATATTCATACAATTTTTGCCTTCCAGTTGAGCCACTAATAAAGGTATACTGCGTAGTCGTTCAACTGCTTTCTGATGATAAATTGTCATTTCTAATCCGTTCGGTGGAAACTCTTGAATACTGTTCATGTTATAAAGAAACATCTTGTTTTTGTATAAAACTGATCCTAAATCAGTAAAATCGTTTGGGCATTTACTAAAATTTGTATCATTTATAACATCTGTTGGAACAATTACGTGTAAGTTTTTCAAAATACCGTCATGAAGATCTCCATTTGGGCGCTTTCGAAAAGAGTTGCTAAAATCGACGAGTACAGAACTCTTTTCATAATTAACATGAAAAAAGGCGGTACAAAAATTTTCTTCGTATCGGATGTTACCACCTTGTCTAGGATTACAGCCAAGTCCTTTTAGAACTCTTGTAAATCGATGAAATTGACGGGATTCCAAAGAATGTGATGGTCCTATTGTTCCACTGATTTCCCCGTACGTAAAATTATGCTTTGTTCTGTCTCGTACATATCTATCCATTGTGAATTTGATTGACAGCTTACCTTCTTTTTTACCCCAAAAATCGATTGTTCGCTCCTTTAACTGTTTTACAATTTTAGAGTTCTCGTCAACTTCTTTCATCCAAGACAGAGAATATAGTGCACTTTTTATGTATGAACTAAATCTAGGTGCTCTAAAAAGTTCGGGAATACGTGGCCATAAATCTTGAATAACTGCCACTTCCATTTTTCCTCTAATGCTATGGCCAATTTGAACTTCTAAATCAAAGAATTCACTGTTTTGGCACATAGGATCAAGATCAACAAATTTCCCGGAGTGATAAGTCATTGGTCCTGAAATGTAAAAGTAATTTCTATTCAGCCTCGAGTAAAAACACTGTATATTCGTTAATACACAAACATTTACTAACTTAATATCGGTATATTATTAATAATCCATCTATCTTTTAGGCAGTTGTGCAAAAGCACTTTCAAAATGGAAACGTCAGAAAGAATAGTTTCGTTATATTTTGATATTTGTAGCGTGTCAATTTGCTTCACATATCAACGGAAAAATGAATTGATATTCAAAAAATGTAGAAAAGTACTTAGTAATTGAAAATTTAAATTAGAGTCTTCTTAAGCATACTAGTAAATATTTCAAAGCCGACTTTAATAAACCTTCAACCATATTCTTCAAAATTAATTATAGCTTTTGAATTGTTAAACGAGCAAGTTTAAAACCTATTATAGTCTGCATTGGATTTCCTAATACTTTTGTAAAGTCCTAAATGAAAAATTAAGCATGTATCAGTTAAGTTTGCTGAGTCATTATAGGTTCAGAGTGTATCTTCGAGAAAAGTGCTTCAGCTTCCCTCTTCATGTTTTTGATAAATATATAAAAGATATTTTAAGACGATCATCAAAGTAAAAATCTTTTGAACTCTTATTGAGGTCATTCATTAATTACTTCTTTATACTATTTAATGGACTTTAATGAACATATGATAAAGATTTTCGACACTTTAACACAACCTTTTATTGAGCTATGTATTTTAAATAAAATGCTAGCATTGTTTAATCTTCATGATTGTTATCTAATTAAAATAAAAAGTACCTCTTTTCTGAAAAAGTGTCAGATATAATAAAATATAATTTTAATTAGCTAAAGTATATTCGCCTCATACGTCAAAAAGACTTTTAAAATATTGTAAATAAACAAGGGATTCATTTCGTATTTTTCTTTGATGTATAGCTTTGATTGTAAGACACATTCTTATTTATATGTTCATTGGTGCTATCAGCTGTAAATTACTTGCATTAAAACACCAACGTTGTCAAACCTGTGTTGACCACAATCATGTATAGGAATAATTAGACAGATTGATAAAAATTTATTAGATGATTGGATAAGAAAAATCACAACAACTGCTATCGAAGTTTTGAAAATGCCAGATAATTGTGATTATTCTCATCTCATATTTAGTATACGCTTCTTTTAATACGTTTTACACAAAGTAACCTAAAACACTCCCAACGCAGATGGCTTTTACGTATTTGTTAACATTTAAAAACACATTTTTTGAGAAAATCAAATGACAAGTGCATTGTTTATGATGATCTAAAATTTAAAAAGATTTCGGAGAGCGGTGCGAAAATCTCGATTACAAACGAAATACAAGAGAGGATTAATAGTGCTGTTTACGTAAGCCAACCAGTAAGAGTTTTCATATGCAACAGGATTAACGCAATCATTACAATACGCTACCATAGGCCACATAATACAGAATGGGAGCCAACAAACCAAAAACATCAGAATAATGACTCCCAAAGTACGGAGCACTCTCGTATGTTGCTCTGTTTTTCTTCTATTTGAGTTTTTAATTTTGATTTCATCTTGACCACTTGTTTTCGTAACAGATATATCGACAGTAACTTCGTCATCATCTATTGATGGTCCCATATTTTTATCCATAGCCTCAACTTTAAGTTTTTGCCTGTACAAAGCTCTCAAAGATCCTGTATAGAAAACTATCATAGCTAAAATAGGAATATAATACACGCAAATTGCTTGAGACACAACAAATTTTTTGTCAGGAACGAAATAGCAATCTGTAGATATTTTTTTAAGATCTAATACTCGAAAAGTTATTACAGGTGGAAGCCACACTATCAACCCAACAATCCAACTGCCAACAGACATCAATGTAGATCGTCTAATGGTTGCAAGAGACTTATATTGCAACGGGCGATTTAGTGCCAAAAATCGATCATATGCCACTAATATTAAATGAAATATGGAAACAGTACAACAAGTAAAATCCAAAGCAACCCAGGCAGTACATAAATTATTTCCAAGAGGCCAATAGCCATAGATTGTAAACACATTCATTCCACCCATAACAAAGACACCTACTATTAAATCGGCCACAGCAAGAGAAACAACATACACATTCGAAGCGTTTCGCAATTTTTTATCATATATTACGCAAAGAATAACGGTAATATTAGCCAGAACTGTGATGAGAGTGAGTAATATAAGTGGAGGGGCTAAAACTTCTGCGTTTCTTGACGATTGCTCTGTTATGTTCGAGCTCATCTTGCCAATTGACGTGGCGTCAGACAACCTGATTTTTAAATATAAACGCAGGACAAATAATTCGATTGGGTTCATTCTTTCAATTAAGTCAAAGAATACTATAAAAATAGCTCTCTACACTTACACCTTAATAAAATGTTAATATAATAATTGGCCCTATTTATATTTAACACATGTGAGTTTTCCAAACTAAATCTTCCTTTTAAATAATTTTTAATTTTAATGCGAGCTACTGACCATAAACAGGTTGACCAATGATAGGATCTTGCTTTGGATCTGAAGTGCAATAGCCATTTTTGTAGCAAACCCTCCTAATAGTAACATTTTCAAATCGGAAATCGTTTGATCCCTAAGCAAAGCACATACAAATTTAACAAATCAATATCAACAAGAAAATACTAAACCATTGGAGAAAATCCTCCTTGTGTTGTATTTCCATAAATTATATTCCATTGAGTAAACTCTCTCATATTGTAGTGCTTTGCATTGTTATTTGCCGTTGGTGGATCAGCGTACAAAAAACCAGAAAAATGAAGTCTGGGCCAACCAAGATAATTGGTACCGGAATATTTCGTAGCTGTACTTTCAAACATCTAAACTTTTACAACAGTAATTAGGAATAAATACCTTTACGACAAAAAAGAGCAAATTCATCTTCACCGCCTCTACAATTTGGTTTCTCATCGCATACTTCACTCCATTCAATACAATTTCCATCATAGCATTCAAATTCACAAGCTTTGTAAAATCTTATAAGAGATAATTATGCATAATCTTTGAGCTTACTTTTATTAAGGAACAAGTTTGTTGATTTTCTTAGGAAACCTTCTTGTAAAAACTTTTGTTGGACTTTCAATTGAACGAAAATCCCTACCAGTATTGTGATGATAAAAAATAGAATTACATAACTGTCAAAATTCAAAAAAGATAAAATCACTATATTAAAACGTTTCAGGTACCAACGTTAAGCGTGTTACAGATATAACCCTTTTTTTCTCCTCAGTAGCGCTTTTCTGCATTTTCTATATCATAAACGAAATAAACTCTCTTGTAAGTTATTGTCTGTTGTACTATGTTATCACCAACATCAAACAAGACATCTTTAGAAAATAATTTTTAGGTACGATAGAGTTAAAAAAACAGGACAATGGCATTGTTAATTCCACAACGTCTTATCAATTAGATAAGAAGTATGAGCCAAAATTTTGACATTACGCATTTTTAAGACAAACAATTAGTCGTAAAATTCATGATCAAATGTTGAAAAAATTACGGGCTTCTGACGACGTAAACATTCCTCAGCAGTATTAATAGCTTAAATAGTAATGAGAAATAACCTAAAAGCTTTTAAAAATTAGTTCAGAAAGCAATATATGAACAAAAAAGTTATCAACAAATATGACCCAAAGGTAAAAAATTTCTATTAGTTGTTCGGTTAATTCTCTTATATTTAGCTTTTATAGAAATTGCTTCAGGCAAATCGTAAACGAAAAGATTCAGATTGACGTTTTATCTTGATAAACTTTGTCCTAATTTGTGACCAATCAATATTTTATTGTATGCGCTTTTATACTCGCTTATCGAATTGATATATATATATATACCAACAGCAGGGATTTTCATCTAACAACTATTGTGAAAAATTATTAATTTGCCTTTCAAACTTATGTTTTTATCTTCTATTTAATAAAACGCGTCATGACTGTTATCTTGATTTAAAATACTATGATTTATTCTTCTTTTTGGCTCTTCAAATTTCGAAAGGTTCATTTTTATACTTCAATATATGTAACATTGTAAAAACTCAGCAAAAGCAATATGAAGGCGCCATCTAATGTTTTACGGCTGAGCGCTGAAACTTTGGTTTTCAGTTTAATATTAAGGTATTAGTAAAACGTTTTTGATTATATTAAAAATATAAAGCATTTGAAATATTAACAAATCCCAAAGGGGTTTTTCATATAATCTTGGAAAATAAAACTTCTTATTTAAGAATATATAAATATGATTAGCTGGATATACTTTTATCCAAATCTTGCCGTAATTCTTATGAAAGTTATTTTTCCATAAAAAAAGATGTTGTGAACAAAAAGGAACAACGAAAAAGCCTTCTCTTTTTAGTTGTTATTAAGTTATACTTCCAGCCGAATATTTTTTTCCTGACTTCGTGTTTTTCATGAGCATATGTTTTCCATATAAATAATATACTATGTACTAAAAATAATACAAAAAATAGGAAGACGTTCAATTAAATAAAGATAACGCATTTGCAGCTCAATCAAAACAGTATTTCTTTTAAAACCACCCAAACGATATACTTATTTTCAAATTTGAATACCTATTTGTCATCATTTCGAAAAAGCACATAATTTATTATAACCAAGTGATAAATAGATTATGATATTATTGTTTTCTTTATACTTTCAATAAAAAATATTTGTAGTGGTTGGTTTAGCGTTGAGTGTTTTGTTTTGTTGACAAATTTACCAAGCCAAGACAATTTATCCTGTGAAAGAGAGTTTCAGTAGAGTGTAATTATTATGCGATACAAAGGTTGTTGATGGATCATCTAAGACGTCACTGGACGTAATTTTTATTTATTCTTTTTGCAATTAAATTAATAAATGAAGATTGATTATTCAAATAACTTTTTAGTTATTCGTCTTCAAGTAAGAGTAGCAGTTGAAATGACCAAAAACACCTCATAATACTTTCTGACAATTGCATCATACGGATTGCTCCAGATAAGGAACAGCTAAAACGTTTTTTAAAGCCTTAAGCGTTATTCCAAAGAGACTTTATTTCATCAGGAATGTTCGATTTTCTAAAATTCAATAACCCACTTTTTGGGTATTATGTAATTCCACGTTCTATATTTCGTGACAGAAGTGGTTTTACATTTCACTATGATTTGTCTGAGGAAACCCTTTTTATTATAAAATAAATAGTTTAAGGCAATAGCTATGTTCCAGTCTCACCTTTTCTACAAATCTTTTGCTTGGAAAAATCTGTTTCTACAACTCATATTTATTAACGCGCTGATTACACTACTTAAACAAAAATGCACAATTCACAATAGAAGAGTATAAAATTAATAGTTTTCTGTGATAGTTGTCGTGGTCGACCAATCCTAATGTGCTCCTTTGTGTATAAGCAGCTGCAGGCTTTCGAAAATTTATTAGCGAATGAAGAAGCACTAATGGTTGAAACTGATGTAAGTATATATCAATATATACTCCGCAACAGACAGATAAAGAAAAAGCTATTGCTAAAGAGGTAGCTATTTTTACTTCATATTACGCTTGACGTTTAAATGAAGCTAATTCTAACTGCAAACAGTCGACCTCTTTTTCGAGCAACGAATAAAATAAAAAGAACAGGAAACAATTAGTTTCGTGGCTACTCGAATGGAAATTAAATTAACAAGGATTTGAGGATGAATTTTTAAACTTTTCTTCTTGGATATTAAAGGATCGCCGATAAATTTTGTCACTAGAGTGAACAGAGATTTCAGTCTAGTGATTTACAATTTTTTACCTCAATACGTCTTGATATTGCGACGGTCATTTTTAAAGGTCATATAAATGTCGCAGCAACGCCTTTCCATGTTGAGCAGCGGCACCTAAATCTAGCTGTCAAGGCATATAGCCGTCGCCACCTACTGATCTAATAAATTATCGGTTAATAGTATCACGTGATTTCATGGTTTAGTAAAGGTTGGGTGGTGTGAACGAATGGTAGATAACGAGCGCCTCAGATATTGCAAAGAGATGCGCAACAAAAGAGACCCAGCATGACGATGCATTGCTCAAAATGGTTCTATTGACAAGCTCGTCAAGTCATTTTCACCAAGCGACGCTCGACGCTGGTTTCATTATCAGCCCGCTTTCCTCTTTCTTCTTTCACCAGTCATTCAATAAAACAGTGTTGTCGGACATAATCCTTAGCGAAATGAAAGTATGCATAATGCACAGCCTGCTGTCAGTATAGCATATATTGTCAACTTCCTCTTAATGTTTTTCTTCTCTTTTCTTCTATTCCATGTAGGCATTTCCTTTGCCACAGGATTTCCCTCACAATTTCAAATGTACAATTTCAGTAAAGAAGCCTACTCATTACGCCATCGAGCTGCATTGCTGTTATTTTCTGCTCCAACGTCCTACCAGCTGAAAAAAAGAAGCAAATTTACCAGATCGATAGCATCCTATCATTAGGCGCCTTTCCCGATTCCAGCTGAAAGTTTAATTACTCGCATGTTCGCAAAATGATTGCGTTCCGGTGAGAAGAAGCTTAAGGAAGGAAATAGTGATTCCTACATCTGTTATGGAATACGGCCCTCATATCAAAACAAATTAGCAATCTTGCGAGAAACATCGCGTGCTTTCCGAATTTACGCTGCAACAAATGTATATCGCGTAAATGCAATTTGATAGACGCGAGCGTGCAATTGATTTCCTTTCCAAAACTTTTAGAATCTTTCACAAAATTTATGGAATGTATTTATGAATGCATAAATTATTACGTCTATATAGTCTTTTATTAAATGATGCATCTATTTGTTAATAAATTTATTCTTTTTGTGTTGATCAAAAGCAAATAGCACTGTTATTAAATAGAGAAACCAATAGTTATTCGTAATATATTCTATCAAAACTAAATACCCTCAGCGACACCTTTTGGACGACAAACTCTAATGGTTTGCAGATGCGGTTTGATTACTGGTTTGTAGCCTGCTATAAATGACGGATTCCTAATCACCTGCAACCGTCTAAGCGGAAATGAACTCGACAATATTTCCGTCTTCGGATTACGACTCGACAACATGGACCAACTTTCCTTTTTATAACTGCTCTGACTGCTTCGGTCCGACTGTTGTGGAAACAGAAGATGAAGTTTTGAGTATGAGCTTGGCTGAGGCCATTACTTTTGCAATCCTCATGTCGGCCTGCATCTGTGCGACTGTTATTGGTAACATTCTCGTTGTCCTCTCTGTCTTCACCTATAGGCCTTTAAGAGGTGTACAAAACTTTTTTATTGTCTCTCTAGCTGTTGCTGATCTTGCGGTTGCTGGTCTCGTTATGCCTTTTAATGTAGCAAACTTTATCTTAGGTTATTGGGTTTTCGGTAGCGTTTTCTGTGATATGTGGCTAACTTTTGACATTTTAACCTGCACTGCCAGTATCTTAAATTTATGTGCAATTGCTCTAGATCGCTATTATGCTATTCATGACCCTATCAATTACGCACAAAAGAGGACACTGAAACGAGTCCTGATTACAATATCAATAGTTTGGGTGGCTTCATCGATCATCAGTGTTCCTCCTATTCTTGGCTGGAACAACAAATCAGGGAGTTTACTTGATGAAAAAACCGGTGTTTGTCAACTAACCGACGAGAAAGGATTTGTTATTTATTCTGCTTCTGGTTCATTCTTTATACCATTGCTGATAATGACATTTGTGTATTGCAAAATTTTCATTGCGACTCGCCGACGCCTTCGAGAAAGAGCGAAGGCCGCATCAGCAGCTAAATTTGCAGCAGCTACAGGTAAAAGTCTTCCCAGTAGTAAAACTACAGCTCAAGAAGCGAGTTCTACCGAATCACCTGAAGATACGCAAGAAACGCTCAATTCTACTCCTCAGCCACATCGTTCGAGAACAAAGTTACTCCCAAGCTCTGATCAAAACAACACTGAACCTACTACAAATACGTCTGCTGTTCAAGTTCACCAATTCTTGGAAGAAAAGCAAAAGATCTCATTGTCAAGAGAGCGACGAGCAGCAAGAACATTGGGTATTATTATGGGTGTGTTTGTTCTTTGCTGGTTACCATTTTTTCTCATGTACGTATGGTTTTCTTTTACAATTTAATGTAACAAGAAAATTAAAGATTTACTTTCATTAGGTATGTTATCTTTCCTTTCTGTAAATCCTGTGCTGAAACGGATTCGAGGGCTGTCAACTTCATAGTATGGCTAGGATATATTAATTCAGCTCTAAATCCTGTAATCTACACAGTTTTCAACATAGACTTTAGAAGAGCCTTCCAGAAATTGTTGTTTGGTAAGTGTAATAGTCGATTATGAACGCTTAAAAACTAAAGGATGCTGAATGCTCATTAACGTTGAATTTTTCTTGTGGATAATTTTTTAAAGCCTATCTTGAAAACTTGATTAATTATATAAAAGTAACAGCAGTTGCTACTGATCATTATATTCAAGCGTGTACAGTACTGGAGCAGATGATGTGCAAATTTGTGTGTCGTGCAAAATCATAAATGATTACACTATTATTAATTGACTCCAATCACATTTAGTACATTAGCTATAATATGATTCTTCTGTATTTATGACAATTAGAATCAATTCACAACCAACAGAAGCTAAATTGAAGTTCGTAAGCTGATATTTTTGATCTTCTTAAAACACATTGAGCGATTTATATTGAGTTTTCAGCGGGTAATGTTCGGCCATTTAATCTTGATGAGAGCGGTGAAGTATTCTATATATATGATGACAGTTTTTTTATCAAGTGCAATAAGAAAATGATGAATTCAGGTTGGAATTTTAAATGTAAAAGCATATAAATGCTGAAGGCTTTAAATTTATGGTTTCTATGCTGTAAAATATGTTCTGATATAATTATTCAAGCATTTAGTTTTATTGTAAACTACATTCACTCCTACCCACTTCTAAGAGTCATTCCTGATAGTTGGAAACGACTTTTTATCACTTTCTTCTTGAATTGCTTTACTCAAGATGATAAGAATAGTAACTGAAGCCTTCATTCTTTATCTCATATTCTAAAACTTATCGGAAGCTTTTTAAAGTAGAAAAGGTTATCGGGTTATATTCTTGGGAAAACTGCAATTTCAATATCTGTCCTTGTAAATGTCGAAAACTCAACTCTACGATATTTGAAAAGATCGAAGAATCAGAAACTTAGACTACATCGTAGAAAATCTGAATTATATTGATGCCACCTCAAGCGTCACCTGCAGCGGTTTTAGGCATGCATGAAGCGTCACTGAGTTCCACTATAGGCCTATAACTTGTCCGGTTTAATCGTAAATTCTTCGAACATTGCATTCTAAAAAATCAGTAGTATAATTCTCGTACATTATGTAATGCTGGTTTTCTAGCTATAATCTTAAATCAGCTTAAATTTGTATAAAAGTACAAATTTAATAGTATTAAAAAGAAACACTAATAGTGTATGTTTGCTATAGTATCCTACAATGTAGAGTATAATAGTATAGTTTTTTCTTTATTAATTGAATGGCTCTATACAAGATATTAAGTAGAAACTAATTGTTGGTATATTTTCAGTAAATGAAATGTGGTTTCAAAGATGAATAAGTTCAATTAGAAATTCTAACGATTAATCGATCAATAGTGAAAAGAATTTATTCTTTTACAGCTTTACTAAGAATATTAGAATATCGATGTTTTCCCACAACAGCTTTTTTTTGTTTAAAACACCCATTTATTAATTAAAGATGGCATGGTTTATAATATGTTATGTATATGATTCTGTTCAATAGCTCCTATAAAGCCAATTAGAATTTAGCTCTACATTATACCTGACGTGCCTAATTGGCCTCAGATATACAGGCGGCTGTTTATCACATCCCATAAACTCCAGTAACTGACAAACTTCACAATGCTTGAAAATATAAACTCGGCATAAATAATAGTGACAACTAAAAAGTAGGCTAGAACTGGCTAACTCACTCTTATCCTAAATTATAGACTTAAGAGAAATACATTTGTTGATAAGAGAAAACTCAATTTTTAGACCTTATATAGTAGCATCCCCGATGTTTTTATAAGTGACTTCCAAAGTATTTTCCGCTGACTTTTAGTGGTCTACTAATTCGGATGATTATCACAGCAGCTGAAAAAGATCATATCTAAAGTTTCAGTAAATAAAAAGTCAAATCTACAAAAACCGATTAAGTCAAATTGACCTAATTTTTTCTTAAACGCGTGAAATCATCGAAGAAAAGGTTTGGAGCATTGAGAACAAAAAGAATGTATAAAGCTTGGTCTAATGAAAGCTTCACGAAATCATTCTTTGTCGAAAGTTAGCTTTGAAGACGGGAACGCAAAGTAATTCGATATAGAATGAACCATGCCCGCCAACTGCAATGGCGTTTCTAAATCGATGCAGTATACCTTGAAGTTCATTGGAAGAAAGATTGTTCGGCTTCTGTATAAAATGAGAAGGCAATTTCATGCCATTGCCTCAAGTTTGTTGATTCGTACAACATACAGATAGGCATGGGAGTCAAAGTTCTCTTGATTGAAGTTGAAACTTTCCCAAATTGACTTAAAGCAAACTTTTAGAAATTATCTACGCAATAAACTAATACAATTAAACAAAACTAAAACATGGTTCCACATAACTTAATTAATAATAACATCTATATATAAACCAATGGATGACTTAGATGGTCGTTTGACATTTCTTTGCAAGGTGAGAAATTCTAAAGCAGTTTCAAGAAAAAACAAATCTATGCAATTGAGAGTGGTTTCAACTTAACAAAATTTCTATTCCCTATTTAATCATATTGTCTGTACACAAAAGGCTTTATGCTCTTTGGCCGAAAAACTTTTTCAGTCAGCAATCAAGAGTCAATCAAAAGAGAGTATAGAATATGAAATGCCAACGCGTCTGTAAACACCAGGACTATTTCCCAAACGGCAACGCTTCCAGCCTTATATTATTGGATAATTTAGAGAATCGTATACGCCAATAGCAACAAACCTAACCCCATACGTTCACACGCTAATTTACGTTCTTCAATAGAGTGAATCATACCATTAAGTAAATTTTTTTCAGAAAAGCGAAAAAAAACTAAAATTTTCTCTTTCTTTTCAGGTAATCGATATATCTTTGGCTATTGGTCATTGAACGGTTGGCGCACTAAAGCAGCTATCAATGAGAAATGGTGCCATTGGCAGAATCTTATCCTAAATGCAGTTTTTTTTCCGAACAAATGTCGGCTTGATAATAATATTGTTTTAGAAGTATTTATAAAGAAAGTATTTGGTGGAATTACACTATAATGATTTTTGTTTTCTAACTCTTTTTACAGACTACACTTCTTCTCTTTCGGGATTTATGGAAAAAAAGATCTAGATTAAAAACATTTAAGCACTTGTGATTATTAATTTTTGTTTATTATGAACCTTTCAAAGTTCATGTGAACCTAAATGGTATGTAATTGCCGGAAATTACACGAAAAAGGAAAAGAAAAATTGATTTCACCTCTAAGAGATAATAAAAAGAAAATGTTTCTTAAAATACATGCACAGCTGAGGAACATTTTGGTTTGACATAAAATTAATCTTATAAACATTATCGATTTCAGAAATTTTGGGAAAAACACAACACTTAAATATATACTACGATCTGTTCTGTTTTTGACATAACAATAATACTATGATAGAGTTTATTACCTCATATCTGACAAACTAATCCGAATCGCAATCCTCATTAATTTTGTCTTATTATTTTAGCAAAAATAGTTAGAGAATTATGTATAATTGTTTTCTTGTTTTCTATACATAGCATTTGTAAAAAAAATACGTAAAAAATTTCTTTTCCCTAATATGGAAGAAAATGAGTAAAATGAAACGAAAAAAATATAATGTTATGATGTAATTTTTTTGTCATAACGTTTTTGAAAAAGCCAAAGATTTAGATACTAGGTGTCGAATAACGCCATCTGGAGCATTTATTAGACCTTCCTGTATAATATATATTTAAAATGAAAGCTTCCGTGTATGGTGTTTTCGTAGATGTCACCATTAATCATTTGAAAAAGCGAATATATTTTTTTGTTGGAAATCCTTGGGTCAAATAGTTCATTTAATTAAAGAACACAACAGATCGTCGAATTTTTTAAGGCAAAGGTCATTTTCCACCCCAATGATAAATTTCCCTTTTTCGATGCATGTTTTCACGCCATTACATCATTTCAAGCTTTAAAATTTCGAAGTCATTCTTTTTTCTTTTCTTTAGGATTAACACCTCTCTTACAATTGCAAAGAAGAGTAATTTCGTCTACCGAAATGAATAGCAACGATAATAATACAGTCGCTGACAATTCATGCTGATTAGTCAAACGAAATAAGGAAGGCGTTAAAAAATTGTCACTATGTCTCATGGGTCTGTGTAAAGAAAATCTTGTTACATCTCTTCATTTTCCATCAACTTAGATGTCAAATTGTATAGGCCCAAGTTTGCTTAGAACGACGGACTGAATTATCTGAAAGTATATCGAGCTCTTGAAAAACTTGATATAAATAAATCTCTTCTGAAGACAAACTGTTTGTACAGCAAGTATTGCTCGTGTAAACATGCCCAGCGTGCGTCAGCCTACGGATATAGAAAATTTTACTCGTTTGCCTAACTCTTTTTGGCGGACTGTTTTTTAATCATTATCAGACTTCTCAATCAGCACCAAACCGCCTTGCAGACGTCGATAACGCAAAAAATTACGAGCGTGGAATACGAAATACCGTTGACAAACATGTTGAGAATCAAAAAAATATCGAGTATTCTATCTTTTTTCTTATCTCCAAGTTGTGATTAAGATAGTAGTATATATTTTGTTGCTAAGTGCAAAGCTGCTTTTAATTTTGGTCAAGATTTGCAATCTTTTTTCGTCCAGAAGAAAGTTTAATTAAACCGCGATGCGAATGTAAATTTACTACACGAATAGACATTAAATAAGATCTGATTGTAAAATTTAATGTCCATCATTCTCTCAATGGTTAGTCAAAATTAATACGTTTATAATAATAGTTTTATAAGAAGATAACTAAATTTTTAAAGATAAATATTTTTTCTTACAATTAATTACAAGTCTTTCATTAATACCCAACCACTATGAGATCGACCATGAAAAAGAAGACTGAAGTATGGGTCTATTAACATCACCTTCATCAGTATCCATCTACATCACAAATTAAAATAATAGCGACAAGGTCCCTTGATGGCAATAAATTATATATACTCATGCACGCGTCAACGCGTTTCAACCTTTCGGTACAAAATATTCCTGATTTTTCTTCGTGGCTACGAAACGAGCTAGCCGGCGCCTTGGGCCCAGGTAATAGATGGAGAAGGTTAAAGGCTGCTTGAAGATGTACTTCATAGAAACTCTTATTTTAACCGAGCTTAATTTATTATTTTGAAGGCTATTACCAATCTATTTGGGATGAATGTATAATTCCTAGTTTTAATTTGATATTATCTGTATTCGTTATTTCTTATCTATTTTTAAGAAAAAAATGTCTGTTTTTTTATTTGTTTGTAGTCAATTTGTATAATGTGTGTTTATATTGTTAAATGGGCTTTCAGAAAAAATTCATATGAATAATGACGTCTATATATTAATTATCTTATTTCATTAATTATGTTTAGAGTTTCATTAGCAGTAGTCACTGAATTCCCTAAAAGATACTTAAATTTTCGTTTTTCGCTTTTCCAAAAACAGATTTTTTAACAGGTATCCTTCACATCTATCTTTCAATCCTTCGAAAGAGAGAGTTCGAAAGAGATATTTGAAGGCAAGAGTGAAAGATGAAGACGAATGTTTTACATGCAAAAGGCACTATATCGATAGTCATGGAACTCTTCTAAAGCCAACTTGAAATCATAAGGGGCTACTTTGAAAAAGAAATAGAGCTGACTTATGCTTCAGTGCTTTAATTTTTAAAATTTTTTTTTAATTTTACCTAATACAGAGAACGAGAATTTTCTTTTTCACTTGTTGAGAAGGATTAGTTTTGTTTAACCAAAAGAGTGAGTATATTATACAATATATGTAATTCTATATTGTAACTCTTGTGGGATAGAAAAAATTCCTTAAATATTTTTTTACTACTTAGAATAACAGTTTTTTAATTTCTTTTTCCTCTCAACTATAAAATATTTTCCCCAGATTTACCGTTAAACTTAAATAAATTCTTAAGATAATCTGAATAGCAGTATGTTTGTTGATTAGTAAATATTCGATTAAAAAAATACGCAGTTTTTTTTTAATTAAACCTTTAAGTCGGCTTTCAAAATTTTGTTCTTTCACATCTTTTCAAATATTCAATTTGTTCAAATACGTATAAAACTTAACGAACACTTTTTTTTATAGCTGAATGAGGCTGCTTCTAGAAAAAAATATAGCATAATGATACAATTAATCTCTTTCCTTAAACCTAATTTTCTCATTGGTAAGCAAAGGCTACAGAAAATACATAGGCCTATTAATGATTCTTTTATTTAAAGTGACTTTGGTAATTTACCAGAGCCTATTTCTTGGTATTTTTCGTTGCTGAACTTTTTGTATCGACAGATATTCTCTATCACTTTATAATTCTTTGCTCTATTTCTTCAAATGTAAACCATGATAGATAATTTGAGATTTCAACTTTTTATCATTTTCTCTGTCTTCAATAAACATAATTAATATAATATAGCCAACAACTTGAAAAACAAACCTTTAGTACAGAGTTTTCGTTTGGAATTTTCTTTGAAGTATTCCATTGTAAATTGAATTTGACACCCAATGAAATATCACCATAATTAACTCATTGACGACTGATAAGTTTAATCTATCAGGAAAAATATAGTCTCTCAATAGTATTAAATCATAGATTTTAAATTATTTCATTGTCCTTAATAAGGACTACATTAGATGTTTTTACTATTTTTTTAATTCACATTATACACAATCTCTTTAAATATTTTTACATCTATTCTCATTACGATATGTAGGTAAGAATGTATCTTATAAGAATTTTTTTTTATAGAGTGTAAATGTATACAGATATAAATTGAGTGAAAGCTGATTGGCTCATCGCGCCGTCTCTAACTAAAACCGACGTCATAAGGACTCGAGTATTTAGTTCAACGCCACAAAAATGCTGCTGCGACCGAATTTATTTGCTAAGTGTAAATATGAAAAATATTAGCGGATTATGAGAAGTGAAGAAGAAAAAAGGTATGGTTTTCAGTTATTTATCATGAATTTATTTTGCTTTTTAGTGCTTTGAGGGTGAAATATGCAGATGATAGAAATGCTTCAATATTTATCTGCAATTTCCTTATCTGTCAATCCATTAGCACTGATTCTTTAGAGATATTCCGAAAAGTGTATCTTTTCTACAGTCTGGACAACTTCATCCGCTCAATAGATCTCGGAAGTCGGGCAATCGAAGGGCTTGCCGAGAATCAATTCGTCAATTTTCTAAGACTTTTTTAACGCAAATATTGCATAATCTTACCCAAATGATAAAGTTTTTAATAATTTGGTCAAACAAGTTGTTTTTCTATTTGTAAGTTGATAAAATTTGAGTTTTTTCGAAAATTCATGACATATGCTCACATAATCATGTTCCCGAGGCCATGTAAGCAAGCACATAATGATACGATGCTTTTTATTTGAAGAATGTGCCAATATATAAAAGCTTCATCGGCAGAATTATATTCGGACGTATGCATCTTCTTGCATCGATTGACATTTAAGCGGTTTCCCACACTCACATCTTTCAAGCAGAGTCGAGCGTTCTTCTGAGGCTATCGCCCGACGTTTATCGCACCTGCCGATGCCAATTTTTTCGTGAACTATACGCTGATTTTATCTCTTCTAGATAAGAGTTGAAAAAGAAACTCTGTTAGTTGAAGAATGTATGTTTAGATCTACCATGCACACTGTTGTACCTACATGGATCCGTGATCCGATTAGAAAGTGGAAAAGTATACCGTAAAACTAATTATACTATCGCGCGAGTATATACGGATAGTTTGTCCTTGTAATTATGCAGTAAGTGCGACTCGGTGTATCCTGATTTAGTTAAATTAGCCTTTCGAATCTAGATTCAACTTGGCACGAATGTTAATCAAGGAAAGTAGCATTCGATTGCTGTGTGAATTACGCTAACAGACGTTTTCTCTTTGTAAGTTCTTTTCATTTAAAAAAAGGTCAATTATAGAAAATGTTTCCTTGAGATACATATAACAGAAGGAAATTAGGAATGTTATATTTTTTCAGTTTATGTACATATCACATATTCTAAAGCAGCTCACGTATGCAGTAAATGAATGATATAACTATTGGTCTTTTTTTCCCATAAAACTTATTCCTATGTTTTAGCTTCGTAAAAAATATTTATATTATTACACTCACTTTTAAATTTTAGGAACTCGTTCACTTATTTCCAATGATTAATCAATGAATGTTTTCAATGTTTCTCAGCACGATTTCTAAAAGCTCGACGTTTTTCAATCTAACATTGTTCAATAACATTATAGAAAATTTCAACACCATTTGTTTCTACCGAAAAGCTAGCTGCACGTAATGGTATTCAGCAGAAGAACGCCCAAAAAAATGATATTTCCTTTTATTAATATTTTATATTACCCTATATTGCAGGAAACATCTGGTAAAAAATGGAAAAAATTTATGATTTTATAGAATGTTTTTTTATATTAGTATAAACCTATTAAAATATGTATATTAACATGTTGTTGTCTCTTTATTAAGTTGTAATTTCTACAGATTTTTTGAAAATTGTGATATCGAAATGTTATACATATAAAATTGAGCAAAAGTTTAATTTATAGCTTCATCTCTAATCTAAAAATAGTTTGATGATTTTGTAAGTGAAGTATATAAAGTACGTTTACTGACAACGTCATACATATATCTTGAACAAACAAATCGTGAGAATGCCGCAGGCACCTTTTAATTCTATGTATTTATTTTGTTATATATACCAGTTAACATATTGAGTGCTTAAGTATAAGTATCAGACGATAAAAATCAATAACTGCTTTCCAAATTTGATTTTCGTCAACAAAAATATCGTATTAAGAACATACATAATATCAAGCTTGATTTATGTTCTTGGATTTTCATGAGTCAATAATCTATTTAAAAATTTTATAGAATTTTCAATTTAAAAAAAGGTATATAATTTGCTTTCGTCTTGAGTAAGTAGACTGTTTCATTATATATAGATATCAATACGTTTCATTCCAATCATCGTACTTCGCCACACACATCCATCACAGCACGTAAATTACTTGATAGTTTTTTCGCTGATGTAGTCAAAAGGAAAATTGACTTAATATAACTTTTAACACTAAAATTCTTAATCTGATTTCGTTCTTCTCGTTTTTTTCACAACCTCCACACGACAGACTTTTAAGAAAAGACTGATATGAAAATCATCAGTTTTTAAAGAAGTTTAAATAGGTATTTGCAATTGACCAAAAGGCAAAACGCATAATCATTTATGTACATTGTTTATTACTTTGTGACAATATCTGTAAACGCAATTGACAATAATTGACGACTAAGGTAAATAATTCGGAATATCAGAATTCTTAGGGGAAGGTGATAAATTTTACATTGTTGAATAAAAAATATATAAGCTTTCCTTAAGATTTAGATCTTTCAATTTTACAGGTAAAGGTTTTTAAAGAGATGGCAATGTTTGTGTCCTGAAACACAATATGGTGAATTTTACAACTTCAAATTATTCTAATTATAGTGATGAACTAACAACAAAACTTTTTCTTAATAAAACCGAACTGTCATTAAATCTTCAGCATATTATCCTTTCTTCAATTGCCTGTACATTTTTGATCGCATTAATAATATTTGGAAATGCTTTAGTGATAGTTGCTATTGGAAAAGATAAAAACTTAAAGAGTTTTCAGAATTGGTTTATCGCCAGTTTGGCTGTAAGTGACATGCTCGTTGGATTTTTAGTTATGCCGCTCTCATTGGTTAATCAACTTCTTGGTTATTGGCCTTTTGGCACCGTTATGTGCGATCTATGGTTGGCCACGGATGTTCTTTTTAGCACTGCATCCATCCTCAATCTTGTTTTGATATCTCTTGACAGATATTGGTCAATAACCAAACCAATGACTTACGTGAGACAGCGAACGAAAAAGCGAGTGTTGGTAATGATAACAGCTGTGTGGGCTTCATCAATGGTAATTTGTTTTCCACCACTAGCCGGATGGAAAAGGCCACAACGAGTGACAAAATATGGACAAGAATGTTCTTTAACACAAGATATTGGATATATCCTTTATTCAACATTAGGATCATTCTACATACCATTAATTGTAATGATTATTGTATATTTTAAAATATACCTTGCTGCCCGTGCTAGAGCAAGGCGAGCACTGAAAAAAAAGAAACAACAGCAGCGACAGTCTACACAAATTACAAAAATTGAATTAAAACTAAAAAATGACGAAATGAGACTTCAGGTGCCTCCAGTTTCAACAGATTTGTCGTCACCTTCGGCCAATGATAGTGAGGCGCGAGAAGTAATAAAAATGGTTTCAAGTAATTATTCTCATGAAAGTAGTAAATTATTAGTTTCGGATTCAGATAGTGCTTGTGATTCACCAGGAATAAATAAAATTGTTTCGATAAATCCAAGTCAACATCCTATTTCAGAAGAGAGTGACTTACCCGTTAAACAAAATTCTAAAACGCTTTTGGAAAAAAACTCTATATGTGTTGATTTAGACGAATTATCAACTGAATCCATTACTAAAAAGAATGAAAAAAATGAATCTTCATTGAACAAAATTAAAACTGTATTTAGGAAAAAGAAAGAAAAGAAAAAAATAAATGATGATGAAGTCGTAAGAAATTTTATTGATGATCCTGAAAAAGCCAAAAAAAAACTAGCCAGAGCAAGAGAGCGCAGAGCCATTGTTGTTTTAGGAATAGTAATGTTCACATTTATTTTTTGCTGGCTTCCTTTTTTTCTTACTTATCTGATCTCGTCTATTTTTAAGTTAGATGTTCCCAAGCTTCTTTTTGATATTTTTTTTTGGGCCGGTTATACTAACTCTGCTTTGAATCCTATTATTTACACAATTTTTAACAAAGACTTTCGAAACGCGTTTAAAAGACTTTTATCTTCACGTAAATATCATTAACTCACTGTCTAGTTACTACTATTGAAAGCTCCCAACAAAAAAGTGGATATTTAGATGCGAACAAGAACGAAGAAAGACTAAATCAAAGATCGAAAGATAAATGAGAATCCAATAAATTGGCTCGCTCACTCAGCAATCTATAAAAGTTGCAAGGATTTATGAGCAGTCTAATAGGAACAATCTATACAGCAAATATTTGCAATTATAGAAGCGGCCTGTACTAAAATACGCTACTCTATCAGTGGTTAACTTTATCATGTTAAACATTTCTTGAAAACAATAACTGAATGTTTAACTATATTTTCAATATTACTCTTTTTCTTTGTAAATATAATTTTATTCATTATTTTTCTTTGAACAAAAATTTTTTAATGAAAAAATGTACTGAATCATTTAAACGATGTACTATATTTACGACATTAAATATCAATTGCGAAATATAAGTTGTTTCGAATTATACCAAAGAAATGATCGAAAAATTCTTGATGGTCATCGATTTCTGGGAACGTGTTGTACATATTAATGAACTATGTTTTTTTCTCCTTTACCTACTCAAACCTTATATAAAAATAAACATCAAAACAGATTTATGTAAAATCATATGAATTCGTTTTTTTTGAAAAAATAAGTTTTTTCCTTCCCGAAAGTGTTTATTCTTAGGGGCTTATGATAATGTCAGGTAACATCATATAAGTTGCATTATTGTTTTAAAAATACAACATACCAAGTTTTGTAACACAAAATGTCCTTCGATTCTTAGAGATTTTATTTTTTTGGAGCAGGTGTTCTGAAACACCCTAGTGTATATTTTGAATGCCAGTAAGAGAAATAATTTCCGATTGTCAGTGATACAACAATTGAAGAAACCCTTTGAGAACATTTAACAAAAATTTTTAAATTTTGTTTTTTTGCAGGAAGCACTATGTATATAATAAATAGTATTTAAAAAAACTGGTTCACAATATAAGCGATTTGTTAAAATACTATTGTAATATTGATAGTTAAAATACTTTGACAAAAGTATGTTTTTAAACATTATATATTTAAATTATAGCTGATAAATCGACTAGCGCCACCTCACTTCCGTTTTGATTAGTTCTGTAGTGTATGAGCACGTTTTACAAATTTTTACACTCCAGAAAAGATAGGCTTTAATGCTAATCGATCTTTTCTATCAAATCGACAAAAACTGTTAGCATTATATTTTTTTTTCATTTTACAATCGATTTTTCAATGTATTATTTTATTTTTAACAGTTACCCAAAAAATTACTTTTAAGCACTTTACTATAGGTTTTTTTAAATTTTCAAAATGTCTTTGCACTTTTTTATATACTCCATAAGATTCATTTTCCGAACAGCAATTTTTTATGGATTGAAAAATTTAAGTAATAACACATTTTAATTTTAATGTGAAATATATCATTGAAATTTCCAAATTATATTTGTAAAATTTTTTTCCAATTGTCTTCACTACAACGTTTATCTGCGCACCATACCAGAGTACAGCGAGCGTGAAATAAGCATAGTCGGAGCGGAAGGGGAAAAGTGGACGACAGGTGTCGCCCTGAGCCTAATTATGGCTGGCGCATGTGTGGAAAATACGTTTAGTAAGGAACGGAAAGCTTGGAGGGAATGTTCAGGAGGATTACCTTAAAATGCCAGTCGGTCATACCGACATTCTCCTCCTCTTCCTCGTCTTCTTTCACAAACGACGGCGGACTAAGTTCAACCATAAGACGGTGATCAGTCTTCAGAAATGCAGTAGACAGTCGTCGGCGACTGTAAATTTTGTGCGCAATCTAATCTACACTGCAGCAAGCGTGTTAGCGTTTTTTTCTTGCTTTGCGCTTACTCACGCTCATTGGATCTATTCCTCTACAAGCAAGATAGAAGATTATCATTGTTCTTCACAAACCCTTCATTCTGTTTCGGAATTGGAAGTAGCCGATAGGATATGTAGACTATCGACTTCTAGGAGAACAGCGGAATTACGGAATTCTTCTCTTCAATTCTGCGATTATTTTCCTCTTCAGCAAGTTGTTCAATCTAAATCTTGTAGTAGTCTGGAAGATGTTAGTGAAGAAACTTGCAAAAAATGCGTTAAACATGCAATTAAAGCAGATTCAGAATCCCGCTGCTACTTTTCACACTTTCGGCGCGTTTTGGACAGTTTTGATTGTAATGATTCGTTTTCATTATACTGGAATTGTACAGTCTGTCGGGTAAGGAAGCACTTTTTTTCGCAATTTGTCAAATTTCAGCTTTTCTAATTCAAGATTAAAGTTTATAATTATTACGAACGAATTTTAAATTTATTGCTCTCACATTTATTTTGTCAATGTATATTCTATTTAAATTTGGTTTTTTTACATTGATATCGACAAAAGGTTTTTTTTAACAAAAACAAACAATCTGTAGCTTATTCCTATGGGATAATATCAATCTGATATTTATGTAGACTTTAGATCCAATTTAAATTCTTTTTCTCGCTTTTCTGTAAACCAACACCTTTTTAATTTATGTTGTATAGGCGTACTCTGAGCACCTGTTGCTCCGTATTATATTTAGTTCACAAAATGGCCATTAAGATTAAAAATTTTAAGCTTTGGTTGAGACGCTGAAATTTCAACCAGCTTATCTCACTTGTCATATTTTTTACTGCCATAACTAGGTCAACGCTTTCGGGTTTTCGGGGCCACAAAGTATTGAATTTGTTTGACAAGCTAGTCTAATAGTTTATGTACACAAATCACCTTGTGGTGCATGATTTACCCCAAATCTTAGAACGAGCAAGAGAGCAAGATAAATATGAACCTCACGTTCACATAGCAGACAGTAGACGGCGCCTTAGTGGCTTTTATTAAGCAAAATAAGTTGTCTCTCAGTTTCCAAGGTAACGGGCTCACAAGAATAATGGTAGGCCTGTAATTCTCTGTATAAATCGATTTCTCTCCAGTATCCTTTCTCCTTTTTAGAATTTCAACTTCCTTTTTTTTGCGTTACCGTTACTAACAATAATACGTTTTACTGATAAGAGAAAGTCATGAATCACGCTGACACTTTTGAACGCTACTTGGTTTAGACATCAGCTTCACACATGACAAGCTGATGAGGTCAATTCCCTATGGGATTCGTCTAACGCCTGTCAATATCATTTAGATCACGCGGCAGTATTTAATTATTAAACAGAGGACCGTATATGCACTTGTTAAGGAAATAATACATCTTTACTCATAAGATTTCTTTACATTCTTTTTACATAAAAAGGTTCAATAATTTTATCATGACTACAAACATTGATTTATTTTACTAGGACGATTTATATCATGACTAAAATCGTGCGCATGTCTGCAACATACAATCCTAGTAAAATAAAAGCATCTTTTTATAATGTTATAATATTTTTAAAGCAAAACTCTTTTTGCGAGTTCAAATACATATGCCACACAAACACAAAACAAGTGTTTAAAGCGTCTCCTCCTCTTTAGACGAAACACGAAACGACCTTGACAAAAAAATTGATTTTGTGAGCAAATTTTATACTGCTGTAGACTTTTGCTAGTTTTTTTCCCGAGGATATTGAGAAATTTTTGACTTTTATAACAAAAATAATGTTAATTAATTAATATTAATAAAAACAAAAATCTTAAAAAACAATATATATTGAAAAATCTTTTTTTTTTAAGTCACTTTGCTAAACCGAGTTACATGAATAATCTGTAGATTTTGCACAAAGAAAGCAGAATTTCATCGATTAACAGTAAAACATGGAATGATTTTATTTGCCTATAAAAATAGGGTAAATGTTAATATCTATTTTTTCAAAAATAGCCCTCCAGCTAAGAGCTCTTAGCCACCAGGCTAACCATTAATTGTTCATCCGTTTCATTTGTAATATTTAGTCTTTTTCTTAACCCTAACAGGAAGCCTACAAGCAATGGCTGTGTGCTCAATCATTTACCATCTACGAGAAAGAGAAAAAACTTCCACCTTGCAAGGATTATTGCAGAAATGTCGAAAATAAATGTCCCTATTTACTGCCTCAAATGGATTCACAATATGCAGGGGAGCCGACTTTCTTATGCACAGGTATGAAACAGCAGACTACGAATTAGAAATTTATAAAGATTTTGACTTTTTTTGAGTAGATACTAGAACAAGCGCGTTGCGTGACAAGCTAAAAGACAAAGAGGCATGCCACTTTCTCAATCACTCAGTTTACCGAATCAGACGTATAAAGATTGGATCTGTTAATTCATCGTCGCCTTCAGTAAACCTGCAAATACCCTTGTGCTTGCTTCTCTTCAACTTCTTTATATCTGCTGATGGTGCGTGGCGGTTGATTATAGGGTTAACTTAGTGCCTTCGCCCTAGCAGAGAGCTGCATTGCGCGTTATCCTATCTACAACAGTGTCAGCCTAAAAGTATCTATTTATATGAATCAATTTCGGTTAGATTAAAGGGTGTATGTCTGCCTCTCGTCTTGTGCAAGTACTGTGTTTCAGGGAATATAGACGCACGTAGATTTTCGTCAAACAAAATACGTCTTTCGGTGAGAATATTTCGCTGAGCTTCTTTCGCCTCATTTTACATTGACATAAAACGACATCTAGCGATTAGATCCGGTTTCCAAGGCAACAACAGACTGACGTCGAAAGTTGTGATTGCCAGACAAATTATCTGTCTCGTGTAGCTGAATCCAGATAATGGTGCTGAATATAAGGCGGTTGGAAAGCAAAATTTTTACTTTTACCTCTGCCGAAGGGAATTCGGAATAATGAACGAATATCTAAAATCTGTTCACTCTTTATCTTAGTTTCTACTTGATTTTATTCTCTTATATCCCCCTTCCCCTTTCGCCACCACTTTGCCGTCCTATTACAGGTTTCTCTAGCATATGCGTGCTGAATTATTTATTCTCTTTCTGCATTATTTTCGCCTGTAAGTTATTAATATTCCTTGCGCACATATACCATATATATATTCTTAAGAATATTTAAAGATCTGTGTATTTATTTGCATTTATATATACTATAGACTTGTGCCATGTTTTCTTTCAATTCCTTCTTCAATTCATTCATATTTCTTAATGTAAATTCCTTTGTAGCCATTGGGCAGTGGACAAAATGCTGAAAGATGCTTACTCATACATAATACATGCATGTGTACCAAAAACTTACTACATAAAACCTATGGACTATTCTTTAAAAAATATATTTCGAATTTAATGAATTATAGGTCTGGTTTTTATAAGATAGAAGTGTTTTTTCTGGCGTGATATAAATCTGAGTTTTGCACCCAAAGAGTCTATGTATATTGATTTATGCATAAAATAATTGTATATAGATTTCTTAAATATATGAAAAATCTGTGTGGTTCCTACGTTGGTTTTTGTTGAGAGAAAATATTAATGATTCGCAGAATTTTCAGCGCTGAAAGATGGAACTATCTTTTTTATCAATAACTTTTAAAATTTCTCCCTTTTGCCCACTGTCCAAGTTTTTCACCTCGGGAATAGTTATGAAATATGTTTAGAAGGTAATTACAGTTCTGTTATTATGTCATCTAAATTTATTTATTATCGAGACGTCATCGATTGTAATATTTTATTTATTGCCGGAAATCTATTTCACATTTTCTGCTGTTTTCTGTTTATGTTCCCATATTATGTAGTCTTTGAGGGTCATATCCCTTATTACAGATAAATAGCATGATATCTCATCTGTATGTTAGCAGTTTAATATTTAAGTGTCATTTGTAAATTTAATGCTTTGTATTTTTGAACAAAATGAGTAAATAAATGCCTGATTCATGACTAAAATTTAACCGAAAGTAATTGTTAGTATAATTTTGTTAAACATCAAATACTAACAAAAGCATATGGAATTTTACAATAAATAAATTATTTCTCAAACAGTTTCAACTATACAATAGACTAGACTGATATTTTATAACTTTTCGGAACAGGCAACAAATTAAGTATTTAAATTTCGATCTAAAGCAACATAACGCCATCGTTTTTCAATATTTGCTCCTATTCCATGCATTTGCGAATTAAATATATTAGGGAAACGTTCCAATAGTTTTTCGAGTTCACTTGTTCTAAACGCTAAATCAAATTTCTGTTAAACAAGAAAAATAAAATTCAGTTTTAATTTTACATTATCAGCAACCTGCAAGTACGACCAAATATAGTCTAAACTGGCTCCGAAAGGGTGAACATGCAGAAAGGTTGAAATATAACCTGGAATATAATAAATATAGCTAGGGAACAAATAAATGGATAAAACTACAAAGTAATTTTGCTTCCGTTTCATTCAAGCCAATTTCATTTTGGGAAGATGAAACGACATTCTTCTCGTCAAGATAACACTTCCTTCCATCGTCTTTGGCATCAAGAAATTCCTAAATAATAAAAACAATAATAAGTGAATAGTTAACTCATCCAAATATACTTTTTGCATTCCCTGAAGAGGGTGCTCCAGTTGCTCGATCTTTTTCCCTGAATTTTGCTTCTTAGCTTCTTGTCTGAGCAAATAGACTTCATTCTTGCAAGCCTCAACTCGACACTTAAGACAGTTATTCTCCTCTTTTAAATTTCTTATTTCAGATTCTAATTCTTGTTTGCAGTCTAAGGCTTGAGTTTCATCTGTTTTCTTCTTTTTTATACAAGGTTCGTCTTCACTATCAGACATTTCCATTTCTAATTCTTCTCGGTTACTTAAGAATTCTTTTTCTTGTTGCTCTTTGGTATCCTACAAATTAGTTTATATTTTTCATTGATGGACAAAAATAAGCGGATCTTAGTGTTGAAAACTAATACATTAGATTCTAAATTATCTACTAAATAACATACTTGTGCTTGTTTTCGCCAAACATCAATATTTTTTCTTTGAGCTTTGGAGAAATGGTCCCAGGCTTTTTGTTGAGTGGCAGCCATAAATACACGATCAATTTGTTCAACTGAATGTATGAAGATAAGTTAAGGCATTACTTAGTTTTTGTCAAATAACAATTTTTTTATGTTTTAAGAAACATTTCAGATTTTTTAAAAGAAGAGAGCTTACACTGTTTTAAAATGTTTTCTAAACGTTGACGAAATCTAAATTTCACATTCTCTAATTCTTCATCATAAGTAGTTTTCTCATTTATTAGCCTTCGCACATGTGCGTGTATAGTTTGAACAAAGCCGTAAAATTGGTTTGCAGTTTTACGAGTACATTCACTTCTCTCTAACCAAGCGACGACTACTTGAACACCTTCCATAAAAGTTTCATCACCTGTTGCAGTAAGCTATAATTAATTAAATTAGATTGAAATGTATCTCAGACTAGCATTTCAATTTTTCTAATAGTAGTACGGCTTCATGGTCAGAATATCTATTTATGGGAGGTGGAGAGGATCCTCGCAGCTTCTCTTCTTCAAGTCTATAAAAATGAGAAGCATTAGAGAAATATAAAAATGTATATAAATAATATATAATGTATATAAATATGTATATAAACTTGTTTCGATGACGCTGTTCTCTTGCCATTGCTCGTTGCTTACATTCCCATTCGTACATGTCATCTTTTGCTTGAGCATAATCTATGTGCAATCGTCCAGTATATTCTTTATCATCTTTATTATCTAATTTGATTCTATAGCCTGTTATACACATGGCATGGTCAACACTTTCTTCAGAGAAAAATCTAACGTGGCAGAAATGCTTCTTTCCCATTCGAATATTTAATATATCGCCAAATCGTTCAAACACCTCTCGTAAGTGGGTCTCTGTTGTGTTTTCTGGTAAGCCTCCAACATAAATGGTTTTGCATCCCGGTGGCCTAGCTCTCAAAACTTGAGGAAATGTGTCTACAGATGTAATTACATACTTTTAGGAGGGAAAAAGATAAAGTAAGACAAACATTTATTTGGATATAACACACAGGTTGAAAGTGTTATGATGCCTTTTTTGTAATTTTCCGAGTTGAAATGGGTCATGACTGTTTGGTTGTTGACGGGAACATTGCTAAACTTTAAAAAAATATTTCTTTCAATTATTTGAGAATTTTTTATTATACTTGTGGATAGCTCATAAGCAGCAAAGGGTCATTTACTGTTGATCCTAGTATAGGTCTATAGCCCATTTGAAGATTTGGAGACACTGTCACATTATAGGTAGGCATAGACACTGTATTTGCATCTGCTAAAATAATATTTAGTAAATATATTGTAAAAGATTCCATAAATTTAAACCTGCAGAATCAGTTGGTAGCGATGTAACAGAAGTTTGTCTTGTATGTGCATAATTAGAATTAAAACTTGCCATACGACAGGTCTATTCTGATCAATTCTATCATTGGTTATTATAAAATGCAAAAGTAGTTTTTATCACACCAGGCTTGTTCAGTTTATTATATTCGAACAGTTCGAAAAAACTTGCTTTCCCCACAGAAGATTTTCTCGCATCAGATAAAATTGTTTAACAGGAAACGGAAATGAAGAAATTTTCCTGTTACTGAAAAAATGAAAATTTTGAATATAAAGCATAGCAGGATTGAAATATGTACATATGCTTTAAGTCTAATTTTATGATTTAACAACTTTTTAAATTGCTCGATGTATGCTAATATGCATAAAATTCTATTTACGAATATTTATATCGTCTAATCAGATATTGGAATTTGCAGCCAGCCTTATAATACTAAAAGCAAATTTTATACTTGTTTTCTTGTTCACAACAAATAAGGAAATTTACTTTAAAAAGTGATAAATCACATTAAATGAATAAAGCATTAATACTTTTAAATATTGTCAAATCCATATTTTAATAATTTTACCATTGAGCATCAACTCCATAGAACTTATTTTCTTTCTCCTATTAGTACATATTTTAGTAACACCTGAACATTGCGCATGCGCCATTTTGACAGAAAATATAACATAATAGAATTAAGACGGTTCTAGTCTGAGCTTGCCTTTTCTGTTAAATCAAAATAAAATTTCATTTTATGCAATTATTGCAGGCTGTTACTACAGAGTAATGTCAGATACAAGTACACATAAAAGTTTCGATAGTGACTTTCCTATACTGGGACTTCTGCCGAAGAAAGAAACGGGGGCTTGGCAATTTTTAAACAAATATCCCGAATACGATGGAAAAAATGTCACCATAGGTATTTTAGATTCTGGAGTTGATCCAGGGGCGGCTGGATTACAAAAAACGCCTGATGGTCGTCCTAAGATAATTGATATAGTAGATGCTACTGGCTCTGGTGACGTTGATGTTTCCACTACAGTTGAGGCTGTTGATGGAACAATCACTGGTTTAAGTGGCAGAAAGTTGAAAATTCCAACATTTTGGACTAATCCTTCGAATGTTTATCATATTGGAATAAAATCGTCTCTTGATCTCTACCCTAAATTACTTAGAGAGCGACTGTCGACAGAATATAAGAAGAAGATTTGGGATCCTCAGCATAGGGAGAAGTTAGCTGAAGCTGTCAAAAAATTGGAAGACTTTGATCGTGAACCCTCCGTGGAACTCTCGCAGGAAGAAAGAGAAATTAGAGAAGATTTACAGCATCAGATAGATGTTTTGAATTCTACTGAAAAAAAATATAACTTTCCTCCAAAAATATTTGACTGTGTTGTCTTTAACGATGGAAAAGTTTGGCGGTAATTAACCTTTATTGACTATACATAAATTCCACATGTATACATATGTATGTAATATAACTTTTTAGGGCTTGTATGGATACCAGCTGCATAGGGAAGTTGGAAGATTGCTCACTAATGGCATCATATTATGAGGAAAACCAGTATGCAACAATAAGTGCTTTAGGTACCTAAAATATCAAAAATAGGAAGTATGCTAAATATATTCTCTCTCAGATCAAATGAATTATAGTTTCAACATTTGGAATGATGGTAATGTGCTGGAAGTGGTCACAAATGCGGGATCCCATGGGACTCACGTAGCTTGTATTGCAGCCGGATATTTTGAACATGAACCAGAAAAAAATGGTATTGCTCCAGGAGCTCAAATTGTTGCAATAAAAATAGGAGACTCTAGATTAGGATCTATGGAAACTGGTACAGCCCTAATTCGAGCGATAATTCATTTGTCAAGAAAAGGTGTAAAATTGGCAAATTACAGTTATGGAGAGGGGTATTTGTGGCCCAATGCTGGTAGAATCAACGAGGTGATTGAAGAATCAGTTAGAGAGAATGGACTAGTCTTTGTATCATCTGCAGGGAATGATGGTCCTGCTTTAGGGACAGTTGGATCGCCAGGTGGGACATGTAGTTCAATTGTAAGTGTCGGTGCTTACGTTACTCCTGAAATGATGAAAGCTGAATACTCACTTCGAGAGTATCTTCCTCTAATGCATTATACATGGAGTTCTAGAGGTCCTGCTGCTGATGGTGCTCTAGGCATTAGTATCTCTGCACCTGGAGGAGCAATAACTAGTGTCGCCAACTGGACACTAAAAGGTATTTCTAATATTTTAGTGACGTTAATTTGTCAATATTTTTATTGAAGGCTCTGAACTAATGAATGGAACATCTATGTCGTCGCCGAATGCTTGTGGGTGTATTGCATTGATTATGAGCGCTTTAGCAGCCAAAGGGCGCCATTGCAGTCCATATGAACTACGACGCGCTCTAGAATATTGCGCTATTAACGAGTCAAGTCAGAATTTCGACAAATTTGCAGCTGGTTTCGGAGTTGTTAAGGTGGAAAAAACATTTGACTATTTACATAACGTTTTGAGTCATAGAGATATTTTGATGGATATTAACTGGCATGTTTCGGTAACAATGCCAAAATCTGGTTCAAACTCACCAGGAAGAGGTATATTTATCCACGAGCCAAATCAGGCTTTTAAGCGCACTGAACACTTTGTTTACGTAAAACCTGAACTTCACGGCGAAGGCTTAGAAAAGGAAAAAATAAATTTGTCAGTCCATGCTCGATTGGTTTGTGAAGAATCTTATGTGAAATCGCCTTCCCATATTGAATTAATGAACACTGGTCGTGGATTTTATATTCAAGTAGATCCAACAGGACTAGAGACTGGATGCTACTTGACCGAGCTCAAAGCTTTTGATTGTGATAATGTAGAAAGGGGGCCATTATGGCGTTTACCTATAACTGTCATAGTTCCTCGTAAAGTACCAAGCTGGAACTACAGTCAAGAAAACATTTCTTTCCAACCAGGAGAAATCCGTCGTCACTTTTTCGTTGTTCCCATTGGCGCAAGCTACGTTGGTTAGTATATAAATTTTTTTCTAAAAGCCCGCCACACAATTTCTAAACTTTATCAAACAGAAGTCCAATTGACAAACACTTACGTGAACTTAAAAGAAAATCCTCACCAGCGTCATTTTGGGGTAGTAGCTATAAAAGAATTGGCTGATGGAGGAAGAAAGCGTAAAGCAAGACGATTTACAATAGCGGCAGGTGAAACTATAAAGCTACCTAATATTTTACGTCGAGTAGGTGTAAGGTTTAAGTGTGGCGGGCTAAAGCTTCGATACCAAATTTGAATATTGTCAGTCAAGTTACTTGCAAACAGAGGTGAAAATTTCGTCAAACCACAAAGAAAATTCACTAAAAATGCTCCTTCATGCTGTACAATTTCATAGTTTTTCAACAAAAAGATTATCACATTTTCTATCACTGAATCCGTTAGCAACGGCTGATGATAATTTTATTTTGATTAATGTAAGTTATAGCTCGCCACTCATCGACAAGGCTATGAATTTCAATAATGTTTTCATATACTTTAGGATAATTCAACAATTGAAATAACCATTGCTAGATGGTGGGCATCTTTGGGGAATGCTACTCTATCCTACTCCGTTCAATTTAGAGGAGTGATGCTGTCATCTAAATCATTTACTCTTCATGCTGGTGCGCCAGCCCTACCAATAGATATTAAGTCATACTGTCCAAGAGCTGAAGAGATTTCACCTAACGTTACCCTGCGTTTTTGGGAGCAATCTCTCAAACCAAGCTCGTTTAAGATTAGAACATTGGATTCAATACGCGATTGTGTAGTCCCATACAAACGCCAAATTTATGGTTTGGAATTGATATATAAACTAAATATTGATCGCACGACCGACGTTGTCATAAATTTTGCCCCACTTTCTTCTTTATTGTACGAAAGTGATTTGGAAAGTCAGTTGTGGATGCTTCATGACGCGGCCACAAAGGTGCATATTACGTCGGGTGATGCATTTCCCTCAGGTTATTCGAAAAAGTTAGACAAGGGTGACTATTTATTGCGTCTCCAAATTCGACATGAGAAGCAGGATATTCTCGAAAAGCTTAAAGATTTGACAGCAACAATACAGTTAAAACTTCATTCTAACATAACGTTAGATTTGTACTCAGATACGTCAGGCGCCTTGGTTAATTCTAGGAAATTTCCATCTTCAATTATTTTACCAGAAGGTGAAAGCTCAACTTTCTTTGCTGCTCCTCCTAATGATGAGAAAATATCAAAGAACAGTGGTCGTCTACTCGGAAGCCTTACCTTGTCACGAGATGAATCAATAAAAAAAGCTGTAAACTATCCCTTTTATTATGTAATCCCAAATGGTAAAAAAAATAACAAGAGCACACCTGAAAAAAGACTGTCGAATGAAGAGGCAAGTAAAATCTTGATGGAAGCTGAACGAGACTGTCGAATAGCTCACCTGCGAAAGCTTGAGGACCCATTACTTTATTACAACGAATTATGCATAAAATATAATGACTATGTTCCTTTACATTTAAGTTACTTGCAAGGAGTAGAGGCTAATCCAAATGTTTCATCGGGACACATTACAGATGTTTGTACGAAGGCTTTAGATTTGATAGACAAGAATGAGGTATTAATAAATATTGGTCTTAAAAATGATCAACGACCTGATGCTGCCCGAATAAAAGCTGACACTGAAACGAAAAAGCTGTGGTTGATTGAGCTTTATATAAAATTTTCAAGCAGTCTTTTGGATTCACTCGAGAAAGTAGATAACGATATACTACGAATTGAAAATCAGAATTCTATTGAACTTATGAAGAGTCAGTTGCATCAAAGTATTCTAAATTTAATGTCTTTAAGCGATTCTTCACAGGACCAACAAACAGGTCAAGTTATTGCTCGCTATGCTTCTTATAAAAGGCTTTATGGAAAGTCACTCAAAATTTTATTGAAGATATTTGAAGAAAGATGTGCTGGTCAAGACTCAAATGATCTTGAAGTGAAAATCATTAGTCTTTGCAAAAAATGTGACTGGAATCATTTAGCAAATTATTATGAAGATTGGAGAGTCTATAAGCATCCTAAGGGGCCGTATAGACCTTTTTAAACGTGCAATCATGTATTTGACAGCTTTGTAATTTTCTGAGAATACATTTCTTGAATCAATACAGCTAAATCGTTAAAAAATGTATTTAAAAATTAAATGAATAGCGATAAATACTAACACGCATGAATTTTTTAATCGGAAACTTTGGTGTTGTGGTTATTATTTTGGGATCGAGAATATAGTTATTGTTCCATTGAGAATGAATATCTTAAAGACTTCACATGAACGGGTTAGTCGAATTAGTTGGTCTAGGATTTGAAGAGTTGTTAAAATTTTGCTGAAAGAATCATTTGGATAAAGTAGAGAAATTGATAAGGTATTTCAATTACCATAAACGGATTGGCTGAATTGCCGAATTGTTGAGGCTGTTGGGCCTGGTATGGCGTATTCCACTGAAAGTTGACATTGAAGTTTTGCTGCGACTGGATATTTGACATAAATGGGTTTGCACTTGGGATAGATGGGACTGACGGAATTTGACTTGAGTTAAAAGGGTTAGCTGAAAATAAAACAAATGTTTTCCAATCTTACAATATGAAAAAAATTATAATGTAAAACTCACTAGCGTTTGTTGTATTAAATGTTGATACAGTCTGATTATTAGTTTGAGGAGGAAAAGTACTACCATTATTAGCTCCAAATCCTCCAGGAGCAGAGTTAGAAACAGGAAAGGGACCTGAATTTTGTGATGGAATGGTTGAAAAGTTGCCGAAAGTCGATGAATTTGTCCCACTAAAATTTGTTCCTCCGTTTCCATCCCAAGTAACGGATGATGTCGAACTGAATTCACTGTCTAAGGCTGCAAGTGCAGCGTATTTGTCGCTGGAAGTCATGTTCGGTTTAGTCAGATTTAGTACGTTATGAATATTTTTAGATTCCGAAAAGGGTTGGATATTCGCAAGATTGGAAGTTTGCGTAGTGCTTTTGTCGTTAAAAGCGTCAAAATTAGCAAAATTGGCTTCAAACAAGGAGGATCCATTTGAAGCTAGTAAAAGTAAAAGTAGTGTAAGTTATTGTTCAACAATTGGTTATTTCAATTGAAGTGAACTAACGTGTAACAGATTCCTGCTCCTGCTGCATGACGGGCTTTGACGATGAGGTCTCCAATTGTGATTCCTGAAAGGGATCTTGCAGATCTGTGATTAAATTTGATGGCTTCTTAATATGATGAGAATTTATAGAGATGGAAGCTGGTGGAGGAGCTGAAATAGAAGGAAGGACTCTGCTTTGAGATATGGAGCTCTGAATTCCCCCTAACACATTTCTAGGTTTAAGTTCTCCTGATTTTTCAATAGAATTCATTCTTCGGGCCTCCTCATGAAAAGCTTCAGTTGGAGCTACATACCATCGTTTTTTTTCATATTTGTGAGTCATAAAATCTCTTAGTTTTTGTTCATCTTTGGTATTAGGCTCCATTGACTTATGAGCATCATACAAACCCAAATAAACTTTTCTGCAGAAATCGTTTCCTCTAGACTTCAAAAATTCCATCTCTTCAGTTGTAAATGATGCCATTGAAATGGATTTTACACGATGAGGGGGGTTTAAGCCTCGCCTGTAACAAATTTAACATTCTATATACAAGTTAGTTGGCATAAAAATTTTCTACATACACAGTTCCACTACATGCTGTACAAATAAAAGCCCCAATTGTCATATTGACGTAGGTTGGACCTCGTTGATTACAATCAAAACAATGCTTATTATGAGATAGAGCTGCCATTTCCCGCAACATTTTCAGGTGCTTTTCATCCTGTTTTCTCTTATTCGCCATCGTTAAAATATTACTAATTTGTATTTATGTTACTAAAAGAATAAATTTAGATAATTAGAGTGAATATAACAACTAGAATATATTCAGAGGAAATCTTCAAAAATCACAGATACCATTTTGGATATGTCGCTTATGGGTTCTATGCAAATCTTTTTCTTGACTTTAAAAAAAATACAAGTTACAGGTGACACCACTGATGTTGGCGCCAAAAATGTGAAAGAACTTTTTGAGAACAACATCATATATTTTTTATTTTTTTACAGGTTAATAATGTCAATTGAGCAACAGCAGCTGTTAGCAGCGTTATCGAAGCAGGCCTGGAACACTTGTCCGTAATTTCCGAACGCGACCTCTACTGGACACTGTTTCAACTATTTCCTCTTCCTCTTCTTCATCTTCGTCATAGTTTACAGTTCTTCTCCCTCGATTTCTTGTCATAATTTTATCTTCTTTTAGCTTATTTTTCCTATTTGATCCTTCAACAGAAAAATCGTCATCTTGAGTTGGTTTTCTGGTTCGTTTCTTTCTCGGAGAATTCCTTCTGACTTTTTGAAGCGGGGGAGTTGGTGGCTGTCTGCGCTGTCTATTGGAAGATTGGCCACTAAATTTATCTGTCTCATCTGCGTCATTGTCTGACAAAGAGTCTTGTGAAGAGGATATTTCAGCCGAATCCTCATCACTGCCTTGAGTAACTACATCATCTGTTGATGCTTCATTGTCTATTTTATCTTCCGCTGATTCGTCTTCTGAACTCTCATCATTTGAGCTACCATCAGAGTCATATACAGTTCTCCTTATTGTGCCTGTCTTCGATCTCGTTGAATATGAGCTATTACCATTAATGCAAGATTTATTTCTTGCGGCTCGCATGGGTGGTTTTCGGATATTAGTAGCCATCCGCTTTGATGCCTGTTCATTTTCTAGGTCACTGTCTGAATGAACAAGTCTTCTCTTGCGGCTTATCGTACCTGATTTAAAAAAATTTCTATTATCCCTGCATATCAAATATTTAGACTTCAACTAACGAGTTCTTGAGGAGTACGAGTCGCCACTACTTGCATTGGAATTCTCACTTTGTGAAGTTCGAGTTCGAGTAGACCTTCTCAAGGCTCTAGTTACGCGATCAAAGCTTGTACCAGGGGCACTATGAAAAGCAGTATTTTAAATTATTTACGTTACACAATAAAAACTTACTCTGCACTGTTGGTGATACTTGATAATCTTTGAGGTCTTGTAGTTTTCCCCGATTTCTGAGTTTCCGACGTTTTGTTCCATTGACTTACAATAGCATCAAATAGCGCAGACAGACGTAAAGTCATAGCATATACTCTACTACGTTTGTTTGTGTTGTACGTCCTAGAATTACTAAATATTAAACGCATGTCTTGACAAAACTGCTTTGGAGACTGATATTCATTGGATTCAAGTTTTTCTTTCACTCTTCCGAGGTGCATTGGTTGATCAATTATTTGATAGTAGTCGAGAAATTGCTCCGGATCAACTGCGTCCCTAAATGGTAATGAATCTTCGTGACTAAACATGGTTTGTAGAAGTTCTTTACATTCATCATTCCAATTTCGATCAGTATTGGGTCGTTTATCAGATGACCGACGTCGTCGTCGCGTTCTGGGAGAAGCACTTGAAGATTCTATTGATTCTTGCTCCTGCATAATGACACTGTAGATAGACATAATATTTAAGCAGTCAGTTCTTTGTATAAAATCCACGCAAAGTTTCACTGTGAGCTCAGCACAATGGACAATATGAGAGCCTGGCTCATTGAATAGTTTTGCATTAGATTCTATGAATCTAACGTCTTTAAGAATTGAAGTGACTCGTCTATAATAGCGATTTTCTAAACGTGACCTAATAGTAGACAAGTCGATTGGATATGGTACAACCATTGCGTAGTACGGGAAGGCAGAGAGATCTACAGGAGCAATGAAGTGTTCAGCTATGCGGATTTCCATCACTCTTTCTATTCCCTCCTTTATTCTATCGCATTCAACATCCCTTCCATGAGGAGGCCATTCACCCTCATCAGGTTCATAGTACTGAGAAGCGCGAAACTCTGCAGGTGTTACTGAAACGGAACCACCTTCAGGAGGATTTCCATGCTCAATTTCTAAGTCCCAAGGGCTCATTCTTTCCCTTTCACCATTATCCCATCTTACCCATAAACATTGAAAATGACTGTGTGGAAAGTCATCTGAGAGACATTGATGAGCTTCTATAGATCCATGCCACCAAGCATCATCAATAACTGCCCGAAAGCGATCACTTTCTTTCCATTGCCTTTCCATTGCAGTGACATACGTTTTTCGAAGGACTAAAAAATCAATTACGTCAGGCATATCATGATATTTTAGAGTAATGGATTCTCCAGTTAGTTGACCAGTTTCACTGTCAACATGACCCAACTTAACACACACTAAACGAGGAGGTTTTATCTCATACTTTATACCAATAATACGCATCCATTCGTGAGGAGAAAGGTCCTGATCTTTTTCCCAGGGTAAGATAAGATTTTGTTGTATATCATAAACTTTTAGCCGATTTACAGAATTAACATACAGCTCATGCCCCTGTCGGAAATACATAATATCATCACCCATTTGTGGTACATATGGGGTTTTTCGAGGAATCGCTGAAGTCAACCATTCTGGGGGTCGAAAGCGATCAGGGATCTCTCCATTCTCCATGTTTTGCAAAGCTTCAGCTTTTTTCCTTGTTTGTTGTGCACGAACAGCAGCAACTCTTCGTTCTCTTTGACGCTTCTGTGTAGTTCCCTGTCTCTTACGCTCTGGAACATTCTTAACGCGAGAATCTTCCGGTTCATTTTCAGATAACGATGAACTAGAGGATTCTCTTCCATCCTCTGGAAATATCCTTTTTCTTTTTATCACTCTCTTAGGTCGATGATTTGAGGTACCACCATTTAATTGACTAATTCTTTTAGAAGGTGAAAGTCGAGTTGGTGGTTCCAGATTTCCTGTTGTAGCTGTCCAGTCGGAATAATCACTTGAAGCGCTATAAATAAAAAAATCAATAAAAATACAAAAATAATAATTCAAACACACATATCATCGCACTCTTCTTCTGAAGTTTTCCATGCAGGTTGCTCATTATCCTCTTCGGCATTAGTTTCAGACGATTCCTTAACGTTGAAAAAATGTCGTATTAAACGTTTATATGGCTTATAGAGAAACTTACTACTTCAGTATCATATAAAGCTCTGGTTGTCAGTCTATTTATGCTGGTTTCTTCAGTGCTTGTTGTTAATCTTTGAATGTTTTTTTTAACTTTTGTTCTTTTCCGCGTTGAGCGAACAAATGGTTCATTTTCCTCATTTTTATCCTGATTAATAAAAGTGATAAAATTTTCATGTAATAAGGTATGGAAATAATTCTTACAACATCGTTCAGTATGGGCTTCTTTTTACTCTCTTGTATATAGATTTCCAGTTCCTTTTCTCCAAATATCCGACGCTTTTTCTCACATTCAATGAGGTCATAACGAGGCCGGGGAATAAAACCATAGGAACATTTCGCTAACGGTTGAATGATACCAGCATAGTCATGATCAACATGTGGTTGAGGAGTTCGTTGAGCTTCTGATGATGTGCTATTTGCACCTTGTGCTTCTGGAAGAACATCACCTGTGGCTGCCATTCTTTCATCTTGTTCTCTTTGCAGTCTTTCAATCATAACATCCAGATTGGAATGTTGACTTTCATCATCTTCTTGCCCAACATCGCCTCCAGTATCGGCTAGTGAGACGTCCAATACTTCTCTATCGCCGGACGGAGTAAGAGCAATTTGAGGCACTAAATGACCCAACTCGGCTTTTTCTCGGCCAGGAACAAATCTTTGTAAAGAAGGAGGATATGGCATACCGTTCATATCTACGAGGAAAGGAGGAGGCATTTGGTGAGGAGGCATTTGAGTTTGTTCATCCAAGACAAAGCCAGCTGAATCGCGAATGAGAGGTCTATAGTCAGTATGAAAAAACAGGTCATTTGGTAGTTTTTCAAAAACTTCATTTTTATAGAATCCGAAGTGAGATAAAAAGCCGTGAGCATCTGTACAAACAAACGAAGAGCCGTCCTTTGACCATTTACCATCCAAAACTGCTCCATGTCCTTGTCCTTCAATGGAGTTTAAAAACTCAAAAACTTTAGTGCCTGTTTCCAAGTCCCATATGATAATATATCCATCGTGACCAGCACTCAACATAAGGTAAGGGTCAGTTGGATGCGTCTCAAGCACATAAACCTCAGTAGTATGTGATACAAATGTCGAAACAAGTTGACCAGTTGATGCACGCCAGAGTTTAACGGAAAAATCACTGACAGCCGTTAAAACGTGAATGTCATCACATGTCCAAGCAACCATTGTTACTTTCAAAGGCTTTTTATCTCTGAAAATGTTATGGTTGATAATAACGTTTCACCTTGATAAAAAATGAAGCTGGTACACAAATATTTAGTATTTTCAAGAAAATAACGCAAAGACTTACAGATTAACATCAATATTACTATCATTTTTACTACCACTTCTATGACCGTTAACTCTTATTACAACAGCTTTCCATTGTTGTCTTTCATATCTCCACACGCGAGCAGTGCCATCCCAAGATCCGCTAACAAATTTATCCGTACCCTTTGCGTACTGGATACTATCTACATATTCCTATATTAAATTTTTAAATTAGTCTTTTCGCGTTTCTTTTAACTGAGTTAAATTAATTCTAGCTTCGGATGATGATGAAGATGAGCAACAAACAATCACAAACGAACATCAAGTTTAATTGTACACAGTATGCACTTACTACAAATATGTATAGAAAATTCAAATCTCGATATAACCAGAACGTTTTTTCTGCTTTTGGAAAATATCTTAGTTAATAATGGAGGCATCGATGATATATTTTAACAGGCCTGGCTAAAATCGAGATCTGAATTATACATTTTTAGTTCAGACAAACTTACTCTCTTTTTAAGTCGTTCATTCTTAATACAAGCGTTTTCCACGTATCATTGGTGAACCGCCATATACGAGCTGTACCATCTCCACTCCCACTCAAGTATTCATTTAAATTGTGAGCAAATTGAATACTATCAACTGGAGCCTGAAGTATATTACACTCAAACATTCATTCACACATAAAGTGATTGGACAAAATATGATTTTGATGATGTACAAATACAAAGTTTGATACTTACCGTATGAGCCTCCAACTCGGCAATTTTATTTGGTGCAGAAGTGAAACAGTAAACTCTAACTGTATTATCAGTGCTGCCTGTGACTAGAAAAACGCCACCGGGACTGAAAGATGAACATAACATTTGAACTCCAGCTCTAGACCGTTCGATAAACTTTATAGGTTTAGGCCTGTAAACATTTCAAGTAAAATAATAGTATTTATATGAAACGTAGACTAACGTGAATACTCGGGTCTCCTGATTATAATGCCAAAAGCAAACATTGCCTTCTTCCCCAGTGCTCATAAAATAGCGATCGTTACATCCCGCTCTGACCAACGGACAGAATTGTAGCGAAGTTATAGGAGCTGTATGGCCATTTAAAACCGTTAAATGTTCAAAATTCAGAGTACTCCAGACACGTATTGTTCTATCACAACTCCCTATTGAAATATAATCGACTATTTACTAATTTCTTTATTACGAGTCATTCTTACCAGTAGCCAATATAGTATTATCATAACTAATAGCCATATCCGTTATTTCTTTAGCATGACCTCTTAATGTTCTAATCAAACGGCCATTGTGAGCATTCCAAACTTTTACCAAGTGATCATCAGCTCCCTGAAAAGAGTTTAATAAAGTTATGTTTCTTGAAGCTATTGAAGAGCACCGTAATGATGAACTGGCCGTTATTGTCATAAATTACACAATAAACAGCAGATAGATGACCCAGAGTTCTTTTCTGGCGTCGAATATTGGAATACAGGGTTACAGGTAATGAATGCTTTCCTAGTATACGACCTGTATATTCTCTACCATGAATCAAATAGTCTGAAAAGAGGTTTTTCGTTGGATCATGTTTTGAATCTTTAAATAATTTATTTCTTACAAGCATTTATATTTTTCCTTGTACTCTGAGATAAGGGTAAAGCTCGCCCTCGGCTTTTAACCGATAGTTCAGGAAAACAGGATGAAGAAAAATCTATTGGATTATTTAAAATATTTTTTCAAAATCAGAATTGTACCAACAAAAATCACGCACCCTCTTTTGTTCGTAATAAGGATTGTCTTCCAGCACCCAATAGAGTTTTGACTCCGGACACAGGAGGAGGTATCTTTTCATCAAGAAGACGCGGCAAGCGTTCGCAAATTTGCAGTAGATGCCCATTCCCAATTTGATTATGTAGTTGATTCTAAAAAAGTTTCAAATTACGCGCTTATATTTTCTATCCAATCAGGAACCGCTTACGAGCGAAATGTCAAAGAGAAGTAACTACTTTGAAAAAAAAATGCACTTGGTTCATAATGGTATGAAATCATTATTTTATCATATGTGGCCTCGGTCTCATTTCAATTTCTAGCACTACATTACCAATGAACCCTCAAAATATATAAATATTGCACTAATAGTGTAGACACAAATATAATTTAAACTCAAGATACATCAAAACTGGGATGCGTCTTGTGTAATGAGAAAATTTTATACCTTTAAATATTTAGTCAAAATTTTCACGTTCTATCAAGTCAAAATTTTCGAAAAATACTTACGAATTGCTCAAAATTTGTTGAAAAAGGATGTCCTGTCCAATCGTTGCCTTTTGGTAAAACCTATACAACAATAGAGTTTCAATTTTGTTTAGGCCTAAATCGCAACTAGTATTTCTAGGAACACCAGGAAACACGTGGTTTCTACTACGTTTACTATATTTAACGTGCTTACTTTCTTTTCGTTAATTTCCTTTATTAAAGTCTGTCAGAAGAAAATATAAATTTGAAGTGTTCTCATTTCCTCTCAGCGTTTAAATAAAAATATTTTACTACCTCAGCCGATTGTGTGCAAGGTCCAGATTGAAGAAATTTGACGATTAAAAAATACAATTCTGAAAGTAGCAAAGAATGATATAGATGTCAACAAAAAGGAACCGTAGCATTTTCCCTCACCTGACTCCATCGGTGTTACTTGAGCCGCTTCAGATACGCTTTCCTCATCTGTCTCCATCATGTAATCACAGCAGGTGCTTTATTAAATACTCTGGGAAGGGATAAATCCCACTTTGAAAACCCTGGAATTCCGTACAAAAGCTTCTAGCGACATGTTGTATTCTTACGCGCCGCTTCGATGGTTTGCCATATGAAAAAAATAGTTCCCATGAAAATTCTTTTGTATCGCACTTAAATAATAATTAATTAAATAAATTCATAGAATACTTCTTTAATTTTATTAAATTTCTTTTATTTATTTAAACCAATACTAATTATTATCATCAAGGATTTTAGGCAAAAAGACATTTTCCCCAGTCCTCAAAAATTTACGCGCTTTAATTTTTACCTAAACTACTAGACGTTCTGATAAGCTCAAATAGCCTTACATCAGTCAAATATATATATATATATATATATGTATTAGGTAAGCTTTCTTTTCTTACTTCAAACCATTGGTTACATAGAATTATAAATGAGTCCTTTCAGTACATTATTTTTTACGAAAGATTAATCTAAGCATCTTACGAGCGTTCTTAAAACCGAGCTTATAATATATTTTGTTCTAATTATAATAGTAATGAGGACAGAATTTCATTCCAATTATAATTCTCTTTACACAAGACTTGTGATTCTTTGACTGCGAGTATATAATGAATCTCTATTAGGACGGGTTATTTCTTTCCTTAATTTACTTATCACTTAAATTACCCCAAGGTAAATAGACCTAAACCAAATTTTTTTAACTGTTTAACTTTTCGATGATCATTTTCTTGGAGATGTACTTATTTTTATTGAGTATATGTTAATGCTGCAACCAATAGCTGCCCCTTGATACAAATGGTCTGAGTCTATGCATAGTACCTCATTAGTGTTTGTCAGTGAGTAGTGGAGGTTTCAACTTCCGTTGGTCGTGTTCTAATATCTAAGCAGGTAAACTATAAATTTATTTCTTTTTGCAATGAATAAATAAATATACGAACTAACAGTTTATAGGAACATACAAGCTTTAAACACAGAAGAATTATGTCTTCCATCACCTTATGGAGTTTGGTTTTTTTCTTATCTTTTATGATCTGTAGATCAGATGAAATCGATCAACGATTAATTAATTTATCTAAATCTGATCATCTTAACAAGCGTCTTTGGATTGGAAGCTTACATGGCGGGCCATTGCCTGTGGCTTCTCGCTTATCCAGTATTCTATCTCAATTCCCAGAGTCATCAGAAAGTCTACCAAAGCCAGCACGATATTGGAAAATACGATATGGTCGTTAAGTCGTGTTTGCTTAATTAACGCTATATACATGTTGTGAATTAAATTAGCAAAATATACTTTTATGAGTTCAAAGTCAAAGAAATTTGAAAGACTTAATTTGGAAAGATTAGGATGTAAAGCTTACATATATCGTATATATTAATTTGTGTGATTGACAGTTATTTTTAAGATCCATATCCCTTCTACGTAAAGTTAACAGATCTTTTATCTTTTGATAATAAATGCTAATAGATAAATCTTTAGGATAGTATTAAATGCAATAAGCTGTTAACAAATTAGGGAAGAAAGAGACGAAGATGACAGTGACTTTTATGAACTCAAGCTCATTAATGACTCTCACGTTGTTAAAATAAACAGTATCTTCAAGTAAAAACGTGATACAAATTCTGAAGTAAATCACAAAAAAATTGTTGAATTGAACATTTTAAGAATGAAAATGTAGGCGATTTCTGTTTGAAATATCTACTTTTATGTCTTCATCTGCAAATTTGAGATTCGCATTTTACAGCTTTTTAGATTTCATTTATGATATATTTATTTGTAATTTTCGATACCCTATTCTTGATATTTGTTGTAAATTCATACCTAAAGCAGGTTTTGTTTTAATATAACGTAGTTACCGTGAGATGATAGGAGCCTAGCAATCAGTCAGTTATTATAGCAATCTAAAAAATCCTTATGGATTTATATATTCACACTAAATAGATAATTAGAGCACGAAAACTCAGAAAGTGTTTCATTCTACTCTAATAAGATATTATTTAGAGGTAGAATAAGTACAAAGTAGATATCTTCAAAATAAGTATTTAGAATTGATCTAATTATCTTTATTGAAAGTTGTTTCTTTTAATATCGTAGATCTTTTAAACTGATTTATTGCTTCTTTCAAACATTTTCATTTGAGAAAGTTTGTTGATAGAGATAATATTCCAGAAAACTGTGACAAATTTAATTCCGATAAACCTAGAATTACTGACTAGCAATAACTATACAATATACTAATTGTCATATTAAATAAAGTTGCTAATTATTCTTATTCTCATAGGTTAATTAAAGTAGTACAACATGTGCAACTATCTACATATTATAGGAGTCATCAGTTTTCAATTCATTTCAATAGCAAAAATACTGTTTTTCCTAGTTAGGTACCAGGTAGGAACTTCTTTTGGGAATTTAGTATGGTGGCTACCACGGAATAGACTACTCTGCAAATGATATAGCGACATCTCATCGGGCCACATTAATGAGATTTTTTGGAATCGGGTATATTATGGATGTTGTATTTAACATTAATACTCCGCGATATCCTGACGACTCAATTGTCAAAGAATTGTTTACTTTTGTTTATAATAATGATGAATCAAAAGTGAAAGAAAATATAATAGGGAATAATTCATCAAATTTCTATTTAAATAAATCCAAAAGAACGCTTCTACATTTGGCCGCCAGTTCAGATACAAGAGTAAATGTATTATCAATTCTCCTCGATGCTGGAGCAGATGTCACGATGCGTGATGTATGGGGAAGTACTCCCTTGATCGTTGCTATTATTCACAACGCAAAACAGTGTGTTACAGTTTTATTATCTTATGAGCAAACATTAAAATGCCTTTTGATTGGTGATAAAAACGGAAGGCTTCCCTTGCACTTTGCAGTTACGAACTCAGACGACATGTTGTTGAGAGTTTTGGGTAGAATGAACCCACAGGCACTTACAATAGAGGATAAAAGAAAACGAACGGTACTTGATTTAGCTGTTCTTTGTAAACAGAAAAAGATTGTTGAAACCTGTTTCAAACTTGCCAAGAAATATAAAATTAGCTTGAAAACATGGAATGCAACCATTCAGGCTTGTAGGCAATCATCAGTTGAAATAATTAAAATTTTGCTTGAAGAAGGAAAAGTTGATTTTCATGAGTTGTACCTGGAAGTCTCTTCCTGCCCGATTTCATCTGAAGTAAGTAAATTACTAATGGTGGCTGATGGAACTGGCTTAGTTGCAAAATCCGTTCTAAGAGAGTCAAAGTATATGGCTAAATTTGAAAATGAAGATTCACTTTATTTCGGATTATTATCAGGTCATATTTCACAAAAACACGTTCCATCTTTAAAGAACATTGTTATTTGGAAAATTCGGCAGTACTTAATGCCACTTCATGGAAATGTACTGAGAGCATGTTCTAGAATTGATAAAAATATTCTGCCATATCGTCTTATAAATATGTTATTATTACAAGAATAAATTGTTTGTTTTATGACATTTAAAAATTAATTTACACTATAAGCTCTATTCACTTTACTCTCCGACAATGCTGTAGACTTAAAAGTTTCCATATCATTATCCACCCCCTTGTCCAATTTAAACATCACACTGAACATTTCACCGCCCAACTTTCTAGCCAACCACTTATTTTTTATTACTGCTACCTAGATTGAGAAAAAAGAATTAATTAGTTGGTACTATTTTAAATTTCAATTTCACCTTTAAGCAATCACATCGTAATTTCACGTTTAAATTAGTGTGTATTGCTCGACCCATACCTTCCAAAATTACAAGGTCTATTTGTTTTGTATTCATAATGTCCGCTAAAGCAGAGTCAATATATCTCAAATCAAGACAGGGAGATTGGTGACCTGATTCCATGGCTGTAATTTGACCCTTTCTTATGGCATTTTTTATAACTTCATCAATAGCTGACGCTTCTCTTAAAAGCTCTTTTAATTCTTGAATAGTTACGTCATTTAAAGCTGGCCCAGAATTGGACACTAATATAATTCTTTTTGAACCCAATCTAATCAGTTCCCTCACAAGGGGGAATATTCCTAATATTATATCTGCTCCTGAATTATCCACAAATATCACAATATTGTTATAAATGTTTGTTTTTAGACGATTAAGCCAGTCATCATAACTGTCAAATAGCCAGGGTCTAGATTGAAGGCAGTTTAAGGCATTAGAAAAATTAAAATGCTCTTTGCTCTCCAGAAGTTTTCTAACTTCTTCAGCACCCCAATCAAATACGTTTCCAGCTAGAACACCCTATTAATATAAATGTTAAAATGAAAATTTTCTGTGCGTATATTTTTGGGGAAAATATTACCTTGGCAATAGAAAGTTGCCTATCTATAAAGCTAAGGTCATCCAGATAATTTAATCTCTCTTTGAAATACTTTAACGCAGTTGCATTTTCTCTTGTTTTCTCCTAGCGTGAAGTAAAATATTAATTGTATAAAATATAGAGAAAAAATATACTTCTTCATAAGGGTCAGAGAATTGATGCTCTTGTAGTACACACTCACGAAGATCTAATAAACTGCGAACAGTTAATGACCCAAAAGCTCTGGAATAAATTTATGAATATAACTTTCTCTTTAAAAAGTAAAACTTACATGGGATTTTTATGAATCTTGTCGAGTCTCTCTAAATACTCAATTTTAAAGCAATTACTTCTTTTTTCAGAATCTAAACAAGAAGGTTGACTTTCTTTTGCTTTCTCAGCGTACTATTGTGAAAAAGCAAACTTAGGTGTTATTTATATTGTAAAATTATTTGTGTTACTTTATCGGTGGCTTCTTTAAAGCATCGAAGCCAATATTCTCTAGCGTCATCATCTTTTGTTAGATCAACAACATCAGGATGATAGGAGCTAAAATCAAGTAACAAGGGGCATGGCTTAAGATGGCAACATCTTCTTGTGAACTCCAGCTGGTCACACTAGATAATTGAAAAGACTGGTAATAGTCAAACTTTCAAAGACAATACCTACAGTGAAAGCAGTATCAACTTCTTCGGAAATTGATAAATGACGAGTTTTGAGTGTTCCAGAACCATTACTACTGCCTTTTGTCTTAAGAAAATATGTTGGACTTAAACCAGAACTTCCAGCATAATTTTCCATCCATGAGCTTTCATTTTCAGCTTCTGCTCCCTTCAAAAAGGCTCCAATTGCACCAAGGTATCCTTCATGGCGTAAAAACAAGGCTTGAATTTCTCCTGCACTCCAAAAATTAATTGCGTATGTTATAGTGTGCATAGTTGCATGATATCCCCTTATAAAATATCCTCCGAAATATATTTTCTTTAGATTATGTAAACGAGCATGAAGATATGCAATTTGACATATGTTATTACTTATCATTATAAGTAGACTTCGCAAACGGTCCGATTCTTCAAATTTTGCAGAATTGTCATTTTTTTCTTTCAGAGTCTTTGCAGCCTTACCGAAACTACTAGCTATTAAATCGGCTGGCAAATTAAATCCAGGACATACACCACCATATATATCACCCACCAACATATCAATATGTTTATGATCTCCCTTAGCGGCGATGTCTAACATTTCGTCGAAGCCTTGAGCCTTCGTAAGCTGTGATCCTAGGCCCCAGAAAGTACCACCACCAATACTGGATCCGCCGATACGAACAAATTTGTTAGGGCCGTCAACCTTGATAACACTAACTCCGGATCCACATTGGACCAATAGATAGGGAAACATTGTGTTATGATCTGGAGTTTGGAAAATGTAAGGAGGTCTTTCGTTTTTTTGATACAAAAACACCTCATCTTCAATGTTCCTCAATAGAAAATTACAGCCCTTAATAAGACACTCCATTTCATCTTCTTTTTCGATTCTGTATAATAATAATTGCTAGAGATTCAGAGATTCAAATAGCACTAAAATAACAATATTTTCATCTTACTTGACTCTCAATTTCTCTGAAACCATTGCTGAAAATTTGAAGGCACCTCCACCAGTTACTTTAACAACATTGTTATCTTGGAGAGGGGCTTTCAGTAGATTTTTATTTATAAAATCTAGACAGGCTTCTATGTACTTAGTTTCAAATTTGATAAAATGCAACCTTTCACCCAAGCACCTGCTGGAGTTGTCAAATGATGATTTTTGCGAAACGGAAACAGTGTGATCGTTTTTATCATGGGATAGATGATCCGATTGGCTCTTGGAGGGTATTTTAGCACAATAGGCTAGTTTCGTCAGAGAACCTCCTGAAATAGATTGGGAAATTTTATTATTTTATAAGAAAATCTAAGTTTTTACCGATATCAAGTGCGAAGCTTTTTGCATACTGGATATTTTTAAAAATAACTTCCGGAGGGAGCTCAATACTTTTGGCATATTCGGTTTCAGCCATAAGAGCTTGAAATTCAGGGGATACGATTTGTTTAACGTAAATAAAATACAATCGTCCTTGACTGTTTCTGATAGTGCCATCTAGTGCAGAAGTTAATGCATTATTAGATTCAATATACAATACAATAATTTAAAATTGACTTTCCATGAACAATAGTATATTTGGTAAACCGTTAATTTATTAATTTAACAGAATTTGGTTTAAATATTAAAATTACGAAGTTTCACTTGCATAACGTTGAACAAAGTGTTTTACTTCCTCAGGGAGTTATAGTTATTATGTATTGACGGTAGAAAATAGTATTATACGAAGCGGATAACAATGTCATTCGATGATGGAACAAACTTAAGGATTCAAACGTAGTAACTGCAGATAAAATGCAAATATAGAAGGCATACAATTCAGTAAAATTTTTTAAACTAGAATTCATATTCATTATTCTACAATAAAATGCAGCATGATCTCTGATTTCGTTTTGGGTGATAATTCATTTCACGAACTATCTCAATAAATACATTATTAACATTGTGCGAATTTTTCGCTGAAGCCTCTAGGAAAGGGCAAGACCAATCATGAGCTAGACATTTACCTTCCTCTGTGCTTACTTCGCGTTGAGGTTCTAAATCCACTTTATTTCCCACTAATAATATGGGCGCTCTGTCCGTTCCCTTAACTCTCGAAATCTGGTCCTTCATGGTCCGAATATCGTGAAAAGTCTGCGAACCCGTTATTGAATACACCACGATGAAGCCTTGTCCATTTTTAATATACAAATCTCTCATGGAAGCAAATTGTTCAGTTCCAGCAGTATCCAAAATTTCCAACACAGAAGGTGCATCGTCAACAGCTATTTCCTTGCGGTAAAAATCTTCAATTGTTGGGTCATATTTTTCAACAAAAGTTCCTGATACAAATTTTAAGGCCAGAGCTGATTTTCCAACTCCCCCACTACCCAATACCACCACTTTGTATTCTTTCATTATTCACCCTAGATAATAATTCCGACATTAAGAAAACGTCTACGAAACGTATATGACACACAAATTACTATTTAACACAATTTACAAACTTACAAATTATTCGTTATATATGTTCTAAGTCTTTACTCAGAGATACCTTGCTCTTATCACTTAAAATCAGTTAATCGGTAAGGCTTTTTGAAAATTGCTATAATAAATCTGAAAAAGTAACAATTGTTAGCTAATAACTAGTAAAAACGTTTAGTTTTAATTTTTTACTCTTTTTTAAGCATAATCTACTCTAGTTGTCGACTTTTCCCAGTGAGCATGATTTTTCGTCTACATGGTTAACAACAGGGTGCGGCGTTAATATTACTTGCTTTTAAGCAGCTGCGAAGTTGTCACAGGTTAATCACGTATTATGAAAATATCGTTTGATAATCATAAAACACCATCATTTAAAACTCACAATTTTATAAATACAATGTTGAATGCACTAAATATGATAGTTAGATGATATTTGTTTTATATTCCGTACATTTTACAGATAGTTTTTAGACAGCCAACAACAGCGACCTCTATAGTTTGTTTCCTGTACATCCTGTGTATAAATGTTTTACTGTTTGAAAAGTAGTCACTGCTCATCGAAAATATTTTATTCAAATAATTAATTCGTTTTATTTTAGATTGAAATTGAAAAATTTAATTACGTTTCGATATTCTTGAAACTTGATTTAATAAATTTTCTATTTAGCAGTTTGAAATTTATTGAAATATTCTCATAAATGATACAACTGAAATAGAACGTCAAAAACTTTTTCAAAGGAAAGAATAAAGCTACACGGATCATTTGCAAACAAATTTTCAAAGATTTAAGATCGGTACTGGTACTAAGAAATATATATTTCATTCGTTTCCCTTTAGATTATAAACCCCATATAGCACATCACGGCACTGACGCATCCTTCACTGAAAACGCATACTTGTCTAAGAATCTAAATCTCACTCAAAGTCATATTTTACTGCAAAACATAAGATTTTAATCGTGTAAATCATAATTCTACATCCTGACAAACAATAATAGGTGAATTTGGCTTGGACTGCAGCCGAATTAGTTGAAGTCTCGAATAGTTTTCCAAACTTTTCTCTGGAACTGTGACTTGATGAAGCGGCTTAGAATTTGCTGCTTGTCTAACCACATTCTCTTTGTAACTGTTAGAAGGCTTTGAAAAAGTATACATTTTTCGGTACTGCTTACTTATTCGACAATGTAGAGCTCGACGAAATGACAATCGAAATTTGCTTGACATCATGTTATACACAATAGGATTGACAGTTGAATTTAAATATAACATAATTCGTATAAAATTAAGCAAATTCTGCAATCTTTCTCTGCCAAACTTTTTCAAAGTGTCTTGTTTAGTGAAAATAATCCAGAGTCTAAAAAATACGTGAGGTGCTAGACAAACGAAGAATAAGACGACTACTGCTAGTAACATAATCACAACTTGACGGCGAGTTTTTATTTGAGTGCAACTTCTTTCATTTGCTTTTTGAGAAATATATTTATCTGTTATTAATTGCTTGGAAATGAACGCATACAAGGCTACCAGAAAAACGAAGGGAAGGAAAAAATACACTGTGGAGAAACCAACAAGATAAGCTTTTTCGCTGATTTTTGTCATATAAGTTCGACAGGTCTGAATATGTTGTCCATTTAACCATATAACGTCTTTCAGTTTGGCCATCGCAAATAATGGGCAACAAGTTACAAAAGCAAGAATCCATATAAAAATACAAATTTTTACCGTTCGTTTTATGGTGCATGAAGAACTTGCATGCAGAGGGCGGCAGATGGCACAATATCTTTCAAAACTAATAGCCAAGATTGTGAGAACGGATGCAGCATTCACACAACTTTCCAAAACGGGCAAGAATTTACCTGCACAACCATAAAAAAGTACTCGTTAAAGAAATTTTTTCAAATTTAATACGTCCCTCATAGAAATTAATTAAATTTTCTTTTTCACTCTGAATCATTTTAGATGATAAAAGGGCTCTATTTTTTTTTACAAAATACAATGATTAAATTTCTTGAAGGTGACGTTTCATGCTAAATGTGTCAAAAAGTACATATTAAACTTCTTTTAAAAAAAATTAAATTAGGTTGGGTAATTTTAAAGGAAAATTGCTAAAGATTTATCTTTATTACATAAATAATTTAATGAAAAGAAATTTTAAAAGTTGCATGTAGAAGATGAGAAACTTACACATGAAACTACCAAAAAACCACTGATCTCTCGCATATAAGTCCACAATAGCAGATGGCATACAAATAATCAAAGCAAGACAGTCGGCGATGCTGAGATTGACAAGAAAATAATTTGTGGAATTTCTTAAGTCTTTATTCCATTTAACAACCATAACAACCAATACATTTCCAATTACACCAGACGTGAAAATGATGATATAAGAAGTTGTTACTAAAAGTAGCATATATATTGGGTGCTCAGGCAAATTTCTTGTAGTATTTAATGATACATTCATATTTTTCTTAGAAGGAAGTATCCCGTTCTAAAAATAATAGATCCTTTCCGATATGTTGCTGCAGCTATTCTGCAACTCCGTTATTATTTGACATCGCGTGACGTCGGAAAATCTGTACGTATAGAACCTCTGTTAATAAATAATGTTTAACAAGGTAGGCTCAACGAAGGGCGTCAAAGTATGTAGTATTACAAAAATTTTTAAATACCAAACATCCTAAAAAAATCTATCAACCACCTTCCACTCACGGTTATTTGTAATTTTCTTTTAAGATCACGTTTTCCATCACAGTATATAACGTTTCTAATTTTTATATGATCAACATGAAATTTTTAAATCTTTTTTATAGCATTTCGAAACTTTCATAACTGAAGAATATATGCTTCGACTATACAAAACTACCTATCAATTTTAGAATTGGAAATGCCAACTAAAAAGGAACCAAGCCTTAAAATAATTGGGGGATTACTGTTAATTAATTAAATTATTTTGATTGAAATATTCAGATATAAACGTTCAAATTTAAGAACTTGTAATTTTCAAACACTATTCTGTCAAATTCTGATCCCTTTAATTTGTAATTTTTTTCAAGCATTTTCTATCGACACTGTAATTTTAGAAAACTAAATATAAAGGATATCAAATTAGGATAATTTGAACTAAAGATAACCGCCATTTTCATGCTTCGAGGTCTTTAAAATTAATGTGAACCTTAATTATTATTGTTGCAATAAAAAGCTATAAAGATTTCAGTATTTGGAAGAATCGATTTTTTTTGAAAAACACTGGAGACATCTGTTGGATAAATATCAAAGAAATTAAAGATGAATATGGAAGTTTACAGAAAGAGTATAGAAAATTATCTTTTGATATTTAGTGCGAACGGTACGAAAATATCACTAACACAAGTGGTATGTATTTAGTTTTGTTGTACAGATAATTTACTCTTAGTGTTGCTGAGTCCTTTGACCGATTCCATACTTAGACACGAATGTTTAAGAAGCGTTAAAAAACCAGCACGGTCAAAAAGTTGTTTGAGCGATTAAGGAGTATGTGGTTTGTGAAGTGCTCACATTTTTCTGTAAATCTATTCTTCTTGTTCTCTCACACGCAATGAAATTCTCGTTGACCACAGACCTACGAAATGATACGAAACACAGAATTTTGTAAAAAGCCCGACGAAATTCTGTGTTAAAGATGGAATACAAAATTGGATTTAAAGTGCTGTTTACGTAACCCATCCAAGTTGTGACAATGAATAAGATTTGCGGAATGCAATTTTCACACAAAGCCGATACTGAGTTAATGGTAAAAAACGGAGCCCAGCAAAGAAGAAATATTCCCATAATCACCCCTAAAGTTTTAGCTGCTTTTGCATTCGAATATTTATGCAAGGAATGTGGTAGGAACTGACGTGTCGTTCGTTGGATTATCTCCGCGTGCTTTCTAGCTGACTTGTATAATCGGCTATATAAAATTATCATGACTATACACGGAAGGAAAAAACTGATTGTAGATGATGCAATGGCGTAAACTGGATGAAGATTCATCACACAGGTATCGTTGAAAGGTTTTTTTGCCTGTCCGTGTAAATCCAGCTGAATTGGTAAAAAAGATATAAGAACTGAGCATATCCAAATGGCTCCTATTATTATCATTACTTTCTTTCGATTCACTTTATCGTGATATCTCAATGGCTCTCTGACATACAGATATCTGTCGAGACTAACGGCGCACAAATTAAAAATTGATGCTGTTGAACACATGATGTCCATTGATATCCAAATCTTACAGAACTTTTCACCAAAGATCCAGCTCTCAAAAATTTCATTTATTCCAGCAAAAGGCATTACCATTCCGAGAACTAAAAGGTCAGCCATAGCAAGAGAAATGAGGAAAAAATTCCCAGCTTTCCGCAAATGTCGCTCCGTCGATATAGCAAGGCAAACAAGGATATTTCCAAGCAAACCTATTATTATTGTAAGTGCCAAAAGTGTTAATTTAATACCGTCAAACAACTCTTTGTCACCATTGATCGACGAATTTCGAACCATTCTTTTCTTTTCGCTGCTAAAGCTCGAGTGGCGCTTTATACTACAACGTTTCCAATTTTATGCTAATTCAAATTTCGGAAAAATTTTTTCAGTTTTGAACGATAGGCTAGATGATGAAAGTAAATATCGTCATGTTGATAACGAAGTTTATTCGTTAAATTGTATATTAGACAACAATGGCTAATTATCATGTTCTATCATTTACATACATGCATATCTATCAATAAGACTAAAACTATTGAATATTTTCAATATCCAAAATGATTTCAATATTTGCTCAAAATGTTTAGTCTAACTACGTTGATAGTATTTTGCTAGAGTACTTTGCGGAATTCTTTTAAGCATTTCTTTTGGAAATATACGCAATAGCTGCCAACCAATGTCCAGTGTCTCATAAATTGTTCGATTTTCATAATGACCTGAAACGAAGTGTAAAAATACAATTCCTAAAGTTTTAATATTCATTTACCTTGAGATATAAAATTTTTCTCAAATTTTGTTAAGAATTCTAGATACAACAAATCTTCAGAGGTTAAAGCTTCTTCTCCTACCACAGCTTTCATAGCTTGCACATCTTTGCCAATAGCATAACAAGCATACTGAAATTTTTATAGCTTTAGATTTATTTAACAAATAGACTCTGATAAATACTAATTGATTCGAAACATCGGCATGATCTTCTCTCGTCATCCCTTCTCCAATAGCAGATTTCATCAATCTTGATAAGGATGGTAGTACATTTATAGGTGGATAGACTTGTCTATTATGCAGTTGTCTATCAACATAAATCTGACCCTCAGTAATATATCCAGTCAAATCGGGAATAGGATGAGTAATATCTGAATAGTTATAGCATGGTTAGTTTCAGAGTTATAACATAGTTTCCTTTATTACCATCATTCGGCATCGTCAAGATTGGAATCTGAGTAATAGAACCCCCTCTTCCTTCAACCCTTCCTGCTCTCTCATAAATTGTTGCTAAATCTGTATACATGTATCCTGGAAACCCTCTTCTGCCCGGAACCTCTTCACGAGCGGCCGAAACTTCTCGAAGAGCCTCAGCGTATGAGCTCATATCTGTTAGAATAACTAAAACGTGTTTTTCACATTGGTAAGCTAGAAATTCGGCCGTAGTAAGAGCAATACGAGGAGTGACTATTCTTTCAATGCTATAAAAAAGAAGTATGTTATAAAATAAGCTTAACTGATATGAAACTTACGTTGGATCGTTTGCTAGATTGAGGAAGAGGCATACATTTTCCATCGAGCCATTTTCTTCAAAATCTTGTTTGAAAAATCTCGCAGTTTCCATATTCACTCCCATAGCTGCAAACACAATTGCAAAGTTATCTTCGTGCGAGTCCATAACAGATTTATCAGGTAATTTAACGAGACCAGCTTGACGACAAATTTGAGCAGCAATCTGTAGAGATAATTAATCTAGAAAATTCCCTAAAACACAAAATTAAATCGTGACCTCATTATGGGGTAGCCCAGCGGCTGAAAAAATCGGAATCTTCTGCCCTCGTGCAATAGAGTTCATTCCATCAATAGCTGATATTCCTGTCTGAATCATTTCTTCCGGATAGATACGTGACCATGGATTGATTGGTTGTCCTATGAGACATATGTATTGGTACTGAAGAAAGATGATAGTTTACTTACCTTGTATGTCAAGGTATTCTTCTGCAAGAACAGTAGGACCTTTATCCACTGCTTTTCCTGAACCATTGAATATTCTACCCAACATGTCCTCACTGACAGGAATTCGTAATGTGTCACCAGTGAACTCACAAGTTGTATGTTTCGCATCAATTCCTGGTGTACCCTCAAATACCTATGAAAATAATCCCACTTTTTTTTATATAGCACAACACATCAGCAATTATTTTACTTGAACAACAGCTTTTGATCCGCTAACTTCTAAAACCTCACCACTTCTCACAGATCCGTCTTGGAGGGTGAGCTTAACTATTTCAGCATACTTCGGAAATTTAACATCATCTAAAATCACCAATGGTCCGTTAACACCAGACACTGTCCTATATGCTGAAAAGAGGTATCACATTTATAAAACACCTATCAACGTCTTTCTGAATGACAATATTTCAAATTTAACTTACTTAATCTTGGTTGAGATATATAATCCCTATTTACTGCTAATTGGTGAGTTTTCAAAGCAGTAGATGCATTCATGGTACTATTAATGTCCATCAAATCTCTCGAAGACGCCATAATGAATTACGATCATGTGATTCTCAGGCACATGACTTCTGTTAAACGTGCTCTTATTCCGGAGCATGTAGAATTATTCAAAATAGTATGGCAGTCTGAACCACTCTAGTAACCAACAACCAATCGTTAAGACATTTCAGTGTCAGGGACGAAAAGATTATTGATAATGATAAGCTCTGAGAAAAAAACGTAATTTCATTTGTTTTAATCGCTTATCAAATACCATCCTTATCAGAAACAGATATAGTTGATTACGATTAAAATTTGTCAAGTTGACTGCTTTGAGAAGTCGTTTTCTGCTTAAACTGGTCTATGTACCTAGCATGGCGAAGTATGAAGCTTGGAAGGGGAAGTTTAACATCTTACTAGTTTTTTTTGGTTTAGCTTTTTCAAATGGAGAGTCTAAAATAAAAATTTTTGGAATGATGCCTGTAGATTCCAAAATTAATGACGAAGGACATCAAACTATTTTTACCAAGAAATATTTTTCTATGATGGAAAATATTGACAATCAACTGAGGTTATTTGGAGCTGGTATCACAAATAAAACAGTAGTTAGCTTTGCTAAGAAAAATACGGATTTTACTGCAAGGTTTTCTGATCCATGTCAAGATGATCGTGTTACAAAAGCTTTCCGTGTTGAACCTGATTCCATCAGCAATTATTCTGCAATAGTAACTTTGAACTTGCCTTTTATTAATAATGATGAGAACTATCTTATTTGCACTCGGGATGATAATAAGAGTATGATGTGGATTTATCAAGATTCTTATGAGTGGATGAAGTTCAAAATGCATAAGAAACCCACGACTATCTTACCAACTTGGCTTCAAATTCTTTTTATAATGTGTTTGCTTACTATGTCTGGCTTGTTCTCTGGTTTAAATTTGGGCCTCATGTCATTAGATATGACAGAATTAGATATTATAGCTAGATGTGGTGATGAGAAAGAGAAAAAATATGCAAAGCGTATCCATCCAGTTCGAAAGAGAGGAAACTATTTGCTTTGTACTATTCTATTAGGCAATGTTCTAGTGAATAATACTCTGACCATTCTTTTAAGTGATTTAACAGGCTCAGGAGTTGTGGCAGTTTTATCATCGACAGCAGGTATTGTTGTATTTGGTGAAATCGTTCCTCAAGCTATTTGTTCAAGACACGGTTTGGCTATTGGAGCGCATACAATATGGTTTACTTATTTTTTCATGGGTGTAACAGCAATAGCTTCCTATCCAATTTCGAAAATTTTGGATGCTGTATTAGGAGAAGAGATTGGTAATTTTTATTCAAGGGATAGGTTAAAAGAGCTATTGAATGTCACACAAAAACAAATTGGCATGCAATACGACGAAATGAAGATAATCGAAGGAGCTTTGGCTTTAACTCAAATCACAATTCGAGATGTAATGACTCCTCTAGATGATGTATACATGATTGACATAAATCGAAAGCTAGATTTTGAAACACTTTCAGAGATTAACCAAAGCGGATATTCTAGAATACCAGTGTATGAAGGAGACAGGACTAATATATCATATTTTCTATATTACAAAGATTTAACAATGTTAGACACGGAGAAGAATTTAACTATAAGACAAGTGTGCGAATTTTATAATAGGAAAGCTGTTTACGATTTCGATGATACAAAACTTGATCACATTCTGAATAGATTTAAGTCGGGTAAGTTTCTTGACACTACCCTGCTTCATACTGTTAGATGCCTTTAGCAAGGTCAAACTGATCAAATCTTCATTTTAAAGACTGTTTATTTAAAAATCAATATTCCAGGTGAGACCCACATGGTCGTAGTTCAATCTGCTATTAACTACGCGGATAAAGATCCAGATTATGTTCCTATCGGTATAGTCACATTGGAGGATGTTATTGAGGAAATATTACAGACTGAAATTGTTGACGAAACAGATAGATATAGTAGGGCATTCATTTCAATGAATTTAATAAATTATTTTTTTTTAATCAGCTGATAATCGAGAGAAAAAACCGCGAAAGAGGCATTTGAAAGATTTATCTTACTTTAGGCAAAAGCCTTCCGCAAACTCTCTTACAATTTCGCCTCAGTTGGCAGTTGCCGTTTATCAATATCTATCCACAGGTATACTTCTAGTTTATCTTTCTAATATCTTGAACAATAATCTTCATTGTCCCATAGCTGTGGAATCTTTTAAGTCGGAGTACATTTCTGAAGGAGTCTTGAAGCAATTAATTCAAAAACCCTCAAATTGTTGCAGATTTAAATTAGGAGTAAGTAAAATTTTATTTAGTTTTGAGAATTGTTCTAAAGCGAATTGCTGGAATTTCCTGATAACAGTCAGAAACCAAATATGACGCACCATCGGACAATGAGGTTAATTTGTAAAGTACCATTTATCCCTGATAACAGCTAGCTCGCACTTGCATAACAGTCATAATTTTGCAGCTTGTCCAATTCGTGATTAGCTACTCAAATTTATCAACATTGATTTACTTTGATTCGATGCTCTTACTTTGTATTTTTAATGAAAATTTTATGTACAGGCTGCCGGGACAGAAGCAAAAAATCTTCTCTATCAACGTGGTAAGCCTGGAGATTTCTTTATTCTTATACTTCAGGGCAAAGTGGAAATCGTTATTGGAAAGGAAGAAATGGTATTTCAAGGTGGCAGTTTTCATTGCTTTGGTTTACCAGCTTTAACAGGTCATTATAGTTTAATAACGGATCGTTTCAGATAGTGAACAGAATGCTTAAAGTGTAACATGATAAATATAATATTTTTTTTGTTACAGTTTCGCATGAGTTACTATATAAAGTGAAAAGTATGCTATCGTTAAAACCTATATATTGCTTCATTTCTTTGCTGTTACTCACTCGTTATAGCGTGTCTTCTAACTGAGTTATTTTTACTCCAAAAATCATTAATAGCTACATATACTAGATCTTCAGCGAATTAGTTTTGTTCGCATACATCTTATTCTATTATTTTAAATTTCTTCTCTTAAAACTGCTGCTGTGTCAGTGCAAACATTTCGTTTTTAAACACTAATGTACATTTTTAGTATTAACTGTATGACATTCCTATGTCTTATCATATTATAATCACTAATTGAAGTTATCTTCATTAAGATTAAGAAATTTATTGTTGCGTTTTTTTCAGATGAAGTTACCGATCAATCGGTTTCAGGAAAACCTAATGACTCCGCTGCTGTTGGGAGAGCAACTATGCAGCGTCTCTCTCAGAAGGAAGCTCATTACAAGCCTGACTATACAGTAAGGGCTGTTACAGACTTAGAATATTTAAGAATTGATAGAGAAATGTACAAAAATGCTTTACAATCAACTATTCTCGAGAGACAAGTGTCGAAAAAATCTGTGTCAAAAGATTGTGGATTAAACGAAACAGTACCTGAAGATAAGCAGAGTCCTGGTATCACAAGTAGTCTTATAGAGTTAAATAAGGAAAATAAGGAAAATAGCACTTTGATAAGTAAAACTGGGTCTTTGAACGATATTCGAGTCGAAATGTCTCCTCTTCTCAAAGGAGAAGCTGAGGAATTGAATACAACTAAAACTAGTTCAAATATATAAATTAATATTCCCTTTAGTAAATTTGGATTGTCTCATGCTACAAAATAACTTTTGCTTCACTTTGTTTTTTGTCTAGGCGCATAATTGTTTTCGAAATTGGCTTGTTACTGTTCTAGTGATTTATGTTGACTACAAAGTTATTTATTTTTAACGGAGTTCTATTCTCAGAAATAATTGTTATAAAATATTACTGTAGTTATGTAAAAAATATTTGATAAAAATTTCGTTAATTAAATTGAACATATATCTGATAAAAGAATTATGGAGTAGTCACCATCTTCGAGATTTACTGCCGACTCCTCACCCGATGCAATCACACACTGAGGGCACTGCCTTAATGTTTTAAGACATTCGATATGATAATAATGGCCACAGCCTTCAATCAATCCCAACAAAACTTCTTCAATTTCCCTATCAAATTCTTTGTTACAAACAGAGCAGGCTGACAGTACAGTTCTTTGTCTCTCTTCCAAAATATCGGCAAGAATAGCAGTTAAGATTTCATAATCTTGAAAACCAGGTACATTTTCATCTCCATCAAAGTCAACACATCTAGGGCACTTTCCATTCTTCTCGTTTAGAATACAATCATAGTGATAAAAATGGCCACACTCTATAATATATCCGACAATAACATTAGAAGGATCTCCAGAGAAGTTACGCTTGCAGATATGACAAGTTTTTTCTGAGCAAATCTTACTTGCTGTAGTGTTCACTGAATTTTGATAATCTTTGACCCATTCTATATCTCTCGCATCTCTCTTCAATCGCTGAGGGGTAATGGAAGAACTATCTGTACAACCTGGTCCGGTTAGAGTGCGGTTTTTCTCTTCTGTTTCTGCTTCAAATGCATAATTAGCTTTTCCACTAGCTTGTCTACTTCTTTTAATAGATGAATATTTGCCTTTACATTCATCTCGTGACCTTATAACATCCTCCAGTTTGAAAACTCTTAGTCCTACTTTCTTATCTGCCACATTAAATTCAACGTTTGTTCTGCAGAGTGGGCAAGAACATTCTCCAGAACCAATAGATCTTTCAACTAGCCATGACCAAATACAATCAAAATGATAAAAATGACCGCAAGATGACAGCAAAGCAATTAGGATTTCAAGATTGCCATCTTTATAATCCTCACAGCAAATAGGGCATGTCGCAACCTCTAACGGCACTCGGATTTGCTTCTCTTGTTTCTTCTTGCCATCACCTGTAAAGTTTTTTAAGAATCCATCAATTATTTTTCTCTTCAAGGAATTTTGACTTTGAATAATAGCCACTTGGCCAGTATTGAGAGAATTTTGCATTGTAACAGTAAAGACATTAGGATTTCCGTTATTCCTTCGTGTTCTGCACCGTTTCCTGTCGTTACAAACTGATAGTTGGAATGATAATAAGGAAATTAACTTACCATGAGTTGAATGCACAGCAGCAAAAGCAAAGACAATACATCAATGATGCACAAACAAATCCTGAAAAAAAATATTCTTGAATAATGATTTTCACAATGAAATTGTGAAATGTAGTTAAAGTTCTATGTAATTATAATATTTCTAGACATTAGCTTTACGATATAAACAAAATTTTCTTATTATTTTCGAACAGGAGGAACAAACCAGCAACAACTACACCATATGGAAGTTCACTGGAATGAGGGTTTGGGGTTTTTTCTCCGGCCATTAAAAATGTTTAGCTAGAAAATATTGTGTATTCACTCAAAACATAAATCGGAATTTGATTCAAAAGAGTTCGTATTTGAGCTTAAAATAATATCAAATAATAAGACTTGTTTCTTGTTGTAGCTATTGATAGAAGATATAATAAAAAACGCAAACAAGTTAGTTCGTCTAAATAATAATAAAGCTAATGAGCTTATTAGTATTGAGAGCGCCTTCAAGGTTAGTCTGGTTCACACGTCTATTCTGTTGTGAAATAGACTAAACTATAGTTGGATTAGAAACCTAGTTACAAAAAATAGCTGGTTGATACGTAATTTTTTGCGCTTTTGTTATTGTTATGAAATTTTGTTTTTCTGGAATGCAATTACTGAAAACTTTAGATTATTTGATATTTATTTAAAAACAAAATTTCTGTGAGAGTATTCCTTATAGGATAACAATAATCAAAAGTGTAGTAGTAGTAATTATCGTCAACATGAGGGCTGAATATTTATGGTGATAATTCATAAACACGATTCTTTGAATTTATTTGAATAGCTACACATATGAAAACATATTGAACACTCAGTTTTAAATTCCGAATCATAATTTCGAAAAAACTTGCGAAAAGAAGGATAAAGCTATATAAGCGTTAAGTATGCCAGATGGCACTAATCTTAAATTCTTCAAATTGTTTTTTTTCAGTTATCATGGCTTGGAGAATTGTATTTTTTTTAAATCATAGATAAAAACTATTTATAGTTTACGACCACCAACTTTTCTTATCACTCTTTTTTGAATTATCAAATATATCAAATACATTGAACAGTCTTTTTGTCGTCCAATGAAGTTTATCAAAGAAATATCATAACACACTATTATTTTCCAAACTGTTGAAAAAGTAGTAATGTCACTTTTTGAGAGCCGCTTAACCAAATTGTTGAAGTCGATTAGTTTTTTTCAATAGAATATTTACATGGGATTATTCAATAATAAGTTCTAAAAAGGCCAAAAAAATTTCTTGGGAAGCTATTGTTATGAATAATTATGTCTTTATTCATCGAAATTTAACATCCATAATCTTTAACAAGATATTACAGCGGTTTATTATAGCTAAAAAATCCATATTTTTTTAAACTAGTAATTCATAAAGTTTACACATTTTTAAAACAAAAATGAGAAACAAGATGATAAAATTTACTAGTTTCTTTTTAAAAGAAATGTATTGATCCTATTATAATGAAGATTCGATTTTTCTGACTAATTCATACTTTTAATACACAATCAAGTGTATTTACTCTTGAAACTTTTCCTGTCAATTGGTTTGATTGATCTTAACCTTGAATGAACGATCCTAGCAGTGACTTTTCCTAACAAAGTTTGATTGCAAAAATTATGTTAAATAGGAAATATTTGCTACTATAAACTGTTTTACGTCTTCAAGTAAAGATTTTTTACACCACAAATTGTATAGTTCTACTTTAAGAGTTAAAATGATAAAGAAGAGCAATTTCTTCGCTGTTGTAATTTAAAACCCAAACTTTGTGGTGCTTATTTTGGTAGCGTTCTGTATTATTAAAACCTTCATTTGAAAAATGCAAAGATAGAAACGACTTAATTAAAAGTCATTATTCAGATCCTTTATAATCGGTATTTAGGCGCAAGCACCTAAACAAACTGCAGGCTTTTGTTCGCTTGTGTACAAGCTCTCAAAAGACGATTTATACTATTCAAATGCATTCGGCCAACGTTCAGTTGCGATTACGACGTAAATCCAAAGCTGTCACTGTTGCTTTGACGATGGAAATTGATTAGGCTTGGATTTTATCGCTCTCTCATTTCTCTTTCTTCTGATACTCTACAGGATTCAAAATTTCACTATTAATAGAAATTGGCGTCCTCACTAGTTTAGTAATAGGTAAATATCTTCTCTCCTTACTTCCTCTTAACTAAAACCTTACTAGGTTTGAGTTATTTAAAAAAATGCCAATTTTTAGGCAAAGTTTTTCAAAGAAGTTTTGCTATTCTAATAATTTTACTTTTCAAATAAAAACCTAATAATAATACTTTGCAACTGTAAAGTTTCTAAATACATATTGCTTTGAAATTGATACTGCAAGCTGAATTATAATTGTCAAAATTTTCAGACCTAAAAAACAACTTGTCGATATCAATTATAAACGGAACGTAAACCTTTTGTCTGTGTTTGATTAAATGTTTTCAGACGTTTAATCTGATTAAAGATTTACAACATTGGTTGGAAATGACACTTTGACGACGCTATGGGAGATGGTCAAGACAAAGTTAAAACGGATAACTCAAGGAAACAATGGACTAAGTTACCTAGTGTCAATAAAGTGAGCTTCTTGATAAACCCTAGCTTTGACTCAGCAAAGCTTAAGAGGTAAAATTATTTATTTTAGTTTATCATTCTATCAGTAGATGGCGTTCATATAACAAATTTCAAGTCGGTATATTGTTTATAGATCTTTTAGTTAGATAATTAAAATTTCATATAATTTGGATAGTTTATTTCTGGGAAAATTGTAGCACTATACCTAAGTCTGAAAGTATTTTAAAAAAAATTGTCTTTTCAGTTATGTTAATCTCATAGTTCAACAACATGTATTTACTTATCGAATAAAACGCAAAAAAAATATGGCATTTAGTGAATTTATGCTATTATTTTTGCTACTTAAAAATTGTAATAAATTTAACTATTCATGTCATTTTGCGATGAAATCTGATAGTAAAAGCACTGATGAAAAAGAATTTGAGGTAGGTTAGGCTAGGTTTTAACCAGCTTATAGAATCAGTGCACAAAACCCATAAAATTAATTGCCTAAGCACAAATCTAATATGAGTAGACTTTTATTGCTTCAATATCGCACCCTTGTTGAAGTGAATGGATTAATTTTGGTGACTCGTGAGTTGCTTATTCTGAAAAAAGAACACTCGTAGTTATGTGTTGAATATGAAACGAGTTCCTTCTCGACAAAAAACTGTCTCTTTTTCGGAAGACGACTTTTCCTCAAGACCAACCACAGAATGGAGTAATGGAACCAATTCATCAAGAGCTCAAAGTTCCAAGTCCGAATGTCGTCTTCCACGTTTTGATAACCATGGGCAACAGAGATTAAGTATTCGAAGTAATCAACAAAGAATTTGTAGTGCATTTCCAAGACTAATAACGAATGAGAAAGTTTTACAAAATGATACGGCTCCCTTCCATGTTGTTTTTCAGCCACAAGCTCCCCCAAACACAACTAGATTCGAAAAAAGTTTTTCGAATGTTAACTCTTTATTAGATTCAATAATTTTCCAAAAATTAGATGGGTTGGCAATAGCTTTTATTTCTTCAACTAATAGTAATCAAATTGATATTGTTGTATGGAATTAGCTTTTTTTCAGATTGCAAAGAAATAGCTATGACCAGAGAACTTTTAAAGGTGGACTACCTGATCCAAAAAAGAAATCACAAGTGTCTGTTATTAGTGCTGGCCAAACAGCAAAGAACACTGCTGGACACAAATACACAGCATATGATATTGATACAAGTGACAGGGAGCAGTTATCTCAATCTCTTCCTGACAATAATACTCAAGAACGTACGTTTTCAGTTCTCATAAAATTTATTTAATTTCATTTTTATTATAGCTGTTGATGCACCAAGACTAGCAATATCGGCTCCAAAAGAAAGACTGTCGAAAAAGACAAAAGTTTTCGTTAATGTTAAGCCTCGAATTAACAATCTAGTCAGTGGTCAATATAATCCAGAAGAAAAAACTAAAGGAAGAAGTATTACAAAAAATGGAATTGAAGACAAACAAAGAAAATTTACTGAAACAGTTGCTCCGGAAATGAGATATGAAACTCCTAAACCCCCTTTGTCCCAGTCAAAGTAAGTAAAAGTTATGCTAAAATATATTTTATGACCTTTTTATTATATAGGGACAGTAAAATGAAACCAGAAAAAGGATTTGTTTTTCATGCTAAAACTTCGCATTCAACGGCTCCTACTGTCCCAGAAAAAGAAAAACCAAAAGTCGTTGTGAAGTTACCAAAGCCTATGTCCAGGGATGCTTCAATTGTTAAGGAAGAAGAGTTTTCGCAAAAAGATGCAATTGAAAGATCACAGACTATGGTGTATGAGCACAAAAAACGTATTCCAACAGCGAGGTTGAAAACGGCTATTAAGCGATCAAAAACGCTGCTAAATTTCAGAGAGTTTTGGAAACAAGTCGCTATGAAAACCAAGAAAGAAAATAAAATTCTGCCATACACAGCAACTGATGCAGCTGACATATACTTGGCAGCATTAGAAGCGGCTACGACTAAACTTATGAGAGAAGATGAATCTAATAAACAAGATATACTTCCTTATGAAGACCCTTTGAGGACTGTCCCACCCTGGCACAGGAAGGAATATGTATTAAATGAGAGAGAGATTGATATGTATAATCACCTAAAGGTAATATATGGTGACAAGACAACGATGTTGAAAAGATGTCGTCAACAAGAGTTTTATGAGAAGTTAGAAAAATTACAACAGGAAGAGACTAAAAAATATAATTCATTACTTAAGGACAAGAAGAAACAAAGAGAGAAATCAAAATTAAAGCAGCAGCAACAATTAAAATTTGTTCGCAATAAATTTGAGGAAGAGCAAGTTAATCGTTTTCGAAATCAGTATGTAACAACAAGAATTTTACAGCATGAATGGACTACTAGACATATATACGGTCTTCCTGAGGATCTGGGAGATGATACTGCTACATCTAGAGTTAAAAGAAAAGTGGAAAGAGCTAAGGAGATACCAGATGATCTTAGGGAGCAAAATATTCGAAGATTTAGAGGACTATTCGATGTTCATTGTGGTTTGGCACTAGCAAATATGAAGCCACCAAAATTTGGTAGGTTGTTTTAGAGCTTGTCAGAGCACTAACGAAAAAAACGATCTATACTCTATCGTCATTCATTCGATATTTACATAAACTCTTTGCAAGAAACTGAACAATCCTCTTAAATTGAACTATTTGCTAGGCAACAAGTAGGCCTATTCGATATAGTCGCTTTTATAATAACTTAGTCAATTATATTTTTTATCAAAATGTTCTTTACTAAATACAGGTAAAAAATCAAAGAAGCTACCAACAGATGATGTTGTGAGAGACGCTAGGAAAATGTTAGATGAAACAAGCGAAGACGAGGATTCAACAGACAATGAGGACGAATCATATTCTAACGGGGCTGATAACAAACTTACAGCAAATCGATCATACTCCAATAAAAAATATAGTAAAAACCCTAGTCGTCAAACATATCTTTCTCCCTATTATTCTACTTTAAGAAAACCTCAATCAAGGAGAATGACTGAATCTCTTGATAAAGAAAACAAAAAACCTAAAAAAACTATAGAAACCAAACCAAAGTTTAAACTTGACATGAAATCGAATGCTAATAACTATAAAAAGTCGTTTAAACCAATAAATGATTTGACCAAGATTGAGGTTTCAAATTCATCTAACAAAGCACCGGATAAGAAAAAGAATGTAAAATTCGTTAAACCAAATACTCACTCCAATCAAAGAATAAATAACAGAGGAAAAATTTCAGAACGATCAAAAATGAAAGATCAAAATAATTCACCAAGCGATGAAGATAGTAAAGTTGAAGAAAACAACGAGAGCACTGAAAATACGAAAACAGCTGATTCTAGACAATTAACCCCTGAGCTGAAACAGGATATAGCACAAGGTCATGATCCTACTCCAGTTCAATCAGCATCTACTCTCAGAGGAGAGCTTAACACAAATGAAACAAAGGTAGAGTCCATACCTTATATATCAGAGACATCATCTGCAAGTCCAGCGTCAAACGTTATCCAGAATGAGTCGCCACCTACGAATGAACAACAGCAGAAGAATGAGGAAATAGATCCAAATCAACTTGATAGAAATGCCACTGAAGCAAATAACCTAAGCTACAGCGATCCTAAGGAAGGATCGGCTAAATCTAAAAGGGAGAATTCAGAAGAAAAGTCCGAACAGGAAAATAATTCGGAGAATACTGCAAGTGAAGGAAACAGTTTGTTTAATTCAAAAAGTCCTAAAGGAGAGAATAAGATACCTGAGACTGAAAAGAGTAGTAATCAGAATCCTAATCCTGATACAACAGACCAATCCGTCACTCAAGCTGAAGCAGATAATGAGGAAAAGTCAACACCTACTGAAGAGTATACAAACACAAATGACGAAAAGTTTGAAAAAGAAGTTTTAAGACCCACTTCTTCCCACTCTAAAGATCAAGAGTCTTATAAAGAGCAACCAATAATCGCTGATAAAACTGGTGAACCATTTGAACGTCAATCTAACAAGCTTTCACTAAAGGAGCCAATTGAGAAACCTGATGAATATCCTGAAAGTCAAGAAACAGACGACCTTAAAAAGAAAGACTTGAAATCAGCTGCTATAAAACCTAAGAAGGAGAAAAAAAATATAAGCTCTGCTGATAGTAGGAAACCCAAAAAGAATTCTGAAAAAGTTAAAAAAGAAGAAAAAAGCCCAACTAAGCTTCCAGATAAGAAACAAAACGAAACAAAGGGTCTAACTAAAAATATGAACGCTCATGATCCCAAACCATCGCTATCTTCCAAAGAAAAACACAAATTCCAGAAACCAGCAAATAGTTCTCACCAAGAAAGAACTAAAGATTCTAAGTTAAAAAAATTACCTTCTAGAGAAAACACTAAAGAACCCATAATTCTTCCGAAAAAGGATATGGATGGCGATCGAGTCGAGCTTGATTCTCTCGACTTAGGTTATAGTGATGAGGAAACAGAAGACATATTTGAGCGAGCGAAAAAGAAATACGGAATTCAAATAGACAGTGATGATGACTAAGGCTTAAATTTCATTTTGTTTTTATTTTAATGGATTTAATTGTTCATTTGATATCTTATTAAGGTGTAATATATTTCTTTTAAAGCCTCTTGAGCATTCATTGAAATACCAAAGTGACCGTTTGGAACCTCATACTCGTCCAAGTTTATTCGGACAATTTTAACTCGATTCTTAAACGTTTTTACCAATTGCTCTGTGATTAATCTTACAGGTTTCGTATGACCATTTAAAGATCCTGACGCTCCAATTTCCAATATAGTTATTTTATCATCCTGTTTTACCAAATCAATGTATTCTTCAAATTTATTTTTTTGTTGAGAGACTCTCTTCAACGAAAAGTTGTTTTCCTCATAAAGAACAATATTTGGACGTGCTGGCATCATATTTAATCCAACGGGATATGGCTCACAAGCAAGTAGAGTAGATAACTCGTACTTCGGAATATTTAAATGATCAAAAGGCCAGACATCATCTCCGTCTTTTTTATTCAGATATTGCAAGAAGCCAATGTTACCGTTCGGTTCATATATTTTGTTTTCATCAAATCCTGCTTTAAAAAAATGACCATCTATATTTGTTGTATAAATGAAAAAGTTATTATTTTTTAAAAGACAAATTTCTCTTAAATAATTGAAACCACTGTGAGGCTCAGTTGAACTATACATTGTATATCGATGTGCATAATATCCCCAGCACAGCGAAGGATTCTTCGTAAATAAATTATAGTTACTCATTTCTGGCACATAATAATTCCAAGGTTTTAACTGTGGATAAAAATTCCAAAAATCTTTGGGAGTTCTGAAAAGGTCTAGTCCACTATCCGCACTTATACCTGCACCAGCTCCTATAAATACAACCTGACTTTGGTGAATCCAACTGCAGGCATTGAAAAGTAATTTCTCTTGTTCTTCGACTTCTTCCATTTTAAGAACTAAATATCTGTTCAAACATCAAGTTTAAGTTCAAGATATCGGTTGTGTAGGCCTAGGTAATTGTTTTAAATTAAATCTATTTATAGGTAACAATACATCCACAGATTCATTTGATATACGTCATAAGTAGCTTGTATTAAGAATTTTAAGATAACAAAGATTTTCAATTCAGTCCGGAACTGGTTATAGCTTTTCAACAGCTTCTATTTCCGAGATCATTGCTTTCACACCATTCCATATTTCATTAGAGCTAAGTTCAATTGCTTCTTTTCCGGGATTGAACCCTGGACCTCTAAGTTCTGGTGTGTATGTATATTTGATATTCACTACTGCCTTAACATAATCACTTGTACTTCCAGAGGTAGGATCTGAGAAAATAAAATTATAAAGCAGGATTATATTTCCACAAATAATGCTCACAAATTTCTTCACAGGAATTCCCTCTCGTCCATAGTGTATCATAGGTGTTTTCTATAGCATCAGCAAATGCGTTAGCTACTCGGTACTAACAAAATTATTAACAATCATTTGAATTAATAAATTTGAATTTTAAACCATATCTTTACAAACCAAGTCATCGTGATCTTCAGCTCTCACACAAATTCCATTTTCTGTATGACCAAACGGATGCAAAATTATTTGAGCCGCTGTATGGATAGAGGTCCAAACAATAACGGAATCACCCACACGTTGAGCGTAGTTCTAACATTAATTTGCAATTTTGATTACACGATATAATAGTAAATTAGCACTGCCAACCTGGAGAGCTTGAGTTTCTACTTCACTTGCTGCTGAGCTTCCTCCATAAGTCTCTGAACAAGGATTAGTGGAAGTTCCATCAGCTTTTGATAAATAAAGTAAATAAGTTTTGTAATAAAAATGGGAATTAAAAGATAAAAAAACTCACTGCCCCAGTTGACATCAAAATTACGGTTTAAATCAGTTCCAATGCAAAAGCTACCGGCATTTGGACTTCTGTTTTTTCTCCAAAACCTCTATTTTTAAATAGTGTGAAAACCTTATTGAATAATATTTTAGATAAACTTTTCATACATCAACTTCCCATGAGTATACATATCCATCAGGGTTATGAATAATTAAAAAATGAAAATCATATTTATTGAGCAAGTTTATGGCATCTTGAGTGTCTTGCTTTAGAATCTTAAAAAGAGAAAGTTTAAAAATGTGTAAATGAAGTCAAAACTTACGTACAGCCTCTAATAGTTTTAAATTCGTGGCTGGCGCTAGCCATTCTCTGGCATGAATGGCAGAATCGAAAAATACAATCTTCCTATTGGCACCTGATTTACTTATCTGTAAATATATAAGTGAATTTTTGAAAAAGAGAGAGCAGATAGAGAGATATTATCTACTTTAAAAACTCTCAATGGTCTTCCTTCAGTAGAGCTTCCTATATTTTCTATATTACAAGATGCTCCTGATGGGCAGCTCCCAACAAAGTCATCTAACCCTTGATTTATGTCCTCAAAGGAATTATAATCATTGATATCAAAGGCTTTTCTGATAAATTTGCATCGAGATACACAATTTATGATATATGTTATAACCTGTACTACTTCGGTGGCTTTTATAAAAATTTAGCTATACATACTTTTTGCTCAACCGCTTCCACATTTCTTGAAGATGGCTGCGCAAAAAATCTTATATTAATTTCCATCAATTGTAAATATATTGTAAAGGTACCGTTCCACATTATCATATAGAATGTCTATAGAGAGATTAATGGAATCAAAAGCAGTTTTAGTAAAAATATATTGTTGAGGATTCAAAAGCATGATAGCTTGTCTCCCTTCCTTGGTTGCTGGTTGTAAGAAATCAACCTAAAAGAAAAAATAAGCTAGACTATTAAATATCTTACAGCATTAAAAGTTACTAACATTCTGATCCTTTAGGTGGTTTAGCCATTGTAAGTGCTCGCTATTTTCAGGAAAAGCCTTTACAATCTTATAACTAGAAAATAAAAGTCATTAGCCATTGACTGAAGTTTTATGAAAATTACCCTTCGAAGGTTTTCCTCTCCAAAGCGAGAGAGGACGATAAAACAATTAAAGCAATTAAAAGTCTCATTGTTAATTAGCTAATTAAATAATTTCCTTTATATAAATATATAAAATGTTAAAGAATGCAAGATGCTTATTCACATCCTAAATTTCGAAACTGTAAGATAAAAATATAAGAAAAATGACTGTCTAAATTTCAGTTTTTAAAATATCTTCATTAAAGAGTTATTGCTTTATCGTACTCCTTTTACTTTATCATTCACTGTGTGAATCAAACTGTGCTATTTAGCAGGTGTTTTGAATTTCATTGGATATTTGCTAAACAACTCGAATTTACTATCAATAAATAGCGCAGGGACGTAAGACTTACTAGTAAATAATACTGAAACAGTTTTAGAATAATTATAAATATCAAACTAATATTATGGTTTTAGTCAATCAATTGTTCATAACTATCGTACGTTATGGATTTAAACTATTAAGACTTATAATTGTCATAGTAAGAAAGCTCAATGTAACTATGTGACAAGATATAAATTAGCATGTCATTTACATCGTTGTAAGTCAGTTTAAAAAGAGCAATCAGTAATTATTATTTAGTAAATAAACAAAACGTCGCTAATAAGATAAGAAAGCTTTCTTATTGAATATATAATAGGTCGTAGGGCTTAAATAAATAATGCAAACATAGAAGGCCTATATCTGTAGCATAATAACTGGTATCTAAAATAACACTAGTTATTATTGGATAAAGGCAGACGCATTTGAAATCCTTAATAGTTCATCCAATGAAGTTGATTTTGCCAACAAAAAATTACAAATTTTTTTATTAGATTATAAATAGTCTAACGAAAAATTTCTTTTCAGTATTTAACACGTTTCAAGTCATATTTAGAATCCATTCTGAATGTATGAGTGAGTTTTTTTTGCCATCTAGTGGATATACAGAACAAGTGCACATATTTCTATGAGATTAGTTCGCTCTAGTGTATTGTTGAGAATTATCGTTTAGTATTTTGTAATTTATCGAAAATATAGTTTAAATCAATTTTTTGTCAAAGAAAAGGTAATGATTTTTCTGCTTTATTTCATGTTTATATTATCGACAGAAATAATGGAAACGGCAGAAAGTAACGTAAATTGAAATCAAAGTATATAACAATAGTTATTTTCGTGTTATTCTTTAATATCTAATCGTTATAAAGTTACCAAATTCTTTCCAGAAAGGTTTATTATAATTTTTATACGGATAGGGAAAGTTGCGCTATAAATCAATAAAGTCTACAGGGCGCTTTTTCTTACCCGGCTAGATGTCGCTGTTTGTTATTATTGATGAAGTGGTATATGATGCGAACTCGGCAGTTATTATTATAACGTCGTCCAAAGGAAGAGCAACTTGAATATGGCGAACAAGACAACGTCGGAAGAGTGTTTAGCAAATAGAAACTGGTATGCGTTTCTCTGCTCTTCATTAATCACATTTCTAGTCGGACTATTCCTTGTCTTAACATGGAGAATATTTTCTTGGCTTTGTCGTAATACAAGGTCATCAACTAACAAGACAAAATTACAATCACAAAAAGCTAATGGAGAAAATGGGAGAGCTGGTACCAAAGACTCCACCCGGACGGCTGTGATCCAATCAGCAATCGATACGGAAATTGGTTGGGTAACAGAGGCCAAAGATTGGGCTGGGGAGTTAATTTCTGGCCAAACGACAACCGGCCGGATTTTGGTCGTTCTAGTCTTTCTACTCAGTATTGCATCGCTCATTATTTATTTTATCGACGCTTCTACGTGAGTGTGAATTTTCACTAATCCGAATGTCCTAAAAATTAAATCGTGAATCGACACGAGCTAAATAGATTTTGTACATTCATTAATACGTTTTATTAACTTCTGCTATTTCATCGCGCAGTTTAGAATTAATATCTATATACTTGCTGTTTTGAAAAAGAAAGGTTTTGTGTTTGTGTAAGGTGGCTCGAAAGGGAATAAGATGCGCAAAAACTTTTTATTTAAGCAATATTAGTGGGTGCAATAGAAGCTATTAATTTATTTCAAGTTAAATATATACTAGCGGTTGAAAAACTGAAAGTGATTGATCCAAAAGAGATCTATTGATCAGTTGTATTGTATATTGTATCGATTATATGGATTGATGATATAGGCTTAAATTTGTACTTTATAAACAGAGAACAAGTGGAATCATGCGAAAAATGGTCTCAATCGACTACCCAACAAGTCGACCTAGCTTTTAACATCTTTTTTATGATATATTTTTTCATCCGTCTAGTCGCAGCCCCTGATAAACTCTGGTTTCTTGTTGAAATTTATTCATTTGTGGATTACTTTACCATTCCACCTTCATTCGTTGCAATCTATTTAAATCGAAATTGGTTGGGACTTCGCTTTACTAGAGTTCTTCGAATGATGTCCATTCCAGATGTGTTACAATACTTGAACATCCTCAAGACCTCAAATTCTATAAGACTATCTCAACTGTTATCTATGCTCATATCTGTATGGTTTACAGGGGCAGGTTTTGTTCATTTGGTTGAAAATTCTGGGGACCCCTTCTTTAATTTTAGTAACGCACAGTCTCTTACTTACTGGGAATGCGTGTATTTCACTTTAGTGACAATGAGCACTGTTGGATACGGAGATATATATTGTAAAACGGTTTTTGGAAGATTGTTTATGGTTTTCTTTATTCTGGTTGCATTGGTAAGTCAATTTTATTAATTATTTTGTCATTTTTGAGAATATACTTAATTTCCGTTTCACCAATAATTTTATCAATCTTATTCTAATAACTTCCATAGTTTGATAACATATACGATTTCTATCTAAGTCTACTAAAGTTAAAACCAAATATATTTAAAAAATTTTTAATTTGAGTTTAAAAGACAATTTAATGATTCGCACTTGGAGGAGTGTCGATAACCTATCCCATAACTTAATATTTTGTGAATCGCTTTGTAATTAAATTACTATTTCAATAACCCTCTTTTAATTATTTGACACTTGTCTTATTTTTTAGGCAATTTTTGCGTCCTTTGTGCCAGGTAAATATTTTGAAATACTTCAAATATATTGTATGTAATTTTTTAACTGAGATTTTTTCTAACAGAGATTGTTGAAATTTTGGGCAATCGAACAAGATATTCTGGAACGTATAGAAAAGAGCAAGGGAAAAGGTCTGTAATAAATACATGATATAGTCGAAATTGTTCAAAATTTATTGGAAAGACAAAATATTATATTCTTTTAGCAAGTTCCTTTGCCCTTAACTTTTAGTTCAAACTACATGCTTGATTGTGGAATAAATTTATATGTATTAAAATAATGTTACGTTTTGATCAAATTAATTTAGAACCAATTAATTTTCATTCTTATACTAATTAAGCTTATTTACAGACACATTGTACTCTGTGGTCACATAACATATGAGTCGGTATCAAATTTTATGTCCGACTTTCTTCACAAAGATAGAGAAGATGTTGATGTTGAGTTGGTTATTATGCATCGGAAGGAACCAGATCTCGAATTGGAAGGACTTTTTAAACGTCATTTTACTCAGGTTGAGTTTTTTCATGGTTCAGTTATGGATGCCAATGATTTGGAAAGAGTGTCTGTGAAAACAGCTGATGCATGTTTAGTTCTAGCCAATAAGTACTGCGAAGATCCTGATTCAGAAGATGCAGCCAATATTATGAGAGTCATATCAATTAAAAATTACCACGACGAAATCAAGGTCATAATCCAACTACTTCAGTACCACAACAAAGCATATCTTTTAAACATTCCATCTTGGGATTGGAAAAGAGGTGATGACGCTGTCTGTCTTGCAGAATTGAAGCTTGGGTTTATAGCCCAGTCGGCACTAGCACCTGGATTTTCCACTTTAATGGCTAACTTATTTACAATGAGAGCTTATAAATCAGGAACAGAAATGGCACTCTGGCACAATGACTATTTACGTGGTACAGGAATGGAAATGTATACAGAATATTTATCAAATGCGTTTGTAGGTTTATCCTTCCCTGAAGCTGCTGAACTATGCTTTTCAAAGCTAAAGCTGCTCTTAATAGCAATAGAGGCAAGAAGTCCATCTCCTTCCAATTCTTCACAGGAAAATACCATAGAGTCTTGTATTGCAATAAATCCGGGAGCCAATGTGATAATTGAAACTCATACCCAAGGATTTTTCATAGCCGAAAGTGCCGATGAAGTTAAAAGAGCATGTTTTTTCTGCGCTCGCTGTCATGCAGATGTCTTAGATGAAAGAGCTATAAAAAAATGCTATTGTAAAGCACCCGCACCCGTAAATCCTGTTAAAGGCGATATTGGACACCCAAAGCCCCTAATAAATTTACCAGAGACGTCCAAGGAAGAGACAGTAACGGATTCTTCAGCGTTTGATTCAACAGGAATGTTTCACTGGTGTCAGGAACAAAGTTTAAGCAGCTGTATAGTCGAGAGGGAGCAGGCAGCTTCTCACGTTCTTCATAATCATATCGCAGTCTGTTTGTTTGCAGATGCATCCTCTCCTCTAATTGGATTGCGAAATTTAATTATGCCTTTACGTGCGTCTAATTTCCAGTATAATGAATTAAAGCATGTTGTCCTAGTGGGAGATAAAGATTTTATAAGAAAAGAATGGAAAACCCTTTGTAACTTTCCAAAGTTAACGGTATTAGATGGATCACCCTTAAATCGTGCTAATTTAAGGGCTGTGAATATTAACTTAGTGGATATGTGTGTCATACTCAGCGCAAGAAGACCGTCCAATTTAGATGATACAAGTCTTGTTGATAAAGAAGCAATTTTATGCAGCTTAAACATTAAAGCTATGATGTTTGACGATGCCGCAACGACCAGTATAGCTGCTCAAGTTTGTCAGAACCCAAATTCTCAAAAAATTTTTACTCGTGGTTCGGATATTCCAATGATTACAGAATTAGGAAACGATGCTAATGTTCAGTTTCTTGATCAGGACGACGATGATGATCCTGACATTGAATTGTACATGACCCAACCCTTTGCTTGTGGCAATGCTTTTGCTGTTTCTGTGTTAGACTCACTCATGTCAACAACCTATTTTAATGATAACGCTCTCACACTCATAAGAACATTAATAACAGGAGGAGCAACTCCAGAATTGGAACAAATTTTAGCCGAAGGTGTCGGAATGAGGGGCGGTTGTTTGTCAAGTCAAACTCTAGCTAACCGACATAGGTGTCGCGTAGCACAATTAGCTCTTTACGACGGTCCACTAGCCAGATTTGGTGACAGCAGATATGGAGAGTTATTCTCTTTTGCCCTAAGAAATTACAATATTCTTTGCATAGGATTATATCGACTAAGAGATCCACAACAAGTTGATTCAACTAAGCGTTATGTTATATCAAACCCTCCATTTCATTTCCTTCTGATACCCTCTGATAAGGTTAGTCATAATATTTAACAAAACTTTTGGTTTCTCTGGTCGTTTTTGAGATTGACCTAAATGGCTTCTTTACTATCATTTATTAGCTGTTCTGTTTCGCTCCAAGTCACGTTGTTGCGGATACGGGATATAGTGGAACCCGTAAGGTTTTATGTTGTAACTAGTTTTGTCTGAGCATTAAATGTTCGAATGAATTGATATTTGTAATTTTGCACCGTAAATTGATTATCACTAGCATTAGCACAAACATAACGCATCAATAAAAAACTGTTGACCATTTTCCTCTCTACAGGTATATTGTCTACGACCATTTGAAATAAAGGAAAATAAGGATATTTCATGGACACCCTCATTTAAAAAAAGAAAACGCAAGAAAACAACAAAATTTAATCATGCATAATCTTGAAAAATTTTACTTTTTGCACTCCTGTGTGTCTGACTGTTACTTTTCCAATTCAAACTATCGTGTCCTTACAAATCTCCATTATTTGGAGAGCTGTTATAGTAAATCGATTTTATGTAGATGACCTTTTTACGTCTTCTATATATATATAATTAGGTTTAATGTTAATATTAATCAAACCCATCTAACCCGTGTACTTTAAAGAAAAAAAATGATGAATTCTTTATACTCTAATTGGAATAATGTCCCTAAGCCTAAATATACAAGTATCTACAATGTTTATAACAACAAAATTGAGCTCAGAAAATCAATCCGAAATTTATAGTCTCGGGTAAGAGCAATGATTATTTTAGTTTGCAACTGGCTGAAACATAAATCAAATTTATTATTAAACTTTGAAACAAAAATTGAAAAATGTGGTATTTTGAAAAGTTTATTTCTTAAATTTTTAGCAATTACCAAAATTTCCAATCTCATGAATAATTTATACATAGTTATCACAAAAACGCTACTAAAATTCATGGTAAGTGGGTTTGAATAACATGTTTGAAAAATTTCCGTTGTATTTATTGATACATAATTGAAATTCAGTATTACTGTATTATGTGTTGTATTGAATAAAGTAAAACATATGGAGAATTGAGATATTCTATGTTTTGAGCTCGGAGAATATAGGCCACTACATAAATCTCATTAACTACAAGTCTTACTCCTAATTCAAAAGAATATTGTGCTTAATATTAATACTATGCCATTATTATCTTTTTAAGAACTGAAAAACTTGAATAATAATAATTTATGAACATAATACATTACTTATAGGTTAGCATTATACTTCAGTTTCTATTATGATGAATAAAAGATGTAAAATAGAATTTACTATTAATTATTAGCTAAATAGCTCCGTCATACAAATATACCTTTGACTACAAAAACTCAGCAGAAGACAGTTGTGAAATTTAATCAAATGTAGAAAGAATGTTTTATATGTCATCTATACTTAATTTTATGAAGTCGACTCTATAAGAAAATTATGCTGATTATTTTTAAATAAGAAAGCGATTAATGAATACTTGATAAAGTATTTTTTTTATTAAGAAAGTAACTGTTGGTGTTGTTTATGCTAACCCCGTTAAAAAAGCTTGGATGCTTTGGTTCTGAATGTGAACACACAATATTTGTTATTTTATTTATCTTTTAAAAGTATTACAAACTTTTAGTCAAGTCTCGTATATTGGTAAAGAAATTATATTAGAATATACTGTTCAAAGAAATACAGAAATAAAATAGCTCCGTATCTATTTTAAAATTTTAGAGCTAAGCGAATAAAATGAATGATTTTTTATAATACTGAGACAAAATCATGGGCGATTTAGAGCCAATATAGGTGAAGACTCTAACTTTAAATTTGACAGTAAGAATTTAACAGTAAAAATAAAAGATAAAATTGGTTAGCTACAATTAGAGAATGATATAGTTAGGTTCTGTAAGTCATAATTACATCAGTGATTTTTTCCCTACAAATGGGGCATAAACCACTATTGTTTTTGATGTCTAGTCCGCATTTGAAACAAACGCAAAGATGTCCACATTTGTATATGACACAATTGACATCAGCTTCAAAGCATACAGAACATTCGTTGTTAGCATTATCATTAGCTTCTTCGCTATCAGCAACCACTCTATTGCTATTTATCGGCAATGGAGAATATTCCATGTCTAATGCCTGTGAAGAAGTGTTAGGTGATAAAGAATCTCTCTGAGAAGAGCTGTTACTTGGTCTTGGAGGAACAGGAGGAAGTGGTGGTTGTCTTCGAGGAGGACGTTGAGGAGGAGCCTGCCTCGACGGTCTTGGAGGAAGTGCTGGTGTAGAAGAAACAACTTGAGGAGGAGGAGGTAAATTCACAGTTTGGGGTTGAAGTGGCAAAGATTGCGAATTTTCTACTCTAAGAGATGCCGAGCTAGTTGTACTAGATACTGGAATTTGCACTCCCAAGCATTTTAACGCTATAGTACAACCATACATATCAAAGAAAACCCAAAAGTCTGCTGTGGCATCTACATGCAAGAGAGTCGTTTGATTACCCCCGTTTTTACAAAATTTTACTTCACCGGTAGATGATTTTAAAAATGATAATTCATCTCCTGCCTCTGGTTTAGCTACAACGTCTTTATTAACAATCCAATATTCTAATCTGTTAAGCAATTCGTCAGCGTCTTCCGGTAATTCATTGGGATCTATATCAGAGGGATTACAGGTTGTTAATCCAAATGTTAAACCTCCTGAAAATGCCGGATCAATTGCCAATACTTGAACTACTAAACGTTCACCAGCCTCCAGAGGTCGGCCGGTAAACACATAAGCATTACAATATTCGGCTTGGACCCTCAGAGCGGTTCGTCGATCTTCAGATATGTTCGCATGTTTGCCTTTCTGATGATGCCATTCCATAGGTCTCAAAGATGCTAGAGAGTGATGTCGGATAGGCAAATCAAGTATTGGTCTCGTGTGTGTAATATTTTGGACATTATTCAGCAGTGTTCGTTCTCCTGAAAATAGAATACAGAAATTATTATATTAATGTTATATTATATATATTAAAAAGCACTAGTTAAAATGTTTACTTACTCAGCGGACTACATGGATTATGCTCTAGATCTAATGAATGAAACGTCTTTACTTTTTTTTTTAATTTTATTAATGATTTTATTTTTTGGGAAGTTTTCGAGCTCATATCTCCTACTAAATGAAGCGTGCAAAAATCATCGGATAGCTTGGATAATGATTTTTCTTGAGATTTTAGACAGTGCATCTGATGTTTTTTACTTTTCCACATTTCATAGCTTAGAACGATATTATCAAATTTTCGTAAGATTATGAAAAAGAGGATTCTGAAAAACTGCTTATAAACGACTCCAAAGTATTTTCAAGTTACAATAAATAAAATATCTCATCAATGTAAGCTATTTTACAATACTGCCATTTGCAATATCGATTAATTCTAAGGTTTACTGACTCAACATCACCTGACGGATTTCGTGCAAGCTTAAAAAATATAGATGGCACCAGATAACATAATTTTAAATGTAAACCAAAATAATTCATCTGACATGTCTTTACATTCGTAAAGATTCAACTAAAATTCTTTCAAAAAATAAAGTTCAGAGCTTGCTATACAAAAATTGGGTATTACTTTTTAGAAGTTACTGATTAACTTTGTCAACTAGCTGACTAAATTTTACATTTCTTAAGTATAATCGTATGAGTGCACATCATAACCTGATTGATATATCTTGACTGATTACGTTGTGACAACAAACTCTTTTGAGGTCTTGGAGATATGGATCAAAGGGGTTATTTTATCAATGAAAAGCTGATACTTACTTACTAACTCCACAACCGTTGTATTACCATAAATATCGATAAGAGGCCAAAGCGGTTTTGACGTATCAACTCCTGAGAAGAACAGTCCTTGAGACACATTGTCAACAGAATAGTGAACATCTCCAGACTCATTCGCGAAATAAGAAAGTATAGCTCCCTGTATCGCCATTCTTTCAGGAAGAGCTTTGGCCCAGAATTGTCCCTGAATATTTGTTAGATCCGGACAAGCATATCTGGGAAGTGTAGTAGCGTTAATGGTTTCTGGATTTTTACAAGTAAATCCAAAACGGAGAACTCCCGACCAGTTTGTAGCAACTAAAGCCAATCGAATAGTTACATGTTCTCCAATCCGAACAGGACGATTACCAAAACATATGCCTTTGCAGAATGATTCTAGTCGGCGAGCAGTTCCACCGTCCACTTGAACATTGTCACTGTGACAAGTAGGATGAAATTGCAGCGGTTGTGGAGTTTGATAATCCGATCCGATTCCTATAGAAAGAACTTTATAACCGCTTTTTCCGCATATGAAGTCAATCTTACCTTTCGTCGATTTTTCGTTTGTGTTACCCATTATTTCAGGAGCTTGATCACATGATTGTTAGAAAGATTTTCAAATTCTATGTGAAAATATCTAGATAAAATTTGCGATTGATTCAAGAGAATCTTTCAATTTGTGTAAAAATACTGCAATTTCGCCCTTTCATAATTGAGGTTCAGCATTCAATTTTTTAACCACTTGACAACAGCTATTTTTTTCCACAAAAACTACAAATAAAAATATTTCTTACCTGAATGCACCAAAGATTTATTTAAAACTGTTCATATATTTAATAATAGTAGATGACCGGTTACCACCAGATCATTACTGACTTCCTTGTTCTTATGCACATGCGCAGTGGACGCAGTGCAAAATGCGGTTCTATGTTGACAAATAAGATTTATTTAACATCACTATGTACATATTTAGAGCTTGTTTGTTAAAATAATTCGTTAAGTTAATCTTAGTGAATCTAAAATTTATTGCTAAGAAAGCAAATAAAAAATGTTCACATATAATTGCACTAAAATAACTAAAGAATGACTAAAAAATTATTACGCGCTGAAGCAATCATTTTTGCAGGCACAATAATGATTCAGTATTTATCGAAAAGTATATTTCTGTATTTAATTCTTCTACCTATCTAAATCTGAGATACTATTTGAATGTAACTAATTCTTATACTTCAGCAGTTCTTCAAGGTTAAATCTAACTTTCAGAAATCAGGAATCCATCCACAACTTGAACATAGCTTCTTAGATGAGCAATGGGTTCGACAACAGTTAGTTTTTCTCCTTATGACTTCCTCTGGAAGATTAACATGAGTTCCATCGCAATATGGAGGCGATTTGGTATATTTACATGAACATATTGCGTGGATTGATTGATCCTTAGGAACTGTCCATTTTAACGGCTTGAATGGTGTTCCAATATGAGACCCATCACACCAAGGCTGCTTTTTACTCAATCCACAAGTACACCAAAGCTTTTGCTCGCCTTTTTTCAATCCACGAACGGTTGATGGTCCATACTGAAAAATTAGGCTATTATGAATAAGTAAAATATTTATTAAATATAAAGCAATACGACAGTCGGAACTGAAGGATAAATGCTATGTTCTATAGTTTCTGAATCCTCACTTTGGGCTTTCATTTTCGAACTACACTCCAAAATTCACCAGTTTTCTCAAACAATAGGCTTAGTCTAACATTTCGTTTGTTCAAGGTCTTTAATGAGTTTTTAAATAAATTTTAGTTGATGAGATTAGAAAATCGTGTGCGAATCAAGTGCAAATGTTTGAAACTTTTCATTTTGATTGATGAATATTGTTTGATGGTCGATTTAACGGTTTCATGACTACATGAAAAATCTACTGCAAAAAATATACTAATATTTTTCCTAACCTAAGTTAAAGCTAAAATGTTTTTGATAATTTATCATATCAGATAATTAGAGATAAATTTCTCAAATCTTATTTAAATTTTACAGCCAAAATCAATCACAGTTAAAACCAAACAAAAAATGTAAAAAATTTGTAGACAGATCTAGGACGGATCTTTTCCAGAGGGAATTACAATCAGTGCTTATAAAAATCACTTCATTGTTTTTTAATAATCAAGTTGCGGCAATTTCTTTTTCTTTATCCTCTGTCAATCTTGATTTTCCAGCTATACCTCTTGGAGAGGAAGGAGTAGAAGGATTCGAAAATGACCTTGGCGATATTTTGTTGGGAAGTAGCGAAGTAATGTTAGCAGCCGAAGACAGGGATCTATTTAACTAAAAAATTATCTGCATAATAAATTGTTTTTTAATAGAGGACGAGACTACCTCTCTTTCTCTTTCTGCCTGGTACTCCTTTAAGATTCTATCCAGATTATGCTTTTGCCTTGACAAAGAGTTAATTCTTTCTTGAAGGGTAGAGTTTTCATCCTCTAAAAATTTGGCCCTAACCTGAAGAATTGACAGATTTCTTCCTTGATCTCGTATACTTTCCTCTTGCTCAGTAACCCTATTTTTTATTTATTTAGAGTATGAAGATATGAGGCAAAAAGAAATATTTACTTTAATAGCAATTCCCTTTTTTCATCGGCTGCTGCCTTTACATTGACTTGGTTTTCTGTCCATTTAGAAGATTCTGAAACATATTCACTCCGAGACAATTTAAGTTCTGAGTGTAACCGTTCTATTTCAGACTTAAGTTTTGCTTTCTCCTTGGTAAAAGTATCTCTAAGGAAAAAAATTTCAATATAATAAACTTGTAAGCAATGAATATTTTGAAGTAACTTTGCTTTGGCTAATTTAAGAAGGGTTTTTTCTTTTAATTGATCGTATTTTTTAGATAGTTCTTCATTTGAATTCACAAGAGATAGATTTTGGTTTTCCAAACTCTCCAATTGTTTTTCCAAGTTGATCATTTTGTTGTGGAGCTCTTGCTTCTCCATTTCTTTTGATTGACGCTATTTATTTTATTAGCATTTTAAATCGACAATTTACTTGTAACAATATAGACATACCAAACTGGAAACTGAAACTGTTTGTGCTTTCATGTTTTCTAGTCGTTTTTCCAAATCAAGAAGCATTTTTTGTAGTTGGCAATTTTCTGCGGATGTTTGTGATTCTTTTTGGCGAAGACAAGCAAGCTCTTTATTAATATTTTCATTCTCCGCAAATATGACTCCCCTATTGAAAAATTTGAATTTCTTGGAGTTAGTAAGAGTGATAAAATTTTTAGATATCAGAATTTGCAACCTTTTTGACTTCTCATCTGATAATTGCTGTTTAAGAGAAGATACCTCCTTATTCTTCACTTGTAAATCCTCCTTAATGACACTTAGTTCCTTCAATTGTGTTTCTCGGTCTTGCAAACTCACAAGCGTTTTTGTTAAATCCCTTTGCAATTGCTCTGACTACGATTTGTAAATTTATTTCAAATTAAAATTTCAATGAAAAAATACTTTTTCTTGTAACTCTTTTAGTTCTTGTTGAGTATTTTTGAGAGCTAATGTGGTATCAGCAGAACGCTGTTCCATTAAATTTTCAGTCTGCTTTTTCGTTTGCGTGTTCTATTGATAATTTGAAAAGACTGTTGAGTAGGAGGTATTGATAATGCTTACCATCATCAGTTCAGATTCTAAATGTTGATTAGCAGTTTCCAATTCATCAATATGATTTTCCAATTCTTCCTTTTTCTCAGAAGTCTGCAAAAAAAGTTTGAAATATTCTCTGATTGCAAAAAATTTACACACATTTTCCAATTTAACTTGAATAAAATCGCATTTTCTCTCCAACTCCAATCTCAAATCTCTTTCAGCTTTATAGTTTTCTTGTGATTTTTCGATTTCAGCATAACACTTTTGTAGTTCGGTTTCAGCTTCAATTAAATGCTAAACGAGACAACATAAAACTATATTTGTCATTTAAAATTGCTAAATACTTTTTGGGTTGTTTCCAGTTTATCACATAAATTATCGGACTTAACCGACAAGTGTTCAATTTGCTGTTCATATTCGTCTTTGCTTTCCTCCAAATCATCAATTAATTGTCTGACTTTTTTTTCACTTTCTCTCTGAATTTTATAACGTCATACAATATACAGTCGCTAATTAGATTTTATTAACTACTTTTTCTACTTGAAGTGTTTCGACAGATTGCTTTCTTTCCTCTTCAAGCTGTCCAAGTTTAGTTACCAAAACGTTAATTTCCGCGCTCATTTGCGTCTTTTCTTCTGTAAATTGGTGGTTTTCTTTTTGAATTTGTTCTCTTTCCTCTAAATTGATTACATATTAAAATAAATTTTTGATACAACTTGTTAACTGAACCTTTATTTTTCTCTTTTTCATATTGAAGACTCTTTTCAGCTTCTAAATGTTGAACCATAGTTTCAGATAATTGCTTTGCAAGTGCTTGATTATCTTCCTCTAGCTGACTGAGAGCTTTTGTTAAGTGTTCAACACGAGTCTGTTTCTCCTCTAAAGTAGCCACCAAATCAAATTTTTCTTTATCACTTTGCTCCAATTTTGCAAAGGTCTCTTTAAAATTTTGTTTCGAGATTTGAAACTCTTTTTCAAGTGACTTAAATTCATCTTGTTGCTGATCCAATTTAGAGAGCACTAGCTGATATTTGAAAAGATATATTTTAAATGTACTTTCTATTAAGAAACAAATAGAACCTTTTTTTCTTCACAAAGCTTTGAAAGTTTAGTCTCTATTTTAAGTTTCGAGTCGATTTCATCTTCTTTTAGAACGGTTGCCTCATTAAGTTTTTCAACAAGCGTCTTAATTTGCTCCTCTTTATCTTGCACTTCCTTTAAATAGTAAATTTTCAACTTAATCTAGATTAGGATTCAATCAATGAGCGAACTTACCAAAATTTTGTCTTTTTCATGAGTTTCTAACAGAATTTCCTTGTCCTTTAAGGCATCTTCTAAGCCACTTGTTCTTTGAATTAAACTCTGAAGCTATTAAGATGAGATAGAATTAACAACTAATTACATTATGATTACGGCTCTCACTCTTTCTTCGAATGTAACTTCTTTTAAAAGTGCATCCTCTTTTAATTTGATAATTTTATCCTCCAAGTCTTTTATTTTCTCTTCTAAACCTTTTTTTACATTCCGCTCTGAGTCCGTTTCTTCCTTAGAAACGCGTAACTCCTCGTCCATTTCTTCTAATTCAGCACGTAATTCATTGACGTCTTTCTGCCAACGACTCTTTATTTTCTCTCCTGTTGACTTCAAATTTTTCTGGAAGAAAATAGCTTTATTAAACAATTCACAGTGCGATTATATAATAACAGTCTGTATAGAGAGCATTTTCTCTCTTTCATACGTATCTTCCATCTGTTTTTCAGCAAATTCTACTCTCATTTCAAGCCGCCTCTTATCTTCTAAAACTTTCGCATAGTCAGCTTCTAGTTCCTCTACTTTGCAGCGAGCTTGAGAAACAGAATTTCGAAGACCATTATTAGTCTTTTCAAGATCTTCTATTTTTTCATCTGTCGTTTCCTTTAGCTCTTTTAGCTCTTTTTTTGTGAAGTTAAACTAAAGAGCATCCAAATAAGAGGTAGGTAAGTATAGTAATTAATTTGTCTTACTTTAGTCGATAATTTACTATTTTCTCGATCTAATTCCTTAATTTTCCCTTTCAATTCATCTAAGTCATCTGAGGAAAGAACAGCAGCTAAGGCAGCAGGAGTTTGCGGTCCCTGAAGAGAGCCTCTTCTGGGTTCATTAATCAAGTCTAAAAAATGTATTTGAAAATTTGTGTTCGAATTATTAAAAGAATTTAAAATACTTTTTTTTTGTAATTTTTCGTTTTGATCTCGTATATCTTTTAACTCCTCTTGATACCTGTTTATCTGATTTATAAATTGACAATACTTCTTGTTTAAAAGAGGAATATATAATACCTTTTGCGATTGATCATTAATAATGTTTTGCATCTTTTCATTTTCACTAATAATAGAATTTATCTAATTTCGGATAAAAAAAATAAAATTGATGTAAAAATTTAAAAATTTAAAACCTCTTCCTCGTGAGCTTGCTTTATTTCTTCTTTATCTATTCTGATGGAAGCTCGCTGTTCATTAAGTTCTTTTTCAAATCGCTTTCTTTCAGCATCCAATATTGACTGTAGATGCTCAGTATGCATCTCAGATTTCGAATCCATCTGAAACTCAATTTTGTAAGGTAAACAACTACATAAATCGATGTAGTTACTCACAACAGAGTCAGCCCTACTAGATTCAATAACTTGCAAATCATCGAATAACTTAGCCCTTTCGACTAATAGGTAAGCAATTTGCTCATTCACAGGAGAATCAGCTATCTCGTTTAAGTTTTCAGTGATTAGCATTGTTCGAATATCATCAGATGATTCCTCTAACAAAAATATTAATTTAAAATTATTTTTTGTTAATTACTGTACAACTTAGCATTCTGTTTTCTTGTTTAAGCGCTTCATTTTCTTTTTCAAAGTCAGACGTAAGAGCTTCTCTTTCATCTGTAAGCTTTCTAATATGTTCAACATAATTTTCAACTTCTTTCATTTCAATCTCATGTTTTTCTTCGATATCGCTCTTTTCATTCTGAAAATTTTAGTCCCATAACTTGCTTTTATAATAATCACTCCTCTTTAACAATGTTTATTGATTTGCAAATTTTGACAATACAGCGCGGCTTTAATTTACCGGACACGTGCATGTTCTGGCATGTATGAAATGCTGAAAGTCACAATTAACAAACCTCTAATTTATTTATTATTTGCCATAACTTAGGAAGTAGTTGATCTATCTCATTTTCTTCTTCTATGCCTCTTTCTTTCAACTTTGTCCATATAACTTCAATTTTTTCCATTCTTCTGGATCCGATTTTCAGTACAAATTGTCCCCAGCTTTCGCGTTTTATTATTATAATGTGAAACTTATAACATAATCTTATTTAGGAACCAAGTACCACAGTTTCTGAAAAAGGTAACAAAACTTCAATTACGAGAGAATTCTACAAACAAGGGTTAACTAAAAGCAGTGTTCAGATTTTCAGAAAAAATATAGACTGGTTTCTGGTCGATTCTTAGTCTAAATATTTACATATTCCTAAATTTTATCAAGATTCCGTAAGATTACTATTCTGATCTTACGTACATCTTAGTGTACAATTATCAAATATCAATCTAATAACAATTGGTCCCTAGTGTTGTAAAATATTGTCGATACTTCATGAAAGAATAAGGATATTTCTTTCGAATCGCCAGTACTATTATTATTTTTATTAATATAATGTAGCAAAAACAAATCCATATTATCTGCATAAATTCTTTCAGAACAGTCTCCACATGATTTCACGCATACCATAATTTAGTGATAACCGAAATTTAAGCATACAGTTCTTCAAATCTGTCGTCTCTATATTTACAGAAAATGGACCAGCCTCTAAAATCCAAGCCAGTATTAGGTTTCTTTAGTGAATGCGATGATTTAAATAGTCAGAGTTCGTCTGATGATGAAAATCAATCGACAACTTCTGTGAAACAAATTGACATAGAGAAAAAGAAGGGTAACGATAATAGGCTTCCCCCACCGACTGAGCTCTTCTCTAATGTTAAAGCACCTTCATTCTTAAGAGAATCAGCTAAGAAATCTGTAGACTGGGATAATTTAAGCAGGTGTATAATAAAACAAAAAGAGGGTATTGAAATAACATCAAAAGCTTCTCTTAACAACATGCCGCCACCAAAAAGTTATTCCTCGGAGACTGGAAAATTAAAACCTACTTTAGGAGACAATTCTACTCAGCAAAAAAGAAGACCTGAAACAATTATCGATGGTAAGAGTATTTCCATTAATAGGTATAAACACTCATTAAATTTTCTTCTGTAGATGATTTAGAAGTGAAAAGAAAACGCAAGAGAGATTCTGACTGAAGGCTGAAATGATGTGATTACATAGTGAATACTATTGAATTTAGCTCCACTCAGTTTATCAGCAAGTCACAGGAAAAAGTCTGGTCTCTAGACAAAAAACAGATGTCAATTTAAACAAAGTTATACCGTATCCACTCAATAAACTACATCTGCACAAGTATTTGAATATTAACCATAATATGTTTATTATGAATTTGCTGAAGGACTATTCTGCAAAATTTTCAATATTACTACGTATAGACAGCCACATACTATACATTGATTGCCAAGATAAGTGCATTATCCAACTGTAATAGGATTTCCGAGTAAAATATATTATCTAATTAGTTATTAAGGATACTTAAAAACTCAAAAACTTTGTCGACGTTTATATAATATTTAATACACATAAATAAAAATATCAGTGTTGAATAAAGGGACATTGAGACAACAATGTGAGAAGTTTAGGCTTCTTCTACAGCTCTCCAATATGTATTGGAAATACATTTTGTGGAGAAAGTTTAATTTTCATACACGGACTTTTGATTCATTACTACAGAATTTTTCGACAAAATTTTTTAGAGCAAATTAAATATAAATTCTTTGATGAAGGCTTGTAACAATTCATACATTTTTTTATATAATAATTTTTCCAAATCTTGCTTTAGTCATGTAGTAGTAACACATTTATTAGTTTGTTTTATATTCTACTAATAATTGAGTTTAGTTTATTGTATTGTTTTATTGGCCAGCAATAATCAGGTATTGCGCTGCACAGTATTACATTTTAAGTAATATAATATAAAGCTTGATGCATCAAAAAGTAACTAACCAGATAATATTCCTAACTCGTTGTTAACCATACTGGGTGATATAAAAACTCATAACTTCAAATGCTTCTGCACTCTTTATTTTAAATTAACAATCAATGTCAACATGAAGGAATGACAATTGTAGCTTGTATATTTTGCTGAAATTGAAACACAGGTTGAAAATTTTTCATTCAGACAATGATAGGAGATACATATCATCTCTGCTATCAAGTCTTGTTTACTACTTTGCTTTATAAATGTTGGACTGAGGTATTTTTTTCAACTCTTTCTTCACCATAAGATGAGTTGAGCTGATCTAAAAAATCTAGCTCAGGGAAGAGATTAGTAGGTGCAACCGACAAAGACTGCTGTTCATTATCAAAGCCAACAGACTGGTTATCAGCATTACTCTTTGAAGTAGAACACTAACAAAAATTACCATAAGATAAATTTAGAAATAAGGGAAACTTACAGTGATTGTCTCCGGAAATGAAACAGATAGAGGATCCGTTGTAAAAACCTGATAAAACATTATCATTAGCCATCAATTATTAAAATGTCAAAACTAACATTCTTAAGTTGTTCAGCATCTAATATAAACGGTGATTTAGCTAGCACCTCTTTCAATGTGTCAAGATCACATTGCATTTTTTCAATATCTTGAGTTAACTCCAAGGCATCCATTTTGCTTCTAAGAAATAGAAAGAAAGTTTTACATATAGCCATTAGAACTAAAATGCTAACTGTTCTTCATCAAAATTTGATCGTTCTTCATTGCTGGTGGTTCTTTCGTAATCTCTAGTCTCCTGACGAAGTATTAAATAAATGCAAATTAGTTTTTATTTAATATATTTATAATTTGATATAACTCACTCTTAGGTATTCGTTTTGTGAATTGAGACTCGAAGTAGGCTGCCATTTTTCCTTAATTTCTACGGTTACATCTCCTTCATTCTCTACAGTCTGAAAACAGATATGAGATATATCAATGCAAGTATCCTAGTCTACATACTCTCAAAAGATTTTTGTTCAGTTTGTTGTCAAAACGAGAGAACTTATTTAGAGGCTCAAAAGCAGTTATCATAGGTAACTTCCTTTTATTTGAGGGTACTTGTCGGTTTCTAACCGCAGAAAAGAGGAAATTAATGATCTAAAAGAAGTGGTACATTAGATATTATTCAGTTTAAAAAATAATTTTACGTAACCTTGTTGAGGATATTCTGTTGTCTCATATTTTTTTGTCTTAGCATAGATATTTCTCTCCAAAGTGCTTCATTTTCTCTTTAAATGATATATATAAACAACTTTATCCAAAGTTACAAAAAAAACTATACCTTTTGGCCAAATCAAATCTGCTGACTAGAGTTTGACACTGTGAAGCTAAATTTTTCACATTTTCGCAAATTTTGCCATAATCATCGTTGTTAACTACTTTAGAAGATTCCTCAGACTTCACCTGGACTGACTTTAAAGCAAAAACTATTGCACTTCAAAATTATATTTATTTGCATACCTTTCTCTTAATCATGTCTAATAATCTCTCTTCCCCCTTCACAAAATATTGATGTTGAAACTCAAGATCACCATTTTCAAATTTGATGCCCGAGTTTAAGTGCGCTACCTTCTTAAATCCATCTGAATGTTAAACGATTAGATATAACGAACACAAAACATATTGTGCATATAAAGAATGCTTTTATTCTTTACTGGTACAAAAACTTACACATATTTAACTGACGGATAAAACTTGAAATGTTTGAATGCTTAAAATATAGCGGCAAAATTTCTTTCGAAAATCGACCCTGGTCATATACATGAAAGCTCTTTCCTGTCTAAATATTTAGAATAAAAAGGTTGCATGCAAAACTAAATTAGCGATTATTAAGAATGCAGTGAAAAAGGAAAAACTAACTAAATCCCAGCATATAACATCATCAGTAGATGGATCATCAACAAGAGCCCACAATTTTGTCAAAAATGCAGGTACAGTAGAGGCCTGGCTATCAAGTAATGAGAGCATCAATAAAATATAATTCTCAACGTTCTGCTAAGAAGTAAATTTCAATATGGATATAGCTAAACTAAGAGAGGAACGAACGTGGGACTGGCATCTTTTATATCTATATTATTCGTTAGGAAAAACAAAAATATACGAAAATCACATATATTTTACAAAATCTGTTATACACATAATATAAAACTAAAATTAACAAATGTTTTTTGAATTTCATAATATTGCATCTTATATATTATTATATGATAACTAAGAGCTTTAAACGACAGACTTTTAAAATATTTTTAGCAATATTTAATACAAACCATAAATATTCATTAATAAGTAAAGTTTATTTAATATACACTAAGTATTTAATGAAGATATTTTAAAGTATAGAGAAGCTAGTTTCATAAAGAGACTAAACAATAAAAGGTTGTCAATAACATAGTTAACAAGTTAAATGCTGGACCCAATTTTATTAAATACAAATCTTCCATAGATTCAAATTTAGCTTTAAGTTTGAAAAATCAGCTTTCTTTAAAAGTTGGTTTTTTATTCTCTTTTCAAGTTGCTCAAATAAAAAGTCTTGAATACATTCCCGAGTTTAGTAATAACCATGCTTCAGCCCCTCATTTAATTTACCCCTTATATTACTTGTTAAACTCTTTGCTCCCTTCCGTTCAAATATTTAGACACACTGGAGTTTTACAGATACATACATTTGATATTGTTTTTTGTCGGAACTATAAAAGTGCCTCGTACAATGCATAACATGATTTATATTTTTTCACTGAAGGCCCTGATTTATATATACCTGACAGGTAAATTTTTGTATTAGAAAGTTTTCAAACAATTAAAAAGTATTAAATTATAGTGTTTTGATACATTTTTTTTGTAGAGTTGAGAAATTTCAATATTTAATATTGTATTCTTTGCAGATGTTCAAGCATCGCAAGGTGTAGGCGAGTTAGGTTAGTATTTTAATACCAAACATCCTAGTCTGAATAAGAATCTTGCTTAAGAAATTGAATTAAGAAATGGCCGAAAAGATAATGAAGGTTTGCTGTTTGTAAGAGATAAATCAAGACAAAATAGCCCATTTGGTACAATCTGCGATGATGGATGGGATCAATATGAAGTCAACACAGTATGTCGTCAACTAGGATATGAAAGTAAGATTTCCACATAAGTGATATCTTTTTATTTGACTAAAAGTGTTTGAAGGCGGTATCTTGAGACAAGCTCCATTTTTCGGCATGGCAAATAAATTAGTACCCATTTATATCGATGATGTCAAATGTACTAAATACACTTCGAAATTGGAGAATTGCACTTTTTATAGAAAATGGGGAAATCATAATTGTAAACATTATGAGGACGTGGGTGTCAGTTGCTATGGCCAAACAGGTAACTCTTTTTTCTTTTAAATTTCTGTATTAATTTTTATTTAACTAGCCAAGTCGGATTATAAAGAACCCATGTTTGGTGCTGGAGCGGTTAATAGATCTTTTCTTGATAAAAACACGGGTCCTGATATAATTATACCCTCGCCGTTTCAATTTTTTCCTTTGCATGCAAAGATATTGCGATGGAATTTTTGGATAGGACAGCTGGAGCCAAAGAAATCGTTTAATCTGAAATTACAAGTTAATACGCTGATAATTTAATTCAAGTTTAAAATTACTTTTTTTAGATATGGCGTTATTTGTCAGAAAAAAATTACAAATTAGTTCATCAAACAAGCGTCACCATTGACAAGATTGGTAGGCATACTGAAAACGTTTTAGACACAGTCCACATTGGAAGGTTTGATGTAATAGGGTTTCAGTATGAGCATTTCAACCCTATACCCTATGATAATGACTTTCGTTGCTTAATTACCGATTCCAATAAAATGTTACATTCAAAGGAACAAGGAAAAAGTTGATAACTATTGGAACAAAATTATTTCTAAGTCTTTTAATATATAATATTTTAGTAGATATACAGATTAACTCAAACTATGAATTTGTCAAGAAAAAAGAGTTTCAAAATAACTGCAGAGTATACTCTATTTACGTTGAATTTAATTCTTCATGTAAGTTTAAAACAGACCGTCAGTAGTTTACAGGGTATATTTTTTTTTAGTAATTTCTTCAACGATGTTACACGATACCCCAAAGCATATATTTCATGGACTGAATAGTACCTACTTTATTGTCCAGAATGTATCTTTACCTAAATATTTAGCTGAGAGCTACTGCAGGTAAATATCAAATCCTATATCTTCCACGTCAAATTGACATTATGGCTGTTTTATAAAAGTAAGCTGAACTTAAATACGTCACTGGTTAACATTACTTCTCTGGCGGAGTATATGATGCTTGGATCAATATTATTTAATAATAACCTGTTGAAAGGCGATCAATTTTGGATAGGTGGAAGAACCTACGATAATCTACCTTTTGAAAATTGGCAATTGAAAGTTTGGGATGATTGTCAACCAGGTACGTAGTTATATTTATTGGCTATCGATTGAAAGACGATATTTGAAATGACAGTGCCTAATCAGGAATGCATTTTGTTAAAAAAAAACAAATTCGATGTATTTGGTGACTATGCTCTGAGGATTCGCAGTAGCCCATGTTACTACAAGCATAATTTTATTTGCGAACAAAGAAATATTAGCGAATCTGTGATGAATTCTCATTCATACAGACCAGGTATGATTTCGACTGTTCATGAAATCATTGAAAACTACTAAATATATTGCAGGGGCAAAACGATCGAAGAGAAAAGTGATATTAATTACTTTACTTGTATTAGTTATCTTATTGCCGGTTATCGTCATTGTAGCATATAAATTAATGTAAGTGTACTCTAATATTTTATAACATTAGTATTTTACCAATTATTTTCTTCAGAAAATATGTTAATGCAAGGAAATCGGATCAAATGGCAGTCCGCTTTGTGACTTTGGATGATAAGTCTCATATCTGATAGTCCACTTCATTATGACTTATAGCTCTGTATTGTTTTAGTGTACTACCGTTCAAGTTTTTATGTAATTCTTTCTAAATATTTTAATTACAAGTAATAAGGTAGTTGAGAAGTTTATACATTGTTAATTCTTCAAACAATAAAAGCTTTAAAGCAATTTTATGTTCAAAACTTTCCAAAAATTATCTTAAATAAAAACTAAAATTTTTAATGTTTTAAGTAAAACTAAATTATATAGATTCATGATACATTTCTTTCAATATTTTAGTGTAGTATAATTGAAGAATTTTATTACATATAAAATTGTCTTAGAGTCTCCCTTCCAGAAGCATTTAGTATTATTCAGGTGATTTTTGTCAATGTTATCAGATAAGACTTTTATTGATCAATTAAGCTGAAATAGTGTTTTCTAAAATGATCAGGCGCGTTGGTAAGTATATATTTAGGATCATTCCAAGTTTTTGACAGTCCATTAAAGCGGGAGAATCTTTTAAAAACAATTATACAATGATCAATTTATGAAAGCGTAATGAAATTGATTTTTCAACTAGATAAAAGGAATCATACTTCGGGAAGAAAGCTAAAATCAACTATTATCTGTTTGATAGGTATAATTTATCTTTCAATCACCTTTAAAACGCGCTAAATACTGGTTTTCGAAATTTCAGTTGTAGTAATTATACTGACTATAGCATGTATTCTTGTCACAAGAGGACACGAAAAAAAATCCTTCCAAATTGTAAAACATCCAAAGACCACATTTAGCCTGAGTGAAATTTTCAATTCCAACTATCAAGTAAAAGATCTTAGTGGATTTTGGATACAGGGTAAGAGTCCTTAAATGAACAGCTTTAAGATCTAAAAGACACTAAAAATATCAGGATCTGAGAGATTTCTTCAATTAAATAACAATGGAGATATAGTTGAAATTTCCTTAACTTCACCATATAAAGTTGTTATGAGTAAGGTAAGATATGCAAGTTTGTTTTTAAAAGTAAGAATGGTAAAGATAAATAATCTTCTAAGCATGAGTTAAAAGATTCAAGTAAATTTTGGATGTCTCCTTGTGGGACCTATATTTTAATTGCTTATGACATTATGAAAAAATCCAAGTATACTTTCACAGCTTTCTACAAAATATTTAACAAATCAACAAGGTAAAAACCATAATAACTTTGACCAATACCAATATTATAGCTGTCACAATTATTAAGAACATTTACAACTTTCCCAAATTTTCTAAATCGATCCAAGATTAGACTACAGTCAGCCTCATGGAGTAAAACTGGCCGTTATGTGGTATTGAATGAATTTATTCTAAAATGCGATTAACATTAATAATTTTCAGGCTTTTGTATTGGAAAATAATTTATACATTCAAAATATTAATGGAACAGTTAAGCAGCTGACTTTTTCTCGTAAAGAAAATAGTGTTTTTACTGGAATTCCAGATACATCTTATGAAAGTAAGATCTTTTACAAATACTTTGCATTTTAAAATATGCGAAATTATTTTTCAGATTTACTTTCAAAGGGAATAGCCATTTATTGGTCTAAAAAAGATTCTTTCTTGGCTTTTGCTCAGTTTAATCTTACATTTGTTCCGAAAGTAAATATAACTGTTTTCGGAGAACAAAATTGCTACTACCCTAGATCAAAAAGTCTATTTTTTAGTTTGGTAATTTTTAAAGTTCTATTTCGTCACTAATTAAACGTAAGAAAATATCTTTCAGGCTGGACATATTGACAAACCTAGTTGTAATATTGTTCAAACAACTCGGGTATCATTGTTTGTTTTTGAATTAGCAAGTGGAAACAAGATGTTGATTTATCCTCCAGAAAATTTAAGAAATCAGTAAGATCAAGTTTCTCATTGGAATGTTAATAATTAGATCAAAATATATTTGTTTAGAGATCATTACTTCCTTCAATTATCATGGAGAGATGAAAATCATTTCTTAATTACTTGGACGAATAGAATTCAAAATTTGGCAATTGTCAATTTCTGTAGTATTTCAGCTAATGTTCACTGCGTTCTGGTAAAAACTAACTTTTACATTTTTGCATAAAATCAAATCAAATGTTGAAATCCATAAGTTAGAATTTCTAAAATAACAAACAATTTTTCAAACATGCAGAATTTTGAAAAACATGTTGCAAATGGTTGGATTCAAATAGTAGGTACTTACTTTTATAAATTCTAAAGAAAAATTGTTTGTGTCTTAGCCATGGCCAAAACCAGTATGGACTGAGAGTGGAGAGAGTTACCTTACTATTTTAGACAGACAAGAGGATAATACCAGTTACTTTCAGCTAACTCTTATATCTGTATCGGTAGGATAAACTTTTTAGAAAATTGCTTATCGATCTCTATGACTTGTCAATTAGACAGCTTCAAAAGGGTTGATAACTTTTTTGACCAAAGGTAAACAGGATATCATCCATATTTTAGGATACGATGAAAAGCTATCAGTTGTATACTACCAAATAACAGGAATTGACTATAGAACTCGCTATATTTTTAGGTTATATTAATTATTTACTTTATAAAATTGAAACGTTTTTTAATTTCTACCAGTCTGCAGATTTCAGAGAAAAATATTACAACTGCGCAATGTATTACTTGTAGAATTCTACCTAGTTGTACATATGCTTCAGGAAAAATTAATTCTCTTTCTACGTATATGATTCATGCTTGCTATGGTCCGTCGTTTCCTCGTTTTGACTTGGTGAATTTAAAAGAGTATCAAATGAAAGTTTTAGAGGATAACAAACACTTGAAGGATTATATTTCATCTAAATTACTTCCTGATAAGAGGTATGAAAAAGTTGCTATTGGAGATAAATATGGTTTGTACAATACTACAATTTATTGATAGTTTTCTAAAGGACTATTTTACGAAAAGATGCTTGGATGGAAATCCTATATCCACCGGATTTTGATCCTTCAAAGAAATATCCAGCACTAATTTATACGTAGTGATTGAATTAACATAAGAGAAGATATAATTGGACTATATTTTTGTTTTTCAGTTCTCCACATCCTAGCAACCAGAAAGTTTCCTCAAAATTCAACTTCAACACGGATTATAAGTGGTTTTTGTACTTGTCAACTGCGCATAATTTTATAATAGCTTATATTGATGGTAGAGGATCTGCCTTCAGGGGAACTAAATTTATGTTCGACTTACATAAAAGAATTGGATTAGTTGATGTTATTGATCAAAATTATATAGCACAGTAATTACATTTTTGTAGTTTACTTTTCACTTTTACAAACTCTTCCCAGAAATTTATCTCAACGAAAGTACGTTCAAAGTAATAGAATCGCCATTTACGGCCAGGTATAATTGCATTCACCCAGCTCTACTCCTTTTATATTTAATAGCCAATATTTAGCTTCTAGAACAACAATTCACAATTATTAAGAATGTTATGTCATTGTGTCCTAATTTGTTGCGTGATAATACGATAATATTTAAGAGAGAGTATAATTTGTCACTTGAAAAGATACAGTTTGCTGATTATACAGAATTATGGAGGATTTGTGGCCTCTCACGCCATTTCTTCTGTCAGTGGACAGTTTTCTTGTGCCATTGCCCGCTCACCTATAACATCTTTCAAATATTTTGGTAAGATAGATTGCATTTCTTAGAGGAGCTAAATTTTTTTTTAAATTAGAAAGTACATTTACTGAAAGGTATTTGGGAGTTTATGGTGAAAGTGGTTCTAACGTTTATTATGAAGTGAGGCAATTGTTAGTTTGGTATTTAAATATTAAAACGATTGTTTTATATTATCACAGCAGTCAGATGTTATCAGAAGAGCAAAATATTTTAAGGGGAAAAGCTTTCTAATAATCCACGGCATGAGTGATGGTAAAAACTAATATATTTCAAAAGCTAATTCAATGTGAGACATTTTCAGAACAAATCTACTTTTACCACTCCGCACAGCTCATAAAATCCTTGCAGCTAAATGAAATTCAATTCAGAATTGGGGTAAAGACAGACATATTAAGAAATGTACTGTTATCAGTTTTATTTAATTTTTATTTAGATATATCCGGACGAGAATCATGAACTAGAAAAAGTTTCCCCTCACTTTTATAAGCGGATGACTAACTTCCTTTTACATGATTGTTTAGCTTAAACTATTAACAGTAGATATATTTCTTTAAAGGATCCAATACAAAATGAGAAAATATATTAGCGATTACGGAAGAAGAATTTTTTCTTTTTTTCACTAGTCAGGAAAATGATTAAATATTCGAAATGTTCGTTTAAAGGTAGTCTGTAAATAACACGCATGCGCAGTGGCCTCAAATTTGGCGCAAAAGCAAACGGACAGCTCAAATTTTTAACGAATTAAATATCCCAGGAGGTCCACAGAAGTTATAGCTAACATGGATACAAAGAAAACGAGCTCTGTTTTGGATGTTTCAAGTAAGCTTTTGTTTCTCTTATGTTAAAAAACTTTAATAATTATAAATAGGTATACTTTTCGTCCAATTCTTTGAAATCGCCTATTACCACTGGCGCTTTGTCGATCTGTGTTATTAAACCTATTTAACTTGCTTTATAACTTTGACATATGCCAGTAGATACATATATTTTTCATAATTTACAAAAAATATTTATGATCTTATAGCCAATAAAGACTCTTCGATATCTATTACTCCAAAATTGCGAAAATCAGTAGACGGTATATCAAGAAATGCGAACTTCACGCCCTCTTCGATGGAAAAACTAAAGCGAGTAAGATACAGTTTTGAAAGCTCCGGAAAGACTCCCCTAAAACGTCGAAATCAGAGTAAAGAGGAAAGCAATTCAAAGGGAAACCCTTCTTTACATATTCATACAGACGAATCAGAGTACGTTGTTGGCAATGGTATTGATGACATAAACTTTTCACCTTGTCAGTTAACACATAATTCTTCTCTAAATATGTCATTTAATGATAGCTTTCATAGAACCATTTGGAAAAACAGTGAAAAACTGTTTCCTAGCAATGATAGGAAAGGTTCTCTAGCCGTTATGTTTGTAGATAAGAAATCTTCCAAAGTTCTTACTTGCAATGAAAAATCTTATGAACTTTTAGAATGTACAGAAAATGATCTTATTGACTGCAAAATTAATGATGTTTTAAAATCTTTCGAAGAAACCAGCAAAAAAATCGTACAAATAAAAACTTTCAAAGGAGAAGATCTATCAGTTTGTCTGTGGGTTAGAAAATTGGCAGAAGGATTTTTAGTCATGATGGAAAAAGTTCAATGCATAACAGGTAACTTAACTTTGAACAAAGACAAAGAAATTGTTTATGTTGATGAAGAAATTGGCGTCTTGTATGGATCCAGTGAGGAACTTTTGGGCACACACATTAAAATGTTTCTACCTCAATTTGATATGAACAAAAATATACAATACACTTGCGGACTGTCTATTGACGATTTTGTTTTTCCTACGAGATTGGAAAGAGTTGATGATAAGACTATAAAATTAGAGGCTTTTTTATATTTAACTGGGGTAGTTTCTGTCAACACAGAAGGTTCGATCGTTAACATTAACAATCATCTGGGCTCCATTTTACTTGGCTATAAGTCTTCATCTGAACTGAGGGGAAATCTCATTAGTACTATTTTGCCAGAGCTGTCTTCTGATGAAAATTCCACTAATTTAATGAGCGATGTTTCAAGCGACAAAGTAGACAACATCATAGAAAAGTTGGACCATAGTCTTAACATTAAAAACAATATAATGATCGAGGAAGGTAGTTTTGGTGGTTTTGTAAGACATGATGATGGATCATTTCTCCCTGTTATGTATGACATTGAAAAAACAGAACAAGATTTATGGCTTATATGGATAAAGTATGGAGACGTACCATATTTTCACAGCTATACAGACAAAGATGCATCTAAGTACTCTCTAATTGAGGAGGTAAATGATGAAAATGGATTGTTTACGAATAAATTTGAATCAGATAGAAAATTCAATGATAATTATGAAGTTTTAGAACAAATAGGCAAAGGAGCTTTTGGATATGTTTTTATAGCCCGACAATTATCAACGGATGCCAAAGTTGTTGTGAAAAAGATAAAGAAGGAAAAAGTTTTAAGAAAAGGCTGGATTAAAACTGAGAAAGGGTTTGATCTACCTTTGGAAATTGTTATTTTATTGAAAATTCGCCATAATAATATTGTTCATGCTTTAGAGGCATATGAAAGTGAAAAATATTTTGAATTAATAATGAAGAAACATGGTAATGGTATGGATATGTTTGAATTAATAGAGCAAGCGTCGTCATACTCAAAACATAATTCTGGGCTTGAAGAACCTCTAGCAGCTTTTATGTTCCGACAAATAGCTTCAGGTGTTGCTTATCTCCATGAAAAGAATATCGTTCACAGAGATATCAAAGATGAGAATATTATAGTCGATACTGCTGCTTGGACCCTGCAAATTATTGATTTTGGATCAGCTGCAACCATAGCTGATGGAAAAACCTTTGGCAGTTTTTGTGGAACTGTTGAATATTGTTCTCCAGAAGTTCTTTTGGGGAAGAGATATAGGGGACCGGAATTGGACGCATTTTCTCTGGGAGTCACACTATACACCATGGTTTACGGAGAAAATCCTTTTGGAAATGCTGAGGAAACTATTGAATGCATCGTCAGACCCCCAGTTCCTTCATCTGATAAGCTTATAAGCTTGTTGCTCGGACTTTTAGCACCCAATCCTAAAAACAGAATGACAGCATTTGAAGCCTCCAATAATTCATGGTCAGTTCAAGATGTGGACTTAAATAATTACCCTTCTGAGAAAGTGATTGGTTCATTTGGTAAGCAAATTTTATTTTAAACAATAGCATATATATCTTTTTTTCTGAATAGAATTTAGAGGAAATACTGCTGGAGACTTTCGAAAAGACTCGTATCAAACTCCCATTCGAAACCGTAAAAAGAGTAATAGCAATCAAGATGAATGTAGGAAAGAGTTGTTTCGAAAATCCTTTTAATTCCTTTTTTTGTTTGATTAAGAAATTTTTATACTTATAAGTAATCTTAAGAAATCTCTTTTAATTTTAAAACAGTTTGAAGACTCTTGTTACTGACAATAAACTTTATAGACTTGTGAAGTGTATTGAAAATTGCTTAATTATGAAACAATAATAGATTCGCTTACCGGCATATTTATGATTCCAGTAATAATTGGAGTCGAACTACTACGTCGGCATAAATATGCTTTGATAGTATCTGATATCCCTTTATCAGATTTACACTCAACATATGACTCAAAAGTATAGTTCAAACCAGGCACAAGAAATGGGACGGGGATTAGTGTTTTTTCAACAGAATACAAAGAACTATCAAAGTGAAACGTGAGAAATAAACCAACGGACGGAGAATTTAGACTTGTGTTTTGTAGTTGGACAATTAATTTAAACATAGGTCCTATTCCGTTCACATGAACAGAAAGCTTTAAAGGCTCTTGGGGGTTGGTAGAGATGGGATTCAAGCTCTTGTTTAGGGATTCTGCATAATTTCGTGCTGCTTCCAGACGAATCCTGTATAAATCATGCTGAAATTGTTGATGCATCACGACGCAATTGTTTCTCTCTCTGAGTGTTTGATCAACAAACAATTTCGTTTTTTTCGGAACATTTAACTTTTGTTGTTGGGATGCAGGAGGACCGCTGGAAGTTGTCGCATCTTTTTCCTCAAATTTCGCTGTTCTTTTAAGCATTTTAATTAGTAGGCTACCCCCTTTCGTTGTCATAACCAAAGTCGAATCTTCCCTGCCAAATTTTCCAAACTTTATGCCAGTCACAGCATCTTCAGTTTTGATTACATTCACAAGATACTTATCTCGATATACATGCACCTCATGATTTTCAATTCCAACAAGTACACCCTTAAATCCTTTTTGCTTATCTTCCATAGCTTCCATTGTCAAAATATCAGCTGGCATTCGTATGAGCCATAATTTATTACCTTTTGTTGAATAGCACTGTAGAGTTTGGTCCATACAAGCTACAACGATATTTTTCCCTATTCTCTGCAGCCCGACAGGCTGTGCACTTAATTGAAACACAGGTTTTTTGACTTCCGATCCTCTGCAATTTTCTATTCTAAATAGTACATTTATAAAGATAATAAACTAACCGTTTTAAGGAATAGACTGCTCCATTTCTACAGGCAACAACAATTCTATAATCAACATCATAGAGGCCATTTACAGATAAAAATACGGGAACTGCCGGAATATCAATTTTTGTCAAAATAGTAAAGGCTTCAGGATCCAATATATAGATTGCCAAATGCTCAGTTCCCAACACTAAGCAGCTGATGGCATCGTCTTCAGAGTGAGATTTTTTTAAAGTTTCTAAGCACGTCACTACCGTCTGCATTTTGAGTGGTGAATTTTTATGAAGTGTTACAAAAGTTGACAACTCATGGGGAGGTAATCGTAAAAATTTCATGGATCTCACAGTAAGTATTACTCCTTTGCTGCGTAATCCATCCAAAATCTCTCTAAGAACGCTGACATCAATTAAATCATCCTTTGCTTGTATCCAAGCACTTTCTTCTTTTTCATCAATGGGAAGAGATGGTAAGGTAAATTTAAAGTAAGGTCTAAGATTTTTGTAAATATAGATAAAAGAGCCCGAAGCGACTGCTATAGCAGGAGTTCGTGGTTCAGTTAAATCCATATAAAAAGTAACTACCCCAGTGGGTAAATCAATTATTGCATTTTCGCTCATAAGAGAAGTGCCTAACAGGAGACAAATTAAATGTTTTAAATTGTTTCTAATTAATATATTAATAACAACCTCTGTAAACTTTTAATTTCATATCATAAGTTCCAGTTCCCAAGTCTGCGATAATAAGCTTATTTTCTCCATCGGCATTTATGTCCGATAAGGCAATACACTGTGAAAAAGTATACAAAGATGCCAGAGGATCGTAATGAGCGTTGAGCCATTTTTTATTTCCTTCATAGCTGTTGAAAACGACGAAAGCAAGGTTCGAAAGATTTAATTCTTATAATTATAAAAAAAAATACTGTCATTTCATAGGAATAACAGTTACTTACTCTTGATACCCTTTGGACTCTTCTCTTGATGTAATTTCTGCCATGGCTTCTTACTTTGAGATCTTTAAATATATGGAATTTGTTTCTTACCATTTATGAAATTCCGGAACAGGTAGCCAGTATATTTTTTTACATCGATAGTACGAAAAATTATTAATAAAATATCACAATGTTCTCACAACATATACATCAGAGCAATCACACAACAAAAATAACATATTTTAAGACCACTTACTAAGATACTTTCAAAATACTTTGATGGAAATTTTTAACTTTATTCACATCGTAGATGATAAAGAGTTAAAGCCGTTAAAAATATGGTAACCTGTTCCAATAAGCGTCTTCTTGGCGGCTTCTCAATCAACCATCAAGTCATCAATTGTTAGCTTTAAAAACTACATCATTGGATACAATTTTTATAATTTCTAACTACATTGTAACAGGTTTGATTTGAAAAAGTAATTTTCTTTGAACAAAGAATTTTTAATTTTACCACTTTTTTATAATGAATATAATCAATTTCTAAAAATTTTCTTTTTCAAATTAAGAAAAATATTGAGATCCTTTATTTAATACAGTATTAGAGGAGGGGCTGAATGTCTTAAATCTGTAAAAATAAAATTTGAAAAAAAGTGACATTTAAAAAAATGATTTAATTAACTTAGAAATATTATACATATATACACTTCAATTATCAAATTGAAACATTGCACAGCTGGTCCGAATTATTTGAGATATGCCGCCAAAAAAGGTACTTAATAAATTCTTATAATAATTTTTGAAGCTATTTTAATGGACGAAATTTTGGCAGAGTGCCAGCACCGTGTCTCCTAAAAAGACTAGAAGCAAAGCTCGGTCAACTTCTCGCTCGCGCTCCAGAGGAAGATCACCAGGTAGATCGAAGAAGTCAACGAAAACAGAAACAAAGGTTGAGGAGAAAGATGAAACTACAAAACAAGTTAAAAGTCGTAAGCGTGCTTCAAGCAGTCGAGAGAGAAAATCAGTAGAAAGAACAAGGACGTCAGCTCGACTTGATAAAATTAGAGTAAGTTCAAAATTACAAGAAATGAGCAAATTTTTACAAATGAATTAACACAATAAGAACGACGAAAAAAATGAAGTGAAGGAAGAAGTTTCGTCAACAACAACAGAGGCTTCTTTACGTAAACGCAAGTCTGAAAAAGTTCCAGTGGAGGAGAAAGTCTTTACCCGAGGAATTAAATCTCAGAAAGACGCATCTGATTCTATTGATAGATCTTTCAGTAAAAACTGGCTGAGTGTTATATTGGCGATTTTTGAACCTTTTATTTTAATTTTTACTGTTATCTTTGTTTATGCTGGATGCGAAAAGGTATTTCTATTCTTCCCTTTGAACTTTTAGCTACAATTACATTTTTATTTCAGAAATATTTTTGGAAAGATCAAAAGTTTAACTTTCCTCATTTTAATTTGAGGTGGAAATATGATTTTAGGATCCCTTTTTATTACTCAATTTTTATTCTCTATAACGTCATGCTCTACTACATGCCAATAGGTCAGAAATATGAGGTTAAAATTGCTAATGAAATAAGACAGCATCGGCTGAATGGTTGGTTTTAAATTCTGAATTAAACATTTATTATGTCGATTCATCCGTTCCAGGTTTATGGCAGCAAATATTTAATATTCTAATTATTTTGGCAGTTTTTGGATTAAAACAACCTATTACATTTTTAATAACTAGAGAATACTTGTTTGCTTTAATGATTACTGGCTTATCATTCTCTTTCATTATAGGATTTATTACGTATTTGGCTACTATTAAATTGCCTGGAGAAAATATAATATTAGACATAATTAAAGGAAAGTTAATATCTCCCCGATGTCTTGGCTTAGACTGGAAAATTTTCTGTTTCTTTAGAGTGGGATTAAACTTTTGGATTACTTTGACCCTGTTATATTCTCTTGACAATTATCAAACAAGTAAAATAAACAAAGGGTTAATTTCAATTACAGTAATGCAAATATTGTATTGTTTGACATACAATTTGGAAGAAAAAACTATATTTCACTCAAGTGATGTACAAAAGACACCTTTCGGATTATTTATGTCCATTGCATCTTTCTTTTACGTACCATTTGCCCATTCTGTCCAAGCTTATTACGTTTGGAAGCACAAAGTCATCGTTCGAGATGAATATTTGATAGCTGCTTCTCTGATTTTTGCATTTGGAATCTATATATTGTTTTCATCTAATAAGCAAAAACAAAAGTTTCGGGACGATCCTTTTCATCCTGATGTCGCTCACTTGGATAGTATATTGAGCCCTACAGGAAGGAGAATTCTAGTTTCTGGATGGTGGGGATTTGTAAGGCGTCCAAATTACCTTGGAGACATTATGACTGCAATTGCATTTTCCATACCATGTGGTAAGTGATTGATATAGTTACACATATTCATATATCTCTTTCATTTTAGGATGCAATTCACCATTTCCTTGGATATATGCGATCATGACAACTCTTATTCTAACTTTAAGAATCAAGGAAGACGAAAAAGGTTGCAAAGAAAGGCATAAAAAAGCTTGGGACAGTTATACAGAAAGAGTACCTTATCGTTTGATACCATACGTGTTTTGAAAAGTTCTTTTTGGACTGAAGACATTGCACAAAATTGAAAATTTGTGCTTAATAACTTTGCAACCCGAAAATACCCTGAAATATTGGTATTATTGTTGTAAATAATTTCTAAAACTTCGACACTGTAGTATTTAGTTTTTTATTATCGAATGGTAAGTTTATTGTTTGTATTTATATTATCCATTCTGTAGATTATGATTATATACATCACAGATAAAATTATGATTTAATTTGATGAAATATATTTTAAACTTAGGTAACAAAAATTTTAAGAAATCATTAAAGAATTAAAACTAAAGAGATCCGAAAGATTAATCTTATTATAATTCAACATTCACGAATCAGTGCTCTAGTTGCTCTAGCTGGGTTCGGTTCCTCCTTCTTCCTCAATATCTTCTAAATCAACCTTAACAATTAATGACTCTTCAAACTTCACCCTTTTTTCGTGGTCTAAATTTTCAAGATACTTGCTATAATCACTAAAATCAACATAGGGTATTACATTCCCATCGGAGTCATACTCATACTGATTTCGGGAGTATGGTTCATGAAAGTTTATGGTATTTGAAACAGTTGTTTCATTTGCTGTAGTGCGTTCCACATTATCATATTCGCCACTATTGACTGCTGTTGGCGCTCTTAGAGTAGTTTGTGATTGCTGTTGAGTCATAAGAAATTCATTATCTGATATTGTAGATATATTCGATATTGTTTTTAGTCGTAGAGGTCTTGTTGAAGTGTACATAGTTTGCTTCAGTCTGTTCGCTAATTGGCTTTTAGAAGGATCAAATGCTTGATTACTGATATTGCTTGTGTAGCAATCAAAATATCTTATCAACAAGGTCATATCTTCTCGAAAAGTGCAAACCTTTCGTTTTCCTATTCTCAAATAAGTTTCCCTGTGAAAATCAGCAATCTTTTGCAAAACAGCTTGACATACGTTATCCATGGTGTCATGACGAACAAATTCTAAAAGGATCATCTCTGCAATTTGAGAGTTGCATTCATCATCCCCAGTAGCATTTTGTAAAGCTCTATATACTCCGTCAGTCATAAGTATCAAAAATGAAGGGCATGTACTATTAATGTAGTGTAAATGAACCTCAGGATCAGCTATTATAGGTGGAGTTGTGGCTTCCCTGTTGAGTTAAAATTTAATATCATATTAGAGAAATAGAGTTTACCCACTTCAGTATATCCAGAGTCTTAGCTTCCTTCTTCAACCAAAAATCTCCAATACACCTAGTGCAGTCGAAAAACATGCCGTTTCTTTCATATATATAATCTTTATGGCAGAGCGCCTCAATATTTACATCGCATCGAGCCAAACGCATAAGTTCGTTTATATTTTTTAAATTGTGCTCATTTGTGATTTGTTTTACGTTTAGTTTGTTTGAATCATCAAATGTGCAATAAACTGCTCGAGAACAACCAGTATTTGCTATAAATAGTTTATGATCTTTAACCAGAGCTATAGTAGCTTGAGTTCCGCCACTCATAGAGTTTTCTAAATTAATTAGTTCAGATGCCACCTTCTTTTTCTCGGAATCACTCTGAAAGTGTTAGCTTAAAAAATTAAAATTATTATTTAATTAATACTAACATTAGCGTATTGAAGTTGCTGTTTTAACTGATATCTTTTCGCCAATTTTTCATCCATTGTATCTAAAAACCCATGTTCCAAAGACACAAAAGCATTTCTAATGTAATTTTCAACCTCTTTGTCATCATTAAATTTATGATTTAAAATATCTGAATCTAGTATCAAGTCCGCAGGTAATTTTTGATATGCGAAGTTTGCAGCTTTTGATGATGAGTGACCATTGAACACGCCATACAAACCAATACCATTCGTTCTAAAATATATTTTTTGTTAATTTAATTGAAACAATAGATATTAACTAACGTGAAATTGAATTTACGGTCTTCATATTCATGAATCTCACAAGGATTTTCTACATCATTTCGTTGATTTGACATTGTTCCTGATGCGGCCAACTTACAAAGAGGCAAATCATCGACCCAGTACTGATCACTAGTCATTGTAACGATTAAACAGAGACTCGCGAAAATCAGATAGACAATATGAAGTTCTTTTAAATCTGTTGTCTCAATCTTGTCTTTGGTATTAAAATAAGAGAAAATGGTGCATTTATGATCCTTTACAAAAATTGCTTAGTTTTCTCGCCAAAGAATATAATCTATGTAACAGTATTGTGATCTGGCTGGACACTGCAGCCGATTTTGCGAAATACATTTTGCTCTAGTTTCAGGTGCGCATGCGTTCGAAGTGAATTTTTAAATTTAAAAGGTTAGGGTTTACTAAATTATATTTAACTGCTTTAAATTTGTTGAATTTTATTTAAAACTAACAATAAAGGCTTTGAATAAAATATATTTCGTAATCAAAATATACAGATGTGTATTCACAAAGTTTATCAGCTATATACAAGAGTAATCGAACCATCAGCGCTGTAGAATTTTTGGTGCTATACTACCTTTCGGTAATAATTTAACTATAGCATGTGCCGGATTTTCATTTTCAGAGCCTGAAATCTGTCGCACATTTACAGGAGAGGCGTTTGTTATGGTATAAGTAGTGGCAACGGATGATGAGCTAGTGCTACCAAATACTGATGATCTCTCTGCACATTCTGCCACCAATCTAGATAGCTGTTGAGCCGAATAACCCAACAGAGCCCGTAAGTCACAGACAAATTTGTAGACAAAGCGTTTACCATGCACTTTAGAAATCATATCACCATCATAATAGTAGCGAAGGGCTCTGGATAACTTTTCATAGTTCATTGTAGGTTTTCCTTTTCTTCGACCCCATAAACTTGCAACACCTTCAGGATTATTTAGTTTAAATTCTCCTTCATCTCCAACCCAATGTATGAGATGAGTGCATTCTTTGTCAGTTAATAGCTCAAGAAGGAATTGCCACAATTGAACTTGACCATTATTTCCGGTTTTGTTACCTGGTACACCTCTCTCTCCACCAGCCATATAATATGTGCTTCTTGGAGAAGCAACAACTCGTTTCTGTGATGTTGTTTTTGCCCCTCTCAGAGACCCAAGACGAGTATCAGTGGAAGGAACAATAATTGTTGTAATCGCATTTGTTTCGGGCTGTTGAACTGTAGCTACAAATTTACATTTACGTAAGAGTTCCAAGTGTGTCCAAAACATGTCACTCTTATCATTGGGTACGTATTTGGAAAACGCCTCATGGCTTAATGCACATAGCTTTTCTCCATTTAGTTTTGACATTCTCTCTACATCAACATCTTCTAAATCAAATTTTTTCACAGCCCACTTCAACCAATATTCAACATGTTCTGGTAGCCATTCCTTAGGATTAGTAGACATTGATAGACGTTCCTGTTCCTTACGAAATTTTAAATCTACCACCCATCTCGTTACATTATCTTCTGATTCAGATAAGGGAATAACAATTTTAGTGTTCCCCGATGAAGTTCTATTTCTTTGAGTTACTTTCGGTTTCCTTTCTTGCTTTCTCTCTAGAGAGTCTGCAAATTCAGCAGCTGGTTTTAAAATGTCAATAATATTCAAACTGGGCTTTGTATTTGGGTTCGATTTGACTTCTAAATTTATTTGCACCAAACCAGAACCTTGCACGCACTGGGACACGAGATTTTTCTCTGGATCAAGTAAAATGGAATCTTGCAAATAGAAGTCATGATCTGCCAGATTTGTTTGCAGCCGTTTCTCCAGTAAAACTCTTAGGGTAGTCAGTGGCTCGCTAATATCCATATGCTCTATTATTAGATTTTGAGGACCGCCAACGATTTCTTCAACGTTTTGCAAACTTTCGTCAGCCAGATTAATATTCGAACTATCTTCAACCATTTCACTGCCAATCACCTGACTTTCATCTTCACCGCTTTCTAATTAAAAACGAATATTAGTGTTTAAAACACAAATTAAAAAAATATAATATTTACCCTCTTGTTCAGCGTACTCTCCATCAGCCGCTATAACATAGGCTTGATCATTTAGTTGGTGACTAATTACTTGACCATCAGAAGCGATGAACAATGTATTCTCACTTTAAGTACATATGGATTTCATACAAGAAAAGAAGCACGAAAAAATGTTCTACTAACGGTAATCGCTCCACTGTTGATGCTTCTTTCTTTATTTTTTTGCTTCCTGTCTGAAAATGGACGTCTGATCCTCTTTTCATACTTCTGATAGATAAGTATTGTTTCAATCTGTAATTCCAGTTAGAGATTTACATCATTTTAGATAAAGCTCGCAGCTATCGTAACAAGACACAAAATAGAACATTAACGACCGCCATATTGAAGATAAAATGGCGTTTTGATACACTGGTGAGATTGTTAGGGTGGTTTATTTTCCTTTCAAGTCGTCAGCCTTAGAAAGTTGTAAATTTATTTTTCAAGTAATTTTTTGATGTCTGCAAATTCCTTTTCCTGTTTCCAATTTGCACACTTCCGGATCCTAAAACTGCATGGAGTGCAGAAAAAGCGCAATTTCTCATCTCTTAGAGCAAAAAAATTACAAATAATAATACTACTAACTCTATTTGTTGTTCAATTAAACATCAGTTTAACTAGGAAAAAATATACTAGACAATAGTACTATGAAATAAAAATTAACCTAAGTCTATGGCGCCAACCGGAAGAATTTCACGCAGGAAACGTTGTTTGATTGTTCCGGAAGAAACGCTACACACTTCAGCCAATGAAGATTTGAGAAATTTGTGAATATGTTAAAGCTAATTACGCATGCGCATTTTCTTGCAACAATTTTTGTAGCTAAACAACACAGCCCGATGTTCCACACAATAATCGTACAACGAATTTATCTATGTGCCGGGAGCCATGTTATTACTGTATACTTTATTACTCTGCCGTTAGATATAAAAAATTAGCTTCTCAAGCTATTGAGATGATAGTATGAACTGCAAAGAGGAATCCGATTCCACACGCGAAACCGAAGTAAGTATGTTTTGAACTCAAGAGTGTTATCTACTGTCTCTTGTAAAAATATAATATTAGTCATATTTCCAGTCAGATCTTTATTTCGTGGCAACATCTGTTCTATAAACTAATAATACCTATCATTGACACAGCCCCAAGTTTTAAAACGAAAATTGGAAAGTAAGAATGAAGCTCTTTTGATTTTGAGTAGGGATCTACAACAATGTCGAGAAGAAAGAGATCAATTCAAGTTAATGGCTGAACAAATTCAGGAACGCTATCAGGCCCTAAAAAAACAATTGGTCGGTGTAGCTCCTCAATTAAATTTTAATTATAATAACATGGAACATCAATCGCTTGCAAGACTTCTTTGTGAGATGAAAGAAGTTAATAAAGCCCTGCAATTAGAAGCAGATGACCTAAAACAAAAGTTGAGCGACTCTCAAGGAGATATTAAACTTTTGAGAGAACAATTAGGACGACATAGAGTAGGAACAGCTGACGAAGGATTAAACACGCGTCACTTTCCTGCTTATGAAAGACAACAATTGGTCAAAGAGTTGGAAATTTTAGGTGATAAACAAAAGCTTCTTGAAAGAGACTTGCAACAACTGTTGGATGAGAAGGAGGAATGTGTTAATGAGAGAGATATTTTTAAAAATAAATATATTAGATTAAATAACGAATTAAACTACATTTTAAAAGGAGATGAGAAGCGAATTGTTGATATAGATGCTTTAGTTATGGATAATAAATATTTAAGAGAAAAACTTAACCAAATGGAGGAGGAAAAATCAATGACTCAAGCTGCGCTTTCGAAATATCGAAGTATGCTCGAAAGAAAGAAATGTAAGACTGCCAGATTAGGAGACCCTTCTAGAACAGCTGGTATGGTACTATCAAAACGACAAGTTACTGAATTGCTTGAAGATACAAATCGCAAGAATAATAGCCCCCAATTAGTTCATGATCTTCAAGCTTTGACGTCTGCCTTACTCGATACTCTAAATGATAAAAATTTAGCTCTTCAACATCAAAGAAAAAGTAATAAAATTCTTGGAGAAAGAATGACAGAATTGGAAAAAAAACTTAGGACTCTGGAGGTTTCTGGCCTGTGGAATGTTGAACAGGATCAACTCAACAGAATGGCTGAAGAATGTGAAGAAATACGAACTTTAATTCCAATTCAAACCTGTGATACACCTTCAGAAGGGAGTCCAGTTCATTCCCCTGGTAGGTTATGTAGGTAGCAGATTATCAATTACACATTTTCGTTTGACAGAAAAGGAATCTGAAGCAGACGATGCACAGAAAGACTTAGATGCCAATACAGAAACTAATGATGCTGTTGAAGGTGCTGCCGATAAAATATTTGATAATCAGAGAGAAGAAAACTTTTCGTTAACACAGCCACTTGATAACTTCTAGTCAATTTTAATTAAAAACCTCCACATACGGCTTTAGTACCTAAAACATTCTTTATTTAGCAAATATCACTTTCCGTACATTTTAACTATTATTATCAGTATGGTAATATTTCGATAAATCAAGATACCATCCATTCATCATATAATTCAATTTTACGGGTTTTTTTTAAAGATAAAGCGTATTCGCTTTTGTATATTATGCAGCTTTAAAAATATGTATCATTTTTCTTCTCTAAACTTTTTTAAGATAGATTATGATTTTCACAACTGATTTTTTCATTCTATTGCAATTATTTATCAAACGAGAACCACGAATTGGTAGGATTACCTACTGATTTTCTTCGAAGCTAGTTGGCAGATAGGACCAATCTATTCCCTTATCACCCTGCTTCTTTAGCAGCTGGTTGCACTTTGAGAAATGTTTACATTGAAAAAATCCTCGATAGGCCGAAAGGGGAGACGGATGAGAAGCGTTCAGAATATGGTGTTTTTTCTGAAAGAAACTTTTACTAAAGAACCGTGATAATCATACTCTAAACAAACCTTGTTGATGGAAGAACCCTTCTTCTGTGCGTAGGACCCCCATAATAAGAAAACTACACCAGAGTTATGCTTGCTTATGTGGGCTATAATGGCATCTGTAAATTTTTCCCATCCTTTATCTTTGTGAGAGTTAGCTTCATGAGCTCTAACCGTAAGAACAGCGTTAAGGAGCAAGACACCTGTAAATATGTAAATTTAATATCTGATAGCAACGTATCTAGATAAAACCTTGTTTAGCCCAGCCCATTAGGTATCCATGACCTGGACGCTTAAAATTTTCGATGTCGCTTTCGAGTTCTTGAAACATATTTATAAGGCTAAAAGATAAAAATTAAATTATAAGGACAAATCTTATTGGATTAATACCTAGGGGGAGGGGCTACTCCAGGATTGACGCTAAAACATAGACCTAGGAAGAGGAAATTTAACTTTTGTAATAATATTTTAGTTGTATTACTACCATGAGCTTGTCTTGGATTGTGATACGGATCTTGACCGAGGATTACAACTTTTACCTGTTATTTGAAAGTCAAGCAAAATAGAATAATTAATCGAACGAAATTACCTTGCTAATGTCTATAGCGTTGGTAAAAGAGAATATCTGATCCTTTGGCGGGAATACGATCTTATTTTTTCTTTCTTCAGCTACAAATTTTGCAAGACTTTGAAAGTACGGTTTTGTGAATTCATTTTGTAACGCCCGGAACCATGAATGACCAAAGTTGGTAACCATACCATCAGTTTCTATTTCTATCTATAGTTTAAAATAATTAACTTTGACTGGTTTTCCAACTATTTATGTGATATCTAACCTTTCTCATTTGGGCCCTTAATTTATTAGCATTCATCTTTTCATGTTGTTCAGGAGTTAGGTTATTCAACACTGTTTAGTCACATCTTGAGAAAGTTATTAAAATATACTTTTACTCTATTTACATTTTTGAGCTGAAATGGGAGTCTTCTTTAAGTCAGTAGTCTCTATACTTTTTTCATCACTATCAATCCTGGTTCGTTTCGGGGTCTTGCAAGTCTGCAAAATTATAAATAGTATCAAAAGCTGGACAACTGTCGCTGCTGAATTTACCATGTCGCAATTTTCATCATTTTCAAGATTTCGTTTTTGAGATACGGGTTTGAAAAAGGTTGATAACTTTTTTTGACTCATAGTTTTACGACAACAGGTTAAAACTTGTGCTAGGATTGAAGTGTTAATGAGTATTCTCATTTATTATTTTCAGCGGAGTTTGACAGTTATCGCTCCCAACTTGCAAATTTAGTAATAGAAGACCGTTGACCAATCAAAATGACTTTTGTTTTTAAAATTCTCTGTCATCCAATCGTCTCTCAGTTAAGAATACTAAGGGTGAAACTTCTCAGGAAAGTTGACTATTTTGCTGCAAAAGTAAATTTTTTTTCTCTAAACTTTCAATATTCTTTCTACGAGAAAGGAACCATTTTTAATGAGAGTTTCACCCGACGTCGTTGAAAACATCAAAGTAAAATACCTTCTACATTGCGTAAAAAATATATTACTGTTTTGTATAATATAACATGTATATATTTTGTTCCATCGGATGAAGTTTTGAAGAATAGCTTGCATTTTAGACACAGGAAGTTTGAGGAGTTTGATCAGTATACCAACTTCACTCTCAGATTTGTTTATAGTATCATAATGCTCTGTTTTACATTTAGGTATGCTGTCATTATTTCATAGTGCTTTATATAGGACAGCGGATGATTTGTAAAGATTATATAGTAAAGTTCTAAACCCTTTTAAAATCTAGAGCTAAGAAAACTTTTGTTAAGGTGGAAGCACATTTTTTAGCGTGTTTCTCGAAAATTTGAAATTGGAAGCAAATTTGTTCATCCTTATGTTAATTTAAGACATTTCTAAATACAAATTGAATCACGAATGGCATTTACAAAGATTGCTTAGTTTCAATGTAGTTAAACCATTACAGGGGTGGAAATAAAACAACCTTGCTGAATAAGTAAAGACGGATAATCTGTTATTTCAGCAATCGTTTTGGGAAATAACTTTCTCACTTAATATACTTAATAGTGAATAAATGTTTTTTGTGATCCGCAATCCTACAATTCCCGAACGTCATTACTATTGACAAATTAAATATCTTATCCTGTGAAGTCTTATTTTGTTTGTTCGAAGATTTCGACGCTGAAAGTCTTCAGTCATTTGTTATTATTTACCAATACAATGAAAAATTTGCTACCAGGGGTCGTTGTTGATGTAATACTTTTATAATTCTCAACAACTGATTGTCTTCACCACAAGATTATCAAAGAAAAACTATTTCTGAGCGATTAAAGCTTGTATGCAATATTTTTTAGCCTTATGTTGTACAATGAGGCCTTTTTTCAATTGTCTCTTTTATTTCAACAATATATTCTTGGTGATTAATATTGCAAATTGTCATTTTTTTCAGCTAAAATTTTTCTTAACAGATATTATAAAATTAAATGGCTAGAGTTCCAGGAAAAATTGGATATCCATTAATTGGTGATGAGTCTTATGAATTTTATAAAGATTACCATGCCTATATTTCAAAAAAATTCGAGCATTATGGAAATATATTCTGTTCTCGTTTTCTCAACAAACCAACAGTCTTTATTGGAACTCATATGGGCGTTCGTCAGCTTTTAAACAGTAATAATACATGTTTAAATCAAATATATACATAAATTTTTTGTATTATCAAATGATACCTGCATATGATCTTTGTTTATTTTCCCACAATATAGGCCAATCTAATGATTTGGAAATGGGTTACAAAAGTTTTATGGATCACATCTTTAGTGATAACATCTTATTTGCTAGTGGTTCTTATCTGTATGATCGAATACAAGGTAGTGTTAGATTCATTTTTTTTTCAGATTTCGAAGCTGAAAATTTAAGAAGAGATTTGATTTCCATCTTTTCTCCGCAATGTTTGGAAAATTGCGAGGAAGCAGTAAGCTTATTAGCAACAGGACTTATAAAAACATTAAAAGCGAAGTAATCAATTTCTTATAATTACAAGAAGAGAGCAAATTATTCCTCATTGACCTGATTTTTTCCCTAGTGAATACATCGACATTTACGATCTTTTTAAGAGTTTTGCTACTGAAATTTGTCAGACAGTTTTCTTAGATTTAGATGCATCAACTGCTAAAGAAACTGCTGAAGCTATATCAAAACTGACAACTTCCCACTGGCATGGTTTGTTGTTTATTAAAGGCTTAGCTTTCTAATAATATACTTATATCGTTTTAGGTCTAATATCCGTGCCCGTAAATTTGAGATTGCCAGGTATTAAACAATCAGGATATAGCAAGGCAATAGACGCAAAGGTACATAGAATTTCTGAGAAATAAAAATCCTAAAAGTAGACATCTAACGTTGTCTTGTGCTTCAGAACCAGTTGCTAAAGTGGATAAAAGATCGATTGAAAACATCAATAAAGGGGTTTCCGTTAAGGATGAAAGAAACATTTGACGAAGAATCAGCTGCGTCTCATTTATTACTATTTTCCACCTCCTTAGTCCCAAAAGCCATATCGTCACTAATCTGCTCGTTTTTGTTACAGGCTACAGCTGAAGTAGGAAAACTAACCATATTTAGATGTATTGTGAATATTAAAACTAATCTATTATTATAACAGGAAAATTTTTTCGAAAAAATTTCCGATCAGAAGGTTTTCGACGCTTTTATAAAAGAAATTTATCGTTATTATCCACCTATATTGGGAGGAAGACGAATTGCCAAGAAAGTAAGTAATAGGCAAACATAGTGATATTCTTCCAAGTGTTACATAATTTGTATTTTCTTCAGGACTTAATTATTGATGGCTATCGAATACCGGAAAACCATAGCATTGTTTATTTAACACATTCTGCAAATCGTGATCAGATGATATTTGAAAATGGTAATACATTTAACTATGAAAGATGGTTAGGAGATAAAGACAAACCGTGCATATTCACGTTTGGCACAAGCAGAAGAAATTGTATCGGAATAAAAATGGTATCGATAATCTTAGAAGTAAGTTTTTCACTTTATAGTTTTTATATTTTAGAAATAATTGAAAACGTCAATTCCAGACCACCTGCAAATTACTTCTGAAGGAATTTACTTGGACTTCGAATGCAGTAAACGATTTCCAGTATAAACCTTTACCGATTTCCCGACCGGTTGATGGGTATAAGTGTCGATTCATTCCCAAGGGAACTATTTAAAGTCTCATTATGCCGATACATAATTCGATCTTCTTTCTACGTATTTTTGGTCACATGCTGTATCTTTGCAAAGAAGATATTTCTGCTAAGAGATTCTTCAATAGGTTGTGATAAATTCGAAATAAACTTAAGTTAAACACCAGATATTTATAAAAAACTGACTGTTGTTGCTGCCACACTGTAAATCGACTAACAAACCGTCTATTGATTTGCGCAAAAAGCGTCATATCATGATGAATTAGGAATGGTCGTAAAATAATATAGTAGGAAAATTTTTTTCAAATGTTTATAAAGATTCTCGCTTGAGCGCATGGCAGCCTTTCCCTCTTTTACTTATGCAGACGCGCTTATTCGTCAGAATTTCCGAAATCCATTTGGCATTTCAACGTAAGCTTGAAATCAAATTTTCTGTAACTCCTCAACTGTCGTCCTCTTGCACATTGATAATCGGTATTTGCGTTGTTGTTTGCGATGGTTCTTCGGCTGGTTCTTCGCTTGATTTTTGTAATTCAACATACTGTTTTTCCATATTTGCTTCATACCAAGCCATCCAAGTTCTCATGTGTTCCCAATCAGTATCACTCTGTAATACAATAAGTCTCTTGCAGATCTATGCATTTTTAATTCTTCATTGTCATTAGGATAGATATAAAATATGATAAAATAGGTATATAGTTACCTTTCTCTTAGGGCGTTTATTATTATTGGTAGCTTGTCTCATTTGTTGTTCAAGTTTGGCATAGAAACTGTCATCATTATGTAGACAAGGTCTCTGTCGCTCTCCTGTCGTCATCTTTTCACGGTCTACCTGCATTGATCGAAATGTTATATCGATTACTTTTGTCATTCGTCTCTGATACCCTTATTATATCGTCTGCTGTCACTAATGAATGCCTTTTTTCTCGCCAAACTTGCTGATAAACAGGAGCAGCAAAAGGCGTCGAGTTATTCTGCTCACCTTGCCTCTCTAGTAGGGCTGCTATATAAAATAAAAATACGTTACATATACGACCTTCACCTTTTTGTTTAATAAGATACCTCTCTGCAAATGCATCTCGCCAGTGAAAACTGATAATGCTCGGCGTCTATTAGACGCCAGAGGAATTTGGGAATCAACGTCAACGTCAGATGTAAGTCTATTACCCATAACAGTTCGAAACTTTCTGCGAGCTCCACCGCAACAAGCAACTGCAACGCCGCGTGTCGTGCACAACGTGCACTATTTGCACTTTTTCAGCGATTTGCTAGATAAGTTGCAAATCGATAGACTAATAGAAATGTTCAAAGTATACTTATTTGGAAACACTATAGCCCAGAAAACATTAATATAAACACTTTCCAATTGTTCTCTATTCTATCAGTTCAATAATGTCGACAGCAGCTGAGCGGTTCTTTTCCAGACAGTTTCGAATAGAATTTTTGGCTCTTTTTCATTTGTCATGGCCATTGGTTCTGAGTATTTATTAATTCCTTGATGTTTTTTCAAAAGTATATCTTTGCAGATTCTAACTTGGCTATGCAATGCTATGATTGCAGCTACGAGTTTGTTTTTTTGTGGACAATTGGGTCGAGTAGCTCTTGATGCTGTTTCCCTTGCAAACTCCGTATTAAACGGTTAATCATACGTCAAATTTTGTTTATAAATCTTACTTTTCAATGATAGAATAACGAGCATAATAAATTCTTTTTACTTTCGACCTTAAAAATAGTTACTGGCATATCCGTTGGTATGGGATTGAGTACAGCATGCGATACTCTTTTTTCTCAAAGCTATGGCAGTACAAACAAGAAACAAATGGGAGTATTCCTACAAAAAGGTACATCTTAAGTTATAAAAAGATTAAAAGTTTAATCTATTGCCTATAAGGTATATTAATTTTATTTTTGGCTGCTTTACCTTGTTGGGCAATACATTTAAATACTGAAAACATACTTTTGGCAATTGGGCAAGATGGTGAGGTTTCTAGGTATCTTTTAAGATTTATTTTGTGCTCTTTACTTTAATTGCTTACCTTTCCTTATCTCCAACAGGCTTGCTGGACGCTACACGCTGATATTTATGCCCGGTTTGTTAGTAAGTTCTCGTTTTCTTTACGATTCTGAAAAATAGGTCAAATTAACGAGAAAAAGTTTTTCACGTATAGTTTAACTTCTGTTTCCAAGTCCTTTCGAAATACTTTCAAACTCAAAATGTTGTTTTACCCTTTATATTTATCGGGTTGCTCGGAAATGGAGTAAATGTTTTGTTACATTATGTTTTGGTTTTCAAAACAACATTGGGAGTCAGGTGGGAGATCATAGCTAATTTTTTTATATTAATTATTATTTATTTTTATTTATCAAAACCCTAATTATTCTAGCGGTTCTGCAATTGCTCAAGTTTGCGGCCATTTGACATTATTAACATGTACTTTATGTTATGGAGCAAAGTTCCTAAAAACAAATAGAGAGACTTGGTCATCTTGGTCTTTAGAATGCTTACAAAATTGGGGCTTATTTCTGACCCTTGCCTTTCCTGGCATGCTAATGATTTGTTTGGAGTGGTGGTGTTTCGAAGTTGGGACAGTTCTATCTGGGACACTCAATACCATTGAATTAGGTGCCCAGTCAATTCTATTTCAAATGGAAGGAATTACTTACATGATTCCGACTGGTGTAGGAGTTGCGGCAAGTATCAGAATCGGTCAATATTTAGGGTCTGGAGACCCAAAGGGTGCAAAAACTTCAGCAAGGGCAGCTTTAGTTATTATTGGTAAATATAAATAGCATCAAATATATATACTTTAGTTTAACATATCTATCAGGTTTTACTGGGGGTCTGATCGCTTTGATATATGGTACACTTAGAAATTATATTCCCAGAGCATTCTCCAGAGACAAGTTCGTAAGCCGTAGTATACTTTATCTATGTAGCATTTAGCTGTAAATGATTGTCTATCTTTTATGGAAATTTCTTTCTTAGAAGCGTTGTTGATAAAGCCGCTGGCGTTTTCCCTATCCTTGCTGCTTTCTGCATATTTGATGGATTAGCGGTAAGATTTTTAAATGAGACTGATACCGAATAACAAACGCCACCTATAGGCAGTTGGGGGAGGTATTTTGAGAGGCTGTGGACGTCAATCAATTGGTGCAGTCGTAATCTTTATAGGTTATTATGTGATCTCATTACCGATAGGAGTACCTCTGTTGCTACTGTCCTCTTGGCGAGTTCAAGGTTTCGTGTAGACCTTTTCATTTTTCCCCTAATCCTTATTTCATTTTCAAAGGCTTATGGCTGGCATATGCCCTTGGGGTACTTATCGAAGCTATAGCTTTCTTGTTGCTTGTACTGACAACAAATTGGGACTTAGAAAGCGATCATGCTGTCGAAAGAGCAGGAATTAAGAATAATACGGACTTTAAAGGAGAAACAAGCTCTTCCAGCAAAGAAGTGCCATTGACGGAAGAAAATCTTGAAGTCGAAACCGAGGAAACTCATTTATTGAAACCTGTAAGGAGAAAAATTACTGCAGTCGAGATGGAAAGGAGAACATTGGGCATGAGACGCAGTTATTCTGGATCGCCTGTAATCGACACTCTTCATGGGAGACGCTTTTCAACTCCTATGCAATCTCCTACCCAGCTCTCGTTCCCGGATAAAAAACGTAGATATTCTACTAGGCATATACCTCAAATTCAGGAAAATGTTTTGGAAAAGTTAAATGACAAGAAAACGGACTCTCTGACAAAGCTCTTACTAACTAGATTTGTTACAGTATTGTTTTGTGTCGGAATTCTTCTTGCTGGAGTGTTAATTAGGGTATTCGTGCATATTGACCAAAATACAGATAGTTTTAACACCACTGTAAGTCTTACTAACGCTTTAGAAACAACGACCAGCATATAAAGCTTGATTATTATAATACCTGCAGCTTCTTTATATGTTTACGAGAAATTAGAACGCTTAATATAAAACTTATACTTTGAATTATCAGAGAAAAATTGTAAAACTTTTGATATACTAGATTAGACTTCAGCATTACTGCAAATTTTTTTTAGACAGAATCAAAATATAGAACTTCTGAAAGACTATTATTTGAGAAAGGTAAGACTCTGTGAACTCTATGATGCACACCGAATAATTTCCCTTTAGTATTGATACAATCATATTTTTCTATATGGCTGGTTTTCAGGCTAAAAGTAGTCTCAAAACTTTATATCGTACAAACAATGTTCTAAACAGTATTTGCACTAAGAATATTTTACTTTTTGATATTTTCACGATGACATCTTATTCATCTATATCGTGATTACACTCAATTAAGTTTATTGCCAGTCTTAGCTCATGTTACGACATTTTAGCGTATTTTACCATCTAATCGGAAAATTATAATTAGTCTAATTGCAACTTTTTCTTACATTTGAACTATATCTTTACGTCATCATATTGAGATTTTAATGTTTACAACATAGTTATATTAGTTTAAATCATTACTTGAAAATTGTATTTTACTGAACCTCAACATTTTAAATTTTTGATATGAGAAACATTTTCTTCTGTTTACTTCTAATATTTATAGTCGCAAATGCATATGGTAGACCAATCACTTAATGAATTTTATATAAAATACGAATATAAATGTTTTTTATTTAATACCAGCGACTGAACAAGTGGAATGTTTTCAATGTGGAGAAAACTTTAATTATTATACATACAGTAGTATCACTGATTCATCATACCCAACGTGTCCTGCTACTTGGTATAAAAACGATAGAATAAATGATTTACCCAAGTGTAAGGGTAGAATATGTGCAAAGAGTATTTTATTTCATGAGACGGACAATTTTACGGCTATCTCTAGATATTGTGTCTCAGCAAGTGAAGCAAAGGACAAAGAACAGGAATTAAATGATAAATGTTATCAAAAAGATATTCCTGGTAGAGGTGTGAAGGTTATATGTCTCTGTTTCACTAGATTGTGTAACATATCTTCTAAATTATCAAATGCATATGTTTCACTTTTAATAATAATTAAGATTTATCAGCTAAATTTTAGGCAAGAGCTGTTGTTCTAATGTACATGATCTAAAATATATCCCATTTCATTTATCTCATTCTGAGAATGTGTTTTGAGATATTAATATTTTAAAATAATTCACTAGATGGCACCTGGGTAAATAACTATAATTTAATTTCACTCTGTAAATATTTTTTAAAATACAGATCTTGATTAGATATTTCAGATAATTATTATATTAGATATGAAATCAAAAAAGAAAGTTCACTTTTTCCGCCATTTTAAATATTTTTATTCCTCAATTATCGGTCAAGCATGTCGTTAGTTCTGTGGAAATACGATAATCCAAGAGTTGATTACCGTACAGATGAAATTCATATATCTCTCTTTAACAACAGATTAACATTCTATCAAGACACAAATATTAATATTACACAACGACAGAACACGGCATATAAGCTATGGGATGGCTCTTATTTACTAGCCAAATTCTTAGAATCGAAAATCCATTTTGGTTCTTGTTATTGGAAAGCTAAAAATGTCATAGAATTAGGATCTGGTTGTGGTCTCGTTAGTCTAGCAGCCTGGTTGCTTGGAGCGAAAGTTATTGCCACTGATTTGCCGCAAGTCTTGTCTCACACTCGCGCATGCATCACAAAGAACGTTAAATCCATTGCAAGCAATAAATCTCTAAATTGTGACAAGATTTTTGTAGACGATTATACTTGGGGTAAATCAAAGCAGTTCAAAAGCTTTTCAAATTTTCAGGTTATATTAGCATCAGACGTGATTTATGAAAGAGAAAACTTAAACGACCTCATTCAAGCTTTGAAGGATTTGAGCAACAAAGAAACTGCTATCTGGATATCATACAAACCAAGGGGATTAGGAGAGGATGTGTTTTTTGATCTAATAAATAATGACTTTGAAATTAATCACATTAAAAAATGTGAATTACCACAAGAATTCCAACAATCTCAGTATAAAATAATAAATATGAAAAGAACTTCTTGATTAAACTATTTTGTATTTCTTATAACACTGGCTAGATCCTAAATGATAGTATAGTCAATTTTGAGCATTATGCAAAATGGCATGGTATAAAAATTTTAACAGAAGATTAATTATCACAGCTACTATTAAACATCTGAATAATTTTTCCTGCCTCGAAGTCCTTTTTTCTTCCTACCCGTTCGAGGTCTGTCCATGGGAGGCAATCGATTTTTTGGTTTTCCTTCCATATATAAGTCGCCTTGATCATAATAGTTCTCTTGTTGGCTGTCTTCGTATTCCTCTTCTATGTTTGAATAGTGGCTGCTTTTTCGACGAGATGACTTTCTATGAAATGATCTGAAGGTTTAAATTTAAGAAAATATTTGAAAGCGTCCAGAAAAGAGTAAAACAATTAATCGCAAAGGAAATTCAGGCAAGTGTGCAATCAATAAATTAAATTTCGTTTACAGTCAAATCCTAATTGGAATAAACATTTGAATAAACATTTGAATAAGCTCAACAAGTAAATAAAAATGTGGACTATTAAATTGTGAAAGTTAAAAAATTCAAGTGCACAGAATCTTACATTCAAATTGAATGAAAAAACTGCACGTTAATAAAGCTATTCTGAAATTTGTAAGTTAAGTTGACCAAAGTGTTTCAAACTTTTTACATGCCTAGCCAAGCTTTTATCTTTAGTTCTTTACAGATGTCCTGTATAAAATATATTCATGGTTACGTTAATATTGCAGCAGGGCATAGAAGGCATGCGTTATTAGATCGTCGAATAGAATAAAATTTCAGATTAAGAATATTTAGCTGATAATATAATATCCACCAAATGGTGTTAGTTCAAGCTTGGCATAGCACGACGTTGGCTAGATTTATTATTTTTGCTAAATGTATTGCCTAAATACTTAAAAAATGAAAATAAACAAACCGATTTTTATTGTCCAATTTTACCAGATCAATTGTTGAAGCTTTGATTCTGTCGTCAAGTGTACTAGGTCTTCGGCTACAATTTAGTTTTACTTTAGCAAAGAACTAAGTTTTATTAAAGAAATAAAGCTAACTTGTCATTGCTTCCTTGAAGATGGGAATCGTCTGAAGGCGGATTATAATTCTGGCAAATTTCCCTCAAGAGACTCTCTCTCTCTTCTACAGTTTTGGTACTAAACAGTATGTCTACAACATTGATCAATTCTTGTTTAGAAAATTGACCAAGTTTTACCAAGCCCGCAATAAATTTTAATTCCTGCTTTTGAATTTCTTCTTTTCTCTTCAAGTCGTTCTGCCTCTGCATTTCTTCCAAAGTTTGGTCAATTTCTTTCTGAATACGATTTCTAAAATCCTCCATTTCGGTTAACTGTCTACTTTTTAAGAAGGCTAGTCGAATTTTTGCGCCTAGTGCGTTTTCTGCTCGCCCTTTTTCAATATCTTTTTGTTTTTCATGAGAGATAGCTAAAGTTTCTTCCTTTCTTCTCAATCTTTTGTCTAGTTGCTCCCTCAGTCGCTGTCAAAACAAAATATTGGGTTTAAGAATTTCTATATCGTTGAGTTATTAAGGCTTAATATTGGAAGTGTAAAGTGCAATAATATATCATGCTATATAAAATTGTGACATTCAGTCACACCTCTGTATTGTCTTCAAGATAATCTAAGTACGTCTTTTCCCGTCTTTTTACCCGATTTTCTATTTTTTCCCTTAGTGTCTAAATATTAATGATCGCAGAATATATATTGAAATGGATATTAAGTATAACTTGAAATGTATGTCTTAAAAATATTGAAAACTGACTTTCTCTTGCTTCTGTCGTTGTTCATCTAGAACATCGTTAATTTTCTGCTGATCTCTTTGATAATTTTCTATAACCTCTCTACATTTTGGATCTCCAAGAACACCTTTTTCCGATAAATCATCCATTATATTTGCTTTTAAAGTATTAATAGCTTTCTGTTGTTCTTCCATTTTGGCCATTTCCCTGGCTTTTTTGAACTGCATATCAGCTAACATAGACGCTAGCCTTTCTTCTTGCTCTTTGAGTATAGTGCTCCTTTCCCTTATCATAGACTCATGGATTGCATCAAGCTCATTTTGCACTTCATCAGCTTCAAGAGCCGAACCTCTTCGCAAAAGCTCCAACTGCTCTTCCGCCTGTTTTTTCATTAAATCTACTTGCCTACTATCATAATCATCATCATCGTCGTCAGCGTTAGCTTGAAACTTTGCTTCTTCTTGTTTTTGTTTCTTTTGAAGATTATTTTTTTCCCTTCTGCGTCTATTGGCAATCTTTTCTTGAAGTGCTTGTTGTTGTTGCAATTTTGACAAGGCGATGCTGAAAAATTAATTACTTTAAATTGAACAATAACACAATTATTAAAAGACAGACTTATTCTCTATATTAACCATTTGCTTTTCGTGTTCTTGAATTATTTTCTGCCTTTCATCTGCTGAGAGAGCTATCTGGCCATCGCATAATTTTCGAACTACTTGTTCTTCATACTGCCGAATATCTTCCTCTGTCTGTAATTCTTGCTGTCGCTCTCGTCCGCGCTCCAGCCTTCTCTTTTCCAATTTTTCTTTTAGCTTCAGTTTTTGCTGATCTCGTTCAGATTCTTTCAGTTCCGAAAACTTTCGTAATTCTTCTTGATGTCTTCTTAACAAACGTTCAGCATCTTCTTTATCAAAACCTAATGAATAGAAGTTTTGTTATATAAGCACTTAGTGTTCAGGTTAAGGCTACCTTGGTCAACTACATTAGCGGAAGTTCGTAATTTTCTATCTTCAAATTCCTTTCGCGCATCATTCATTAAGTTTTCTCTCAATTTTCCAAATTCTATCGCCTCTTCTTGATCAATTTCCCACTCAAGATGAGCAATTTCTGCTTTATGACTGGTTATCATATTTTGTCTGACTTTCACGAGTTCAACCGGATCTGGATTGCAGAGATTTGAAAACTACGATTGCTTATAAGTACGCTCACTTACCGATTGATGCGTCAATCAATTCCTTCTCCTGGCTTTTTTCTAGTTCTTTAATTTCCATGTCTTGTTTTTTCCTCAGCTCCTCTAATCTTTTTCGTCTTCTGTCCGAGAGTTTCTGTTGAAGATTACCTTCTAATCGATCACGTTCATTTTCAACTTTCGATCTGAAAATTGTTCATACAAAAAAAGTTACGGTTTGCTTGAAGATTTTACTTGATTTTCTTAGAATCTTCATTTATTTCTTTTATCATCTCTCTTGCGGTATCAGGAGACAAGATCCTACAACAAGATATTTTCAGTTTTTGCATTAATATAATTTTAGAATTTTACTTTCTGCTTTCTTTTACAATTTGAATTTCTTGCTTTCGAATTTTAGATAAAACCTCAGCATCTTCGACATCCCTGTTTTCCTAAGTTTTTTGAAGGATTAAGGTATAATTTCTTATTAAAAGCTTTGAAAACTTACGGCTAATTGAAGAAGCATTTTTCGCCGGTTAAGTTTTTCTTCAAGGATAAATTTTTGCTTAGATAACTGTTCGTCAAATGTACGATCCAATTCAAGCTGATTCTCGCGATGCTTGCCTAATATCCACTCCAGTTGTTCGTTTGAAATATGATTATCTTGCTTTAAATCTTGGAATAAATTCTGTTGTTGTTCTTTTAGGGCAATTCTTGCTCGTAATACGTTTTCCTATAGTACATAAATTTTCATAAAAAATATTACCCTACTTATTTATTATCAACCTTTCGTATTCTTTCAACAGCAACATCGATATCTAAATTTAATTTAAATTGTAATTCCAAAATTTCTTTCTTATGCCTTTCAATCATGAGGTTTCGAAGCTCCCTTCTGTCCTCTTCTGGTAAGTTCTGCCACTTTTCTTCCATCGCATTTTCTTCCCTTTTGTGCTTATCTATCAATAACTGTTCCTGTGCCTGAAGGTATTTCTTTGAATTACATGTTTATTCATTAAGCAACTTTTTACAAACCCTGTTTTCAACTGCTATCGGTTTAACAACTTTGATAACATCCATTTCGTATTCTTTAAACATATTGTTATTAAAATTCCGGACATTTCTTTCAAATTTTTGCATATACTGCTGTTGGATTTTTGGTGAGATATCTTTATTCTTTTGCAACGAGTATAACATTGACTTGGTTGAGTCTATTGCTGCTTTATTTCTTTCTTCTTCTATTTGAACTTCTAAAACTCTTGCTTCTGCAATTTCGTATTCTTGCTCACAGTTGTTCATGGATAAGCTGTCTTTGATGCACAAAAAGAAATTTACTCCTTGTCCAAGTACAGAAGATCTAGAGATATGAATTTACATTAAAATATTTTCTCTATTATTAATTGGATACTCACGCTAAACCCTTTGCTTTTGAAAAAATGTTTGAGAGAAGATGGTCATTTTTCAAGTTTTCAAAATTTCTCTCATTCTAAAATAGATTAACGTATTTTTCAATATTATATATAATATTTATTAATATACAGTATATATAATTAGATATGCAATTTCAGAAATTTCTTATTTTGAATCAAGATTAACACACAAATCATCATGTTACCTCGTGTAAAAGAATTCGCTGTAGTACGAAATGTTTCATGTAATTCTTATTTTTGTTGTTTTTCATTACATAAGATATTTTGGAACTGTTTAAAATGTCCTACTTTCTACCATAAAAAATAGCATTTGAAGAATGGCTTTAAATTATTATTTTTTTACTAATCTTTTATCTGAATATACTTACAACCCAAAAAAACTTCAAGAATAGGATTAAACTTACGTCTACAGCACTTTCTGGTCTGATGAGACCCCCTGGTAGTGTATTTCTACACTTTTTATAGATAAATAGCGCTAGGATGATCAACAATGCACCAACAATCAAACCAACCAGGAGCATAACAACGGTTACAGCATGGTCAGTAAATAGCTATTTAAAAAAAGAGCAAGTAAAAGATATGTTTCTCATGTTAAGGATACCGACATCTGAAGTTTCAATATTAACTTTTTCGATGCATGTCGAGGCTTGGAGAGCTCCATAGCGATAAGCATTATTCTGTTCAAATATTATTTTATTGCAGTAAATAGTGTGAGTAAGATTATACATACACCTCCTGTAGAATTATAATAGATTGTGGAATTAATTCTTGTGATCCCATTTGCCAGATCTTTACCCTCATTTTTCGGTTGGGCTTTAAATGACAACTCTAGCTGATTTCCCAAAGCTGTAAATCAAGTCATTTTTATAATAACTAACATTTTTTAAATCATACTTTAAAACATACGCAAGTTTTCAATAGATAAGATAAAGGCAGTCACGACTCCTGATGACTGTTCTAACGCTCCAGTAGGATTGACAATAAAGCGATCCGAAAAAACTATGAGAGACGAGTGACCATCTCTTAGCTCAATAAATTGTGCATCTCCCGTTGATGTTGATGTATGCTCAACAGTAAGATTAACACGAATAGTGTTAGGAAATGTTTGGGTGTCTATAACCTCAATTGTTTTATTCACAATCTGAAGACTAGGCTGTACAACCAAACCAGATCTACTAGCTAGGGGTGCTGAGTTTGAGTTGTAAGAAAAAAGAGCATTCCCTGAAATTGTTCCTCCAGGTAGGACATTCTGAGCAGCTACAAAGGTTGCTCTAAACTCTGCTTCAGCAGGAGTAGCTGGTGATGTAGAGGGATTAACAAAACTACCCATATCTCTTGTAAATTCTTTCGTTACGGTTAGAGCCCTTTTTCTGCGACGGTTGAAGATTTTTGATTCTGTGAATCCTGTTCCATCCACGACGAGTGGTTTTGCGTTTGTAGTATTAATGTAAGAAGGTAAATCGAGGGAACTGTTTATAAACTTGACCGGTGTATCAGGATAGGAAGATGTTGAAAAAGCTGTGGAAAGATAACATGTGAAACAAATATGTAATTAAGAAACAATTATTACAAGCAGTGAATTTAAAGTTGTTCAAAGATCCCCTCGGAATTTTAAACTTTTTTACAATTGTATGAGTCAAGCCCAATGGATAAACGGATGGTAAATCTACATCTGATGGAAGAGTACTATCCAATAGAAGCGGCATTAGGGGTGTTGAAGTTGAATCGGCCCGATAAAATTGAATCCCTTTGGTTTTCGATCGTAGGTTAAACACTTTAATTTATTTATTTAATGTTACTATTTACCCTTGTTATTACGGTAGTCAGAGCTTAAAGACGCATGAAAGAAACTTTTATCTCCCAATAAAAGGTTATCGTTGACTTCTACTTGGAACTCAATAATAATTGGATTTGATAAGAAAAATGTTTTTGCTAGCGTAATTCCGGATATTATTGGGTTAAGGGAGGTTTTATTAACAAATTCTCCATTGGGTAATTTGTAGCGAATTGTGTTAGTTAAAACTACGCCACCAACATTTATAGATGACGCAGAAATTCTAAGATTTACTGCATCTTCTGTGGTCCCCTGTAAATGGTAGATTAATCCTCTATACCGTAGAATGTTGCCACTCTGAACTGGTGCGTAATTTAGCAATGATAATGTAGATCGTAAATTAGGCCCCAAAGGACTGATAGATAAAAGAGTTCCAACTGTTTTAATCCATTTATTTCCAACGAAAAGTCTCAAATAAAAAGTTAAATTTGAGCTTTGCAATCCAGCATTTACTATAAACTTTATGTTAAATACGATTTCATCTTTGGAGTCTTGAGTACCATCGGAAGTGACATTAATACACCCATAATCAATTGTTAAAACATCTATTGCTTCTTTTACCAAATTTGTATAAGTATTTGAGTATTTCTCTATATTTGATCCCGTATTATTTGTAATTGATTTGAAATATGTATAATTAATAAGTGGATATTCTGCTCCACAGATATCACTAGAAGAACCAACTATAAAACTCTCACAATTAATTCTTCTGACTGTTTCAGTCGATGGGACAATCAGTTGAAGTTTATAATTAGCTGCTTTAGTTTCTGGCAAAAGAGCTTTTCCTTTTAGAGTGTATTCTTTCCCTTCGTATACTCCCTGTAGGTTATTATTGGGATTATTAGTTGACTCTCCATCCAGCAATATCAAGCTTAAAGCTGTCTGATCGAATTCATTATTGCCGTAAGTTGTTCCAATACATTCACTTTTCACCTCCATAAAACACAAGAGGAAAAGTAACAAATATAGGCAATTCCTAAATTTCATGATTATTCTTTTTCTCTCACTAATCAGAAAATCTTAAAATATTTCTCAAGTTCTTATTCTGACTCCGCCACTATATTCATTCAATTGAATCGATATTTTAAATTAATTGCACGCCACATATTTAAAATTGTTTTTACAACTAGCTCTGAGACAGGTCTGTTGCTAAGGATATTCCCACAATATTTACAGTGACGTCATTTAGGCGCGCAAATCACAATGGCGGCGTAATGAAATTTACTTGACTACAGATTATTGATAAAGCAAAAAGGCACAAGAACAGGAATGAGTAATCAATTAAACTCTGTCAGCCCGGTTCCTTTTGGATGGGGAAATGACTGTGTTCCAGTTCAAGTTGAAGTCATGAAAGAGCTGACTGACGTTGACAAAGATGCTTTGATAATCGCTTTTTTTGTTGGTTTAATAGTTGGTGGATTAATCGCATTGCTTTGTGCAAAACTATGCATAAAAGATATTATTAAGCACAAAGTAAGTTTTATAAGTTTAAATTTTCGATAGCAGTCATTTTTAGGAAATTATTGATTACTTTATAGATTCAACACGAAGAAGAGAGGCATGGAATATATCCTGAGAAACAAGAACCACCACCTGCTTACCAGGAACTTGATGTAATTAAAATGTTCAATTTTCTGCACTAATTAATTAAATTAAATTCGATTTAAATACTTTTAATAGATTTTTTTTAATTTGTAGAAACAAGAATCTGGTAGGAGAAGAAAGAAGAAAAAGAGACAATTGTTAGAAGACGAAGCCCCCTTGTTAGTTCAAAGGCCAAGTTTGGGAACAGAAGATGATAATTATGAACCGAACACTCTTGCTGATGCATTTGCCAGTCCAAACAGGTAAATATTTAAACTTTTGATAATTTTAAAGTCTATTTTTTTTATTATTTTTAATAGCTATTTTATGGAAGCATCAATTTTGCGGCAAGATTTTGAGCATACCGTTTCCCTTGACATTGAGTTAAGAGCTGAAAAAATTGAGGTTAGTAAGCCTATGATCTTCGTTCAATCAATTGCTGTTAATTGGTAACTCGTTTTTAAATTAAAAAGGTATTTTTGAAAATGGTAAACGCAGTTCTGAATTATGCTCATCGAAACAATTTCATATCTGACACTCAATATGATGATTTATGGGCTAAAGAGAGAGATCAAGTTAATCGAATTATATCGACATGTAAAAGAGAATGCAATGACAAAATTGCTGAACTTAAAAAGAGCGCAAAACTTAAACAAGATCTCATTGCTTTTCAAAGTCAAGCCGAAATGATTGAGACACTCATAGCTAAGAGATTGGTAAATATTTATATACAAATTCGTATGATTACTCATATTCATATCTTCTATTAAATGAAATGTGCCATTTTAGAATACTCTTCTAAGTGACGAGAGAGAAAATTTGAAGAAAGAGTTAGCTAAGTATGGTGTTCCAGATGATGAGGTTTGCGTCTTGTTACGTCATGTAAATAATTTATAATTGATTTGTGATTTAACTTAGATTAAAAAATTACTCTCGGGTTTAAATGATAGCATGAAGAAGCTGGACCAAAAAATCGCCTCAGAAAGAGAGCGTCAACTTGCTGTTAGTAAAATTCTATTTTTTCTTCCAATTACTTACCTTTTGTTAACAGGCTTTAGAGAGAAAGTTGGAAAGAAGAAGGAAAGTTGTTGAGCAAGAACAAGTTGAAGAAGAACAAGCAAATACCGAAATCGATATTAGATGTGATAGGAATCTAGAAACGTTAGATAAACTTGTTGGAGCAGGCAAATTGCTGGAGAGGACCAAAGAGGAACTCTTAGAGGACTATGAACGCGATTGTCGCAAAGCCAAAATGGTCCAAACAGAAAGTAAATATTACCTTGGAAGTACATTATGCAAATAATAGGTTTCTTCTCTTAAGATTACCAAAAAAAGAAAGGAGATCTTCAAAGCCGTCTTAATAAGCGAAAGGAAGATCGTTTGAGAAAACTTCAAGACGAGCAGGAAAGAAGAAAGCAAGAATTTCTAAGGAAATGTGAAAAATCTGCTGATATTGAAGCTGTGACGGCTGTAAGTGATTATAAAATTGTTTTAAATGTCTGAATAACAAACTTTTTTTTAGGAATTTCATAAACTATTGTCTACGTTCAGAGAAGAAAGGGAGAATTTAGAGGGAGAATTTGATGATAGAGCTATAGACGAATTTGTAAATCTTAAAAGACAATTCGAGGATGAACTAGAGAACATATTTAGTGAGAAAGAGTTGAATTTTCAGGAAAGCATACGCTCGAAGGCTAATCTAACTCAAGATGAAGTGGATAGATTAATGAAAAATCATAGGCAGCAGATGTTAGATCTCGCAGGTTAATTACTGAATTAAACTTTCCAAGCCTTCAGAGTAACTGTTGTTAAACAGACAGAAGGAAAAGTGAACAAGAACGCATCGAAGCAGTAATGAGAGAAAAGCAGAAACAGAGGAGGCTTGTATGTTTCTATTAATTGATATTTTAAGATTTATTTATTTGCTTATAATTGTAAAGAAAAAAGAGGAAGAAACCCGTAGAATGATTGCAGATCAACAGGCCATTCAAGAGCAAGAGAATACAACCATTCAGCGACTGCTGGACTCACAAACAGAAATTGATGATGAGTTAGTTCGTAGGAAAATCAAACATTGTCTATGTATCTATTTATTTATGTAGGAGTAAGAAAAAGATCTTGCAAGAACATAAAGAAAACATGGAAAATATTAATCATCAATTACGTGTGAGTAGGATGAAGCAACAAAAAGCGTAAGTAACTCTGCTGATCCAAAATTTGTTGATAAATCTTTCTTTCATGTTTTTAGTCTAGATGAAAAATTGGCTAGTAGACGGGCTAAAATTGCTAGTTTAAAGGAAGATAGAGAAAATGCAAAGGCGGAAGCAAAGAGAGATCGAGAGAAGAAGCAAGCAGAATTAGTTCGTACTTTTGAGCAGTTCGATTTGTTGATATATTACAAATTTTAAATAGAACAAGCTTATTGAGGATGAAGAGAAGAAACTACGTGAAGAACAAGAAAAACGAAAAGAAGAAGTCAGAAAACGCCTGTCTCAAGAAACAAAGATGCTTTTAGAAGAAAAGGAAAAAGAAATGGCTCAACTGGTTGGACGTATTCAAGCATCTATAGTTCGCTACAAAGCAAGAATAGAAAAAGATAAAAAAATTCTTGAAGAGATGGAGCAGAAAGTTACCAAGAAAGTTGAAGAAAGTGTAGTTGACAGAGATGATAAAGATGAAGTCAAAGCAGTTTTAAGGGACTACCAGCAAAATATGATGAATTTAGAAGATCAGATGAATGAGGGTAGAGCTAGGCAAGAGCAAAAATTGAAAGAAAAAATAGAGCGAAGGAAATTACAAAAAGAGGAGTATGTAGATATTTAAATTTTTATGATATAAAAATGTAATCTGATTTACAGTATTGTCGAGAGAGACCTTCGAGAAGAGCTGCAAGACAAACGCGATGAAGGACGATCCCTTCGGTTAGCAGAAATGTTCAAAAAACAATAATCTTTTTTTCTAAGTTATTGCTGTAAACAGAAGCCCAACAGCCGTGATGGCCAGTGATGTTTTGAATAGAATTATTGTCGAGCAGAAGCATCGAGCAGCAATGAGACAACTAGAAGAAGAAATGCAATTGGAAATGAAAAAACAGCGGGAGGAACTGAATAAGGAGTTTGAAATAGGACTTAAAGAAGAACTTGATGTTTGCTATTTTTTATCTTTGATTTCATATATCACTAATATTTAGCATTTTTAGAATCAGAATAAATCTTTACTCGCTCAATTGGCATTAATATCGAATGTAAAAGAGAAGGATATAAAGAAGTTGGCTGAGGAAGCAGCCTATGGTAAGATACAATCTTTTTTAGTTAAAAATTTCGAAATTAAATTTTTTATAGAGGCGGGAGCTGAAAAATCTGAAGCTGTAAAAATTGCTAAAGACATGAAAAGTGAATATAAGAGAGCAAGATCTAGTTTTGGCATGTAAAAATTAAATAACTGAATATTTTTGTTTAACCGGCAAAAAACAAAGCTCAACAGTGGTCATATAATTTCTTTTTCAATCAAACAATACATTAATATAGTTAAATGGATTTACCTTATATATCGGATTGAACCTAGGATTTACAGAACTAGAAAAGTCATGTTATATATCACACGTTGCGCAGAGATGCATTGGGACCTGCACCATAGACGAGATCAAAAAAGTACTTGACAATCAACACAAAGATGGTGGCAGAAAAATATTACAATACATTGACTGCCAGCAGCCGTGTGGTTGAAACGTTAAGGTCCTGATGAAATATCATAAAACAAAAAGTAACTTTTGTTCCATTTTCTTATACGCCAAAACTGCAGGCTTCTCTGCACAATTGCTAAGATATTTAAGAACGAACAACAACTTTTACATACCGTAGAGTATAATGACCAGTAAAGCATAATTCAGTTGTTTCCCCACCAGTCTTGAGAAGAGTTTCCAACATGATGATTGCCATAGCTTCCACTGCGATTAGGTATGCTCATTGAAGAATAGGATTTCCTATTTGTATTGTTCTGTTGCTGTGTTTGACGATAGTCTCGTCCACCAAAACCCCCATTTCTATATCCCTTCCCACGACTTCCACCACGCATTCTAGTGGAAGAGTTACGAACTTCCGATGCCATTGATTCAAGCCAACTCGGAACTTCTTGATTCGATTCCACCAGTAAATCCAATAAGTCCTTAACCACGTTTCGATTCTTCTCATTGAAGAATGACGTTGCCAAACCTTGAGATGTTCGCAGTTAATTAAGAAAGTTTCTATTTAAACTTACTCACCTAAATTTCCAACTCGTCCTGTACGACCAATTCTATGCACATATTCTTCAATATCACTTGGCAGGTCAAAATTAATGACGTGCTTTACGTTTTGAATATCTAAGCCTCTTGCAGCAACAGCAGTAGCTACCAAAATTGGCGTTTGTCCCGATCTGAATGTTCTTAAAGCATCTTCACGTTCCTTCTGGGTACGATCACCGTGGATTGAGGTAGCTGGATAGCCTTCCCGACAAAGAAAGTCTTCTAAAGCATCCGCTCCCTTCTTTGTCTCAACGAACACCAAGGTTAGTGATTGAGCGCCAGCGGCATTCAAGAGATCTAGCAAAAAGGACCTCTTCTCATCCTCTTCTACCCAGACAATTTTTTGCGTTATATTTTCGGATGTTGATCCAACGCGACCCACAGCCAGGAAGATATAGTTATGAAGAAAATCTCTGGCCAAAAGTTGGATTTCTTTTGGAAAAGTTGCGGAAAACATAAGCATTTGCCTTTTGCCAACAGGTGGCATAGTGTCTTTTTCCACGATTCTTCGAATTTGTGGTTCAAAGCCCATATCCAGCATTCGATCAGCCTCGTCAAGGGTAACATATTGAATGTTATCAAGGCCGATTTTACCTCTTTCCATCATGTCAACGAGACGACCAGGGGTTGCAACTAGCATGTGACAACCTTTTTGTAGATCTCGCATTTGACTTCCAATGTCAGCTCCACCGTACACGACACATACTCTAATATGAGACCGATAAGCAAATTTTCGAGCTTCATCATAGATCTGTGAAGCAAGCTCTCTAGTAGGTGCTAAAACCAGCGATATAGGGTACTGCTTACGCCTCATGGAGTTGTCTGTGTATTTTAGACTAGCAGATCCATTAGCGTAGATTTGTGACAAAACAGGAACAAGAAATGAGGCAGTTTTTCCTGAACCAGTTTCGGCGCACGCCATCAAATCCCTCTTGCTATGGATAATCGGAAGAGCGTACTTTTGAACAGGTGTTGGTCTAATGTAGCGAGCCAATTCAATGTTCATATTAACAATTTCTCCCAGATTCATTTCAGTGAACGATTCAATTGCCGGAGGGCAAGTATCACCAGTTACCTCCACGGGTATGTCGTCGTACTTTTCAAAATTAATACCAGTCCTGGCTGATCCAAAAAGTTCCAGCTCCAAGCGTTCGTTTCTAGTTGTTGGCTTAGACCAATCTGCTGAGGTTTCAGATTTTTTCTCATCGTTGTTCCATTGGTTGTTGCGTCTCGATCTACCCCATTTGTCCCCATCGTTCCAGCCTCGACCCGACCCGCCTCTATAGTTTTCACCCGATCTCCAGGAATCAAATTTGTCCTGTCTTCTGAAGTTTTCGTTCGAATGATATTGTTGAGGAGGAGGTGGCGGTAAATTTCCTTGGTTTGGACCTTTAATGACGTAAAATAACATATCATTCACAATTCCTTGAGTTGTTCACATTTAATAGTCATTAACATACATCCAACATACGCACATGTTTATTGGATTAAACAACATTGATTAAATTTGCTCACCTAGAGTGTAAGTCTCTCTTGAATTTCCGTCAAATTCTCGATTTACTTTGTTTCTCAAATGAGGAGGTAAATATCTCTCTTTTGCTTCTGTATAAATGACATATCCCATCATTTACAATTTCAATACATAATTTTAGATATATCTCTCTTACCTACAGGTTTTTCTCTCTGTTTCAAGTCTAGTCCAGCGAACTGTTGAATATCGTTTGTAATTGTATAAATATATTTGTCAATTTTTTTTTTTAAAGTAAAGGTTAATATATAAGCAGTAAATTAAAACGCTATTAGACGAAAATATCAGAGTATATATTTATTGGGAGACGAGGAAAACGAATCGCTCGTCGCCGACTGAGGAATGCCTGACACTCGCCACACGAGTCTCTATGAGGAAAAAGCATGCTTCTTTTAGAATGACTCACCTGCCGATCTAGACCCTGTGCATTTTGATTAAACTCATTAGGCATATTACAATAACCGTAAATAATGGTCTGTTTCTGTTTTTTCTTAAAAAGAACAGCAAATTTTTCCTTTGTCAATCACAAATGTTGCAAGTCTCGTGACAACGAGATCCCGTTTAGACGTGCTTCCGGTTTTTGCTCAATGATATAAGATTCTTGAATTTTATATTTTTAAAACTTTTTTAAAAAATATATAAAACAATAAAGCAATAATGCATTTAATCGCCATACTATGTCAAATATTTTATTAATTATTAAATGTTTACTTGCTTTAAGTAGAAATTATTCGTTACATTTTAAAATATTTTCTCTCAAAAACAAAAATTGGCTATTAAATATTATAATGTTTTTTAAGCTAGATATTTTTAAAACAAGATAATTTTTTTATGTGTAAAAACTGATTTTTTAAAATCTCTAACACATTATCTTTTACCAACGAATTATTGGTCTGCATCACCGCATGGCAATATGCGCCATCTCTAAGATTGACTAAATTTCAGTTTGACGGCAATTTAGTATAAAAAATCTGCCTTTAAAACGTTATTGAGCTATAAATGAAAAATATCATAGTAATTTGACTTCTATTCAAATACAATTACACACGCACACCCAGCACGTGATTCTTATATCGTCTGCTATAGCCGCACAGGAACCTGAAGGCTAGGTGTTTATTCATGCCCAAAATGATTAAATAAAAACTTGTACGAAACAAAGCAAAAATATTGAATTGGTGCTTTTCATGTAATTCTTTTAAAAAACATGAGACTCGTGTTCTTGAATAGAATGAGAAGGCTTCGTTGTTTAATCATTCTTTTTGTTATACTAATACCCTGTTCCTTTATTTTATACCACCACCTGGTTAACATCGAAGTTTCTATTAAAACCAATAAGGCTGACTTAGCAAATAGCGCGATAAAGAGGTTAGTTTCATCAACTAGGCAATAAAAAAATTCCAATAGTTATTTTAAAGCACAAGGGAAAATTATGAAGAATCAAACCAAATTAAAGTTTCTCGAATATTTTCTGATTCCGATACGCGCGTATTGATTGGAGGTTACTTTAAGTAAATGTACTAAAATAATAACTAATATTTTTTTCTATTTAAGGGTATCGAAAATATATGTTCAACCATTTAATAAGCTCTCGTTTAAATAAAACAAGAGAAGTACCTGACACAAGAAACCCACTATGTTCGGGAAAAAATTATTATAAGCGTTCCTACGTCGATGTATCAATTATAGTTTGTTTCTACAATGAAGAATTTTATGCTCTTACGCGGACCATAAATAGCATAATTCATCGGAGTCCCAGTCTGATACGAGAAATTCTCTTAGTAGACGATAGCAGCAACTTTCGTAAGACACTTTTTCCTTTTGTAAGAAAGTCATAAAAGTTGTCTTTTTAGCTGATTTACAGGAACGCCTAGACAAATTTATTCATACAAATTTCAATATAGTTAGATTAATTAGATTAAAGAGACGCGAAGGCTTGATAAGGTGTCGAATCAAAGGGGCTGATGAAGCCACTGGAACAGTAAGTGATACAATCAAGTTTTTTATACTAACTTTCGACATTTCTTCTTCATAAGGTTTTAGTGTTTTTGGACAGTCATTGCGAAGTTAACAAGGGGTGGCTAGAACCACTAATTGATCATGTTATGCAAAATGAATCCAACATAGCTGTCCCTGTCATAGACATTATTGACGCTGATACGCTACTGTATAAAGCATCTCCTTTAGTAAGAGGAGGATTTTCATGGCGAATGAGCTTCATTTGGGATAACATTCCTGCTTACTATATTAAAAGCGATAATGATCAAATTAAACCAATAAGGTAAGAACATATAATACTAATATCTGCGTAGAAATTGAATATACTTTCTTACAATATAAAGTAAGAATTTGTGTGTGTAAAATATTAAAATTTTGTTTAGAAATAAAGGAAGTTTTCTTGCTTAATGTTAAAGATAAAAATATCTTACATAAACTTCTTAATGGGTTGGTAAAATTGACAAGCTCCAACTGCAAATGAAATATGTAAGAATCCTATTGTATAAATACAATAAATGTGATGCTCTTAGAAGTAAGTAACTCCACCAAGGGAACTTTTGGCATTTCTTTCAGATTCCACATAGAAATTTTTCTAACATTTTTCAAAAAACAAAGCAGTATATCTTAAGCAGAACATTCCTCACAAGTATAAGTCTTTGATAATAGAAAATTTTTCAGTAACCTCAGTTTTTGCTGCCATCTACCCAAGAATTCAAAGCAAAGTCATATTTGTCCTGCTTGTTCCTAACGAATGAGACAGAGCCCTGATAAAGGGAATCTGTTTTATTATAACTTTTTTAAGTGTTTATGTAACTGCTAGGGGTTTTTCTTGATCTTCAACTATCATATACTGTATAGGCAATAGTCGGAAATAAAGAATCTACAGATAAAATTATGTTTCTTGAAATGAAGTATCTTTTTATTAATTAAACAGATCCCCTACTATGGCAGGCGGCTTATTTGCCATCCAAAGAAAATACTTCAATTATTTAGGAAAATATGATGATAAAATGATAATATGGGGAGGAGAAAACTTAGAAATATCGTTTAGGGTAAATAAGCATGTAATCTAGCTAAAAAAAATAGTAAATTTAAAACACTATAGACTTGGATGTGTGGAGGTTCAATTCATATAATTCCATGTTCAAGAATAGGACACTTGTTCCGTTCCCGCAGACCATACAGATCCCCAAGGAATTCTTTGTTAAAAAACTCGGTTCGGGTCGCTCAAGTATGGCTAGATGAATACAAGGTTTAATTCAACTTTTTTTTATCAAATTGTTGTATGACAACTTTATTTTCAGCAATATTTTTTCAATGTTGAACCAAAAGCCACAGCAATATTAAGTGACGTTGGTGACTTAGGCGAGCGAATAAATTTGAGAAAAAATCTCAAATGCAGATCTTTCAAATGGTACGAATAAATAAATAATTTGCTAAAGCAAAAGCACAATATCAATTTTTCGTCAGGTTTTTGGAAAATGTGTATCCCGAAAAATCTCTACCTAACTCTGGACGAGGGGAATTTACTAATTTTTTCACGCAGCCGTTAGAGACATCTGCTGTGAAATATCATGGATACGTAGGTGCTAAAATTTAAGATATATTCAAATTTATTTAATAAGATTATATGACAAATTAGTTAATGCACGTTGAGACGGGTGAGTACTGCAATACACCTCAAGGAAAGTTTAAAAAGGGAATCAAGATGATATTACGCAAATCTAGTGATATGGTATGGATTTTATTTATATTTTTTTCTTTCAAAAGATACAAAATTTTCAGAAATGGATCTCAAATTTGAACTATGAAGTTAAAGTAGAAGACAGCTCATTTTGTGTCGATGTGCATTCATCTTTTGACGAAGGACATCAATGGATGCAACTTAGCCTCTGCCATAATTCACTTTCTTCGCAAACTTGGATATATGATAATGTAAGTTTAAGTTTATTTACAATACTATTTAACAACTATCATTGGTTGTGTAGGCTAAGAAATGGTTGTATAATATGGCGTATGGCAAATGTGCATCGATTGCTGCAAGCGAAGATAACATAACAAGATTACGACTAGAAAAATGCGACGAAAATATAAAGAGGCAGCAGTTTGAATTTACATAAAAAGTAAGGTAACCCTTGCTTGCTTTATTTGCCTTTTAAGCTATAAGAAATCAAATTACCAGTTTTAAATTTCTCAAACTGGTAGTGACATCTGTAAATAGTATATTATTTTCGCCTTTTATCTTAATAAATTATTTTATGTTGTTGAGATAAAATGAAAAACATCTTTATGCATCTTCTAGACATAAGAGCAAAGTAAGGTAAAGCGCACAATCAAGTTTTTATCGTAACGCAAAAAGTGGCCTAGCTGCCATGCACTTTTTATACGCTTGACTTTTTATGTAGCTGGCAGCAGCAGTGGAGTTTGTTACATTGTAAAGATTTGTACTTTCGTACCGTATTCTCTACTCGGCTAGCGGTGAGTAACCTTTTCGCTCCATTTTTCGCGACCGTTATCGTTTTCACTCTTGCATGACGGCGAATATTTACGAGATTCTTCGACGTGATTAGCCGACTATGTGAAATTTGGATGAAAAACTGCGTTCGGAGAATCAGATCTATTTTCTAGTTTTTGGCCGTTTTTCATGACAGATTCTGTGAATTAAGAAAATATTAGGTAATCCTTCTGCAGAAGTTTATCTTTAATGCCTCAATAAACGAATTGGATTAATTTTGCTATCTTATTGTTAAAGAAAAATATTTTTTAATTTTTAAAATGAAAAATGAGACATTCTTAATTTACATAGAACATTTTCATCCTACTTATATTTCCCAATATATCGTTCATTTATTTCTTGTCGCTTATTAATTGTAGTAATCGTCACCAGACCCATATTTGGCTTTAGGATTCTCCTATTCAGTGTATATATTTTAAAGTGATTGCTAAGAATATAGCCTCCGAATTAAGTAAAATACCCAGGTAACCGATCGAAGTTTAATCTTTGCTATCGGTCAGAGATAACCGATGATCTAACAACAAAGATAGTTATATCGTATTATATAATATCTAATTCCGTACTGATTATTTTCGAAGGTTAGATAATCATATTTGTGAGAACTATAGATTTTATTATTATAAAGCCTATTTGGCCTATAGAATTAACTAATAAAAAAGTTTACTGCTATGCTAAACAAAATTGTACTTTTTTCCATTTTCATAAAGCTTGATATATACAAGGTTAATTTATAATTAATTCGATACCCCGACATTTAGTTAAGCGAGTCTATTGTATGCGTGTTGGCTTATAAGGCCGATTCCATAAACAACCAAGAAAAACAAAGGGTATAATAAATGGTTGTTTGAATGTACAGCATATAAATTCTTAGACCCAAGTATAGGCGTTTATAGTCAAATCGCATTTTTTACTAAAAGTTTACTATTCATAAAGTTAGTATATTTGATGGATCTTTTTCAGGCCAATAACAAGTAGCTTATCAAATTTTTAAAACTATATTCTAGATGTTGTATTAAAGCCGCCACCTATCGGTGTAAGGTTGTAGGGTACGTAAGTACTGATTTCTTAAACTTAGTAACATTTTCTCTTAGACTGTGATAGTGTATGGCTACGGCTGCGGCGTCGCGCCACTCCTGGACCAACCTAGACTACGAATCGCCTGTAAATATGGATTTTGATTTGGACTTACATGCCACCATGACGAATACGTCTTCTTATTCTCAGCCTGTCAATGAATCCGTTTGGACATCTCCGGATAGAGGCAATATATTAGATATTAGTGATCGAAAAGTGTCAGCAACAACCCCGCTTCAACATTTGGAGCAGTGTATGACACAGGTTTCAAATGTAAGCAATTATAACCGAATACCACAAAGTATGCTCGGGCACAACAGTCCGAATACATCAGCCCATGCCCCTGTGTCTCCCCTCTCCGGTTCTAATGATTCGTCAACGGGTGAGTACGTTATCTGCAGAAATATTAGGCTGTATATGTTATCTTTATATTTATGGCTTTAAAAATCGTTTGAAGCGCGTGTCATATTTCTTTTACAACTTTGCCGCCAAGAGGTGGCGCCTTAAACTACCTATTAATGTCCCTTTGTTCCTGCTGCCATCTATAGATTTAACAAAATGAACTAAAAAGCAACTTTTCCAGGTGATTTCTTAGTGAGAAATCATCTCTGTGATGAATTTTCCCATCACCACCAAATTGCCCAATCAAGGAAACGATATAAGGTGCGCCTTCTTCTTCCCTTTCTTACGATCTTTCATAACCATATTGAAACCTGTTTCTGAGAAAAACTTTTTTTTTTGCCTTTCCTAGCAAGCTACACCTCCCGACCAAAAAGATGACAAATACTGGCAAAGGAGACAAAAAAATAACATTGCTGCCAAACGTTCACGAGATGCTAAGCGAAATAAAGAACAAGAAACAATGCAAAAGGCTGCAAATTTAGAGAAAGCCAATACTGAATTAAAGAGACAAGTTAATGAATTACAACAAAAAAATAAAGAACTCACACGAAGATTATCAAAATATGAAAACGATAAAACATTTCTTTCATAAATGTTTAGCATTGACTTGATTGTTAAAATCTGTCTATATTTTATTATAAAACGTTAGGGAATACGTAAGAGTGAAGAAGTCTTATATCGTTACATCGTAGTCATCGCATTCTATCCGTATAATGTCATACATATGTATCGTTACTGTTTATAGAGAAATATAGTCGCAAGTTTCATTTTTCGAGAATTTTTTACAGATATTACTTTCTGAAAAGTTTATTTTTAAGTCAATATAGATGAAATTTAGAGAATCTATAAACAATATTCAAAGAAAAACAAATTGTGTGAGATTATGTAATCTATTATGATAAACAACAAAAGTCTTTGGACATTAGATTTGCGAAAGACCATCGTACCTACATTAAAAAAGATATTTATTTGAAATTAATACATGTCAAGTTCATGTTGATAAAAAAGAAACATTTTTTTTTAGGAAACTTTGATTCCCAATGAAAGATGAAACTTGAATAGGCTGTCTTTTAAATGAAAATAGAATATAGTACACCTAGCAATAATATCGATGACGTAACCCGCTAAAAATAACACAAATAAAATGATCAAAAAATCAATATTGACTTTTCCCACTCGAAAATACTTTAATCATAAACGTTATATTACAGGTAAAAGTTGTCTTTAAAGATGTAGCCTTGTGACGCCATCTCTTGAGCAAATCTATAATCACTAAGCGCATTATAGTTAAATTGTGAAACTTGCTGAAGTTCTGTCATAATGCCATCTGTCGATAATGTTAAGTAAAACAGGGAAAAATTTGCAACCATGACGGAAAATCGTTTTCATACTTTAATCTTATAACGCACTGTTAAGTGCGTCGGACAATTAGTTGCTTATAAAACTTTGAGAAAATCGGCTTTATAGGAAGCCGGCGGAAAATGAATGACGTCACGAAGAGTTAATGAAAGTTTGTAGTTGTAACGTATTAACGCCTCGATTTTTCAGTTAGTCTCTGATCAAACAGTCTACCATACCTACAGGATATAACGCTTTCAAAATGTGGGAAACCGCGGACAATTTGAGTGCCTTTGTTTTCTTACTATCTTTTGTTCATCACTAATATGACTATAGGCAAAGGCTTAGATCCATTATATTAAAATGTTACACTACATGTGTTTGTTTTACAATTTGTAATTACGACGTTTTATTCTGGTATCTCAATCAAGAACTTACATCCTTTCGGCAATTTCCTCTGATCAAGTAATCGACGTTAATTGAAGAGTAAGTGCTTCAATTAGACGAAGACTTTTTCTTATATGTTTACGAAAAAATGAGTTGCTAGAAGTAAAATTAACTCATATACAACTTTTAAAGAGAACCACTGACCAGCGTCATCTACAGAAGAGATTCTTATTAAGTCTCAATGCTGATTGGTGGGTATTTCGTAAACTCCTCCCACATATGCGTGACACAATTCGACACAAAGCTGAATGGTGATTGGTACGTAGGGAATGCTCCGCCTTCCCATGTGGTGGCAGCCACTCGAGGGAGAGAGTAGAACAGTCGATCGTGAAAACCCTTTGGTGCAAGATCAACGGCCCATCGTGGATAAGCTTATACATGTTCACTGAAAGAATTGAGAAAGAATACGACAGAATGAAGGAAGAAGGCGTTGTTGGAGCAGTCAGGAATTGGATGCAGCCCACGGCAATAGACCATTCAAAGTATAATGCGTTTTAATCGTTTTATTGAAATACCTTCCTAAAAGTTTTCGCTAAGTTAAAAAAAAAGCAGTGTCTGCGCCATAGAATTATACATTAATGTTTGTGGTATTTTTTTTATATCCCACTGATGATTTATTTAAAAGCATAAAATGATTCTTTTATGTAAAGATGATAATCCGCTTGTCAAAGGTGTAACATTTCTTTGTAATATCATTCATTATTTAATATATAATTTTAATATTTTAATGGATTTCAGTCTTGGAATCGGTCGGGCACATTTTGAGAAGCAGCCGCCAAATAACCTGAGAAAGAGCAACTTTTTCCACTTCGTGCTAGCTCTTTTTGACAAACAGGGTCAACCCATTGAAGTGGAAAGGACCGCTTTTATCGATTTTGTTGAAAAAGATCGCGTAAGTGTTTCTTTTCTTATCCTAATATAGTTTAATGTCTAAATACATAAATTCATTTTCGAAGGATCCGGAGACTCCTAAATCGAGAAATGGAATACACTATAGACTGCAGCTTCTGTATGCAAATGGTAAATGAAATTGATATTTATTGAGATATTGTTTATTGAAATTTGAGACGATCATAGAATTTGTTAGCTATTTTCTAAACGTCACTAGCGAGGGGTTTCTCTGTGTTTATTTTTTGTTTATGCTTAAAGTGTACGATACTGTAGTTTTATGTATTTACGTGAAGGCAACCAGCTACTAAGGCGATTTAGAAGGAAAGTGTTTGTGTTGAAAAGAGGATTTTGATAGAAAAGTGCGGTGATGGTGAATAGCGCATAGATTCACAAGACGCACGTGTTCGAATCGCTTTCATTGTATGCATCTGTCAAAATTAGAAAGTTTTCAAATAGTTTTAAAATAGATGGCTCGCGTCAGGAGCTGTTTATAACGTAAGACTGCTACCAGAGAGCGGCATGCATATTTTAGAGAATCAATATACGCCCTCTTTTGCAGTCGGCTTAAGACCTTAGGCCTACATTATGCTTTGTCTTTATAAACTTTTTTTTACAGTTTTTACGTTTTTTTTACCAGGTGCTAGACAAGAACAGGATCTTTATGTTCGTCTCATCGATTCAGTTACGAAACAGGTACGTGTTTTACATAAAATCTTCGTTTGTATTCTCGGCGATTCCCTTTCTTCGCCTATAATTGTTTACAAATTAGGCGCGGACCTTTTATCTAGGCGTTTATGTTTACACAAGCTAGAAAAAGAGATCACCTGCAACCGTATAGACAATTAACGCCGTCAAACTAATTATTCTATCAACGTAGATTGTTTAATTGCGTCTTCGGAGCGGAATCAACATGAAAGAGTTTACCGCCGTCGTGTAAAATTTAACGCCGGCAAGAAAAAATGAAACTTTTCCATTCATTTAGACTTACACAGAGAAAAAGGGGGTTGACTATAACGTTTGACTTCTATTAAGAAGATATAAATCAAATGATGAAAGCGATTGCGTGTGGACATTCCATGCAGTTAACTGCCTGAAAATGATTTCTGAATAGGCGGCATATGCCGTTTATATGTGTTTATAAAAAATTATACTGGAAACTGAAAATTTCTTTCGCCCAGGCAGCACCATTTACAGATTTCCGCATTTTCGTGACGCTTCTATAACCTTTCGTCGTCACGCAAACGTCACTAGAAATGACGTCACTCGACTAGAAATATCCGCGCAGTGTACGATTAGAAAATTAAAAGGAAAACGAAAGGTCATTGTGAATGATGGGACCGCCGACTAATTGCAGTCTACGCTGTTTTCCAGATGTACGAGTTTTTATTTGACCATCTGTATAGATGTATAAATGTAAAAACGACGCCATAAAAAGAGAAAGGGGAACGGTATATACCGTTTTTACTTTGGTTTTCCAACCAAATCCAAGCGTGATAAACAAACACTTAAAGCGAAAAGTTCTTATCTGATAAAAGTCTAATTAATCAGCACTAAGATGAGGCTAACGGTACAGATGGCGATCGCTACATGCCCAGATCTGTCGTCTCGCGCTCCGTTGGACGTCAAATTATTTGCAAACATTTTCTACTTTTATCACCTGACACCAAGAGGTGGTCGCGATAGCAGGGCAAATTAGCTTGTCTGCTTAATGTCATGCAAGATGGCGAGTGTAAGCCATATGTGAAGAGACTGCACTCGCTTCACGCCAGAAGAGACGCATTCTAAACAGATAATCACACTCGATTGAGCCGGGTCAAAGAGCGTACTCGATGTTTTGTACGGCCATGTTGGTGGTGTCTTCATTTAGTAGAGAATTGTACTACTTTAATCATATGATTGGTACTCGAATATTTCTGCTCCGTTGACTTTTTTCGACTTAATAAAATCTAATTCATTCATTGAATTATATTAAATATTTGATGTGATTTTTTTTCAGTCTATACAATACGAAGGTCAAGACAAAAACCCAGAGATGAACAGAGTTCTTATTACACACGAGATCATGTGCAGGTATTTACGTAACATCATTTTTGACGACCAGACTCCAAAACAATTGTATAATACATGTTTCTTGTATTCACTAAAATTCTTTCTAAAATTTCAGTCGATGTGGAGAGAAGAAAAGCTGCGGAAATCGAAACGAAACACCATCAGACCCAGTCATCATAGACAGGTTAGTATTTAATGGTTATTCTATAGAGATCTTTTAGATAGAAGGGCGATAGATTGCAAGTTCCAATCAAGCGTTACGTAACACTCGCTACGCGTTCGTAATAACCCCCTCGCCCCACCCAGCGAACGCCTACCTTATTGTGTCGTTGAAATGAAGCTGGTCGTCAGTCGCATAGCATATACAAAGACGGCAACAATGACGCTGGCTGGGGGCGTGGTTGACGTCAAACGACGCCGTTACTGTCGCGCGTAATGACGTCACTTTTTTCAATGCTCGATTCCTCTTCCGGTTTAATAGTGAAAACAGCCTGCTAGAGAGAGTCCTGTTGTGTATAGCGATGCGGACGAATAAGCAGACGCCAATTAACCAGTTTCGACACTCTATGACGTCCAAAGGACTGCTGGGTGAAACGCGAGCGAGCGTATAAATGGCTTATGCTATACCCTTTATATGCGGGAATGAGAAACAGAAAGTCAAAATGTAAAATAACGCGTTTAAAGTAGCTATACAAAAGTATGTATTTGATATACAGACAACCATCTATTCCATCGATAAGATCGCCAACTGTTTCTCTATTTCTCGATGATTCGCTTGCGTGTGGCGGATGATTTTTAATTGACTCTTTGTCTGAATAGTGAAAGTGAATAAAATTCAGTTTTTCTTAAGGAACGCACGTGCTAGTCATTTGAGTCGCATTTATATTAGGGCTCGGTGACGGCATGCAGGTTGAGATTGATAGATATATCGATTAAGAAAAACGGGTACATTGTGAAAACGTGCTAGTTGATTTGTCGGTTGGGGCAAATTAAAGGCGTTCGTCATCGAATACTTTAGAAGAGGCGTCGAATTTCTTCTATCCGTGCCGCTTTCGGCGTCTCGCCGCGTTAACAGACGCAGAGTCTTATATAAGTTGTGAGTCGAGTGCCAAGCTATGATAGCTTTCTCTATAAACAAACTGCGTTACGGCTTTCTGCTTTCTAATAGCTTCCTTTAACTCGATATCTTTCATGATTCTTGCGCGTCTATTGCCTTTTATAAGATAGACAGATGGTAGTAGCCGGAGGCAAGGGCAGCGTTTGATAGACGGAGTGCCGATGTGTGTGCGATAAGGTGGAAGGAGGGCTTGTCGGCGGCAATCTTAATAGCCATTAAAATAAAAGAAAAAATTAAAAATGTTAAACTTAAATATTTTCTTTTCAATAAAGATTCTTCCTAAAATTCTTCATGAAATGCAATCAGAACTGCCTAAAGAACGCCGGAAATCCGCGCGATATGAGACGGTTTCAAGTAAGTAAATATTTTCCTACTAACAGCGTTGAGAAACGTCAAGAGACTTCTCCTTTTCTCTTTCCTTCTTATCTTCAACCACCCAGCATGCGCTTCCCCGACGTAACTATACGCATTAATCTCTTTCTCCTCCGCTCTTCGTTAGCGGCGTCCAACTGCAGACTATTGATTTATCTAAATAAAAAGGAAAGAGGAAATACTCTACACCCTTTTACTCGGTTCCGCTATTTTATATGTATACACGCATAGATACATATTTGGATGGATGTTTTTTCCGAAATGAATGAATCGCTTTAATTAACTGATTGTATATAAGATCAGGAAAATTTAGTTTTAAAAAATTGATAGAATAAAAATGCTAGGGTTGTTGTAAACATGTAGAATATAATAAAGGCGGAAAAAACACTCGATAGCATATCGGTCGCTACTCGAGGGAACGGGCCGTGACCCAGAAAGAATCCGCAAGCATCCATTCCTCACTTTTGCAGTCTAAATCCAAATCCCTAGAAAGGCGGCAGGCACGAGTCAATTAGCGGGCGAAAATGGTATTTTCTAGCTATTTCCCATTCGTTTCATTGCTTGAATCTCTGTAGGATAGAGCAATGGCTATATAAGTCTCAGATCAATTACGAACTAATCAGCAAACCGACTAGAGAATAGACGTCGATAGAAACGCCAAATTTTATTCTTTTTTTTCATGTATTATTGTTTTCAGGTCGCTATTCTGCCAGCATGTCATATAGAAAATATCTTAGCTGCCTCGGAAAATATGTTTGTTCATAATAATTCGAAACACGGTCGAAAAATTCGTCGCCTAGATCCGTCAGATGGTGGGGGGTATTTATGTGCGGCAGTGCCCCAAATTAAAGCTATGTGCCCAAATGAAGGTATATAGAAGCTTATTATTAATAAATAATAGGTTAATTAAACATATAAATTCATATAGGATGGACAAACGGTGGAACTCAAGTAGTTATTATCGGTGAGAATTTCTTCGAAGGTCTACAAGTAGTTTTCGGTTCGCATATTATTTGGAGCGAGGTTCGTTATTTAAATCTATTACGTGTATGTAGGCGTAGTTGAGTGTAAAATTACTTTCTCTACCAGCTAATTACTCCACACGCGCTCCGAGTTATCGCTCCTCAACGCCACATTCCTGGAGTGGTGGAGGTGACTCTATCTTACAAAGGAAAACAATTCTGCAAAGGTGCTCCTGGACGTTTTGTTTATGTCGGTGAGTTTCGAGCAGGCATGTTCTTTTATAATACTTTCTTATGTAGATCTTAAGCGCAAATTGAAATAATTGGATGGCACACTTTTATCCAGACAAGTAAACAATACGAAATATCGCAACTAAGAGTGCATATGTATATATTTTTATAGCGGGTAAATCCACGAGCTAAACCCATTTGTATATAAAGCGACTGTAGACATCACATACGTATATAATTAAACCATCTTCATCGTACAATTAACGTCGTTTGCCGTGGCTCAATGCCGCGTGAAAAATGTATTGTCGCCGCCACCTGTGCCAAACACCTGCAAGCTAATTCCAGATTAGATTTTCGCCAAACGTCAATGACGGTTTCCTACTTCAAACAATTTAGGTATGAATGAACCGACTATCGACTATGGATTTCAAAGACTAACAAAACTTGTGCCACGTCATCCCAACGATCCAGAGAGATTACCAAAAGAAGTCGTACTGAAGAGAGCAGCAGATTTGGCTGAAGCTTTGTATAGTATGCCAACTCAGTCCGCTGCTGCGGCAGCAGCTGCTCAGTACCCGAACCTAGCTCCAGCTAGACATTCAAATTCAACTTACGGTTATACCGGACAATTGGCAGTAAGCGTTCAAGACCCTAATTTGAATGGATGGGAGGACGGTATGTAATTTACTTCTTTATCTTTCTTTCATTGTTTTGTTCGTTTTCTCCGTCCTCTATTAAAAGAATGCTTTGCTTGCTAACTCTCGTCTAGGATACGCCAGACATCAGAACGGCTCGAGCGTCTCCCCTCGTGCAGGTTACGGTTCGAACGGTTCAACCCCGCATTCAAGTAACGGCAGTTACAGCGATACGAGTTTTACGTCGCCACCTGCAGGGGGCGCTTCAGCTTCTAGTACTACTGCCGGTAGGCTTCATTCTAAAACAAAACAAATAACTGCATGTTAAACTCTAAAACATACTTTTCTAATGTGCAATAAGGCTCTTTCGCTTTTTGCGATTGAAACGGCTTTGCTCTTTTCCTTCTTTCTAATGTTGCTATTAAAATTGCATGCAGTACATATATATAATGCAATTTGTATAGACTACGTGTATTTTTAAAGATAAAATAATTTACAAGTCTATAAATAGGTCAATGTTGTATAAAAACAGTTTTCATATTTACAAACTTAAAAATTAGGTTATGATTTGGATTTTAAAATTTATTTTCAAATCCTTTAGCTCTACCATCTGAATCTCCTCAGTCGTCGAGGTCTACAACAGCCCCTTCCATTTTTTCCTTTACCCCAGCTTCCATGATATCAGCCGTGAAACAAAGATCAGCTTTCGCTCCGGTTATGAGAACTAGTCCCCCCCCTCCACCTAATCCTATGGCACTTCAGAGTGGATGGGCTCATCCCATTTTAACGGTAATAAAAAATTTTTAATGGCTAATTTATTCAATACTAATATGATATATTTTTTAATTTGTTTACAGGAATGAAATTAAAAACATACAGATCAGGAACAGTATTTGATCAGACTTTTTTTTAATATTTTCAAAATACTTTTATAACAGTTTTTTTTTCTACTCTCTGTCCCTGTACGTGCAGTATCCGTCAATAAGCCATGGTCGTTACACATTTAAATAGTGCCAAATTGGAATCGTATAGGCCTGTGCTGTTGACCTAGACGCTGCACGGACAGTTTTAGCATGCAGAACAAAAAAAAACTAAATTATGCGATAAATTTATTGTGTATAGAGTGTATAACTTATAAATACGTATATATGATATATAAAGACCTGTGTGTGTCTACATATTTTTCCTTTTACCATTTTAATTGCATAAGTTTGGTGTCGCCGTTTGTATATATATTCTTGTTTTTCCTTACATGTGCTGTATATAACATATCATGTTATATATTTGTATATATCTTTATATATACTTATATATGCGTGTGTGTATTCGTATGAGTATGTGCATAAGCATCCATACGATTTATACATTATTCGCGTCTCCATACTTGTTTTTTTTTGTATAAATTAAATTTCTATAGATTTTCTAAAAACGAGTACGAATAATTCAAAACTTCTAGACATATGCGATGTAATTACAGGGCACGAAACTGTTTTTTTTTACGTAGCACTTTCCCTCTATTTATAAACAATATTCCACACATACATATTATAAACATAGTCGTAAAAAGCAGAGCGCACAGAAAGTGAATGATGTAAGTCTTTGTTTGCAAAAAAACTCATCCGTCATTCAACACGGTAGGAGACATTCTGACAGTATAGCTGATACTGACCGTCACTTGATTAGACGCTTTCTCGTGTTACTGCGTTATTTCAAGCTGCTCCATTTAATGACATGCAACGGCGTCGAAATATGTCAGCGTATTTTCGAGTATTATTGAGTGTAAAACTGCAAAATTGCAAACAAACAATCCTCTTTCAACGCTTAATACATCTGCAGCAGCTGCGGTACGCAAAAGCCGAAAATGACTGCGCGATTACGTTCATTCCAGAGGGACGTCATTGTTCTCCGTGTACTGCAACAAAGCATGGCTAATGATGGATGAAGGAGAGAGCGGTGGAATGGAGAAATAGACGACGAGACATTAGAAGAGTGTATAGCAATTCAATGCACGCTCTTCGCCAGTCAGACGCTCAAAGCGGCGTCCCTTGGGATTAGAAAAGCCCGTTGAGAGACGTCTTCAGCGCAACTTCCTCTTACTAGATTCTGAGCTGACCTCGATGACCTCTACACGTTCTACCAGCTATTGTTTGTCGCTCAAGAGCATTCGAAGCCAATGACCTTTGTAATTAGGTCACGTCGCCAATGATGCGTAACTGCACCGGCTGTCAGCAACTGCAACGGTGCTCTAGACTAACGACTGCAGCTATTTTACAGTTGATTGTCTATTTTAAACTGTTGCAGGCTTTTCCTTGTTACAAAATTTTTCAAAAGAAAATGAAAAGTATATAAATAAACAAGGAAAACGACGCTTCAAGAAACAGAGTAGCAGATGGGCGAAGCTAGAGAGCGTGCAGAGAACATTTGTGAACGTGAATAATAATAGAACACGCTAATTATTCTTTTGTACCCTTTGTTTTAGTCCGTATTCTTACAAATACAGTACATATATTGCTTAAATGGAATAATCGTTTAAATATTATTCATATTTTTAAATAAAATTATTAAAAAATATTTGCATCAGACTTTTCATTTCGTCTTCGAAATAATTATTGATCATTCGAGCTAAAGCTAATCGAGTTAGACGATCTATCAAACGAATCGCATGAAATATAATAGAAAGGCATATGTTTGTGCACTCTCTATATATGGAGGAAAATAAGGAACTCTATATGAAAACGGGGCGGCCGGAAAAAAAGATAGCAGAATATAAAGTTGCTGCGCGCGATAAACTGCAATACCGCAACTCGTCTGTGCAACATTGCCCGATGAGCCATTTATAAGTTATTCATGATACGTTTCGTGTTTGTGTGTCTATTGTGTATGGTAGAATGTGTTGCGTTCTGCCTTACAGTTACAGTATGGCATATATAACAATTAAAACAATTAGTCTTATTAAACAAAAAATAATTAAATTTGTTCCATAAAAAATTTTTATTCTCATAAAATATATCTTTAACATATTTCAAGATATAATCGAAGTATCGGTCTCTTTTATAAAGTAAATATATACAAGCAGTATATAAACATTGAAATTTAAAGACTTTAAAATGAAGCTTCTTCGTGAATAGCATTTTTTTTGGAAAAACGTAAAAAGCTGAAACAGTTACGATGTTTTTACGCCGTAATATAACTATATAAACGCATTAAAGAAGTATATATAAGCAAAGTAACATCTATAGAGCAGAATGAGCGTAGGGTAATTTTGAGTATAAAGAGCGACTTTTTTACTTTACTATGGTGTTTTACGAGGTTGGAGAGGGAGCATATAAAGGATATGTTTAAAACGTTAATTACTCTCTGAAATGAGATGCAAATTAGCTTAAATCGAACAAACATTAGTTTGAGAAATGTCCCTTTGTAGAGTCGAACAGATGTCAACGGATGGCGGCGACCGTACAACGCGAATAAAATACCCTTCTTCCCCTTATCTTAGCGCAATATATTGCGCGCCAGCGTTGCCCGTTCTTATCAAAACTCATTTGCATATCGATAAAGTCGAACTGGCGTTTATCGTTTTTGTACGGCCATAGGCTTTTAAAGGCTCGACGAAGAGAATAAAAACGGCATCAGGTGTTATTCGTCGAGTGAGTCCTGAATAATTTAGAAGTGAGGAGAACTATATTGAAATGAAACGCAGGCCGCCTTTTTCCTTATCAAATGTTAGGAAAAGTGAATGTTTTTCAACTTAAATTGCATCACAGCAGAAAATGTCAATGTCCAGCAGAGAACGGAGCGTTGCTGTCAGCGGGATAATACAGTCTGCCCCAACAATTATTTTGTTCTACAAACTTCTCTTAAAAAGAATGCTCGTATCTTCATTTTACACACTCTTCCTCCTTCGTGTGTCACGCAACACCGTCGCTACTTGTCAAGCTCATATACTCATCATCCATCTTTCGATTGATTCTCTTCAGCATTAATGCAATAAACTGCATCCTCATAGAGATTGAAGACTAAAAGAGAAAGGGACGCGCGGCGAAAGGGAGGAAGGGGGAGGGCGGTTAAGAGATAGAAAGAGAAAACAACGACAGTTGGCAGCGGCGAGCGAATGACAAGAGCAGATCGTTTGCCTCACACTAATCAACTGCAATTGGGGTTGCAGCAAACTGAGCGTCTAGGGATCCGACTCAAGTATGGCTCAGGGACGCCTTATTTTCCACTCAAACACCTCCTTCTTACCAACGCCAGCATACGCTTTTTTAACACAATTATCTACTTCAGTTGACAGTGTGTATATAATCCTTTTATCGGTTCTCCCTTTCAGCTCACTTCTTCTATAAGTAAACGATTATAACAAAAGTGTGACAAGGAAACTTTCTTGACCAAATAATTTAAATTGAAACATGAACATGTATTTTTTCTATTCACCATCACGCGATACGGTCAAATATCAAGCAATTGATCTTTCTTCAGATAATCCGTGAAGGAAGATTTGAGAGAGGATTACCTATAATCCTTTAATCTGTTGAGATGCTACAGCGGCGGACGAGTTGCGTGATTGTATTGTTGATGGACATTGAATGGGTTTCCTAAAGTCTCTCTTGGGTCCCGATCGACACCGTTAGATCTGTTAAGTATATATTTATACTTTCTATAAGTATACTCTCCTACAACAGTATCACGTGCCCATTTTAAACCGCGTCTACTCACTTATCAAAAGACAACAGAACAAGTGGAATAAGATTCTCAACATCTGCAACCCGTTACACTTTGAAGTTGATTAGGTCAACGCGTAAAAACATCCAAATGATATTCAGTCCGTATTATCAGCTCCTCATGGACATTTTGTTTTTCATGTTCCGCTTCGTATAAAGTATCGATTCGTCCTCTTTAATCCTACTGAAAGCGTCGACCTTTTCTGCTATTCGAAATTTTCGCAACCGGCAGCGCACGCGCTCAACCTTTGCTACTTCAGCGGATGTTGCCGCTCGACGAATTTGGTTTACATTTTCCGGGGAGGCGACTATTTTAAAAATAAAAGGATATACTGGAAAAAATCTTAGCAGACCGCGTAAATATTTCAATGGAAACGAATAACGCCGGGGGAATTGACGGGCACGCGCGAATTATTCGCTATCATGATTCGTATATAGTTAACGAAATAGAATAACTAATATCTAGTACAAAGACAAACGGCGTTGAGTAAAGAGAAAGTACTTTACAAAGCAGAGACATTGTAAATGTTGACAAAGCATCCGTGAATGCAAACTCTAGGCCCGTGGGACCGGACAGCAAACAATTATTGCCGTATAGAGTTTTAGAGGGTGGATTTTGCGGACAAATCGATATAGATCAAGCATATATATAGAAGACTTACGTAGTATTTGCTTCAAATGCTACATGCTATCTATTCACAAATATACTTCAACATCGATTCAATGAAATTTTTATTGTATATACATACAACCAACACCAAGTTCATAATTGATAGATGAGCTTAGTACCAGTGGTGCCCTCTTGGGGATCAATTGAGTTTCGGCGCATGCGCCATCTTTTAAAGGGAAGAAGTGATGATGTGCCTCTTCAGACTGTTCATCGACGTGTGAACAAACGTTAGAAAACGCCTGATTTCTGTCTCATCCCTTGAGAAGAACTAAGCTTTGTGTGCACATGTCGACTTCGGCCCTAGCCCTAGCCTGCACCTGGTGCCGTCCGGCTAATGGAAAAAAGATTTGCTTCTTGACAAAAGAGTTATTTACAATAATATATCTAGCTCATACGCTTCAAGTCTTTATAAACTCTGTAGAAAAGAAATATTTATAAACGGGGCTGAATCGTTTTCCTTTTTAAACCCTCAACACGCAAAAGAGAACTGCGCTGCCCACTATAGTTGTTGAGCGGAGGGCGGAAT